TCAGTCCTGTTTCTGCGTAGCAGTTATGAACTGCTCGAGCTACAGCGGACATATTTGAACCCGGACCATATCGATCTCGCCCGTACGCTGAACGATGTTAGTCAAGGCATCCAGCTACTTTTATCATACGACCCCAAGGTGCTACTCACAGAGTTTCCTGAATGGAAAGACTTCCGCCAAGCTTCAGTGGTCGAAAACCAGTATCGCCAGGAGTACAGACGGATAAAGCGGATGTACGATTAGCTATTGTCAAAATACAAAGATACGAGCGAACGAGTACACAGCGCAATTGCTGGACAAGCGGAATGTTGCCTTTCTTCATTTTTGATCTGTCTACGCATCAGGTCCGTTCCCTGTGTATCATTCGTTAAAGCACCAATGCGCGCTTCAATTCTGCTGCTTGTGATTACACGTAATGTGTAGTCAATTATGTTCAATGAAAGCAAGATTTGTCCTTTACAGATGCAGTTTGCTCAAATCCACGTTCAAACTTCCCAATTTCCATAAGACCACGCGACCGTCGAGTGCTAGCAACAAAAACACAAAACGCAGAAATTGCATGAGAATGGCTGACACAAGCACTAGAAACGTAAATGTCTGAACATGAATGCAGCAAAGCCGTATTTACCTGAGGTAGAGAATTCTGTGACGCCACCAGAGGCAGACTGAGCGTACGGCTGGATGCACGTAATGTTGCTTGCGTGTTTCCTAAAGTGATAAAGTGAAAAAAGATAGCGGTCAAACAACAAACCTATCGTGTCGCCGACACCATCACATCAACATACATCCACAGCATATCTTTATCGAGTTGAGTAGCATCAGACGACTGTCCACGGGTTACTTTACTTTCAAACAAGCTTCGAGCTGGGATTCACCAGATACACACACAGCAAAATCAGCATCTACTCCATTTCTATATTACAGATAGCTTTAGTTTACCTGCGCTAAAACCGCCCGAATTTGTCTTCACAGCAGCTCCAGTGGGCTTCTTGTCCACAAACTCAGAGAACGACCTAGGTAAAAAAATCGTCATCACACAATCGCAAAAGCGCATACGCGTCGTACAAAACAATGTGTCGTACCAGAAGTTGTTGGCAGTCTGAGAAAACAGCATTGGGTTGAAATCATAACCCACGCCAAGAATAGCGGAGTTTGACAGAAACATAATGCGCATCAGCGGCAGGTGAGAAAATCGAATCGACTAGACCATTATATTCCGCATTAGTTTACGCATCACCATAGCATAAATATCGTTTTCAATAAGCTTGACATACCTGAATCGTCGGATATTCGCCAGGGGCGCCAAAGTGAACAATGTGAATGGAAGATCCTTGACTAGCAAACGCCAAGTAGTCACCCTTTGGAGACCATGCCACGGCGTTCACCCAGGCGCTAGCATTGTCAAACTCCGCGAGCGGCTCACCAAATGGTGGTAAGGCTTCAAAAGGACCTGCATCAGGTGGTCCATCGACGTCCTTGATGTGCGCCGAAAAGACGCGGCATTTTAGATCCGTGCTACCAGTCACTAGCAACTGACTGTTGAAATGCCAGTCCAAGTCCGTCACTCTATTACAACGCACGAGCAATAGTTATGTATTCAATTGCTCTTGTTCTTGAGCTTCAAATGAACTTGAAAGTTCATGCACGTACGTCGATTTGTGTTTCTTGATAATCTTACTAACCCACCAGTTTTCCGCTGCTTGGTAGTAGCACACAGACACACACTTGGCACCACTACTGACGGCAAATTTCTTGCCTATATCAAAGCACCATAACAATTTATTTCCAATGTTAAACCACACATCCCTTCTTCTTCACTCTCTCTCTCTCTGTAAGATCCTACCATTTGGACTCCATTTAACATTAGTAGCAGCACGAGTGACACGGAGCACTACAAGCAGTGGTTTCCATTGACGATAAGCAGCCTCATACTTCCATACAAATGCACTACGATCGTGTGAACATGATACTAATTGATCATGCACAGGTGACCAATCTAAACCGCTTACGAGCATATCGTGCTCCGTAAGAACAGCTTCTTTACGCCATTGTAATGGATCTGGTGCTTGACAGCCCGAGTAGATCCATATTTCATTCGTATTGGGACAAATGGCTACTTTACTACGATCTTTATTCCATGCATGACATGAAATAGCTTTTGCCAATTGAAAGATACTTGCATCATTACTCTTTGTAGTAGTAGTAGTATACCTCCCTACTACCATGACTGAATTGTTTAATTTTGGATAAATACAAACTGACTTTCTTGGCTTGGTTTTTTATTTCATCAAGATATTTTATTTTTTATCAGTTTCACAAAAAACAATATATATATATATTTAAACGGTTCTTGTACAGGATAAGAAAACTAAACAATCTCGAAGGATGATATAAGTTGAAAATAAGGTGGTGTACTTTAATTACACGATGCTACATGATATTTACATCATATTGGACGTTTTGTTTTCAAATTGCTCGACCTGGTCGAAAAAGTTTCCGACCTTGAGACTGGACTGGGGATGGAGTCTCCAGACCATAGGACGGACTATGTTAGTGGTCCGTATCCTGAGGAAGTTATACTAGAAGCTTGTAACTTGGAAGTACGTGTGGCAAAACCTGATTGATCTACGTTTTTGTACTGAATTTTTTCATGTTTTATAGTGGCAATCCATTGAATTGCGGTACAAACGGCTACAGAAAATGCGACTACAGTTGCTTGTGGCAAAGAAAATGGAAGAAGAAAATCAACGATATCAATGTCAGCTGCGTCGATTAAAGCGTCAGGAGCAGGAAAAAGAAGCGCGTGAACAAGAAGAACGTCAACAGGAGGAGGCGCGACGTTGTCAACGGGAAAAAGAGATAATGAAACAGGAAAAATGTGAGCAAGAAGAGAATTTACGTCGTCAGAGGATGCAGAAACGAGCAGAAGTAGAGAAGAAAAAGATGCAGAAGAGTCAGGTAGCGGTGAGCGATATGCGGATGGACGAGGACGTGCATGCACGACGGAGCAAAAAAAATGACAATACAAAGAAAGCAAACGTGCTGAAGAGCAAGACACAACAAACCAAACAGGTTAAGAAAACTAAGCCAAAGAGGATCACGCCTATGAGTTTGCCACCGTTACGGCCGAAGAATGCCGAGTCTGTAGCAAAAGAGAGTCACAATGAACTGGATGGAGATGACAGCTCGCCATCGGAATTGCCTGATGATGGTCTGGCCGATCTATTGTCGCTTGATAAGGGCAGTGATTCAGATGCTGATGACGAGCCGTCAATGGTGAGTTTGATTCTGCCAGTTGCCCAAGACTCACCGAAGCTCTTGTCTTTAGAGAAAAAGACATCAACACCCATGAAAAAGTTTGCAAAGAAGAGAGGTGGTGTAGCACTTGATTTTGACTTTACGAATACGGAAGCTAAGCGGCAGGCAAAAGCAGCTAAGGCTGCTTGGGATAAACAAGATAGGAGCAACGACGATGACGCCGAACCAGAACCGATGCCTGACCCGTCGATTTCAGACCCCAAAAAGCGTTTGAAACGTCGAAAGGAAGTTGCAAAGGACTACCAGATACGAAACGGTGGTAATACGTTGGGAGGAGAAAAGTTGATGGCAGCCACGGCAAGTAGGACGATTGCAGTCAAACCTAAGAAGGGCACAACGAGTGACGAGGTTACTACAGAGACGAAAGTAGTGCGGAAAAAGACGATTGGAAATGGCACTGTTTCGAATGGCTCATTGACAACGACAATGTTGAAGAATGTACAGTTGTTAGCCGAAGCAGAGGGAAAGACATCTAGCTTGTCGTTAAAAAAGATAAAGAATGGCAAAACGGAGACGATGTCGATCAAGCAACGGTTGGCGAATGCCGAGTTACTTGCACAAATGAATAAGATGCAAGATATGAACACGCCAAAAGTTTTGCACAAGAAAACAAAGAAGACGCAGAAGCAGGAAGTGGCAAAGACATTGGCTGCAAAGCGGTCTGAGATGCGAAAGGTGTTGTCCAGTGGTACAGAAGAGGCAGACGCAAGTCGACCCGACCAAATGATCGAGGAGGGAGACTTGAATATCAGTCTAAATAGCAGTGGATTAATTAGCGATAACGACTTGCCAGAGAATATCCATGGTCCGACGCAGAAACGACCAAGGGCAGAAGAAGGGGATGTAACACCTACGAAGAAGCTACAATTTCTTGAGATCACCAAGCGGTTGGTTAAGTCGCCGATGCCGCGATTTTTGCGAACTCCTACGCCGCTTACCTCACCATTAGTTCCATCAGCTTTCGTCAATTCAAAGGCTGCGTCACCAGCTCCTCGTGCTGCAAGCGCTCGCAACACAGCACTAAATGGTTATGAGACGCGCTGTATGAAATCAGCGCCCGTTGGGCCGAAGAAAACGATCAATCCGAACCGGTTTGGTGTTCCAAAAGGTGGCAATAGTGTTAGCGCAGGCGGTGCTAGTTTTTCAATGTTTGATGCGTTTGTAAATAGTGGCACTAGTGGGGCGATTCCACGATTAAGAACGAAAGCTCAAGGAAACGTGTAGTCACCGCAATTTGTTGGTGTTCATAATGTAATCTACAAGACATGGTTTCCAGAGCAAGCTTGAAGATTTTGAAATCGTACATTTATCGGCTTGATTTCGTCTACTAAAATGGCAGTCCAGCTTCGGTAGCATGCAAAGGCGCCATCAGTCGCTAGAACTTTAGTTCTCAAGCGTCGCAGCTTGAAACTGATTGATCGCGTCAATGGAATCGACGTAGTGATCTGGCACGTGATTAGCGTTGTCAATGTTGCTCAGGTCCGACTCGTTCGCGATGCCAGTCAGTACCAACAACGTTTGCAGACCACCGGCGTTGCCAAACTCAATGTCTGTCGAAAGACGATCACCCACCTGTTTCACACCATTATAAAGAGGTGATGCAAGATTAACCACTGATCACACTAGACCTATCAAGCACTGTCGTCGTACCATGCACGTGCGTGAGGGGTTCAACTTGTACGTAGTGATAATGGTCTGAAGCAGATCCTGCGATGGCTTGCCACACACAGCCTCTGGGGGACTGCATCGCATGCAACAACCAAATTAGCATCAAGCGCTAAACAATGAGAAAGGAGGTTGTACGCACTGGCCAATGGCGAATTCCAGCATGTGGACTAGAGAGCCACCACCCGGGACGATGGCACCATCCGTCGGATACGTCGAGTCTCTGTTCGGTCACACAATGTGAGACGAACTGTCAAAGAAGACAGAGGGTAGACTACTCAGATACAAACTTACGGGTTGGTACCAATGAAGTGGCAGTTCGGAATTTGAAGAACACACGCCGTAGCGTACGCCATCTTGTAGTATGAAAAGTGTCTGCAGAACGAATCAATTGCAAATGATACACTGATGAGCTCATGAAATGTGCATCATTCTTTGTTCACTGCTATACCTGTCCAGGCCACAGACAACAGCCTTTGTATCCATATCGATCGTCGGTACATGTGGAAGGCCCTTGATGTCGCTATGCTCCATACCGCTGACTTGGTATCCTTCTAGCTCCAGCTCTGTCTGAAGACCAGCTTCACCCACCATATATACCTTACCTTCAATCTTTTGCTGCTTCATGTACTGCGCTGTAGCCCACGCTGAACTGCACTTAACAGTCAACACATGTACTATTGAACACGAATTGCAGTACACTACTCACGTGACGATATCGGCCTCATCAGCAATGATGCCCTGCGACGCTATACGACCACAAATGGTTTCCATAAGTCCATAGTTCCACTTGTTTCTATATCCCATTATTACAAAGCACATACCGAATTTCTTCACGTAGGTAGCACGGCTGTTCGTGGCATTGTTGGTCTACTCAGCATTGAAACAAAGATTCTTGTTAGTGTTTTCTTTCTATCTCTCTTGTGAGCCCTTGCATAGTCTCAAACTCTAGCTTAGGTCCTTACCACAAACACAACGCGTTTGTCCAATGATCGCAAGAGGCTGATCATATTGGCTGCACCCTTAATTGGGGTAGCTCCACGCCATAGCACTGTCAAGTGTCGTAGCTTTTAGTGCACAATTTCTTGGTCATATACATATCGCACACCACTCATCACATTTTTGCTACCTCCATCACAGTCGAATAGAAAGGCATCAAGACCTTGAATCCATTGTTTGAATGACTCACAAGTCAATCTTTGTGTTATCTTCTTTGTGGTTGTCATACTGATGAAACGGTGGTGAGAGTTGTGATCTATCTGTGGATTTGGGTGGTAGCTCTTCAAGAGGGATTGATTGTCAGATTCGAGGGACACGTAACGGTCGAGGGCATACAAAATTCAAGCTCTTTTTACGCCTGTTTGGAATAGGACGACGTCTGATAGATTGACAATCGTTCAGTGTCACTTTCGACCAAGTACATCCATACATCGATCGACTCATCGCCATCATCACATTTTCTTCCGACGGTTGTGTGTTGGTCGAGAAACAACCCAGCTGCCAACCTGCTTTCGCCGTGCATCGATACGAGCAACAATCCAATACACTGCCTAAAGAGCGCAGGCATCCTACTCAAGACGAGGATTACACGAATGCAAATCATCTCCACAATGACATACTCTTTAGGGTTTTGCACCTGCTCACATCCAGAGGTAGCGTCTTGCACACTTTGCTCGCTCGAGAAGATGGTTGTCATTTTCGACGATGACACGCCCTTCTTCTTCAAGAACATATCGGATCTTCGTTGCAAGCGAGTCACATACAACAAAGTCACCTTAGAAATCCACACATCAGTACGCGTGGCCACCGCATGAAGGTTCAGCAATGACAACGTCACGTAGTCAAAGCCTATTAGACGCTATTGACAACACCCGACCGTGCCAATATGTGCACAGCGTGTGAACCTACTCCACTTTACTCCACCCAACCCACACTGGCATCTTTACTCTTGATAACGCCTTCAGGACCGAAGAAAGAAGCGGTGGGAGACAACTGTTCCAGCAGCTCTTATGCACACTCCAATTTAATGGTCGTTGTTACAGCTGATTGTAACATGCTGCAACTACTAGTAAACAATGCTTACGAGCAATGTTATAGATACATTGGACTATAATTGTAGCAGTCACACCCACACCAAAGGCGACAGCAAGTTATTGCTGCCTATTCCAGTCCTGACCAATAGTTATGGACCATAATTAGTTCGTCCTATGGAAACCTCAGGTCACACAGCACCATTACCCAGCCTTGTCCTACCAGTAGCTTTTCATGGTCGGACGTTAGCAACAATTGTATTGAGATGTGAGCTTGTAGCACTTGTCCGTCCGACTGTTCCGTTTATCGATGGCCTCCAGTCCTTTTTTTATCTTGAATAATGGTTGTCACATACAATAACTACGACTCTATGTCATTATCACACAATATCCTCTCGTATTTAATATTAATACATCTCTTGATATAGATCAAGGCTTGTACAAATTAATATAATACTAATATAATAGTAATACTATAATTATTGACACACCAGTAATACAGGTGCTGTGCCATTGGCGTGCCTCGCGTTGTCGCTTCTTTTACTAGTTTATGGGCCGAAAGAAGGGGAAAAAGAGCGGTACATTGCTACGTCTACGTCTTATCTTTCGATTCATGTCACTTATTGCTCCATTTGTTGTGTTTATAGATGCTCACGTCGCTGTAACTCATGACTCTCCAGCCCTTTATGATACCATTACTTTAGTCAAATCAAGAGAACTACAGATTCAAGAATTGGAAGTATTACAGGCGATATATGACCGAGATTTGATCATGAAGAGCTCTACGCCATTATATACCTACATCTTTGTCATACAATTGCTGTGTGAAGCCACACCTGGTGCATCTACGACAGCTCAAGTACTGCTGCATTTTGATTTACCACGAGCGTATCCAATGAAGCAGCCACCAAATATTACAGTGGAAGCCAAGCACGGATTGTCCGACACGGAGACACAGAAATTGGCGCGTGGGATGGAGAAACTCGCGCTAGAGAAAGTGGGTGATGCGGCTGTGTACGACCTCGTAGTTTTCGCGACTGACTTTATCCAAGATCATTTGAAGGACCAATCGTCATTTTTTGACCAGATGGTGACTCGACAACAGCATAGAGAGACACAGGATAAGCTAGTGAAGGACGCATTGCTACTGCAACAAGAAGAACAGGCTCGAACAAAGAATGAGGAAATTCTGGCACTTATTGATGCTGAGAGGAAGAAAAGAGAGACGTTGAAGAAGACAAAGCGGAGACGGAGGAGACACCGGTCTAGTAGTATTGACGGAGAGTTTGGTGGTAGCGAAGGTGAGAGTCTGTCGTGTAGTGACGAACAACAGACAGACGCGAGTTCCAAACGAGACGAAAGTGTGTCGGACTCGGGTGAGTCGGACTTGGACGCATTGGCAGATGGAAGACGATATTGCTCCAGATATCAAGGTGATTTTAAGGAGCTAGGACTGCTGGGACGCGGAGGAGGAGGAGAAGTAGCAAAGGTACGTAACCGTCTGGATCGACAGCTTTACGCTGTCAAGAAGGTTAAGCTAGATCCGAACGACAAGGCAATGAAGAAGAAGATATTGCGTGAAGTACAGACGATTTCACGAATGCAGCATCGGCACATCGTGCGGTACTTTCAGGCGTGGATTGAAGGTGAAAGTGGACTGTCTAGCGATGGCGAAGAGGGTTCCAAATTGGAGGACAGCGACTTGAGTGACGGAGAGAATATGTTGAGCGGCGGCATCATAAGTACGAAAGACGATTTGTATGGCAATGCAAGTCTTTCGTCTAGTCTTGATGATGGATTGGGGCTAATGACGTCTACAGACGAAGATGATGATGACTGGCTAGGCACGATGGGTAGTAGCACGGGGCTGCGGCCGGCATCGTCATCTCGCTATACTCTCAGGAGCCTGTGTAGTAGAAGCCAAACATCTCAGCTATTTTCGCATAGATTTGTGTCCGGGAGTTGTCTTGATGATGACTTTGAGTGGGAAGCGCTGGAAGAAGCTCCGATGCAAGAATTTGACATTAGTGGCGACGGAGGTGCTGGATATCACTGTACAACACAGACTTATATACATCCTGAGCTTGTAAGTAAGAGAAAGCTCGAGAAATTGTACATTCAGATGGAGTTTTGCGAGGGAAATGCTCTGAGAGAGGTGATAGACAAGGGATCTTTATGGAAAGACACTGACAAGATCTGGACAATGTTTCGCCAAATCCTGGAGGCGCTTGTATATATTCATCGTCAGGGCATCATTCATCGCGATATCAAGCCACCTAACGTGTTTCTGGACTCAGAGGGAACTGTAAAGCTGGGAGATTTTGGTCTCGCCGTTCGACCTGCAAAAGCCACGGAAGAGGAGGGCAGTAACGGCGACTCCTTCCCTTCCGGAGAAACTGTGATAGACGCGATATTGTCCAAGTCAAACGGGTCATCTACTGCCGAATTGTATGGACGGCTGAAGCTGGAAAAGCTGGAGAGTACAAGGGTTATCGGCCGGTCAAGCGTCCTGCAAAATAGTAATCTAGTGACGACAATGTCGGCGGACGTGGTTGGCGGCAGTATCACTACTGGCGTCGGTACCGCGTTCTATCGGGCACCCGAGCAAGAGAGAGAAGGGCAGCGGTATGATCAGAAGGCGGATCTGTTCTCGCTTGGTATAATGTTCTTTGAAATGTGGTCACCGCCGTTCACGACGCTGATGGAGCGTGCACAAGCACTCGTTGGACTAAGGGAGAAGCACGAATTACCAGGAGCATTCTGCGCGCCAGATGATGTGAAAAAGATAATTTTGTGGCTTTGTGAGCATGATCCATCCAGACGGCCAAACGCGAAGGAGCTACTGGCGAGCCCGCTATTGCCTGCAAAGATAGAGATAGAAGGATTATATCTTCGAGAGGCTTTGAAAACTCTCGCAAACCCACAGGGCAAATTCTTTGGGCAGCTTATTGATGCCCTGGTATCACAGGAGCCCCTTACTCACGCCGACTATACTTACGACCACCTAGAGTCCGTCAAAATGCGCACCTACGAGATCCAGTTACGCACGAGAACATACGTCAGGAGCGTTCTACAGGTTGGTTTGCACGATTTTATTTTTTTACTGAATGCTGCGTTTGAGTCTGAACGATATTTTTTTCTGACTGAACAGAAAGTGTTCCAGCGCCATGGAGCCGTTGAAATCTCAACACCGCTGCTTATGCCGCGGTTATCTGAGCAAAGCTTCAACAACATCACCCTAAACACCCCGTCAAGCGCATCAATGATGCTAGATGGTAATGGCGTGTCAGTATCGCTTCCGTTCGACTTGACAGAGAGACTTGCTCGCTTCGTAGCACGGCACAACGTTTCACGTCTGAAATGTTTCCAATTCGACCGAGTATATCGGAAGAGCGTTGGTGGTTGTCATCCGCGGGAGTTCACCGAGTCTGACTTTGACATTATTTGGGATGACGGAGGCTGTTTTCGTTTCTTGGAGCTAGAAGGTATAGAAGTGGTCTCAGGTGTGATCAAGGCACTACCGAGCTGTCTGGGCTCCTACTATTTGCGCTTCAATGACGCTCGAATGACGTGCGGCATTCTTGATCTTTGTCACGTTCCCAGCAGTGCTCGTCGCGAGGTGCTGCGGCTTCTTTCGAACCAAGTTTCATACTATGTGCACGCTGGTCCGTCTTCTACTCAAGCTCCAAGCCTTAAGCCAGGACGCTGGAAGTTTATCGCAAAGCGAATGAAACATTATGGAGCGCCTGAAAGCTCTATTGACGCACTAAAGCCGTTCTTCCTGCTACCGGAGGATTGCCTCACGTCGCTTGACATGATTGAGTTGGAGGTGCAAAAACTCTTTGCAAACAATCGGGCTCGTGCAAACAGTGATTCAGTGACAGCAGGAGATGGTGGTAGTAGTTCTGCATCTTTGGTAGACCGCAAACAGACCCAAAAGCGTGATGCACAGCTACGACGCGTTGTCAAAGATGTGAACGAGGGTACTACATCATTGCGCTTGTTGTTGCAAGGCATGCAGTTTCTTCAATTGTCGGGTCCAGTGTGCACACGATTGGATTTGGGGTTGAGCCCACGTCCCGAGCGTTATACGTCAGGTTTCATATTTCAGGCAATACTGCTGGAGGAAGCCACGTATGGTGGGCAAATTAGTAACGCGACTGCGTCACTATTATTTGCAACGACAAATGACCAAATTATCATTGCTGAGGGTGGACGCTACGACGCTTTGATTTCACGCTTTAAGCTCACAACGGCGTACGCAAACGCCTCACCGGTCGCTGCAATGGGTGTACGTTTTGCCATTGATAAGATTGTATCGTTGCTAGCTGAGTCTATGTGTCCTGCCTTGTTGGAATTGAAATCTCGAGCTATAGATATCTTGACGGGCGGCCGTAAGGTTTTGATTTGTTCGGCAGGTAAGGCATCTGAGACAATGCTTTTTCGAATGCAGATTGCAATGCTGTTATGGGAACACAGTATTAGTGCCGATTATTTGCACCCAGAACCGCTGCACCTTGAAGACCTTGAAGATTATTGCGCTCAACAAAACATACAATGGATGGTGATTGTGCAGAGTCACATGATGAAAGAAAAGCAGCAGGTGAAGATCCGTGCAGTGAAGAACCATTCTGACGCTGATGTGGTGACAAGTGTGACATCATTACCAGAGTGCATTGCCGAGCTACAGGCACATTTTGGCAAATGCTGTCACGGTGACATTCTAGCTGGTGGCGGTCGTGGAACTGATAATTATGGAGAAAGCATGCACAGCAGCAGCAAGAACAGCAGCAGTGGCGGTATTTTGTCAGTGTCTGGTACGACGTTGCAGCCAATTTTTGATGTACGGGTGGTTGATGCAAAGTATCAATCGCGAGACAGGAATTACCGGAATTATCAGCTTGATACACAAAAAGTCACACGTCGTGTATCAAAGTGGATTTCCTCGAGTTTTTCATCTCGTGGCGATGAAGCAATGAAAGTTTTGTCTGTCGATCTTCCATTTGCGCTTGTACGAGAGATGTCATCGGTATTAATGGAAGACGGACGTGATGGGATTGACATTCTGTGCAGTAAGCATTCACGATATCGAAAACAGCTCAAGTACATTATGGAAGAGATTTTGACTTTGATTCCTGACTCAACGTCACGTGGTACTACTGGTCGGGAACGATATGTACTCTTGCATAGCATGATAGATGATCGATATGATATGATGTCACTTACTTTGCCTAGAAAGTATTCTCGGAAGAAGAACTAAGGAGTAGTAATGGTAGTACCAATGGTAGTATAGACTGCTGCATAGTATACGACCATGTAGCAAGGATTACTATATCCAGCGTTACAATGTAATTTTATTCAAATTAAAGTTATTATCCATTTTTAGTCTTGTTCCCTCTTAAACTTTATACTTGTATTTGTCAATAGAGAGAAACAAGCCTTCTGTATCTGAACAGCATGAATGATAGTGATAATGATACGACCAAGTCAATGGAGACACTAGCTTTTAACTGTAACTTACATATCAATTACTTGATGAGTCTTAAGAATAAAAAAAGAAGATTTTGAGTCGTGTATGACGGAACATATGCGTATGAGTGGTTTATACTGGGGTGTAGGAGCCATGGCATTACTCAATCGAGAGGACGAGATGAAACCCAGTGAGATTATTGATTGGGTGCTACAATGTGAACATCCTGATGGCGGTTTCTCTGGAAATATACGACATGATCGTCATTTGCTCTACACTCTTCATGCATTACTTATACTGGCGATGCTAGATGCTCTTGACCGGATTCAAAGGGACAAATGTGCGCTCTACGTTGCGTCACTGCAGCAGAGCGATGGCTCATTTGCCGGTGACGAGTGGAAGGAAATTGATACCAAGTTTACGTATTGTGCACTATCAGCACTGAGGATTCTGGATAAATTGGACCTGATTGATGTTGAGACGGCAGTAGCTTATATTGACACGTGCCGGAACTTTGACGGTGGTTATGGCAATATCCCAGGCTGTGAGTCGCATGGTGGACATATTTTCACAGCAGTCGGTGCACTGTCCTTGGGATTCGCTCTGGATCAATATGTAGATGATGAATTGCTTGGCTGGTGGCTCTGTGAGCGACAATGTGACTCAGGTGGACTGAATGGAAGACCCGAGAAACAAGCCGACGTATGCTACAGCTGGTGGAACATCTCATCACTCATTATGATCGGCAAGCTGGACTGGATCAACAAAGAGAAGCTCATTCAATTTATTCTAGCATGTCAGGATCCAGAGGATGGAGGAATTGCCGATCGTCCAGGAAATGTGGCAGATGTGTTTCATACTTTCTTTGGCATCGCGGGACTGTGCATGCTTGGCTACTTTGACCGTGAAAAAGAGGCTCACCCGGAATATGAAGGGGTTCGGCAGATTCACCCGACCTTTGCCATTCCCACAGATATTGTGGAAAAGTTGCAGCTGCCTGCGGACATGATCATGCCCTGCGTGCAGGAAGACTAAGTGTTAGGAGGTTAGAGTGGATTGCAGACTAGTTGACTCGGCAATGAGATGTGATATGGAGACAGCTAGCTATTTGCCGGAAGACATTTAGGTGCATTTGTTTCACAATTAGCCATTCCAGTCATGAATTGCATATCCAAATGCTTACGAAGCAGTAACCTCAGTCTACAGTTCCATCGGAGTAGCCTCCTCAACGACAATGCTAGCAGGAAAAACCTCTGTCTTGCAGCTGAGAACATCTACGAGTATTACAAGAAAATAGCAATTAGTACTCTGTCAATAAAATAAAAACACATAAGCAAATCTCACGTACGAGTAGCTCCACGTGGGATATGCGTGACAATGTCCCGATGAATCTGCGAACGCAGCTCCGACACCTCGTTGGGCTTAATACAGTTAATCTCCTTGACCACTTCCACTTTGCCGTTACTCTTCTTAATCGTCGTCACATCGACGTTGCTACCTGAGCCCAAGTCATTGAATATACCAGCCAAAATGGCTTCTTGCACCAATGTCTTTGCTTCCTCTTCCTACAAAACGTACATCATCTAGTGTGAGATCTCGTACTTACTCCATCATCTGGCATTCAACTACCTACCGTCATGTCATCCTTGTAACCGTGCTCAAAGACCGACATGGCAGCAAGACTACCAGATCCCATCGTCACAAATGGCAACTTGTCCGTACTACATAGTACATGTATCCATAAAGCATCAAACAAGTCAACTTCACCGTACGACTTGATTAACTAATCAAAAAACATATATGTAATCTCACCTTCCATGAGGGTAAATTGTATAAAGATGTGGACCTGTAATATCCACACCACCGAGAACCAGTGCAGCCGAAACGTGACCCTGGTATTGAAACAACATCCGCTTTAATAATGTCATAGCCGTCACCACTCGTGATTGCGTATTCGTGTTCTACATCGTATCAAAAGTCTCCAGTAGGTCAGTCAACTGCCACTTTGCTTCTCTTCGACTTGCAAGCAATAAACCAACCAGACGATGAAGCTCTAGCTGCGAGGAGATCAGTGCTGTGGTGTTTTCTGTATCAGCAGCGGTGCCAGCCCCACAGCAGTAAATGTTAGGTGCAATATAATGAATCTTCTCGCAGTTTTTGTCCATGACGATGGAACCGCCCGTAGAGCGTGTATCAGCACCTAGAACAACACCGTCCTGTCATATCGTTACATTAGAGACTGTCGATATGTACTTCACCTCGTTGTGACACTTAATGCTTACTTTATAGACCACACCGACAATTGTAGTACCAGTTTTTGTAGCCTTGAGCTTTTGTTTACCACCTGACTGGCTAAGAAGAAATTCGTTACGACGACAATTATCAAAGCTAAAGCCTCCATGCAGCTGCTCAGACGTTGGAAAGGCATCTCCAAAGGTATTTTGTGTACGTCGAAAGTCACTCATTCTCTCGCTTTTCTCTTAGTCAGAGCAAGCAGTAAAATCTTAAAGTGAGGGAGGGATCTTCATGGTGAAGTAACATACTGGGACAAAAGTAAACATTAAGTTGTGCACTTTTATTATTAATTTTGTCCTGCAGTTTCTTATGTATCAAATCTCACAGGAAGCATAAAAAGAAAGGAAGAGGTAGACATTCAAGATCAAATCACATGTTGATTGGATATTAATTGTATACGGGGTTTTCATTGGCTGTATGTAATGCCGAGTCCCGACTGCCAGTCATTTACAACATCATACTAAACGCAAGTGACTTTTTTACCAGCCAACGCCTAGTGCACTAAACCCCTTCCACTTTGTTCCCACCGCCAGAAGTAAAAGCATTCGTTAACCATGGTACGTGTGTGTGTGTTTGTTTTACATTCTGTTCAAGACGATTAATCTAGTAGTAGAAAAGGCAATCGATATTGCATACAATAGAGAAAAGAGAAAGCAAGAAGAATTGGTGAAGTTACTGAGCAATGAATTGGAAGCAGGAGCAAGAAATGAGCTTGTCAACAGACCAACTTTTGATCTTGAAGTGCATTTGAATGCAGACTTGACTTGCAAACTCGCTCTTTCTTTTGTCTATATACATTAATCGAAGAACGAGATAATACCATGTAGTCTGTAACCTTTTTGGATCGAGCTTGCTAACACTTTTGGTTGCTGTGTATCCAGTCGCTTGTCATCGGGCCAGACTTTCAGCATATTCTGCGTATTCTTAACACCAATATTGATGGTCGTCGTAAGGTGTGGATTGCTCTGACTGCCATCCAGGGTGTAGGTCGTCGTTTTTCCATCATGGTGTGCAAGAAAGCAGAGGTGGACATTACCAAGCGTGCTGGTGAGCTAACCAATGACGAGATTGAGCGTGTTGTAGCGATTATCCAGAATCCGCTGCAGTTTAAGATTCCTGTGTGGTTTCTTAACCGACAGAAGGACTTTAAGACTGGCAAACACTCGCAGATTGTGGCGAACAACCTACAGGGCAAATGGCGCGAGGATTACGAACGTCTTAAGAAGATCTACGCTCACCGTGGTTTACGTCACTGGTGGGGTCTCAAGGTGCGCGGCCAGCACACCAAGACCACAGGCCGTCGTGGCCGTACGGTTGGCATCCTTGGTGGCAAGTAAGTTACTGTTTGATGACGATTTCTGGCTATTTTCACTAGTCGGGATTGCTAAAACTTTGGCATTAGCGTGGTGGACAATGATTCCCATGTGGCAACGTGGGGGGGTAACGTAAGTGAAATCAACAAGATTGACAATTCTTGCTGCTTCTTTATCAAACGACCGCTTTGGCTTGCATTAGTATCGGTTCTGTTTCTATTTGTAGGGACTTTTACTAGCACGGCAATTGCCGTGTGCTCATAGAACCGCGTGAGGCTGAGATAGATCAATGAACGGTATTGCTAGCTTACTGTTGTCTCTGTTTTTCGCTCGATACGTTCTTAGCAGTGCGCGCAAAAAACTGCATACATACGTATGAGTCTACAGCAGACGTCTAAAACATCCTTAGTAGCTCTTATGGAGTCTGCACAGGCAGACCCATTTTTTGAAAGCTGCACATAGAGCACCATAGGATCGTCAGTACTGCACATCATTCAAAAAGCGATGCAATATCGCTCCAAGTATCGAGAGCTCGATCATACGTACGCCTTGGCCTGCTTGGTGTATATCTGCTCCACTTGTTGCCGAAACTGCTCATTCTCGGTGTGGTACTTTTGCAAAGCTGCCGTGAAAATCTGAAAGGCGCATCCAACAGCACAAAACATTGTTACCGCCACAACAATGTTATTAGAAAAGCCAGCAGAATCGTATATACCTCCTGAGATATACCGTGCGCTTTCATCTGCGCCTTTGTTGCCTGCTCAACGTGCTCCATGTACAGATACTGAAAATCCTCCATAGCCTTTCTGATATCATTGATCCCTTCTTCGCGCGCATGTGCAAGCATATCCAACATGGCCTTCTCCATGCCAGCTACCATCTCCTTCAGAATCGCCAGTGTCTTGTCGGCAGTGAGGTTTTCAGGGATCTCAACCAGTTTTGGAGCTGGAAACACGCTATTGTCAAGCAACATAAAGTTGGTACATAAGCTAGATCATCACATCCTCAACATATACTCACGTTTGCATCAGGTTGTTCAGGTCATCCTGTAGCTTAAGAATTGCTGCGTCCTCCGCGTACTTTTCAAGCGCAAACTCCAAACTTTGACGGCTCCACTTGCGCTTTCCAGCAATCTGCTGCTCAATCCCTTCCATCATCTGATACAATTGTGACAGAACAGCCTGCTGGATTTCGGCGTCGCTCAGCTCATGATTGTTATCCTTCACATACTTTCGCACTGCATCTTCAATCTCTGGCAGTTGTGACTGTATCAGAGCATAGCAACATTAGCGATGTTTCAGTGCTATCAACACATTATCTACACCACAATAATGCACGCACAAATAGGTCCTTGACAGCCGCCGTCAGCTCCGTGAAGAAAACAACAATCTCTGCTTGGGGGATCTCTTTCAAGGCTACCAGCTCCGTGTCCTTAGAAGACAGCACAGAGCCATCCCACCACATCTTTCCTACACTAATCAGTGCACCCGCGATGGCAATTCCAACCACAACACCAGTCGCGTCTGCCTTCACGTGCTGGGGATGGATTGCATCTAGCGTAGAATTTGCACGAGGCTGCACAAAAGCCGGCGTGGTATGAGAAATATCAAATGAAGAGGTAGATGTAGACGAAGTAGTACGACGAGCAGTGACATATTTATGCGATCGACGGAGCTGCTGCGCAGCGTTACGCATTGATCCAAATACCATGATCAACAACACTTGCTAGTGTACTGATTAATTGATGGTAAACATTTCTTGGGTGAGAGAATACACCTCATGAAAACACAATTATGTGTGTCAAACACCACGTGATTAGAAAGCTTTATATATATATCAAACGCATTGCTAACAATGTGTCTGTCACTCGGTGTAACCGTTTCTGATAACGACGAGCCAACGAACAGCTATGTCTGCAACGTGTGACTGACTGACTGACTGACGGCCTTGTAGAATGCTCGTGGACAATTTCATTAATGTTTACAATGGGCGGACCACGAGGTCAATCGACTGGAAAGATGCTGATCCATTACTCGCGCACTAGCTACCACGTACGTAACACACTGCCTAGTGCATGACTCCGATTAATATAATAAAAGGGTCGCCAACAGGGTCTCCGTGTTTGTTTTCTTCTCTGTGCATCTGCTCCGCACAGAGTCGCGTACACGTTTTTGTATTGAGAGCTAATTTGTTGCAATAGAGAGAGCGATAAAGATAAAGCTATGGTTCAAGGTTCGTAGCCCATTTAGTGAGGACAGTCCAATCGCGTATGGCATAAATCAGCTGCAATGACGGGGCTGTCCTCACAGCAAAGACAACTTGCGTCCAGCAAGCTCATATCAAGTCGCCAGCTATTTCACCTCTCTGTACTTGCTCGCTTGAACTTGAATCGCATCATACGAACAAAGTCGCAGCCATGAGAAATTTTGCACGTCGTTTGTTATGCGTTGGCCACTGTCGGGTTTGCTTATTTGGTGTTGCAACTATGGTGGCGTGTCTCGCAGCAGATGGCCTGAGACCGTATCTGGCGTGGCACTTGACTTTGATCTGAGTGGTTGGTAGTAGGACACATGGTAAGGAGAGTTCGGCATATCTTTCACTCAATCCATTAGCTGCGTCCATTGCGTGAAGCGTCCTCACAGCCCTTGGTTGACAAATGTAGACGACGGTTCACATGTTGAAACTGCTGATTTAGACGAAGCACATTAATTTTCTACCTTAGCACTAGCTCAAGTGTCACAAACAATAAAATAAGTTTGTAGTGCTGGTACGCAATATCTAGGTGTAAGGGCCATTATAACAGAGCGCTAAGATGCTCTTAGTACCTAGCATGCACGACCGGACGTTATCGACATTATGGATCTTATATCGCTTGGCAGTATGCTGACTGATGGCTTGAGTTTGCTGTGCATTGAACTCCTGCGAACTGTCACGAAACTGTTCCAGTACACACTGGCATGGCACACGTTTTGCATAACAATAATAACATAATGTCGGTTGTAGTGCCAGTGATACGTGCAAGTCTGTTTCACCCACTCTTACTACCTCAGTAGTCATAATAAAGTTAGTGTTCATTCGGTATGATACGTTGACATTCATGATGTGATAGTTGACATTCATGGTGTGTAACTAACTGTACCATGAAAATCAGTTTCCACGCCAGATGCGGTCTCAGGCCATCTGCTGCGAGGCACGCCACCATAGTTGCAACACCAAATAAGCAAACCCGACAGTGGCCAACGCATAACAAACGACGTGCAAAATTTCTCATGGCTGCGACTTTGTTCGTATGATGCGATTCAAGTTCAAGCGAGCAAGTACAGAGAGGTGAAATAGCTGGCGACTTGATATGAGCTTGCTGGACGCAAGTTGTCTTTGCTGTGAGGACAGCCCCGCCATTGCAGCTGATTTATGCCATACGCGATTGGACTGTCCTCACTAAATGGGCTACGAACCTTGAACCATAGCTTTATCTTTATCGCTCTCTCTATTGCAACAAATTAGCTCTCAATACAAAAACGTGAACGCAACTCTGTGCGGAGCAGATGCACAGAGAAGAAAACAAACACGGAGACCCTGTTGGCGACCCTTTTATTATATTAATCGGAGTCATGCACTAGGCAGTGTGTTACGTACGTGGTAGCTAGTGCGCGAGTAATGGATCAGCATCTTTCCAGTCGATTGACCTCGTGGTCCGCCCATTGTAAACATTAATGAAATTGTCCACGAGCATTCTACAAGGCCGTCAGTCAGTCAGTCACTCGTTGCAGACATAGCTGTTCGTTGGCTAGTCGTTATCAGAAACGGTTACACCGAGTGACAGACACATTGTTAGCAATGCGTTTGCACGATTCACTGCCTCATGGAAAGTTCAGTGGACTGGAAGTAAAGTCAAAAAATTTTTTGGTGTGCTTTTTGCGCAGCAACATCCGCTTTGCGACGCGCTTCTACCGAGTGTCAGTGGATTTTGCCCATTGTTCTGAATGCTCATGGCAATTGATACGTTTTACCAGCTCTTTTTCCTGTTCTTCATCAGCATACTGCACTACAAGATTCTACTGTAGTGGTTCTAGAAGAGACAGCAAGGTGCAGAGCAATAAATAAATGGTGCAACCACGCTGTACCTCTACACCTGGCCTGGTGGATTTCCATCTTACGTGGTAGTGACCTAGGTATCATCAGAGCAAGATCGCGCGCAAATGCTGGTAATCATATCCTATCCGTCCGAACGCAATGCGGCGCGCTTGAAATCGCAGCACCAACGTGGGGCTCACCGAGTCCCGCGAATTTTTTAACTACCTATCTATCTACTGCCATGCGGCAATTTACTATCGTTGCCCCAGCTGGCACTCCAGAAGGGTGCAGCGCTGGCACCAGTCTCACCCATAGCAGAGTCCGGACCTTAGACTCCGCGCAATCTTCTCGGTTAGACATTCCATGTCTTGAAAAAAGCGGCACGCCAGCTTGAAACTGTACTGTAAATACTGCTGCATGCTAATGTGCCGTTCAGTAAAGACAATGTTCGCGTTAATGATCCCGATACATTCGACGATTATGGCCGCTGCTTCAAAGCCTGTCCGTCAGCTCATAGTGTTTGATGCACTGTCCCGGTCATGAGGTTAATGTTAAGGGACTAGGTCGGTCATCCATCCATTTCTCCATCCTTTGGAGCCAAATTGCTGCCCAAGTCGCGGACCGGCTCTTTACCCTAATGCCCAGAAACAGCCGAACACTGTACTGAAACTCTCTCCCTTTCAACTCAATGCGACAGCCTCACCCAGCTGGAATCCGATAAGACAGCTCTCCCACCCGCTTTGAACAAGTTCAGCACCCACTAGCAGCAGAAAAAAAAAGAGAGAGAGAGAATCGAGGGCTGCTGCTGTAACTTTTTTTACAAAACGACGAACCAACCAGCAAAGCCCGTGAAAAACTAAAAAGCTTAGGACAGAGCCCAGCCTTCCCATCATTACATAATTTCTTTTGCCTACAACGTGTAACGTGCTACGTTTGAACACACAAAACATATACACACACATTAACATTCACCTGCTTGCGTACGCCCATATAAACTACTTTTGGTCGTTTGTTACTAAAGATCTTCTTCCTCTTTGATACATAGTACACTTACTTACTCACTCACTCACACACTCACACAGACAGACAGACAGACAGACACAGTCTCTCTCGCTCTCTCGTCGTCTTCTTCTCTCTCCAGTCTCGTAGTTCCCCGCGGCAGCTCGTTCTTGTCGCTTTTTATCTTCATTCAACATTACTTTACACTCGTACAGACCGAGTGCTACAGCTCCTCCCGTCGCCGTTCAGTCCCTTCCACTCGGCTCCAATACGATCATGTCTACTGGCCTTCACTCAGCACGCGAGGAGCTTGGTCTGTCTAATGTGACTGGCAGTCATGGTATGGGCATTTCAAACTCGGGCTATCTCAATGGTGACGTTGGCCAACAGATTGGCGGACTGCCTAAACCCATGAGTCTCAGTCCACGAACCTTTGGCATGGAAGACCTGCGTGATTTTTGTGGTCCTGTGGGAACGTTCAAGACGGGCTTGACGCCCCGCGTGTTCAGCACAGGCTTGACCCCTCGTTCAGGCTTTACACCTCGCTTTACGACTGGTTTCACACCACGTATCAACGTTGTGGGATTGAACCAAGCTTCCAATGGCCACGTGACGGAGAGTTCTAGTAGCTACATGAATCGACCGGGTGCAGGTTATTCACCGCGTGGTGCCTCTGATACCAACAACAATAAGATATCGCCTTCGGGCTTTACACCCAAGGACGTATCTGGTGCCAAGGTTCCCATGCGCTTTCCTGGCGCTTTTTCGAGCAATAGCTCGCCCAAGATGACAATGTCCGACCAGTACAAGCAAGAGCCACAGTCGCACATCCAGCAGATGCAACAGATTCATCACCAGACGCAGCAAATGAACCATCATCCGGGGCAAATGTCGCACCCCGTCATGCCTGCCATGAGCGTGCCCATGTACGACTACATGAACCGTTCAGCAATGCAGCAGACTTCGGACCCTCGTCTTAGTGTAACTCCTAATTCGGACCGTGCGTCGGACCAGGAGGATCTGGATGAGCGCCGCCGTATGAAGAACCGCGAACGTGTGCGCAAGTGCCGCAAGCGCAAGCAAGATCGTCTTAATTTTTTGGAAGACCGCACAGCTGAGCTGGAGAAAGAAAATGATATGTTGAAGGTTAAGATTGCCCGCCGGGACTCTGGAGTTACTGCTGAGCCCTTTACGGAGGCACGGCTGGAAGACCTTCGCAAGAAGCAGAACACGACGTTGACGTCGTATATTCGTGCCTACAACGAGGCTGATGGATCAGCATTTGAGACTATTGCCCATGGTATATGGGCCGACAATGCTGAGATATTGCACGGCAGCAATGGTGCTAGTGTTGCTGGCATGACGGACATCATCGCGAGCAAGATGTCGAGTAGTTGCGTTTTTGCCAAGTACGAGATACGGCAGTACACGGTGCAGTGGAAACTTAGCTCGACGAACAAATGCCTTGTCAACTGGGAGGTCGAAGTGATTGTGAAAAAGGAGGCAAGCAAGAACGTTCCACTGACTAAGCCTTTTGCTGAGCTAGCGCCGCATTTTGGTGATAGCAGTGAGCCACTATCGTTTCAGATGACGTCTCACATTACGTTTGACGACGATGGTAAGATTGTGGAGGAGATTCGTCAGATTAACCTGTCGCGCATTAGCGAGAAGATTTTGGAGCTGTATTCGGAAAACCCCAAGAAGGCTGCTCACGTGCTGCGGTGCCTGGTGACGACGGTGTAGGCTTTAAACACTACATACAATACATGGCGTAGACGAGCAAGACCGATTGTTCTCCATTTTCGGACGTACTGACGGGCAGAAGAAGGTAGCTCGTAGTTGAAAGGAGAGTTTCTTTCTCTTTGTTGAGTAGCAGTAGAGCATTGTGTATCATAAAGAAATATTGTTTGAGAAACCGAAAACCAAGCGTATTGTTGCTGAACGCCCAGCACTCGTGTTGAACTGAGTCAATGCGTGACTTTATCATTGATAAGTCTGTTGGACCACTCGCTAAATTATGTGTTCATTCGCGCTTACTTCGTCAATGTTTTTGCACATTCACATGACCGAGCTATATAACACAGCGCACGAGCGACACGAAAGAAATTGGAATTGAGTTAATTAATCTATTAGCTTCTTAGTACATGTAGGTGGTGTGGTGCGCTTCTTGAATATAACTTGTCCAATTGGGTAAGCAACAGAGTCAAGCCAGGCAGCAGAAAGAGTGGATTCTCGTTCAACACACGCAGGAACTCACAGTTCGCTTCTGCAGTCAATTGGTTCCTTCAAGTTCGTCTCAACACGTCTAGCAACAGCATAGCACAACCACACATAAAGATGAGCGACATGTAATCATAATGACGCAGAATCATCAAACAGACAAAGCTGTACCTGCAAAGACGCTGTCGAGCGTCGCAAGATTGTTGGCCTTTAAAATTTCAGGCGAAACGTCATTCAGCTCATTCAGTTCCTACATGAACGCACACGTTTGCAGACAATATATACGTCAAGAGACATATCCAGGAATATAAAAACAAGTAGCAGCAGCCCATTTGATGTACACACATACCTGAATCTCTTTGAACGAGCCAATGTACTGAATATTCTTGCCTTCCGCGTCCTGCAAAAAGACTTGTGGGTAGTTGGCACGGATACCGCTGGCCTGGAAGTAGCGGTTGCGCGTGTCACGGTTTTCCTCAAGGCTACAGTCCACCTCCGTATAGATAATCTTATTGCCATCCAATAGCTGCTTAAGATGACCAATTTCGTACTTTTGCTCCGTGATGGAGACCATTGACGATGTCAATACGACGCATGTCTAGATAATAAACATTGACGGTAGAAAATCACACAGATGAGTTAGCAATGGTGATAATCGACAAGCAAAATGATACGTTAGTAAACGCACTTTCACAGGGCTCATTGTAAGTAGTAACTTGGTCTTGAATTATGCGTCTTATAGCTTCAGATAGGAAGGAACAAACAGCCTTTGGTACTAACTTTCTGTGTCTCTCTATTGGGAGCTGCCAGTTTCGTTGTTGGCCTTTCGGCTGGATCGGAGCCCCGTATTAGCAACGTGTGTGGCGCATACATTCGAATAAGTACGAAATAACACACAGGAATTAGTTAGGAATGTTCGCAACGGCACGAGGGAAGCGCGCAAGAAAGTTTGATTAGAAATCTTTTTGTCGCAGCCACGTCAGAATAAGTCGTTTTGGTTGAGGGGTTGCGTTACAATTTTGTAAAAATACCATTAGGCTTTTGAGTTGTTTTACCAAAATAGTGTGGTAGACGTACGTCGTAGACATGACCTTTGTCACTTATTTGCTGGTATTACCTATTGGACGGATGTTATAGCATAACAAGCGCAATAACTTTCAATTATAAAGTTACACGACCATCATGCTTTACAAGTAACAAATATTGCAAAATAAATAGTAAGTTTTGTCAGAGGTAAGTATTATTAAATGTAAGAGATCAGCTGAAGTAAACATCTACAAAGCATGTATCTCTCCACCAATCAATAGACCGTAAGACTTGTTACTTTTCATTGAGTTGCAATGAAGTCGTACTTGTTAATGCTACAAGCAGCAACTTGTCTATACGTTTGGAGTCTAGTATGGGCGCAGAAGATACAAGAAACTCCAGTACTGATGTGTAAAGTATCCACTGATTGTCTGGTAAAAGGTCTGCAAAGCACGTGCCGCAGTGGCGTCTGTATAGACAATGCATTATTGCCATTGACACGTGAAGAGATTAGTGGATCTATTGGCGCTTTTGTGGCTACAATTCTTGCTTCTGGAGCTGGTTTAGGTGGTGGTGGTCTTTTAGTTCCATTATATATGATATTGATGGAGAAATCGTCACATGAGGCAGTGCCACTGTCCAAGGCCACAATCTTTGGTGGTGCCATTGCTAGTTTCTTACTTAACGTGAGGAAACACCATCCGCTAGTACGTAATCGTCCATTGATTGACTATGAGACAATCCTTCTCATGGAGCCAATGACATTGGCGGGCACTATCATTGGTGTCAACATGAACGCAGTGTTTCCCGAGTGGCTTATTACACTTTGTATTGTATGGTTACTCACTACTACAGCCTTGCGTACGTATAATAAAGGCAAGAGAATCTGGAAGGAGGAGACGGACGCAGATAAAAAGATCGTGGCAGACATTGTCGCATACTGGCGACTGATACCGTATGAATCGAATTTCAAGCACTTCCACGTCGTTGTACGAGCATATTTACGATGGAAAGCATACAAGTCGCCAGAGAAAGACAAATTTCGACTGAAGATTATAGCAGAACATGTCAGTAGTGACAAAGAGCACATTTCGTGTACTAGCACAGAGGCAAGTACCGAGGACGAAACGAGCAGTGATGAAAACGAGAACGAGTCTTTAATGCGCCGAGGCATTCAGAATACAGTAGCAAAATTTGTCTCGGTGAAACAAATTATCAAGGCACGACGCACTGTTCCAATAGTAGATATGGGCGTGCTGTTGCTGACATGGGTCGTACTCGTTCTTTTTTCAATGGCAAAGGGCGGTCACGGTACACCCAGCATTATCAAATTGTCCTGTGGTAGCATAGGCTATTGGATGCTCACCGTCTTGTCGTTTCCGTTCTTCGTGGTCGTGACGATCCACTTTGGTATAAAGATCAGTCGGTTTCATACAATGCTACAGGCATCGGACTACACCTATGCAAAGGGAGATATGATGTGGACGAAACATGCAGTTCTCAAGTATCCTGCGTTGTGCACTCTAGCTGGTGTCGCTGCTGGTCTGCTTGGCATTGGAGGTGGCATGATAAAGGGTCCACTGCTGATCGAAATGGGATTGCTACCACAGGTATCCTCCGCAACGTCGTCATCGATGATCCTTTTCACATCGTCTGCCACCACGATTCAGTTTATAGTTATGGGCACGCTGCCAGTAGAACACGCTCTCTGGCACGGTATGGTCGGATTCATTGCCGCCCTCATTGGACAACTAGGCATGTCATACTTGATCAAGAGATACCGCAAGTCAGCGCTGGTGATCTTTTTCATTGCTATCGTGATTGGAGTCAGTGGTCTTGTTATGACTGTGTTGGGCATAGCTCGCATCTCAGAAATTGGCTTTGGAGGGTTTCGTTCATTCTGCCTCAGCTGAAACCAATTGCTGCCGTTATTCGTGTACGAAAGCTTTACTATTTACAATGCATCAAGTGTGGTTGAAACGACGACTATCATCCGATTGGCTGTAGGACTAACAATAGTACAGATGGTATTATTAGCGAGCATGCGATCGATCCTCGTCTCATACGTTCGTTACCCTGCCGTCCCTTCAGTCTTCAATCCACTACGAGGTCGTCATTTCATCATGAGCATTTTTCCATCGATTAAACTCACGTATTTCAATGAAAGTGGTCGTGCTGAGGCCTCACGTCTGGCATTTTACATTGGCAACGTCCCCTTTGAGGACAAACGCCTTAGTGTTGCACAGTTTACTGCTACAAAGGATTCACTTCCGTTGGGTCAATTACCGACACTTGAGGTCAATGGTGAAGTGCTGACACAGTCTCATGCTATCATACGTTACGCTGGTCGTCTAGGAGGTCTCTATCCTACTACTATATCGTACTTGGCTTTGAAGATTGATGAGGTGCTGAATGCCATGGGTGAGATTGAGGAGAAAATGGTTCAGTTGTCACACGAAACTGACGTGAACAAGCAGAAGAAGATGGGAGAGGAACTAGTGACGGTTAGTCTACCTCGTTACGCTGGTCTCTTTGAAGCGCGTCTGGAAAAGATGAAGCAGATTTCAGCTTTTCGGTCGGATCATGTCTACATACACGAGCTTGCTCTCTATGTCTGGATCAAATCACTGCGTGATGGTTTTATGGATTGTATCCCCACGCCGGTGTTGGACGGCTACAAGCTACTAAATGAGACGTACGATAAGATTGCTAGCCATCCCAAGGTCAAGGAATGGTACACTCTCCAGCATGATACGACACCCAAACTTAAACTCACGTACATGCCACACCCTGGTCGTGGAGAGCCAATTCGTCTTGCCTTGTTTATTGGTGACGTTGAGTTTGAGGATGACCGCATTACGCGTGAAGAGTTGGCGACTCGCAAACCTTCACTGCCCTTCAACCAGCTACCGGTGCTCGAAGTAAACGGTGAGGTTGTTTCCCAGTCACTGGCAATCCTTCGCTATGCAGGCACGCTGTCGGGATTGTACCCGACAACGGATCCAGTGGCCGCATACCGTATTGACGAGCTGTTTGCGATCCTGGACAATATGTTTAACTACCCACTCTGGGGTGCGTCGTACCGCGAGAAGGACGTTGAGAAGCAGCTAGCAATGCGTGCAGAGCTGTCCAGCGGTATGGTACCAAAGACGCTCAGATTTTTGGAAAGCCGTGTCATCAAAAACAAAGGACCATATGCAACTGGCGCCAACTTCACGGTTGCAGACCTTGCTATCCACAGTGTACTGTTAGGCTTTAAAAGTGGAGTGCCAGGATTCTCAAAGACGATTGCAGATTCGTACACAAACCTGCAGCGCGTGTTCAAGCAGGTGGCGGAGCACCCTAAGGTTGTTGAGTGGAACGTTGCACACAACCAGTAGCTAGTGAGCGTACTACTACACATCGCAAATTGTTTTGTGTAAGAGAAGCAGTATACGCAATTAATACATGACAAGTTTGCTTGACAAATCGTGATGAGACTTCCTTCACACTTGCTGCATCCTCAACCTGTTCTAGACGTGAAACGCTGCTCCCTCTACAAAAGAAATGACAGCATAACGTTTAATCGACAAAGTGGCTTGCAGATGGATTGCAATGCGAAAGCAAGTGCTGAACAACTACATGCACTCCATCTACAGGTGACAATAGTGCATCCGTCCCATGACCTGTTGAATTACCTTTGTCGTGCTTCGAAAACCCCACGGTCCTGCTCACACAGCTAAACTACTCAACAAGATATTCCTCTTCATCATCTTTGTCGACCTGGTCTGCCAAGGCAACATCCTGTAACCGTTGTTGCTCTGATGCAGGATGCCTGAACATATAACGATAGTTAGTGATACCAATGTGAAACCTAATAACAACAAGGTAAGAACCAAGCAAGTTTTGTACCTGCGTGCAAGAATGACTTCCATCTCGACATCGCGCTCCAAGCTTTTCAGCGACAACTTCTCAGGACAGCCTAAGCACTTATGTTACTAAAACCATTGTAACACTCATTCAAGACGAACAACAACCTGACCTGCCACAGGACACTTTTTATTGCGTCGTAAGTGAGCCTGAATCCCTTTTTTTGAGTACGTGTGGCCACAACTTGGACTACCAAGCAACAATACAATCGTACATCATATCAGGATCAATAGAAATGAAGTTTTCATTACCAGTAAGAAGTATCCACGTACTTTTTCATTGGATCTTCCATCTCTCCCTGAGTAACTGGACAAATAGTGCTCCTCATGCTTTCACTCTCTTGAATATGCATATCTTCATCCCCATCCATTGCTAGCTCCATCTATCAATACCAAGCAGCATTCATATTCACCCATTACTGATCTCTAAACATACCTCCACTCAACATACAAGAAGAATCATTAATACCCCTGCACTATCACAAAATTTCTTGTAAAAGTCGTGCTTCATGGCATTAATCCGAGGTGTAACCAGTGAATCCTTTCGCAACTTATCAATCTTCTTTTGATCCAATTGACCAGTATCCACCAATGGCTCTAGTTTCTCCAAATGCGCTCTATAACGTGCCAATTGCGTCTCCAAGACAGCAAACTCTTTAGCTGTCCCCTCCAATTGCTGTGCAAGTTCCTGTTCCTCTAGCTCCTTGACAAACTTTGCATTATTACATAGAGACTCAATACCTTCAATTGTATGCTTACGTAGCTCCAACTGTTGCTTTTTAGCTGCATATAGCGCCATCTTTAGTGCACTCGGTAGCGCCTGTTGAATCTTTGCTTCTAATTCCGTCGTCATGTTTTGCGACAAATAAAAGAACCGAAAAATAAATTTCAGACCCATTTCAAAATGAAAAACGAACCTATTTTGAATGTTACGTACGCTACACGATCTCCAAATATCACAATAAGATCTCATTCGTGTCATTTTTCGTTTTCCATGGCGTTTGATTCAGCAGGAGCAGCGAGTCTCGAGCAGTTTACGCTACTAGCAAAGAACGCACGTGGACGAGCGTGTATGGCGTTAATCCAACAGGTTCTAAGCAATAAGAAGATTTTTGTATTCCGTGAACTACTGGATATGTCGAATGTTGAGGCGTTGCGGGACTCGGAGTATAAAGCCCACTATGAACTGCTGCGTATTTTCTGTTTTGGCACGTATAACGACTATATGAGTGAGTAGAATGTGATTTTATATATGTTGATGTCGATAGTATAAATAAGAGGATGTGAATGTGAATGTATCAATGTATTTCTTCTAGCTCGCAAGCACGAGATGCCGGAAGTTACACCGCAGCAGGTGAATAAACTCAGGAAACTCACAGCGGTGTCACTTGCTCATCGATTCAAGGTTGTATGTATAGAGGAGAGAGAGAGATGGAGTGATAAGGTATACGAGTTAGTACTGACTGTGCTTTATGTTGTGCTACTTAGAACATTCCGTACGATACATTAATGCAAGATCTGGGTGTATTGACGGTTCGCGAAGTAGAAGATATTCTCATCGATGCTATCTATTCTGTAGGTAAAATATTGAGCTTTGACAAGCAATATCTGCTTGTACTTTTACAGTTCTTTGTGGTGGATCTTGATGTTGCTGCAGGGACTTATTCAAGGCAAGTTGAACCAGAAATTGCGATGCTTTGTTGTCAAATATGCCGTTGGACGCGATACGCGCCACGAGGACGTCGATGATATGATTCAAAAGCTTGTCAACTGGAAAATGCAGTCTACTGAAATTTGCGAGAAGATTAATGCAATTCACAGGTCGAAAAACGTCAAAGACTCTAGATTTAAAAGTCATTCTAATGCTTTAACTATGTGCTGATCTCAGTCTAGCAGAGAAGCAGGAAGAAGAGGAGCGAGAGCGAGATGAGAGCATACGAAGCAAGATGGCAGCTCGTGCAGGTGAACGTGGTAAAGGTTTTGCTTTTGGTGGTGGAAATTTCCGTCAAGGTGAAGACTTTAGTCTTTACGGAGATTCTGGCACACGAAGAGGGTACGTATTGCTGCTACATTTTATCATCCACACGCACAACCAATAATTCGCTCTAGATTGATTATGAGATTAATATGATATTATAATGGTATTGTGATCAGAGCACCATCCAAGCAGCGACTTCACTCCATGACTCGTAAAAGCCGGACGTAAGCATAAAAGCAAGTAAAACCCAGTCGTTTAAACGCTTTTTGTTCTGAAAACCATGTTACGAATTCGTTAACATTAATTTCTAACCTGATTATCGCGGTTTTAATATTGTGATTTTTCCCAACCATTGATAACCATGACACCAAAGTCTCCTACGAGTTCAAATGGACTTGGGAAGCGACCAATGCATTCCTCTATTACAGGCACAAAACATCAGAAATACTCACATGATAGGAATTTAGCAACTCTAGCATTGCAACGTGCTCGTCAGGGTCTTCCCATCTATGCGCATCGCAGTAAAATCATTGAAACGATCAATGCAAATCAAGTTGTGATCCTCGTTGGCGAAACAGGAAGTGGCAAGACGACGCAAATTCCTCAATATATATGGGAAAATGACCGTACTCATGCTCGTATAGCTATTACACAACCACGTCGTGTAGCTGCTATTACGGTCGCTCAACGCGTGTGTGAGGAAGCCAATCGAGGTCCGGTAGGTGAGACTGTTGGCTATTGTATTCGATTTGATGATATGACGTCCAAGAACACACGACTCAAGTTCATGACGGACGGTATGTTAGTGCGAGAAGCACTGCTATCTCCAACGCTAGAGAAATACTCGGTCGTTGTATTGGATGAAGCACATGAAAGGACATTGCAGACAGATATTCTGTTTGGTATTGTAAAGCGTGCCATGCGGAAACGAAGAGACTTGAAGGTAGTCGTCATGTCTGCTACTTTAGATGTAGCACTGTTTCGTAATTTCTTTGAGGACTTTAAACCTTCAGTGATTCAGATACCTGGACGGATGTATCAGGTCGATGTGTTCTATACGGCAAAGACACAGCCCGATTATCTTGATTCAGCGTTGGTGGCTGTGTTGCAGATTCATTTAGACGAGAAGACAAGTACTGGCAGTATTTTGGTCTTTTTGACGGGTCAGGAAGATATTGAAACGCTCGAGACACTCTTGGACGAATACGCTCGATCATTGCCTGCTGATGCACTGAAGCTGATGGTGTGTCCAATCTTTGCTGCTATGCCTCGTGAGCAGCAAATGAAGGTGTTTGAACCTGCACCTACTGGAGTGCGTAAGGTGATTCTTGCCACGAACATTGCTGAGACGTCGATCACTATCAATGGTGTACGTTATGTCGTGGACACGGGGCTTGTCAAGCAGCGCTCGTTTGTTGCGTCGAGCGGTATGGAGATGTTGCAGACTGAACCTGTTTCAAAAGCCCAAGCTTGGCAACGTACGGGTCGTGCAGGTCGTGAAGCGCCTGGTGTTTGCTACCGCTTGTTCCCAGAAGAGACTTTTGAGCAGCTTCCAGAGCGCGCGATCCCTGATATTCAGCGTGTGAGTCTGGAGGTTGTGGTGCTGCAGCTGAAATGTATGGGTATTGACGACGTGCTTGGTTTTGACTTTATTGAGAAACCGCTCAAGACGTCTTTAATCAAGGCTCTTGAGAAGCTCTATGCACTGAAAGCGCTGGATAATGTGGGCAAGCTGACCACACGCGGTCGACAAATGGCCGGTCTTCCTGTAGAGCCCATGTACGCTGTGATGCTGTTGCAGGCGACAGAATTGGCTTGTGCTGAAGAAGCACTGAGTGTCGTAGCCATGTTGTCTGTAGAGTCCGTCTTCTACTCTCCTCGTGACAAAAAAGCTGAAGCAGCGCAATCCCGTGCGCGATTCGTTGCTTACGAAGGAGATCAGATCACTTTGCTCAACGTTTTTAATGGGTATATCCAGTGCGGAGTGAAGCAGCGGAACAAGTGGTGTCGTGACCACTACTTGAATCACCGTGCCATGATGCGTGTCGAGAGTGTTCGGATGCAGCTGAAGGGGTACCTTGAAAAGCTTGAGCTGCCTATTGATTCCAGCTTCCCCGACATTGATCCATTACGAAAGAGCATCGTGGCTGGCTTTTTTCTAAATACAGCGATGCGATCTGTCGCAGAGGGTCTGGGTGGTTCCAAGACGGCATACAAAACAATGTGTGGTCGGTCACAGATTGTTAAGGTGCATCCATCATCTTCTCTATTCATGCGCAATCCACCACCAAAATGGGTTATCTACAATGAACTCGTGTTTACAAGCAAACACTATATTCGATCCATACTTGTGATTGAAAAGGAATGGCTCATTGAATTAGCACCGACATTCTTTACCAAGACAACCAATGCCACGAAATAGAGCCCGAGATGGTCTTTTGTACCCATCTCATGTTGAAGCTGTAACTGTGAAAATGCATAAATTGTTATCTCATATAGTGTGTGATTATGTATATTTTTGGTGCTGACAGGTAGCTGCAACCATTTATCATGAAATTTGTATGCCCTCAAATGTAATTCCTCTCGTCTTGACCTATCCTATCCATACAAAATAGGAATCAAGCTTAATCAATTTGAACAGGTTATTGTGTCAAATATCCGTTTATAGAGGTTTCTACCACTGGACGTTCGCCGCCAATCAATTAGGTCCGAGTCAACCAACATTTACTGTGACGCGGCCTTCAGTCCCTCGCTCGTTTAATTCATCCGACTGGTACGTAAGAAGCTTGAGATGCTATTGAATCTCACTGTCTCGTAGACTCCAATTGCGTTTTTCAACTTTTTCTTCAGCTTATACAAAATGTAAGAGAAAAAAAAGAGTTGGAAGCTTAGTGCAATACAATTAACATACCACCGTCCATTCACTGAAAGAAGACGTGATGGCGTTCCTTACACGATGATTGAAAAGAGAAAGGAGACTAGACACAGGGCACTAGAGACAGTGATTGGGACTTGGAGTCTTTGCATATGATCTCTATGGTTACAATTGTCGTCACTCACTCACTGTGGTTATCATTATTGCTTTAATGCACAGAACTTTGTTAAAAATGGTCGCTTCGACTGGTCAACCTACTCGTCTTTATGTCAAGGGTGTCTTCCTTGGCTACAAACGTGGCCTACGTAACCAATACTCGCACACAGCATTGGTCAAGATCCAAGGTCTAACCGACAAAAAGGACGTGGACTTTTATCTCGGCAAGAAGATTGCCTACATTTACAAGGCAAAATCTTTGAAGAACGGCTCGCAATTTCGCGTTATATGGGGTAAAGTCATGCGTGCTCATGGCAGCAATGGTGTTGTTCGTGCCAAGTTTGCCAAGAACCTACCGGCTGAGGCGATTAGCAAGAGCGTGCGCGTCATGCTGTACCCAAGTCGCGTTTAAATGCGTGTAGGAGGTTTCAACTCGTGTCTCCTCGTGCAGCTTTGGTAGTCTATGACAACGAAGAGGGATTGTGACAACACATTTATGCGGGTTCTTGTTGTCTTTGGTTGGTCGTGCTTTGGCTTGTTCCATCTTGTTATCCTAGGCCTTTTCCATTTGCTCTAGCATACATTGCTTCGATTGTCACTAGTGGATGATGATGTTGGCACATATACCAGCAAGCACAGAAAGGTGATGTAACAACTATACAGGTAACAAGCATTCCATGCACTATGTGAATCACCATACTTTGGTATTAATGGCAAAAGTGACCCAACGATGAGCGCGACAAACATATATGGCAAAGTAGTTGATAATTCTACATTTCAAACTCCTCATAGTGCACATCAAAGATGCCAGCGAAGTTAGAAGCTTCCGTCTCTACGGCGTGAATAAGACCCATGGGACCTGATACCCACGTTCCAATGCCCGTAATATTGACAGCATAATTGTGAGACTGTTCTTTGACAACCTCGTTAAACAACTCCTTCACATTCAGTCGTGAACGGCTTACGGGATGATGAAACTGGACTTCCTGTCCATCAAATGACAGAGAGTGAGAGTACTCCAAGGATTCGTTGACATCTGCCATCGTCTCATGGTGCTCATAGCCGCCAAAAGTAGGCATAAAGCGTGATTTTTCCATTCGGCTCAATGATCGAGGCGTGGGCTCTGTAAATACTACAACCCAGCCTACGCTAGCACCAACAATCATGATGAGAACCTCCACAATACGCTGGATTGGCCACATGTTCTGGTTGGCGCGCAGATGACCCAGGATAGGGTAGTCTAAACGGATGAGGAATAGACACCAGAAGCTGCACGTGAAAGTCACAAAAAACAGCAGCATCTGACGCGGTACAGACCGAGACGACTGAAAGAATGGGCGCGTTGGAATCATGCTAGTGTCATCCATTGGCTTCAGTGCAATGCCGTTCGGAATGTCCACACCACCCAGATGCTGGTCACCAGTGAAGCAAAGACGTACTCTAAACTTCACATGTTCCGGGTCATACTGCTCGATGGCGTCCAACAGAGGTTCAAACTCGTGAAAGATACCGATCTCGCGAGACGTCCAGTGGAAGTATACCTGAGTAAACTCTGTGTTTGGATCATTATTGCGCATGCAATCTAAGATCTTGCCCACAATGCTGATAATCGGTGTACCGCCAATACCACCAGCCACAAACACGAGAGCAGGATAGTGCTGGAAGTCATCAGACATTTTGCCGTAAAAGCCGTCAACGTAAATAAGCGGCAGCTTTCGTTCTTCACGCGCTTGAATAGCGACAGCGTACAACGACTTGGTCCAGTTACCAATGCACTTGACGTGCACGGTAAAGGTGTCTTCGTATTCAATCGGTGAGGAACTGATACTAAACGGATGCCACTGCGTATGCGACAGCAACGGAATACGTAAGTAAACAAACTGACCAGCATGGTAGTGGCCTGACTTGCCCGGTGAACGACGGAAAACTAGACGCGTAATCTCGCCAGGAATGGCTTCCAAATCCACGACCTCACACGGCATCTGACTCTGGCTTCTAGCCAGGATGCGGTGCATTACATAAAGACACACGGCCGGGTACATCCAGATGACAAACTGTGAGAAGTGCAGTGCGCTAAAGATGAGTACAAAAATGAAAAGATGGTGGCAGTAGTAAAACACATCGTAGTACTTGCGCCGGATCGGGCTCAGCGACGTCACACCAATAACAATACAGCAAAGCAGTGCCAGTTGACCATAGAAATTCTGTAGACGCGCCTTGCCAACCGTCCCGTAGTCACAGTCCATGCACGGAAATGCTGATTCGAGAAACGTGCCGCTTTTGAACCACGCTAAGTAAAATGGAATGGCATGGAGAGCTACCATGACGACTGCAAAGAATCCAATCCAGCGATGATACTTAATCGAATGGGAGTAGTCAATGCCTAGTGAAAGCATCCAGAACGAATTGCGTGTCGCGGGGATAATCAGTAGCGAGAAACAGAGCACCGCATTGAAGCCTAACACTTCGCCCACGAGCCGGAAGATTGAAGCAGCGTCGACAGAGTCTGCTTCGACAAGGGCATCGTATTTCCGCGAGCAAATTGCAGCAAACCAAATAGCATTCAGACCTAAAAATACGAGCGTGCAGATAGACTCGGCGTACGAAACATTAATGGTGCCAACAAAGATCTTGCGCTTTAAGAAACGCATAACCATGCGATATGCTCCCGTCGGCACAGGCGGCAGAGCGTCTCCTAAAGCAAGTGTCATCCCACCGATCATGAATGGCAATCCAATTAAAATGTAGCTGACAATAAAATCCACAACTTCACGATGTCCTCCAACCCACTCGGCATTCTCGATGGTTGATCCAAAGACCGTGTAGAGATAGTAACGAAAACCGACACGATATTCTGGTAACTCATGGAACACAATAGCGAAAATAACGATACTAGCGCACACACCAACCGTCAGGAATGGCCACGACTTGTAGTTCTTATCCACGGGCGTCCCATACACAAAAGGCATGACGAGCGGTGATGGTTTTCCAGCCATGTTAGTACCACTTACGCTAAGAGCAAAAAACTTGCTCTCAGCACGACTGCTGTCTCCATTGGCACTACAACCAGTTGGTGCCTTAAATTGATTGACTGAATCAATAGGTGAATCCAGCACGTTGCTATCCATTGAGAAATTGACCATGGCCAGCAAAGGATCAACTACGCGACGTCGTTCACTTTACAATCAGTCACTTTATAGCGCGTAGTGATGATAAAACAAGGATAGAACAACCAGTAGGAAACGACTGAATCTCGTACAAAGGGTGGAAGAGAGAGAGAGAGAAGTTTGTCCACTGGTAGGAAATGGATGTAAAAGCGGGTTTACTGACTATATAAAGAGATCTAGGGACGATCAGAATATACGATAGTGTCACGTAATTAGATAGACAAAAGTCCTAAAGTGGTAAGGGCTTTGCTATTCGTAAAGTGCAGATGGAAAGGCAGATCACGTGATCGACATTAGGTCCAGTTCAATGGGTTCTTTTTTTAACAGTTTAGAAAGGACAATGTATCGTTTATGCCATCTTTTATGTGCCCAACTAGCCGGACATAAGAAGTGCCATCTGATTATTGCTATAACGGTTCAAACAGATTCAATGAAACGGCTGAGAAGAGTAAGGAGGAGGCATTGTAACATGATATAGCGTGAATGAAATGTTTACATGCTTTACATGAACATGACTGACAATTTATTATGAAAGTTGCGTATTCTTTCTCTTTTGATTCAGATGGCTGTTGTTTGAGTTGTTTAATGAAGCAGTTGAATCCTAAAATGTCGCGTTGAAACAACATGAAAAAAGCTGTAAAATCGGCGACTAGGGAGTGCCATTTATCGAACCAAAGCGCACGAAAGACGTTTTAACGTGAAAGTGTAAGAATTCGTTGCAACGTATCGGATGAGAATACTTTATAGTCTACTTCTATGGAAAGAAGCGCACCATATCATCATCATCGTTATCATCTTGTAGCTATCGAAAGAGTGTGCAGAGAACAAAGCAAAATGGTGAGATTCAAGACGACGTACTTTTGATCGTATTTCATCACTGCTGACGTTTTACACCTCAAAAAATTACAGCCAAAACTGCCAGTGGGCGTCGCAACACTTGATCTGACTTGACTTTTTTGGTGACAGTATCAGTTTCTGACACGATATTTTTTGCTCCAGCTATGCGACAGAAGAAAATGGCTATTCTTGCACTAAATGACGTGGTTGAGTGTTGCATAATGGAGTTCTTACCAATCATACCCCATCGATTGCGTGTCGAAGCGGTATGCAAACGATGGCGCCGTCTTAGTCGCATGGAAGTGCCTGTGACGGAGCTTGAATTTAGTCAAGTTGTTGTACGACCTTTGCTGAGACGTGACATTAGGAGAATGCTTGAACGTGCCAATCACCAGTTGACGCGACTTGTTTTACCCGACATCACTCTATTTGACGCACAGATTGAGCTCATTGTACAGCAAGAGAATCTATGCATGTTTCGGGCGTACAGGTGTGTGTGTGTGACTGTTGTAGTGATTGGTGCTAGTAGTCAATGTCCAGATACTATTGTTATTGCTCACAATAACGTGGTGCAAAAGGATGCAGAAGAAGCACATTTTCAACATCTTGAAACACTGCACCAGCTTGAAGGTCGGTGTAAATGAACGCTCTAGCGCTATGTACTGTGGTAGATTTGGCAATTTCACTGTGTCTCTGATGCAGATTATGGAGCTGATGGACTGTCGGGCTTTAACATTGAGCGGCTGGCCACGCGATGCTGCGTGAAGTGTATCTCAACGGGTGCAACTTCTTTACGAACCAGGCAGCTCGGTCGCTCATTGAGGTTTGTGGGAGTTCACTGAGAAAGGTCGTGTTTACTGGTACGTGGAAGACAAATGCGAATGCACTCCAGTAAAATGTAAGTGACTGGTGATGAGATTGATGCTGCTCTGTTTTGCTACATCAGAAGCGATGAGTATGGATTCGCAGGTCTTTAGGGACCTTGCTACCCATTCCGCAGCGCTGGACAAGTTGACAATAAGGTTTGTATGTATCTGCGTAGATCAAACAAAACGTAAGGACATGCTTACGCTTGTGCTATACTGATGCTTGTTTTGATGTAGCAATTGCAATAATGTAAGACTCCATGATGTTGAAACGTTGACTGAAGCAATGTGGACCTCGTTGCGCTGGTTGGACTTATCATCATGCCGTGGCATCTCTTTATTTCCAGTAGGGGGATACACTTGCATTGTCTTTATGTTGGCTGCAGACTCAATATCTTGCTTTGATAGAGTTCTACAACGTTGCGTCATTTAGAGGTGCTAATGCTGGACAGGACAAAGATCAACGATGATGGCTTACGAGCGATTGCTTGCGTTGCTCCATCGTTGCGGTATCTTTCACTTCAGGTATGCATTTACGATGTATACAGATAGTCCATGCTGGAGATTGCTATTAGCTTGAGACCCATTTTTATGCTGTGGTGCCGTTGCAGGACTGTAGGGCAATCTCTGATGATGGACTTGCTGCTATTGCATCATGTAGCATCTCAGAAGGTTGTACAAACTTGGAACTTGTCGATTTAAAGGTTTGTGTTGAGTGAGAAAGTATGGCAGCCTACCTATGCGATCTTTTATTGACATTGTCTGCGGCTCAGGGTACGCCAGTGACAGACATAAGCATCATGGCTCTTGAAGCGCAGTGTCCACGGCTTCAATTGGTGCGCGTTGACTCATGCCGATCTGTTTCTAGAAAGATGAGGCGAAAGTGCCACGAGCGTGCGCTTCGTATTCTTGACGGAGGCAGACTAAGCGAATGTGAACGAATCTTTGCAGGACGGAAAAGAAGCGAAATGGTTGACCAGAACAAGAGTAACAGCGAGTCTGACAATGACCGAGACGACGACGATGACTATGTCATCCAAGTGAGACAAACCGGGACCTCATACAGGAGGCGGCGATGATTGCTGGAGAGGTGACGAGTTAGCATTCTACGATACATCATCGAAGATAACAATAAGCGAGTCATGGTTCTCGGAACGGAACTGAAACGAGCTGCATTTATATTAACACCTCGATTCCCACCAGCATCTAAACGCACACAGCAGATTGCACTTAGAAGCGAAGCTTCTTAAAGAAAAAAGCTAACACCAGCAGCTTTCTTCTCCGACTTGCATGCACCCTGGTTCAGGTAGCTATAACAAATATAATGTTGGCATGTCAGCACTTCACTACAAAGTTCGTTGAGCTTCAAACACAAGCACTACTTATAGTCAAGACGTACCGCTCCTCAAACACCTTCTTGATGGTCTTGCGGGACTCAATGCGGGTCTCCGGATTGCCCAGAACATCATCATCAAGGACTTTCTTCAGGTCAATGTCGGCAATGTAACGGGTAGGCATGATGTGATTGTAGTTGACGTATTTGACAAATGGTTTCACCTTTGAGCGCTTCTTGAGCTTGTTCTTACCCATCGAGCGCGTAACTTTGCGCGGGTATCGGTCAATGCCAGCAACTGGTAATACACATACAATGTCAGTCTTCACTCTTGCTCAATTAAGCGCTTCTAAAGCAAGTTCCTCTTGAATCCTTCTCCATTTTTACATCGTACCAATGGCGTGGCCAAACTTGCGGTCACCACGGCCCTCATCGTACGTCTTTACAACGATAGCCTTACGGCCAGCAAAACGGCCATTGAGCAATACAACAACCTTTCCATTCTTGACACTACATAATATCATTATACACACAGTAATGGTAGCATACACTTGCATTAGTCCTATTGTCTTTCTCGCTGCTGTTTTGTTGCTATCATTTCTAGTTCGCGTCTTTCTTCCCGTCCACTCAATAGAATCAGAAATTCAAACGACTGAATCATGTTCTTCCCAATCGATACATTCAATGCACATGCATCGAATGCCCAAATACAAAGACAATCATGTAGTCTCATGCTCTTATCTATACCATTTTACTTACATGCCCATTGTTACTTTTCTTGGAAGTTTTTATGCAGTTCCGTACTGTTAGTTCAGAGGATGCGAATAAGGCGTGTCAGCAGGGCCAACCAATCATGCACTGTCGATCCTGATTGGTTCTATCTCTGTAAAAACTCGGTTCATCTCGGTTCAGTGAACCGAGCTAGGGAAAGGGTATCACGATGTAACCGTTTCATTAGCTCTTTAACATACAACTTTTACTTCAGGGTGTAGTTACTATGAACGCAGTTCGTCAGCATATTTAGAGAATAAATATGCGCTTTTCCAATGTGTCTTGCATGGTTGATTCAGTTGCCGTCTTAGTCACTTGCTGCCTCGATAGTATGATGAAGTAGTTCAGAATGAGCGTAGAAAAATAATAAGTGGACGCTGGATGAAATGCATGAATATGTCGTTTGACCGGGATACCTTCGTAATAGACCGGTATAGTATGTGGCTTCATAAGACGATAGCTATTGGCATGTGAATTATTTCTATGATGGTTGCTGCAATTGCTCTAACGTGGTTGAAGGTTGTCATGTTTTTCCAGTCTACTTTCGATCAACCACATTAATCTATAGCTTCGATGATCTTTGAAAGATGTAGGATGTATTCATGCATGGCCAACATTAGCTTACTTTCCTGAATACATTCTTGACTTGACTGTAGTTTTGTCTTTGTGACAATTTGACGTTATAGTGAACGCAGCCATCAATCAAGTCAATTCGAGTTTCTACCGTCTGTTATTGTCAATACTTAAGCTCATAATTTGCAACAGCACATTGCGTCGACAGAAAGAGGTGAGCGATACGACTAAAAAAGATGACGCACTATTTCATCATGAGATTACTCCCTCTTGAGAACAGCCACAAGGCAAATGTTGAGGCGACTTTTCTTCAATCTGAGAATCCTTTCTTATTGCATAAAAAAGCTTAGCCAAGTAAAACAGATATGTAATTGAGCAGTATTTTCAAATTGGCTCATGAATTTCTCGGACCTGGATAATGAGCTCCTGGCAAACGTGCTGTGCTTTTCTGCACCTCGCGACGTTGAATCTCTTACTGTCGCTTCTTCTATAGTTGCTCTACATGTATTGCCTTTGTTTCCACTTATCTGGAAGAACATTTTCCGTCGTCGCTGGGAGTCGCTTAACTTTTCACTGGAAGATGACGCACCGCTTGAGATTAATGACAACTTGGATGCTCTCTTCCCAAGGTGACGAAGAGAATAATGATTGTTATTGATATTGAGGTGTGTATTATACACTGATATGTCTTTGTTGTAGCTCATGCACTGAAAGCCGTCGATTCCAATTACTGGCCCACGCCATTGTCCCCGTGCCTTCTTATGCAGATATCGGACGTACTAAAACGTTCTTGGGATACACAGATGCATATCATCGGTATGTATCTGGTAATTGAGATACAAAGACTTGTATACCATTTGTGTTGTGGTGACAATGGTACTAAGTTTGTACGTTACTATCTAGGATTATTCCGATGAAGGCTCCAGAATTGATAGAGAGAGACACTGTTGACTTTGCTCTAGATGGAGGTATGCTAGGTGATGACCGATGTGTTCGGGCGAATGTAGCTTTCCCTACGACGCTTCATGTCGCGGTATACAAGCGCAATTCAACAGATGAAGATACGGCTAAGGGTAAAACACGAGTGGTATATCAAATCGGCATTTTTCATGGAGGATACTTTGAGCTGAGCTTATCGAAACGGCAGCATCAACATACAAGTAGTCCTTCTATGTTTGGCCAAGACTCCATGACATCCATTGGTCTAGTAAATTCGACGTTTCCGTTGGTGGGCAAGCAACCAGGGTGGACACGGAGGTCGTATGGCTATCATGGTGACGACGGTCGTTTCTATCATGGTACTGCATTTGAGGTAAGTGGTGCTACTTTAGCAGTACGCAAATGGCCAATACTTAATCGTGTACTTGAAACGTCATGCAGGGTCGACATTTTGGTCCAGTGTTCAAGGCTGGATGCACCGTTGGTTGCGGGATCCGGGTCGATTCGACAACAGGGACGATGTTTGTATTTTTCACCAACAATGGAGAATTAATAACAGGCGATAATGGAGCGTTTGTGGCGAGCGAGCGTCGGAACCTGTACCCAGCAGTTGGACTAGACTCGTACGATGCGTTGCATCTTAATTTTGGCCAAGAACCGTTTGTATACAGCAATGTAATGGGTACGCAATGACATTTGCTGTGCCAAAGGCGACAGCATTTGCTGGAAAGTGGTCTCCAAAAGGCTTACACGATTTATACAATGCGTTCACTTGTTCTAGATGAGTTATTTAACGAATGCAACGGCATGGGACGCTCTGCCTTGGAACAACTGCAGTGGAATGATATTTGTGACTTTGATAGCGAGAGCTCCAAAGGTGAAGACAACAACGTCGAGGATGAATCTGGAGATGACTTTATGTTCGACGAACAAATCAGCGCGAGTTTGATCGCACGCATTCTTGCATTGCGGCAAGCAGGAGTAGACATTGTTTGATGCCACAAGTTATACCGAATGATACCGTTTCTCAATACGTGACATGCGTGCATTTCGTGATCACTGCTGGGCATTGACGCTCATTCCACCCACGTACTTGACATGAATCAGCCTAGTGTGTAGGGATGGTGTACAATGCTGGACAGACAAGTATACTAAAATCAAGATGTATCCATATTGCCACTACAGGGTCGGGTTGTCTGACGTGCCTCATGAAGATTATCAAAGAACATATTACCTTTTGAACCAATAGAGCTAAACTTGCAAGAGACGATATGCTCCGTATCAAACAGTAATCAATCGTCGTACACTTTTTCAAAGCAATGAAACTTGCAGCTGTTAGCTCAGTTATATCAGTGTTTGATCGACGCGCTTTTTTGTATCCATCTTGTGCTGCCATTTTTTGATGCGTCATCTTTGCTTCACATGCACTGACTTCCTTATGTCGCTTTCACCGTTTCTGCACACGGAGTACACATCTTTCCGCCCTACTCTCTATCTACCTACTACTATGATTATTCCATGATTAAGGCCCAAATCAGATTAGTCTCAAATTTCACTGCAATGTGTCAAAGACACCGACCATCATTCTTGCACAAGCGTACAGCCTGCCGCTTGACGGCATTAGATGATGTACTGCTGATGCAGATCCTGCGTTTTTCTACTGCTCGTGATGTAGAGGCTATGACGGTAGCTGCTCGTGTTATCTCATACCATGTGCTGCCGCACTTGCCAGAGATCTGGCGTACACTCTTCATACAGCGTTGGACGACACTAAATTTCCCACTGGACACTGATGCGACGCTGGTCATTGAGCCACGACTACGCCGTCTCTTTTCCGAAGAAACGACCGAGAGCCGCATGTTGCAGTTGCTTACCCACGCTGTCGTCCCCGTCCCGTCCTACGTGGATATAGAGCAGATTACGAAATCGGCCGAATATAGTGAGGCAAAACACCAGTAAGAAGCTGATATACTTAACAGCATGAACAAGCATTTGGAAGGTGAGAGACTAATGTACTTGATGATAATGATGTAGGATTCGATCCATGCAGAGAGCAGATACAAGAGTGTCACATGTCGTAAGCTTTGCGTTTAATGGGGACGAGCTGGGCGATGATCGAAGTGTCCGTGCCAATGTGCCATTCCCGACAGGATTTCACGTGACAGTGTTCAAGCGTCGAGAAGCTGGCAGCGTGAATAAGTCACTCTATCAGATTGGGCTCGTGGCAAGTGGATACTTTGAGATTCACATTGTGCATCGAGAAAGACCGAGTCGAGCTGCAGAAACTGAAGGAGAAGGTCACCAGGAGGAAGTGGAAGTGACGTCATTGGGACTCGTTCCGGGCAGTTTTCCATCGGTTGGACGACAGCCAGGTTGGAACCAAAAGTCTTTTGGCTATCATGGAGACGACGGCCGTTTCTATCATCAGACGACAAGGGTAAGTTTACCTTCTGAGTGTGTAATCATGGAGTTGAGTGGTGTAATCTGTTCAATTTAGTTCGAAGCTAATGCTGAATTGGGCAGGGCCGACTTTTTGGACCGCGTTTTGGTGTGAATGACACGGTAGGCTGTGGAGTGCGGCGGAATATGACCACAGCACAGTCGCACGTCTTCTTCACACACAATGGAAAAGAACTTGCTCGAGCCCAGGGCAGCGATGTAGAGAGCTCGCACATAAGCTGGTATCCGGCTGTTGGAGTAGATTCATACAATGAAGTGCGCGTAAACTTTGGAAACGAGCTGTTTGCCCATGATGGCATTGTTGATGAGCTTTTTGCTGAGTGTGACCCAAGCGTGGTCACTCCAATGGATTTACCCTGGTACGACATACAAGAATATAGCATCGAGTGTTTGGTATGGGGTCGCCAGCAAACTGGTGAAGCACGAGCTCAAGCTGATACTGACGAACGGAATGACCCAATTGCTGAAGAAGGAGAGCTGGTACAGGAAGAGAAGACCTGTGCGAAGAAGTGGATAGTTGGAATGCTCTCACGGCGACAGCAAAACCGACTTGCATCGAGCGAAGAAAATGCGAATGAAGAGCGAGTTGCTGTAGGACAGCTATCAGAACTAAGGTAAAGCGCTGGTATTATTCTAGCCTGAATATGAAGTAAAAGGAAATATAACGTGGGTGCTAAAGATTTGTTTTACCCCATGTAAAGGTTCGATAGGCTGCATAATTGCATGTCATGGGTCAAATTTCTGACAAGGTCTACTTAACAGTGTATCGTACAAGTGCACAACAGACACTAGTCTAGCTTCAATAAGGTTAAAACACGGTGTATATCGAGTCGTAAAGTAGTAATCAAAGCACTTCGCTTATCAGCTTTACTACTTGCCACTCGATCGCGTCACAAAGAGCTGCTACAGTCTCTGGATCAAGCTTTTGTAGCAGGTAGTACAGAATGACGAAACACTAACTTTGACGTAATGCCCGTACCAAGTACGCACGAATATAATCTACTCGACATTTCGTTCTGCACGCATGCACTCTTGTGTGTTTCTCTATGCTAAAAATGCACAAGACACGTCTATCTCTTGATCATTCATGAAATGGCTTCACCGTTCTGTTCAACTTTCTTGATGAAGCAAATTGATTGGATGAATCATTTTTCATGTGTATGTGTCAGTTTCGATCTATAACGTCTTCCATTGTAGTCAAGTCACATCGCGACCACCTACAGCACGTTAGTCTTACCTTGCAACACTGCCAATGTGTGACGTCATGCAATTCATTTTTCTTCCAGGACCAGATGGTATACAAACTTCAAGTCACTCTGACCTATTCTAGCGCAATTCAATCTTTTTACCTACTCGTGTAACCGACTGACTGTCGAACGAAGATACAATCGTTTATATCACATCGCAAACGGGTACGCGAGTACTTACTAACCGCTTTGAAAATTCAAACCTCAAAAAAAAATCCCAGTGTCGCTGCATCACATACAAAAAGTAAGAGTCATCGCCGAAGCAAACATCGAAATGGCTGCACAGATTGCTGACCGTAGTAACGCCGGTATGAAGTTTCATAGTAGCAGTAAAGACGATACACCCGTGGTGTCAAAACTGGAAGCTACACGTCTAGCCCTGGCGCAGGAACAGAAGAAACGTATTGACGCTGCCGTAGCACGTGTTACGAACCAGAAGGAGAGTGGGAAACGAAAGGGACTGGGTGAACGTACAGATGGTATTCATCGTAGCAAGAAGAGCAAGACAGTTGTGGATGTAATGAACGATCAAATTGATAAGAAGAACTCGATTGCTCGGAGAATGGTCGATAGATTTGCAACAATGCCCGAGCCTGAGAAAGAGGAAGTGATTGAACAGGAACGACCGACCATGCGCTCCGTGTCGACGCAACAATTTGTCACTGTTTCGACGAGTGGGGACCCTGCAAGTTTATTGGACACGGCTCTACGGTAATCTGTTTGTACGTAGATGTGTGTAGGAGAGAAATGCTGACGGTTGTAGTGATTTGCGATGCAGAGAGACGACGGAGAAGGCGATGAGCACTACGACCACGACGACGACAATGACTACAACGAAAATATTAGGGGAAAGTCCTGTACAAGTGGAGGACGACGAGAACGAGGAGGACGAGGATACCTTAGCTGAGGACGAGGAGGACACACGATCTGATGAAGAGGACGAAGAGCAGAAGAGCGACTGGGACGGACCCACCACCAACTTTCACGTGAAACAGCTGGGTTTAGACCACAATGTCGATATTTACGCGCCAATTGCACAGCAGGAGCATGATGTGCAACGCGTACGCGAACGTATCAAATATATGCCAAATGGCGACAACAATAAGTCGTTCAATGCGTCGAGCGATTCAGCGACAGATTTGGATTTTTTGCCAAAGGATGTTTATAGTCAAGAAAGTGCAAAGTCCGATACTGAGCTGCTGTCAGAAGTTAATGACCATAACACTCAAGTTCTTTTGCAAGAGGCGGATGAGTGTGAGCAGCACGCAGCAGCTATTCAGATAGCTAAAGGCTCTCAAACTTGGACCAAGCGCGTGTTCATCTTTGCACCGCTGTTCATCGTGGCAATTGTTGTGCTTGTACTTGCACTGCTCTTTGCGATCGACTGGTCGCAGGAAACATTTCAGTTTTGCAAGATGGACGCTGAGAATACAGAAGGTACGTGTGTAATTTGGTTTATGCGAAACGTGTGCAAGTTATTTGTAGTTTGTATTTGTCGATCAGTTGACCTTCCTTGTAACATGATTGATTTACTGTATCGACATAGACTCGGACGAAGTGTTTTCGTGTGCGTCGTTTGTGGAAACTCAATCGCTGATCAAATCGACCCTACGGGAGACTGCTGAGAATGTGCAGACGAAAGTGCAGTCATATTTTGACTAAAAGAATGTTGTTTGATGGAGAGGGAGGACTGGAGCAAGAGTTAGTGAGTTGCTTCAGAAAAAGAAGTAGGTTGCATAGTTTATAACTTAGTTGAAGAATACAAAATGGACGCTTGAGTTATACAACAAGATGGTGCCAAGAGCGACTTAATGAGTAGTCATTTCCATCATGGGTTCAACTTGAACTGTATACTACGTCGTGATGATTGATTGGTGGATCCAAAAGCTCCTTTACTATCCACCATTCGTTAAGTATTGAGAGTATTGAGAGAATGGCGACCAAGACCGTATTGTCCTTTGAAGGTGAGCGTGAGCTTGTGAGTGAGACACGTGCATATGAACTCGTACGGACATATTCAGATGAGGAAGTACAGCAAGAGTCATCCGTGTTTACGCATATTACACTGCGTAATAAGAGCTACACCCTCGAGGCCGCACGTGTGATTGCTGCCTTTTTCTCACGTCTTGAGGCTCGTGGTGCTTTTGAACAGCTTATTAGCGTGGATTTTGCCGATATAATTGCTGGAAGGCCCGAAGAAGAGGCACTGCAAGTTTTGACTACACTCTGTGATGCGCTGAGTGCTATCAAGATACTCAGACGTATCGATTTAAGTGATAACGCACTGGGAGAAAAGGGTGTGCGCGCTTGTTTTGGACTGTTACAGCACCAGGAACAGCTTGAGCATATATACTTTTGCAACAACGGTATCTCTGCCGCAGCTGCAGGTGTCATTGCTGAGGAGGTTTTGCTCTTCCGTGGTTTGGACACACCAACAAAACTTGAGACCTTTCACTTTTACAACAATATGAGTGGAGATGGTGGTGCTATTGAATTGGCCAAGCTACTTCCAGTGTCACCGAGGCTAAAAGACTTGAGATTTTCAGCAACGCGGGCCCAGAGGGAGGGAAGTCTGGCGTTTGCCACGGCATTAACGTCACTGAAAAAGCTGGAGAAGCTGGATTTGAGTGACAATACGTTCAAGGCGCAGGGTGCTAAGGCTATCGCTGCAGCAGTGGAGGGCATGCCAAATTTGGTAGAGATCAACTTTCGTGACGCTGCTCTTGAGGATGATGGCATGATGGCCATTGCGGATGCATTACGGAAAAGTGGCGCAGCGAAGATAATGACAGCGTTGGATATTTCCGGTAACGATCTGACTGCTGATAGTATGCCAGTCTTGGGACAGATGCTGCGTGTGAGTGGTGCTCTGCGTGTATTGCAAATGGAAGAGAACGAGATTAGATCAAAGGGTGCCAAGATTATTGCCAAGGCCCTGAAGGTGGGATCACCGGTGCTAGAGCAGGTTGTGGCTAACTCAAACGAGATTGGTGCCTCTGGTGCACTTGCACTTGTCATGTCTGTTGTTGACAAAAAAGCTTTTGCAAAGCTCCACATGGATGGAAACGAGATTTCTGCCGAAGGTGTGGTTAGAATCGAGTTGCTACTTGAGAGTAAGGACAAGGGGGATATATTGGGGTCACTGGAGGACAACGACGGAGATGAAGATACAAGTTTGCTTGACGAGATTGATAATGATGAGGAAGATGACAAGGAGTAGAGAAAAAAAAACCTTGTCTATAGGTAGCTCTGATGATACAAAATCTGCTGCATGTTGGAATGTGTCACTTAGGTAGTTTACGTGTATTTTCCAGTGTTCTGTATCATTGTTTACAATAGCTACTAGTATCCACTATAATGATCATCCTGAACTTGTCACATCTTATCATTTGCATCCTCTCGTTTTATCCCCCCCGTCTCAGTTGGAAAACTGTTCAGTACTTGATACTTTAATAATTCGTCATGACAGACGTCTCCGACGCTACTACATCACTTCATTCTTCCATGGTAGTCACCTCCGTATTACCATCACTGAATCCACCATTATTTTTTGAGATCGTAGAAGATCAAGTCTATCGCTCGAATAAATGTGATCCATCGTCGTTTCCATTCCTTGCTACATTGCAATTAAATACAGTCGTCTATCTCTCGTATGATGATCTTTCGCGTGATTTGAGTGCATTTTTCACCGAGAAAAACATTCATGTGGTCTGTTTGTTCGTAGAATACTTTCTCTCTACGTACATGGCTAATATATGTGGTTATGTATGTTTTGTATTGTATTATGTTGTCCCAAAGTAGATTCATTTGGGAATGAAATATCGCACAGCTTCATCCCAATGGATGGGAATCTCGGAAGGAATGGCGAAAGAAACTGTCGAGTGTATTTTGGATCAGAGACGTCATCCAATTCTTGTCATGTGCAAGTATGAACTTATGGAATCATGTGAACGGATTTGGAGACAATGATTGACAAGCGATTCTTAATGATGTTTCTTTACTGTTTCGTGTGTCCATTGTAGGACGGGCGTGCATTTTGCTGGAACTATGATTGGTTGTCTTCGACGATTACAGAATTGGAGCTTGACGTCGACCATTGACAAGGTAATTGATGAATGCTGGATCAATAATCAATTGTGCTTGTAATCTCATAGAGCGTGGAACTCTTGGGATTGTTAGTATCGTAACATTGCCGGTAGTGTCAAGACGCGATTCGAAGACGAGCAGTTTATCGAGTTATTTGACGTGGACTTGGTTACACTGCCGCAGCATCTGCCATTGTGGTTCACGGTTCATCAGCAACTCATGGTACGATACGCTGGTCTTTTGCTGTTGCGCTTGGAATGTGCAGTGTTTTTACTTGTTGTGATGTGGATACTACAGGAAGAGGAACGAATTGCGCTGACAAAAGGCGAATTTTTTCCAGGACGAAGTCTTGACAAGGTGGAAGACTATACAACGGAAAATAAGCTACAACATGACGCAGCCGTGACAAGGGTAGACGAAGAAAACCAGACAGACAGTGATGTCTTCGTACAAGCTCCTACAGCTTCACCGATTCTGGCGTACCAGAAGTATTTCTTCAATCTTCAAGGTCCACTTGTGTCTCCGTCAGTGGAATTCTCGGAGAAGAAGAGCATTATCGGTGATGATGACGATGACTAAATAGTATTGTTTCGACGCTGTGAACCCCATATGTATTATTTATTGACTACTGACCAGCTAAAGTCGATGAAAACAATGCAATGCGATGCTGGTGAATAAGCCAAATGTAGTTGCCTACAAAAGTGCTTAAGTCAGATCCTGCGTCACATCGACCTCACCCAGGATGCCCTCCTTAATGCGCAGTAGCAGCGTAATCTTCCACGGCTCAATCTTAGAGATCGAATCGAACTGGAACACGGCATCTGCAAACGCGTCTGCATCAAAAGCTTCGTAACTCTGGTTCATTAGCTTGAGGAACTTGCCCTCGCGGCTGTCTGCAAAAGTATAGTCAATATCCTGGAACTCATCCCACTTCATCTGCGCCAGCACCGTGTCCTTCGTAGCAAGCGCACAGATGCCAGCATTTAGCAAGTGGCTCTTTGCATTGTATTTAAGCAGGCTCGACTCCATGCAGGTCTTTGCAATGCTTTCGTAGATTTCCAGCGCCGCGTCGTACCTGAACAAATAACAACAAGTCAGTCATGTATTTCCAGCAACCACTTCAAGTCACTCACTTTTCCAGCTCTGCCGAAAATTGCGCCACCTTCAACAGCATATTGTTGGCCGATGACGTTTGGTTTTCACCAGAAAAGTAGTCAGCAGCCTGACGATAGGCTTCCAAAGCTTCCTCCTTGTTATTCTGCTGCTCATAAATCTCACCAACCTGTTTCTGGAGCTTGGCAGCATTTGAAAATCGTCCAGCGTCACACAGCATTGAGATTGCAGTCTTGTAGTGCACCATAGCATCTGCAACAACAAGGTCATCATCATCATCATCATATCTCCATCATCCGATTTTTGTCCATCACCAGTCACCTCTTGTGCTTTGCTCTCTCTCACTCTCACGTACCCAATGGATTCACTTTAGCTAAAGCTTCTGCTGCTTGCTGGTAAAACTGAGCAGCACGTGAGTTTTCATTCAAACGAGACTATCAAATGCCACAGGTAACGTCAGTTTTCCTCAATACTAGTAAACATCATCATTCCTACGTTCAAAACTCACTTGACACCGTGCACATTTCTCGAAAGCTTCAGCAGCTTTTTGCCCTGTATTAATTATCACAGTGACATCAGAATTAGCAGGGTTTCATACGTGCAATAACTAGGATAATAATACTGGTAAAAACGCGTACAATTCTTAGCAATCTTGAACTGGTTTGCTGCTTTCCCAAATAAATCACTGGCATCTTCATTACGCTGTGAATTCGAGCCGAATGAGAAGAAGGACGTCTTCTTCAATGCTTTCTCGCCCTGTGCAAAATAATCCTTGGCCTTGGCTTCAGCAGACATGGAAGAAGAAGAGAGTGATATGATGGACTACAAAATGTCTTGTTTTATTTTTGCTGCGTCTTACATGAATAGAATAACCTGTAATAGTATATATTGCTAAGATTGTCTTAAATATTGAATATGAAGAAAAAAAAGCTTTATCGTCTTAGAGAGAGCAACCATGATGTCAATCCTAATTTGTTGCTATCAAAAGTATGAAACGTGTAATATAAAATAGTACTGGAAACGAAATGTAGTAATTACTATATTTTCATAGTACAATATATTAAGTGAAGGTATATGTGATTCCACTTCAAGCCATAATCTTGCAAGCACAAAATGTCATATCTGTACACCCATCTTCAGTGTTAATCAGTCAATAGCCACGCGTTCCTCTGCTTCTGCTTCTTGGCCTTCTTCTCCGCCGTTATTTTCTTCCAATCAATGTTCTTACGTTTCAATTCCTCTTTTCTGCGAAGTGCTTCTTCACGATTTTTCTCGAGCCCGGTCATATCGAAAAAATGGCTCATCTGGCGTCCCGCACGATCCGATGCGATTCCCACATTTTGCCAGTAATCGTCACCACCAAGCTGCTCGTACTTTCCCGTAAGTCGGTTGAACTTTGCCCGTGCTACATAATTCACACCCGAAATGGTTTTATCTCTACCAGTAGAATTGGACTCGGGCACCTCCGGTGGAATCCAATTCGCCAACTACACAACCAACAAAACCAAAGTCAAACAAGGAATACACTACCATGCAATATGATACAGAGAAAAGCTGTACAAACTCACCCCTGAGACAATAGGTGCATCTGGCTTGTTCCACTGCGTAGCTCCCGTGACCATATTGTGGTAATAATATCGCTGCGTCTGCGCGTCGATATGTTGTTGCCACTCTGCTGTTTCGATCTGAGAAGCGTCAGAAGCAGTCTCTCCATCTCCATTAGCCGCAGCAAGAGGAGCCTTACTATCAATGTCGCTTAAAATAGTGTTCAGTTTACTCAAATTGCCCGATGGATCCAGTACTTGCTGGGTCACCCGTGCCAGTCGTTTAGTACGCACCATATTTAAATAAGCCTGATACTCAGCGGATACCCGATGATCCGTCAAGAAAAATGCTGCTTGTGCTGACTCATCAAAGCCCTCAGGTTCCTCCCACTGTGTCTTTCCTGTACTGGCATTAAAGTAGTACGGCTTGTTACTAGCAGCATCCATATACTTCACCCACTGCTCAGCAGTAGCACGAGCAGCATTGTTCTCTTGCATCTCTTCTGCTTTTTTCTCATTGTATTGAGACTTATTATCACAACTAGACACGTCGTCTCTCTCTTCATTCTCCCCGTTGTCCTCATTCTGTTCTCCTTGTGCCTCCTGTTCTAATACAACACTCTCGTCTCGCTGCTTCTCATTGTCCTGAGTCTTACTCTCCTGCTTATTATTCTGATCTTCGATTGCTTCCTCCTCGTTCTCTTCATATGAAGAATCTTCAGGTTTATCCCAACGACTGACGCCGTTTACTTCATCATAGTAATACGTAGCTCCAGATGCATCGTCCACAAACTCACGCCACTTTGTTGTCTTGCAGTCCTCGCTCATATCCGACGCCAACAGAGGTTTCAAGCCTGCTGGGACTTCCCATGATGACTCACCTGTGCTTGTGTTGTAATAATACGCTGAGCCTGATGCCTCGTCCACGTATTTCTCCCATTCGCTGTCGCCCATGAGATTACTATTATTGGTAGAATCAGATCAGAACAAACACTTGTAGAGCATTATTTTGAAAAACGAAATAGACGCGTTTTTATTATCCTTCCTATAATTTACCAGTTGAGTCTTTTTAATTCCTAGTTGGCGGGGTGTCACACCTAAAGAGACGCAATCCCTCACGAGTATGCTTAACCCATGCGGATCTGGAACACTTGAAGAGCACCAGAACGATAACAAGCAGCCAAATGCAGCAAATAAAACTCCCACGTTCGTTTAAAGGACTCGGGAAGCAATAGTGTGTTTTGCAGTGGAGTTGTCTGGTCAAGTGAACGCGGTGTCACGTCGTGACCCCATTGCGCTTGAAATCGACGGTTCCACTCGAGAAATGTGCGTTCGTAGTGTTCCGAGTAGCCAAGCGTGTCATAAAGCGTAAAGCCAGTCTCGTGAGCGATTCGACGCACCGATTGCAACGTGACAGCGTAGCAAGGGTACGCACTGTGCACATACTTGTTCGTCCAGGCGTGCGTCGTCATATGCGCGGCCGTACACGCACTAAATTCTAGCAGTGTCGTACCGTGTGCGGTCTGAATGTGCTTTAGCGTACGTAGAAACCGTGTTCGGTGTTTGTCGGGCACCGTTTCCATGACACCACATAGCGTGATGCGGTCGAACTTGGAGGCGCGGAAGCTACTCAAAGTTGTCAGTAATTTTTCTGGTGTCTCAGCAAGCACGAATTCCATCTGATCAAAGACCTCAAGCTCACGGGCAAATTTCTTGGCACGTGCAAATTCTTGAACTGAAGATAACACACATACAATGATAGCACCCGGATACTCTTGAGCGAGGTAGCAGCCTGTGCCTCCCCATGAGCCGATGCTAATGTCCAAGACGGTGTGGCCAATCTGAAGCAAGATAGACATGGCAAATGATATACTGTCACTACTTCGAGATCGCTGACGACAAAGCCGTCTAATTAAGCACGTACCTGAATATTTAGCAGCTGACCTAAATTAGCAAGTTTGTTGGTTTGTGCAGTGTTGATGGTGGTTGTTCCTGCAGTCCATATGCCAAAGCCTTGGTGGAAGTATCGATCCATATAAACTTGCCGAAACTTTGGGCAAAGATCAAACTGCTCTGAGACAGCACCGACAACAAGACCCATGGATGACGGTGGATAGTTAAACAATCGGGCTGCTAGTGCCACAAAACGAGCGCTCCATGATCGATACATATCTTGTCTGCCCTCCATCGGAATTGTAAGCAGACTAGCAACCACCTCGTCTAAGGTACGCGCAGAATTAGTCGCCCAGAGACAACCCACGTAGGATTCGCCAATTGCCACAAGTCCCTCACTCATCCAATCGAGCCAAAAGGAGTCGTCTCGGACGACAAAGTCCTGGGATAGCAATGGACAACACTTAGTGTTTCGTTAAGCCAGCAGCGATCACATGTCAAATCGAAAACCTACGACATTCGGTCGGACGCCGCCACTAAATAATAGTCGGCACATAATCGTCTTTGCATTCTTTCGCAGCTTTGGTAGAGACAGCGATCGGATCAATTGGAGGCAAAAGAGAATGGCCCCTGCAATTGCCGTCACGACATAAACCCAGAAAGATCTCTGTCATATGAACAAACACAAACAAAGCCCGAAAACACACCACATGATGTTAGAGAGAGACGGTAGACACGTTCATTTACACGTTTTCTCTCCTTCTCTGATCTCTGTTTACTTTGCTACCTGGTGAGCCAGGACGCAGAAGAGAGGAACGAGCAGGTTCAGCATGAGCTCCATCTTGTAAGCTGCATTCCAAAAGTGTTGTGAGCGTGGCGGTGAGAAGCGGTAGATGTGATCAGCCCTTGGAAAGACGCCGCCTCCCACCACAAAGTGACTCCATAGTCTTGATGAGCTGGTTACAGTACAAAGTAACACAATTAGCATTGATATAGAGCTCCAGACACATGAAGGTCGATCAAATCTTCTTACATTAAAGCTGGTATACTCATCCATACACGAACAAGTGGGAGGTAGCAAGAGACTAAGAGCATTGGTACAAGTAGATGCACTATAAAATCACCGACACGAGCGATGATGCCCAGTACAGGCGAGCTGGCCCAAACCCCAAGCCAACCATTAAGGATAGCAGTAAAAGCGTAGCGGTCAAACACTCGTAGAGCGTACCAGCCTGCCATGACGGTAATGCCCATTGACGTGGCAATACCTAGCGCTGCCTTGGATGCGAGTACATGAGCAATGATTGTGAATACGAACCAGCAGTTGGAATACATGATACGAATTCCCACGAATGGTGGTAACGTGACAACACTAAATAAGAGCATTACAGCCAATGCAGCTTCCGTATGGTCACCTATTTGGACGGCGTCATGGCGGACGCGTTCGAGAAATGTGTCCATCATTTCAATTCGTTAATATACTGAATTCACGACAAAGTGGCATCGTATCTCAAGTGCCTTGTCCATGAAAGGAATGCATAATGATAACAATGATTGATGACATTTTCAGTTGTATGTTCATGCTATGATGCTTCATGCAGGTAAGTGATGAAGATGTGTTTTTCGCTGCAAACTAGCTCCTGACGAAACTGGACAGTCGTACGACTACAACTACTACAAAGTCGGCTTGAGCAACCAAATGACAACGAGCTCGTGGATACCAGCTTGACATGTGAGCACGCACAACGTCGGAATAATGAGGTTATAGACCAGCTCGATCTTGCGGACTGTCAACCAAAAGGTCTTGGGACGCGGTGGATATATCTGATAAATGTCATTCCCTGAAAGGCAGAGATCGCCAGCAGCAACCAATTCAATCCACAATTGAGAAAAGCTGATTACCAAGCGTATACAAGTGCACGACACAGTCAGTCAAACGCAGTGGAAGATGTCATGGCAGCGTACGTACAGCAAGATGGGGCACGTCATCCAGATCTGCACAAGTGGTAGATAGCAGAACGCAAGTGTCAATGGTACGCCCATGTGGAGTACGAGGTCGACAGAGTTTGCCAGTAGTCGGAAGGGACGATACTTGCTCAGGAAACCAAACCAGCCCTGTAGAATGCCCATAAATGCAGTGTTGTCGAACACACGCAGCGAATACCAACCCATCATGATCGTAAGCCCCAGTGACGTCGCTATGCCTAATGCTACCTTCGATTCCGTCACATGCGCCAATACCGTGAATGCCGTCCAGCAAAAGGTGTAAAGGATTCGCACATGCAGCAGCAGGGGCAGCAATGTCACGAAAAACAGCAGCAGCACTGCCAGGACAGTGTCCGTGCTTAGTAGAGTAGATGATGGAGTCGCTCGTTGTTCGTCGTCACGGACTCGCAGCACCGTACGAGTCAGCGTATCATACGCAATACTCAAGAACTCCACGACGTCCATGCTGCAATTATGCAAGACCCTTTACCGAGCACCGCAGAGGGCGCTCGGTTACGAATCAGATGACCTCAACAAATTATCGGGTAAAATCAAGTGATGAGACTGTTCTGCTTGGACAGACGAGTGAGTGAATGAAACTTGGAGAAAAGAAAAGAGACCGTATCTATGTATTTTACATATTGCCTCCATATGTTGAGGGACCACATGACGTCGGCACCATCACATTTATGCTGTTTCTTTTATGTCACATACAGAGACGAGACTAAGTGTATACTGACAGTGACGAAGTCAGCGTGTTCTCGACACGCTGTATGGACATGGCCCGGTTATGGAAACCATCGTCATCACTTGGTTGTTTACCTGTTGACGTAATTAATTGACTGGTCTATATCAGACGCAAATGATCCCAGGTATGAGCATGCGGCTGTAGAGAACTACATTCCGCGACCAGTTGGTCTTGCCAAGTTGTGCCTTGTAGCGGAATCGGCCAGCAGCTAGCAGAAATGTATCAATCTTCTCTACAATATCTGTACGAACCTTAATCTCGCAGAAAGACTGAGGTATCTCGACTCGCATGCGCTTCAACCGCTTCTGTGCGTTCCTGTTGTCAGGTCATAGAAAAAAGACAACGACTGTGCAATTAGTGATACAGTACATCGCACAGTAGTGTAACAACTAGTTACCTACCGATAGCATTTCCACGTCTGTGGCTCGATGATCAAGTACTCGGTCATGTCACTGACCGTCTCAAGAAATTTCCAAAGACCGTCATCTCCATGATTTAAATGAATCCACATTGTCACGCTAAAGCAAGTGACCAAGTCAAACTTTCTTTTTGCTGTTGAGCGCTTCGCCAGCTCCAAAAACGGTGCGATATCCTTGCTAAAAGTGCTCGTCATGACATCAACATGATGGAACCGCACAAGATCCCCCTTACACAACTGCAGAGGCTTCTTCGCGGCGCGTTCAATCAGCACTTCGTCGATATCTACACCAAGAACCATTAGTGACTTTCTCGTCGTCAGCTCTTCTTTTGTCAGTGACAAATGTTCTGGGACAGCGTTTTCATCAGCAGATTTCTCCTGCTTTTCCTGTTCCTGATTGTTGTCGTCCAGTGCTCGCAAAGCCAATTCAGCCGCCTTAGCCTTAGCTACCTTTTTGGATACGCCTTCACCACAACCCATACGTTTACCGTCAATCCGTAGTTCACATACGTAGCGCCTTCGGTGGCTGGTCTCACCCATATCATCAGTTTGGTACTCCACCTGTTTCTTATCCTTCTGCATTCGCTCATTCAGTGTACTGATATTCGAAAGATTAAAGCTGGTGACACCATCAATATCAATAGTATTCGTGAGCTTTGTGGATCCACTCAATGCATTGTAGAGTCCAATGGTCAAGTCGCCTTCGTTACAACCAATGTCAATGACAGTGGACGTCTCTTCGCTCGTGTCCATCCAATCTCCAGTCGATTTCTTCACAAGAATTGCACGTCGTAGAGCATTGATCGTCTTTGTATTTATAAATCGTAGACGTTCGTGCACTGTGTTAAAGGTGTAGTACGCATGGAAGTTCCCAAGGACGTGTCCTTTTGCATCACAAGCCATGATCGAGTGACGCAGCAAGATTGATTGGGATTGGTTGGAAATAGATGAAAGACGTGATCATTGGTTGAAAACAATCGCGTTTGTTGTCCACGCGTAAGAAAATGCTGGAATCTCGAGTGCTGCGAGTTGTGCCGCGTCTGTCGACGTCATCGAGGCACTTTGCAGCATCAGTGTTGCAGAAGAAGACTGGAAATATAAGCAAAAATGAGAGCAAGTTTTCTCGATATGCTGGCATGGCGTTTTTTGGCACTTTGGTGCGTTTAGAATTTGATTAACACGAGAAAGAGAAGAGAAAAGTCGTTATTCTTATGGACTTTTGTGTGGCTACTATAGACGGCTACAACAGCGTACTTGGGCATGTGGCAGGTGTGTAGTATAGTGATGATATGATGGTTTATTGTTGCTATTTCACGCTGAAGATTTGGACTCTGGATGGAACCGTTAGACCGAACGCTACTACTGGAAGGTGGATCTGATCAACAAGCGCATCAAGGAACTATCAGAGTCTGTTGCGGAACTACCGAAGACCGCAAGAGCGAGCGATGTCATGTAATATTGCTGAATATTATTGGTTATATTATTTGCATCGAGGTTGTTTGATAAGCTCATGGATTCTGATATTTTGGATTGGATTGGTGCAGAGATGACATTGAATACCGCCAACTTCACCTTGAAGGGCATTTTAAGTCTGGAAGCACTTTTTACTTATGTAAGCATAATGTATTAGCCATACAATTTGCTACTGTTGCAAACGTCATTGATTAAATTTACGGTTGCAGATCCTCGCTCTGCCCCCGCTGACCCTAGTGATTCGTTTGCAAACGTGAAATCTGGTGGTTACATATATTCGCTATTGGAACGAGACGATGGGTAAGATGTGTTTTGGCTTGCGTTTGTGCATGTAAAATCCTCACTTCTGTTGCGCTGCGTAGAACTCCTGTGATCGTAAACCGAGGTTGGCTTCCGCGCAATCTCTTGGAAGCGCATATGGCACTGGAGAAGAAAGAGGATGACGGAAATGTGTCTTTCGTCGGTGTACTTCGTCACGGTGAAGTGGTGCGTCAGTGTCGCTTTTGATTGAGAAAATACTGCGCTGTTTTGACACCTTCATCACTGCAGAAAAACAGCTTCACTCCTGATAACGATCCCGACAATCGACAATTTTACTACTTGAACCATGAAGAACTAGCTGATGCCATGGGCGTCAAGTCGGCAGACTTGCCTGTCATTGTCGATGCTTTGGGTAAATGTGTCCATCTGTGTGTGGTTTTGTCAGCAATACGTCTAAAAAGTTGCGTGTTTCTCCTTTTTACAGCATCTGAGGGCGTGACTGAAGTAACGCTGGAAAGTCCCGTTCGAAAGAGCATTGCATCATATTTGGAGTTCTACATGACCCCTGAGAAACATGCTGGATACGCCGCAACCTGGTAAGAAAGAGTTTTGTGCAAGATGAGTGCATGTCATCGTCTCACAATACGAATTGATGGAAATGGTTTGTGCCCAGGTTTGGTTGCAGCATTGCAGCTGCAGTTATGGGCATTCTACGCTTCAAAAAACGAGGCATTCGTACCCCAAAGTTTGAGCACCGCTAAGTCCTACGTAGCTTATTTGTTATGGTCTGACGTATGCTTTGCCACAAAGAATAAGACATCCCAGTGGGTCATTTTAGCATTATTTTCTAGGATTTGTTGATAAAAAACGAATCCCCACCGACGATATAATTCGTAAAAATGCAGCACGAGATAGATGGCGATGTAGCCACAATCGAAGACGCAGTGCTGCTATTAGTCGTGCTGTTCGTGCTGGTAGTGGTGTCATTCGTACTGGACCGATACTCATGTAATATGGTGTCACAGAGTGGCTTTGCACTCACGTTTGGGCTCGTGATAGGACTTTTCTTGATCATGGGAGACAAACACGCAGCGCTCCATACACATTTGAACCTGAATAGCAGTCTCTTTTTCAATGTCTTGTTACCACCAATTATCTATGAAGGAGGTTTTTCTATTAAGCGACAGGCATTCTTTCGCAATTTCCCAGCTATCATGAGTACGGCTGTCATTGGCACTGTGATTGCTGCTACGATCACGGGTGGTATTCTATACCTGGCTGGCACATCGGAGATCGTGACAAAACTTTCGTGGGTAGAAGCTCTACTGTTTGGAACGTTGATCAATGCGATGGATCCAGTTGCTACGTTATCGTGCTTTAACAAGTTGCACGTCCCGCCACTGCTATTCAACCTCGTTTTTGGAGAAAGCGTGATTAACAATGCAGTGGCGATTGCATTGTACCAGACGTTGCACAAATGGGACGTGGACACTGAATTGAGTTGGAAACAATTGCTGCAAGTAGCTATTAGCACGAGTGGGATGTTTGTGGGGTCGCTATTTGTAAGTGCAGCAATCACACTTAGCGGTGCTTTCCTTCTAAAGCGTCAAGTCTTCTCTACCCTACACTTTTTCCCCAGCTACGAGATCTCTCTGTGCGTCATTTTCAGTCTGCTAACATATTATGTGGCTAACAGTTTGAAATTAAGTGGAATTGTTGCGCTATTCTTCTCGGGAACGATGACAGCTCACTATCATTTCAACACGCTCTCACGTGAAGCTCGACATGCATTTATTCATTTACTGCACACATTGTCCTTTGTGTGTGAAAATGTCGTGTATGTGTTTATGGGCACGTCGGTGATCACGATTTTTTGGGGACACCCAAAGCGAAGTTCTGGCTCTGCTCATAGCGCAAGCGAGATTGACTGGTACTTCATCGGTCTGACGCTTCTGGCGTGTATTGTGGCGCGTTTTTTCAATATCTTTCCGCTCTTGAGACTTTCCAATTGCTCACGAGAGTCCTCCAATCATATTCCAGTTACATACATCAGTGTCGTGTGGTTTGTTGCCCTTCGTGGATCCATCGCTTTCGCGCTTGCTAAGAACTGGAGCTACATTGGTCGTTACGGTTCTCACCGATACCTCGTGGAATCTACTACTTTAGTTGTTGTGCTCTTTACGACAATTGTGATTGGTAGCATGACGGGTCCGATCCTCTCTAAATTGCATCTCACTGACCATCACAGTGCATTGAGGCAATTTGATCCTGAGTCAAACACTGAACGTGACGTTAGCTCAAACGAAAATCATTCACGAGCGTTGCAACGCAGCACCCGCCACTTTATGCTTCGTCGGAATTCAAACCTCACAGAGATCGATGAGAAACAGACAGAGGGAACAACAGGAGAGGACACAGTGATACGTAAAGCACCTATATTTACATCACGACCACAGTTTCGTGACGAGGATTACAGCGAGGAAGAGGAAAGAGAGTGCAATGCAAGTTTACCTATACAGCACGGTGAAACTTTGACTGGTGCATTCATCCGTAACTGGCAAGCTTTTGATCAAGCGTACATGCAGCCAATATTCGGTAACTTCCAGGCTCCTGTGACTTCAGTAAGAATAGCTGATGGATGAAGCGACCGACTCTTGTGAACATCAAGGTGACAAAAGTAAACCGTAAGTAATCTGATGCACGACCTGATCTGGCTTGACTCTGTCTTTCAGTATAAAGTTTTGTTACATAATATAACTGAAAATATCGCAGTGAATCTGATTGGGAGATAATATTTGTTATATGAAATCATGTCTCAGTAATGGTTCCACAAATCTCAATTAACCATGGAAGACGCAGTTTTGTTGCTGCTTATGCTGTTTGTATTAGTGATGGCATCGTACATGCTTGGACGGGCTTCGTGTATGATTGTTTCACAAAGTAGCTTTGCACTTATTCTTGGACTATTTGTGGGTATCTCTATGATTTTGGGTGGTAAACACGCGGCACTCCATACCCACCTGAACTTGGACAACAGTCTTTTCTTTAATGTCTTGCTACCGCCAATTATCTTTGAGGGAGGCTTTTCTGTCAAGCGTCAGGCTTTCTTTCGCAATTTTCCAGCTATTATGAGTACAGCGGTGTTAGGTACGGTTGTAGCCACGACAATCACGGGTGGTGTTTTATATCTTGCAGGCTTAGCTGGATTGGTGACTAAGCTGTCATGGGTGGAGGCTTTCCTCTTTGGTACACTGATCAGTGCTGTTGACACTGTGGCTACATTGAGCTGCTTCGATAAGCTCAATGTACCGCCGTTATTGTTCAACCTCGTTTTTGGAGAAAGCGTAATGAATGACGCAGTGGCGATTGCATTGTACCAGACGCTGCACAAGTGGGACGCGGAAAGTAACCTGACAACTAAACAGTTGATACGAGTAGCACTCAATACTAGCGGTATGTTTATCGGATCATTGACTGTGAGTGCTATTATCACGCTTGGCGGAGCGTTCCTGCTCACACGCCAGTTCTTCGCCACATTGCGCTATTATCCGAGTTATGAAATTTCGCTATGTTTAATCTTTAGTCTGTTGACATACTTCGTGGCGGACAGATTAAAGCTGAGTGGAATTGTTGCACTTTTCTTTTCAGGTACCATGACGGCGCACTATCACTTCAACACGTTATCGCGGGAGGCGCAGCACGCGTTTACGCACCTGTTGCACACATTGGCGTTTGTTTGCGAGAACATTGTGTATGTTTTCATGGGTACGTCAGTGGTAATGATATTTGCTGGCCATGGAGAAGCGAACGCTGGGGCGTCACTGCGCGTAGATGATATCGACTGGTCGTTTATTGGTCTTACGCTGGCGGCCTGCATCGTTGGACGGTTCTTTAACATTTTTCCGCTTTTAAGTTTGTGCAACTGCTTGCGTTCGCAATCGAACCGGATTCCAGTCAAACACATGAGCGTCATTTGGCTTGCAGGTCTTCGCGGATCGATGGCTTTTGCTCTGGCCAAAAATTGGAATTACGTTGGTCTTCATGGAGCATCGCACCGCCGTCTCATCGAGTCCACGACTCTTGTCGTGATTCTCATTACGACGATTGGAATTGGCGGCCTTATGGGTCCGTTGCTGTCAATCTTGCACCTTACAAGCAAGCGTAAAGACCATAGTCATCTCGACCAGTCTGACACGGACAGGAGCTCTGCATCTACATCAGAATCCGAAGAGATTTTATCACGGCAAGCTCAACGGAGCACACGCCATGATGATGACTCGCATAAAGCCTTAGCTTTTCCACAGGAAAAAAAGCTGAAGGAGAATGATGATGGAAAAGGTGACGAGGTCTCATTTTGTACTCCACGACCACAGTTCCACGATACGATGAGCGACGACGAAGATGGTCTGAACGTCCGTGCTGTGGATAGATCCCGTAGCAATTCACTGACTGGAGCTTTCTTCCGCAATTGGCAAATGTTTGACAGAACATACATGCAACCAGTATTTGGTGGCACGTCTCAACAACTTGTCACGACGACAATAGATGATAATCCTGCGCTTGTGGTGGCTGAGCACACTGTATGAATGAATTGTTAAGTTAAAACTGTCAGATGTAGCCATGTCTAAAAACGAATTGACACCTGTGTATCATTTTCTAGAGTATTACAATGCGGACGCAATTTTTAGAAAGTAGATAATGACGCCACCGGCGGACGGCGAGAATATCAAGATCGGTGCTTATGAAGCTGCAATATCAATCGAAACGACACGTACTGATAATCTTGGAAGCTCTATGCAATCGAACAAAGCGCTAGCCTTGCCTGTTAGTCCTACAGCAGCTCAAGCTGAAAGTGAAGGCGAAGAAGAGGACGAGATGGTAAATGTACTGGAGGATTTAATCCTGGAAGCATACAACAACATGCAGATCGACGGGGAATACATTTGTCTACCGGATAAAGTGGCAGAAAAGCTGCATCAAGTCGCTGATCAGGTGTGTGGTCTTGTTACCTAGAGTGAACGAACGTTTTGGCTGAACTATTGGCTTGTGTGGTTTTAGATTACGTTACAGCAGAGTAGAGAGGTGCAGCAGCAGCAGACGGAGAATTGCACAAGTACTGGAGAAAATAGCGGTAGTGAAGATCTGGCTTCTATGAGGGATGAAGTAGAGGAGGTAAAGGTGCTACAAGAGGAAGTATCAACACTTCAGCCTGATCCTGAGCAGGAAATGGAGCAGAAACGGGAGATAGCACTGGTAAGCGAAATCGAGAACGGTGGTGTGCAGGACAAACGTGGCGATGCAAGGAAAGATGAAGAGACCAAGCTACATAAGGTGCAGGTATTGTTAGCTGAGACGGCAAAACTGCGTGAAGAGCAACACAAGCAACGGATTAATCGAGATGTGTCAGCGGAGAATATCTGTAGAGAGCTCTCTCCTGTACCCGAAATTGATGAAAGTACCTCAAGCGAACCACCGTCACCGTCACCGCCACCGTCACCACGGCTATCGCAATCGCATAGTGCAGCGAATACGCCAATAGTAAGAGCAAAAAAGACACCAGCTCACTGCCACGGACGCTTTGCTTCTCCCTCCCTCACATCATTGACTACCACTAGTCCAAGCCCAAGTCACATCGGAAAATCTCCAGTGTATCGAACGCCTGTTCAGTCTAGTGGTAGCAAACAAAAAGGCAAAATGCTCACGTACGAAACGAGGAGGGAAGCTGCGCTTAAGCAAAAAGAAGACAAAAAGAAGCGTGAGCTACTCGTTCGTGAAACTGCGCGTAAACAGCGTGAGGATTCAAAACGGAAGCTGGAGGAGAAACAACAGCGAGAGATGGAAGAAAAACGTGAGCGTGTACGTCGTATAAGAGAAGAGAGGCTTCAGCGTCGTACGGGAAAGGCGTCTACCCCAGGTGTCAAAGGAACAAAGAAGAATGGATAGTCACGAATTCATTTTGAGTGATGCCAAATGTACATACTACTCGTTCGTTTGGTGAGCATATAATGGAACGAAATGAGTCAACAATTGCTGTTGCAAAATTGATTGGTCTTGGAAGAATATCGACGTCATCATGACAAACTCATGTCAATCTGATTCATCTATTGCTTTCATTATGCAAACGACCATGGTTACACAGCCCAAATATCGTACTTATCAGACTACGTCTTTTCATCCAATCAAACGACAAGATGAAAAGTTCCTGCTACCCATTGGGTAATAAGATACAACATAATAAAGAAAAGCTTCGGAAACAATCACTCTTGAACTTGCCGCATTAATGGTAGCGATCCGAGGTAAAAAAGACCAAGGCAACGGCTAAATTGAAGGCAACAGCAACGTCTAAAGCTAAGACAACAGCTGCTAAAGATGCAGATATTACATCGATTATACGAAGTACACCACAGCAGACACTCACGCGTCACCGTGAGGAAGAATTTCTTGCGTTTGTGCGCTTTGCTTTAGAGAGCAATTTGGCTCTAACTGGTCGTATAGGGACTTGTGTCTCTACTGTGTGTAATGCGATGCTTACTGCACTAAGTGTTAATGGAAAGGAACGGATGCTAGCACCTATGCAGATCCTATCCAAACTACCACGGACTGAGCGGAAGCGTGTGTGTGGCGCCATCTTTTCAGCTGATGAAATTGCCTATAGTTGTCGTAATTGTCAGTTAGATACCTCGTGTGTTATGTGTAAGGATTGTTTTACCCATAGTGATCATACAGGACATGATGTCTACTTCCAGAGGACAACAGCGGGTAGCTCATGTGACTGTGGAGATATTCATGTTAGTGTTTTGTTTTCTCTTTAATTAACTTTGAAGGTTTTCGGATTGAATTGATGGTGCTCATGTGTTTAATTTGTATGGTTTCTAGGCCTGGAAACATAGTGGATTTTGTTCAAGACATAAAGGAGTGGAAAGTGGAAAAAAGAAACACAAGTTGCCAAAGCATATTGGGTTAATGGCACCCGTAGTGATTGAGGCGGTTGTGGACCATCTTTACCATGTCTTGCTGGGAACGGAATATGCATTTGAGCTTGCTGAAGCTTTAGAGATCTTTACGAGAGATATTTCACCAAACATATTACCAATTCAGAGTGATACCGATGTGGCAAATGCTACTGAAAGCAAAAAAAGCTGTGGCGTCAGTAAAAATAACTCGGTGTCGACGCGATCTGCGCGGCTGTCAGCACAATTTACGGCCGAAACTGGATCGAATTCTATTGGACCAGGCGGCAGACTGGAGGCACAGACAAGTGAATTAAAGCGTGAGGCATCAAAGACAGATGATCTGTCAAGCGGTGAAGTGCTATTCGGTATTCGTCTTCATAATGATGATGTTCACTCGCTCAATGAAGTGGTCAATCATCTGTATGTGGAATTGGGAATAGCGAAAGCTCAAGCGCGTACTATTGTCAGCCAAGTAGACGATCAGGGCGATGCAATTGTTTCAACAATGCCGCTGCTGCTGTGTCCGGGGATTGTTGGCAATTTGGTACGTGGCTCACTAAACATCTCCGTCGCACCGGTATGGTGGGAAAAGCAAATGGAAGGTATACCTGCTCTTTTGAAGTGGCTGCAATATGTTGGCACCACTTCTGATGGACTCCGCGAACTTGTGTCTGAAGCCCTACAAAAGAAGCGATCTCCTGCTTTTAGAGGATTTGTATCCATGTCAAGCAGCTTGCCTGTGGGAAAAACGGTCAAGGAGTTTGTGAAGGAACGTCATATCCGTTTGCACAATCATGCTTTAGATGCTCTTGTTGCCCTCATCGGTGAAGACAAGGACGTCTGTACGTGGGCGTTTCAGCAAGAAACTGCGCAGCGACAGCGTTTCAATTTTTGTGCTGAAGATAGCGCAGTCTCCGTCGTATCCACTGAGTTTCTCGCTGAAGGGAGTCATGTTACGTGTAAAAACATATTTATTGACAAGTTTGTCAAGACCGTGTCGCTGAGTTCTTTGTACCGCCGCCACGAGAGTGTCAGGAAGAGTTTTGACGTTGTGGTGTCCAAATACTTTACATCGGAGCAAGAAAACGATTCTGGTACTTTATCAGCTCTGACGCTACTAATGCGGTACGACTGTACTTTGCGGAAGAGTGCTGTGGAGCAATCGCATTCGTTTTTGCGTGAGCACTTGGTTGATATCCATTTTCGGGCTAGCATGCTAGAGGCGTATGTGCATTCATACTCCTCGATGACAAACATGTTTTTGCGTGGCTTAGGCAATTCAAGTGACTCCATTTTTGATTTTGCCGTGCAGTTTTTGACGGTGCCTCATCTGGTACAAAACTACACGACAAAAGAAGTAGCAGCGCACCCTGGACGACTAGAGCTTGTTCGCGAACTACTTTGTGCTCTAAACACGATATTTCAGTCTGCTGTCGACAAAAATGACAGGTTGCTTAACGCTGATCACCCTGCTCTTAACAGTCAAAAGTACAAGGTAAGGCTGGCATACTGTTGATAGCAATTTTGCTATTGGGTACTCATCCTTCTCACCCTGATTTTTGTTTGCTGCAGCATTGCGTGGAGAATATAGAATACGTATTTAATATTGGACCTCTATCGAGTGAGCTTGTGTGCAATGCAGGCAACCTGAAGATATGGCTTTCTTGCCTGAACATTTTACAGGTAAGATTGAACGTTGTTGATCGTACGCGTGTGCGGTACTAAGAATGTCTGATGAATCTGCTTGTTTAAGGGTGGCGATCCTCAAGTGCGTCAAGGTATTCATCAAAATCATGTGGAATACGAGTCCGACAGCTGGTTGTCGATGTTTAATCTTGGTATCCGTGTGCATTCGGTGTTTTCGATATCCTGGAACGGTTTTAATCCATCGCATTTTGAAAAGCCTGAAGTGAAAGTAGCCGAGATTTTTGGCCCAATTATTGAAGCTACTCTTGCCTCGTCAACTCAACTTAACGAAAAGGTGGCAAAAAAGAAGCTAGTACCAGTAACAAAACTTATGTCTGTGAGCAAGAGGAGCGCCATCAGTCGAGAGAAAAGCATTCTGACGTATGACTTTAACGTAGCGTCTCAGCCAACCTCTCTGCACATACCTTTGCACCGCTTCTTGACAGCTGCCGTGAGACATATTTGTATAAGCCCGTCAGGCTTAGGAAACACCATTCCTTCAAACGGTCTCCTGAGGGTGTTTGGATTTGATCAGTTGCCCGTCGACAAGCAATGGGAGCTCGTGGAGATGCCACTTCGCTGTTTGGTGATGGCGTCCCAAATCCAATCCAATTTGTGGCGCCGGAATGGAGATGAGAATATGCTGGCGCAGCTGTACAATTATTCTGCTCTGCCTTATTGCATTCACTACCGTGATGCTGACATGTTTATGCTGCAGCTCAGTGTTCTGATGACTGGCCCAGATGCTTTGTTGGCACGAATGGTAGATCGGTTCCAACTTGGCAGCTATTTCGTGCTGCCTAATGAAGCTTTATCAAAGGCTTCCAACGAATGCAGTATCATCGAATCAGACGAGTTGGTGAAGCAGTTTGGATATTTGGGAGTGGAACAGGGTGTCGATGAGCAGCAAAGTCTGCAAATGCTTGAGGAATTCTTGCGTCTTGTAATCACGCTTGGTACGAGTCTTCCGAGTGCTACTGGTATAACCTACGATAACGAATTTTTGGCGGAAGAGATGTTGCAGCAGTTGTGTGCAAAGCCAGTTCCGTTTAGCAAGTTGCTCGACCTTGCTATCCTACCCTCAGGCCAAGACGATATTCCGACATCACGGTTGGAGGGTATTCTTGCGACGGTTTCCAATTTTGTGCCGCCGTCTGGGCTGGAGCCGGGTCGTTATGAACTGAAGAAGGGTCTGCTGGAGAGCTACAACCCATACTTTCTTCATTTAAATCGTGAAGCGCACGAGTTAGCTCGTGATCGCTGGACGAATTATCGCAATATGTGCCGCCAGAAGTTGAAGACAGCTAGCCCCGACAGTCCGCCAAAGGAACCGTTGAAGGCAGCTAAGCCTCCTGTTGACTTTTTGCGTCCAGTCCAGACGATTTTGACTTGTGAGAGTACTGTCGCAGTCATCCAGGTGATCCTTTGGAAAGTAGTTTCCTCAGTACATACTGGGTCGGCATCGGCAGTCTCCGAGAAAAATGTTTCTGACGCTGTCATTTCGACTTGTTTGCACTTGCTTGTTCACGGTGTTCACACTGCATCGAATGGTTCAGATCGTCGCTTCTGGGCCCGGTTGAGTAAGGCAAATACTGCTGCCTCCAAAATGTCGATTTTGAACTTGTTGAGCCAAATGCTCGAACAGGCGACAACGCTGCTCGATAGCGAGCAGACCGGAACGGTCGAGTGGCTAATTTGGAAAATTACTATGGAATCACCTGTTTGTAGAAAAGTGTTTGAACAGATTGCCAGCGATACAAAGGTGAAGCAAGACAAGGCTGAGGCGTCGCCTTTGATTTCAAGTGGTTTTGTACAAAATGTTTGCTCTCCACAGATAACGCTAGAGCAGCGAAAATTGGAGGCAAGGGAAAGAGTGATGGCGGCAATGGCAAAGCGACAAGCCGCTTTCCAGGCGATGGTCGATGTTGCGGACGGAAAGGGCGAAGAGAAAGTGGATCAGGAAGGAAATTCAGCTGACGACGCCGATGCGTTGCTGGGTAAACGTAAGGTTTCGATGGTAGACGGACCGGATGAAAAGCGCCAAAAAGTGAGAAATGAGCGGCGCTACAACTGCATCCTCTGTCACGACACATCGTCTCAAGGTCAAATGGGGATGGCAGCCTACGTTCACCAGTCTACTGTCTTAGCTGCTGGATTTAGACCGGAGCCAAATGAAGCGCTCGGCATGGAGGGTAAGAAAGTTCGTAGTCACGTGAAAACTGTTATTGAGAAGATGGAGCTGTGCTCAGGTGGAAGTCCGACTTCGTCCGATGATGCAAATTCATCACCCACTCTGCGCGCTTTTGCATCCACTTTTCCGGAATGGTCCATGGACGGCTCGTTAGACGACGAGCTTGCACGCGATAATGCGACACATAATAGTCCTCGCACGGCAGCGGCTCGCCGCCCGCGTAATGACCGCATTCGTTTTGGAAATGGAAACATCCCGATGCTTGAAGGTGAGCTTTTACAGACAGACGAAGAGCTGGAAGTTCTTGAGGGTGTTTTGGATCTTCGTGATGACCAACAGCTATTACCCGCGGATATGCGTGGAGCAGTGAATCTGGATCTTCGCGGTGATCGACTTGCGCCACGTAGATTGGGAGAGCTTGAAATAGCTGGAGCTCGTGGTGGCACTGAACGTGACCAAGGAGGGATAATGTATAATAGTGACGAAGAGAATGTTTCATTACGTTTTCACTTGGAGCATATGCCACCAGGGTTTGGACATACTCATGAAAGCGCCAAGCTTTATCTCACTCCGTGTGGCTTGCATATTCGTACGTGTCAACACGCGGTGCATATTCAATGTCTCGAGCGCTATATTACTTCTTTACATGATAAAGCGATGCGTGGTGAGGAATTTGATGGTGTTCAAGCAATTGATCCGGACTCCGCAATGACACAGTTCTTATGTCCATTGTGCAAAACTTTAAGTAATTTTTTGATTCCAACATCGGAGCCTCGCCTTTCAGGTGCGAAAGGGGATGAGTTGGAGCACAAGCGTGCAGGACGTTTGTCGATTGATGATGAAAACGAAAAGTCGTCTGCTTGGGACAGTATTGTAGAGGAACAATTATTGATGCCTGGATGGTACCGTTCTGTGCTAGGACGCGATGGTGAATTTGAAGATGACGAAAACGATACAGATCATGATTTGTGGCGGGATTATTTCGAGGAAACGCTGTGGGAGCCTCACGGCAGCTTGGAGAAAGGCGCACCTTTCTTATGGTCCGCGTGTGCTTTTACCGTGGCAACTTTCTTGACTGCTGCGGAAGATGAGTACCAAAGTGCCTCTAAGAGCAGCGCAATCTTTGATCCATTGATAGACCACTGCCCTCCATCGTTGGAGAAGGAGCTAGAGTCATTGATAGCAGTCACGAAGTTTTGCCGATGGACGTTTTCACTTTTGGAGCATAGTGCTGACGCGAAGGTGATTTGGGAGACTGCTAAGCGCTGCTGCCCAATCAACACTGAGACAAAGCGCGAGTACCGCAAATTTACGAAGGTGCGTTTTTTCTGTCCGCATTGTATTACTATAAGAAAGCTGCTAACTCATGCATAATGTAATCAGGTCCTCGGCTCAATCGATGCGTGTCTTCGGGGAACTATTCTCGGACTTCTAGTAGCGGATACGTTTACGGTACGTCAGAGAAGTGTATGATGCATTCATGATCAAACAGTAACGGTATGTGGTGTTATAGGCTTTCGTAGTTGCCAGTGTGATTGCAGATGGACTCGAGACTATTCGGCGATTTATTCCAGTATTTGCGGCTGCGGATCTCCTTCAGCGCCTGCATGCCGAGTTTTTCGAGCATAGCAAGATTGAGGGGTCGCCGCTTTTCCAGGACAAATTCTCGGCTGTTGCAGCAAGCGAAAGTAAGAATATAGCACATTCTAGAGCTGCTAGCGAGTCTGTTCTTGCACCGCGTCGCACCCGAAGTGGCCGTGCTATCAGCCTTAGCCCGGCCACACCACCTTCTGGGACCGGTGTTGGGTCGGCGCAACAACTGATGGAATCAATGAAAGCTTCAGGCGAAGGTGACTCTGACGCGTGTACTGCATTATTATTATTGCAACGCATGGCGAAAGCGTATCCTTCTGAGAAGCTGAAGCCCCTCGCGACAACAAGCGATGTAAATGCGCGACTGCAGCGAATTTTGCCGCCAAATGCTGAATTTGTTCGACGCATGAATCTTTTCTGGCGCTGTCTGGTGTGTGAGGGAATTCGTGCGCCCACAAGTACAAGGGTGATACAAGCCCCAACATTGGTCGACATAGCTTGCAGTCCAGATGCCACATTTGACGAAATTTGGCGATGGTGTGTAGACCGCATGTTAAACAAGACCCACTTGGGAAGTTTGAAGGTCGGTGACAAATGCGAACACAGTGAAGGCTGCAGTGAGGCATATGTTGCTAGCATGTTTATTCTTCGTGAAGTGCCCATGCGACCGCGATTAATCGACTTGCCTATCCAGTACGACGAACTTTACAGCGAGATGGCAGGGCGCAAGTGCATGCAGTGCGATAAAGCGCCTTGTGACCCGGGTCTATGCTTGATATGTGGTGAGTACTTGTGCTGTGGAGATTCATGTTGCACTCGTGCATTCATGCCACACGGACCACCAGTAGGTGAGTGCACACGCCACGCTGCTGAGTGCGGTGGTGGTGTGGGTATTGTACTTCTACTTGAACAGTGCCGTATCGCGGTTATTGGAGGCAGCATGGCAGCGTACTTTCCAAGTCCATACGTCGATTCCCACGGTGAAGAAGACGTTGGTCTACAGCGTGGACGACCACTTCGGCTGGATATAGTCCGCTACCGGTACCTCGAGTCACTGTGGCTTAACCATCGTATCTTCACAGAGGTATCACGCCAACGTAACCAGCGAGACCCGCAGTATACGATCAATCTATCGTACCTGTAGGCTGTCAACCTCTCCTGTTTTTAGATTACATTTCCAGGGCAACAAAAATATATGTGCGTAATCTCGCAAGCACGTTTCAAAAGTATCATAGTGTTATGAATTGCATCTTGCTAATGATGCTGCTACACATGAAGAAACGTAGAGCATGGGAAAATGAGTTTTAGGATAAGTGCTCATCCTGGAAAAGATGCAGACGCCACAACACGCACCTTTGTTGATTTTATAGCATGGTAGGAGTCAATTGCTCCAGTTGCGGCGTCTTGAAACTAGCAGAGATCGCGTTCCAAACGCGGGTTGCAGCTCGCGTTATGCGTCTTCGACTCAATCGAGGGATCGGTGGAGACGACCATGAACTGCCCATACTTCTGCGACTCAATCAACCACTCTGAAAACATCACTAGGTAGCGGAAGGTGTATGTACAGGAAACACGAGCTCTGCATTAATGTCTAAGCAAAACCTGTCCACGTGATTCCAAACTGCCACATACGCACAAGCTTGAAACGCATACATCGTTGCGGCATTTTATGAGCGTATCGAAACAAGAGGTAGCACCAACTGTATCAGACAGCGGACTCGTGTGACTAAACAAAATGATGTTCTTGTCGGTAGTCTCCTTGCATTAGTCAACACGGAGAGGGCATTCAGCAAAACACGCTCCACGATGATCAAGACCCCGATGAAAACAATCCCACTCCCCGATCCAAACGAACCAAATGTGCCCAGCAACGATGAAGACAGCGAGCGTAGCGTGTCGGTAAGAAATTATCAGTTTTCATGTTAGTCTTCGCTTTTTTTTCTGCTCCAAAATACCAAAACAATCACTGCTGTTCATATCGTCAGATCATATCAGCAGACAACTTGACTGCAATTGCGCTCTCCACGCGCACAAGGACATCTGTCGCAAACTCAAGAACATATCACTTCCTGGAAGTAGTGATTACAATGCAGAGATGAAGACCAGTATCGTGGAACAGACCATGGCCGTCTCCTATTCCAGTACCGCCAGAGCTGCTCTTCTTCCGGCTTCATGCGCCAAAAGGCGCATCAGCTTGATTGTGGCTTCGCACTAAATACACAATGCCCTCATCGCCAGCATTTGTCCCGCTGCAGACAAAACCATCAACGCTCAAAATTCTAGGGATTCCAAGCATGAGCCATATGTCTGCAAACTTGCTGCAGCTACAGCCTGGTTCGAGCTAGACAATCGATAATACACGTGTTACCACGGCACCGCAGCCCCAACCGCATCTCCTTCCTGGTTGCAGCCCTCATCGATCCCTTTCACTATGCCAACGGCGTTCGCCTGTCGAGTGTCAATTAGAAAACCTTCAGGCTGCACGAGTTCACTGAAATCTTGATTGCCCCAAAACATGTGCTGCTGTCGCTGCAGACAAACCTTGATGAAGCACACAAGATCAAAGTTCTCATCGAAAGCAAGCCCATCGGATGCATGAGCGCTGGATCACGGAATACCCGCCCTCGACCCGTTCCTGTCTTTAGATCGCTGCATAAGTATCAGTACGACACGAGCGGCTATATGCTCGCTTTGCAGAGACCATCGTGAGCTCAGCGCGCGTTACACGCACAAGCAACGCACCAACAAACGGCGAACTCAGCACTTCGACTTAGTTGAGCAGAGGTTGGTCATTGCATTGGAAAGAATGCATCGTCTGTAAGCCCTTCAAAAATGTTTACCGTGTTGTCACCGTAAAGTGTTGAATCTGGAAATAAACCTACAGGCTCGATTACAATTTGTTGTGTTGGAAATTGATGAAGTTGGCTAGGTTGCTGGAAAGGTTGATGAGTAGACTGATAATGATGTGTCGGTACCGACTGCGGCATTATACTTTGTGTAGATGACGACGGCATTCCTATACTTGGTCCATATCCAAAATTGTTCGGCATCATAGGTGCTCCATAATTGGCTCCGTTCATAGATCCCATCACCTGATGTTGTTGATGATGCATGGGCATGCCCGCCATACCAGCCATTGGGAACCCAGACGTCCCGAAGCTCGCGTCGGATGTGAACTCATATGGCGTAATAAATGGATCCACCGGAAAATTGCTATTGTTGCTGTTGCCGTTTCCACTACTGTAAATGTTCGCTGATGTTGGTGCAGACGGCATGCCATACGTGTTGTTGACGTACATGTTACCACCTCCTGAAGAGTCTACATTCATAGGCATGCGCATTGGCATGAACTGTTGCTGTTGGGGATTCATCATACCGCCGCCCATCATGTAGTCCTGCTGGTTCATAAATCCAGGTGAAGCGCTAGGAAGCCGATCCGATGAAGTCATGTACGTGTTCGGCGTGAATGTCTGGACATCTGAACTCATAGCGTACCCGCGTGTCGGTGTCGTTACACCAGAGACTGCCATTGACGTCGTTAACGTAAATCCAGTCGATGTCTGCATCGAATTTGTTTGTCCCGTCGGGTAAAACATACTAGAGCTTGCAGAATCAAAACCAAGCGTAGGCATTGGAGGTTCAGGGAACAACGTCGGTGGTGTCGGTGCAGTCATATTTGGCATCGACATGGACACTAGAGTGGACGTAGGACCCATCAACATTGTCGAAATCTCTGGCGGTGTGTACATTTGCTGAAGAGCATCTGAAGTCGCTTGTGGCTGAATATGTGAAACTGCAGCACCCTGAACGACGAGCTTTGACTTTTGTAACGTCTCTGTTCGTCTCCCAATTGACAAAGTGGCAACAGTCTTTTGTGCGTCATTTTTCTCATCTTCCTGGGCAATTTGCTTGTCTGCCAATGAGGCCAACATCTCGAGCCTTGCTCCAATTTGCTGACGTAAGTTCACACACCTTCGTACCCATTCATTATGCTCGGTAGTACTTGTCTTTGCAGCTACAATCGTAAAACACAATAACACACCACACATCATCATCATCATCGAATGAATAAATTACCATTTTAAAACACAATCAAGAACCTAGAGAGGCGGTAATATATCTTGTACGTACGCTGCTGTTTATGCAGTGCATTCCAGCTCTTTAATGCCGCTTCATTCTTCTCAAGCATTGCTTGAATCTCTCGCTGTGACACGGATCGTCCTGGAGCAAGCAATACCTACTTATTGTAACCAGACATTGATATAAAACGATCAATCATTTCAGAAACAAGTATTGCAATAAGTTTCTTGTATGGACGTTTGTTCAATCGTTTACACACCTGTGCTGCAGCGGCTGCACGCTCTTGTAGTGGATTAACATGATCCCTATTGTACAGATGATATAGATGCATCAGAGGATACATGTGAGGAATAACGAGGCGGTAAAAGCAAGACATAGAACCACGTACGACATCGAGGACGACGCCATGTCGATGGAGGGGATTTAGCTGAAGAGTTGCCGAATAAAGGTACGAAATAGGAGATAATTTGTGGGCTAATCAGATGAGGTTTTATTGCTAAAATGTAGTATAAAATAATGTCCTAAACCTGCTAAAAGTACTTACTACATAATCAAGAAGTAAAAGTATGGAGCCATTCATATGTGTCTCTGCACCTGGTAAAGTACTGCTTACAGGTGGCTATCTGGTACTTCATGAGCAATATCGAGGACTTGTTTTATCCTGTACTGCAAGATTTTATTCACAAGTAAATATTCAGGTAAAAAAAAGGAAAGAGTAGTCAAGATACTTTGGTATTCAGAAACCTGTGAGATTTCATATTTAGCTGCTTGTAGAGTAGGACAAAGGAACAGGACATGGCTACACGATTAAGTAAATGGAGTCGATTATTTCCACTGACAGTCGAGAGTAAACAATTGAATCAATTGATTACGGGCTGGATTGAGAAACAAAAAAGTAACGGTCAATTCCGATTTAAGCTCAGGTGAGACATGTCAAAAACTGAAGTTTCGTGTATATAACTAGAAAATCTACTGATATTTACGGTTATTAGGAAACATTCGGATCGAAATGTATACATTCAAGAAACAATCTTGTGTGTTGTCAACGCGATTGCTGAACTCAACGAGTTTAAACGAGATAATACCTTTTGTGTGCTCCTGGAGACCAAGAAGAGCGTGTACGTGACACTATATGGTGATAATGATTTCTATTCTCAAGTGAAAACGGTAAGAAAAGGCAGAGATAGTGAGGTTGTAAAGAGATTGATAATGATGATGCAAGTGATGTTTGATTTCTAGCTGCAAGATGCCAAACTACCACTTTGTCGCGATAGTTTGAGGTCACTTGAAGCGTTTCTTCCTCCTACGATAAAAGGTACAATGTTGATGTGGTTTTTTGTTTGTTTAAGGTGTGTGTATGGATTGATTTCTGATTTCTGATTATGGTGAACGTGTAGAGCATGGTGGCGAAAAGGTTGCATTGAAAACAGGATTGGGAAGCTCTGCCGCTCTTGTGACTTCACTTGTTGCAGCACTTGTGGCATTTTTTGTGCCATCGATAAGGTTTCAAGAGCGACAAAAGGATCTAGAGCTCGTACATAATTTGGCCCAGTTGAGCCACTGCTACGTGCAGCGCAAGGTGTGAACTGCTGTTTTTTTGTCGTGTTACGGTGTAGTGGGGTGATGACAAATTTTGTGAGTTGTTTTACAGATTGGAAGCGGCTTTGATGTATCGGCAGCGTGCTTTGGTTCTCAGATATATACCCGATTCCCGGTGTCAATTTTAAATGCGTTCACGTCTGAAGACGCGATGAAACCAAAAGAGATGATACGTTGCATTACGGATCACGAGTTGTGGGACACTTCAAGTCGCGTGGTACTCAGTTTCTAGCCTTATCGGTTTGAGTTTGCGGTTTTGACCGACATTTGCTGCAGAAATCTCTCCGATTGCCTTCTGCCTTTCACTTGATGATGGGAGACGTGTCAACGGGCTCGGCCACTGTGTCAATGGTTCGGCAAGTTTTGGATTGGCAAACGAGTCAACCTGATCACGCGCAGCGTATAATGGATGCGATTGATCGCCACAATATGGAAATTGAAAAAGGCTTTGCTGAAGTCGGGAAGCTAGAAGCTTGTCTCAGTACCCCGTTTGATTATGAAGCGATAGCTGGTTTAAATTGCAATCAGGTACGTCACAATATCATTTCCTTAGCTACTTGTGTATTTACAGGCTCATTGCTTAATTGATGATACCGCTTGGACGTGTAGTGGAGTACAATGAATGGCAAAATTGGGGCTGCACTGTTAAGAATTAGAGAGGCTTACGCTTGTATCCGAGAACTTATGCGGTAAGATAGCGCGCCAGTTATACTTGTTCATGTGATGCATGGTATGGACAGCATATCTACTGCTCTAATATCTCTATGCATGCATCGTTTTAGTGAAATGGGAACTCTTGCTGGAGTTCCGATTGAGCCACCCGAGCAGACAGCGATCCTGGATGCAACGCTTGCGATTCCTGGTGTCTTGCTTGCTGGTGTGCCTGGAGGTTTGTACATTTCCACGGTATATTACACTCATTTGCGACGACTAACACTGTCCAATGTGTTTATCTAGCGGGCGGATACGACGCGATTTGTGTGATAGTAATTCATGCAAGTGTTCTACAGATAGTTGAAGACTTGTGGGTCCAATGGACTTCGACGCATCCCAACCACGTGTACGTTTGTCAAGCACGTGTCATGTTGTACGTGTTGTGCGCCCAGTGTACTTACATGGAATCCTCATATCCGCTAGCATTTGTCCGCTGCTGTGCGATATCGACCATGGACTAGCAATCTCATCACCTGTAAAATCAGGACTCCAAGTTCACTCGGTTGTGTAGTTTATGTCCAAGCAATGCAATTGGTTTGTGTAGTATAAACTCGAGCTAGACTAACCTTCACATTCAGTGCTTAGAGAGAAAATCGTCGCTACAAATCCGCGAGGAGATGATGTCTAAACAATGTCTAAGTCGCCTTCAAATGGCTGTAACAAGTAACCAGTCGAATGAGCAGAATGTGTCGAAACGGAAAATCCGTGAAGAGGATGGCGTTGAGAGAGACAGGATAGTGAAGGCGAGCTACGTGCCGTGCAATAACGAAGAACTAGGTCGTATGGAGCAGGAACAGCATGAAGGTTTCTTGATTGACGGGCTTCGCTTCGCGACAGAGTCTTGGACTGGAATGAAAAGTAGCAACGAGGACCGACATGCCTTCTCTGTTGACGTTTTCCCTGGTCCAGTGTTTGGCATATTTGATGGACACGGTGGAACATTCTCAGCGGATTTTTTGTCGCGGCGCTTGATTAAGACAACTGCTTCCGTGATACGACAGGGTATGGGGGAAAATGCGTTCTTTGACCTACGTTGTTCTCAACTTCAGTCAAGCCGAGAGAAACTTCGCAAGGATGCACTGATTGAACAAGCAACGCTACTGCGCCAGCAACTCGCACAAGTGGAGACGATGAGGTCAGACACCGCCGTTGAGAGCTCTGATGACGAATTACGCATTTTGGTCGAGCAACTACACGGCACTCTCTTACAAATGGATAGCGAAATGAAGCAAATTGACGCTGAGGAAGCAGCACGCCGGGAAAAGAGACGGCAGTGGTACAACAGGCAGCACACTTGCTTTGTAAAATCGTTCAAGGATGCATTTGAGCGAGTCGATGCACTTATTTTACAGAAGAATCCGTCACAAGATGGTTCAACGGCTCTCTTAGTTTGGTTCTTGGCTGATTCTGTCGATGCAGTCGACGAAAACAAGAAGAAGGATAAACCGCAACCACATGAGCTGAGCTTTTACACAGTGAATGTCGGCGATTGCCGTGCTGTCATGTGTCGTGGTGGCCGAGGTGTGTTGCTCACAAGTGATCACAAACCCGATCGCGCGGACGAAAAACAGCGAATTGAGAATGCAGGCGGCTTTGTGGGCAAGATTGGAGGTATTTCTCGTGTGTACTCATCGGCAGGTGCTGGGTTATCCATGCAACGTGAAGCTTCTACGTATCTTGCGGTATCACGTGCATTTGGCGATCGATCTCTAAAGACCCCCACGTCACTTGTGTCGTGTGAGCCAGAAGTGACGCGATACCACGTGCACACAGAGGATCTGTTCCTTGTCTTAGCCTGCGATGGCATCTGGGACGTCTTGAGCGAGCAAGATGTCGTTGATATTGCCCTGCCACACTTTCACGATGCCAAGGCAGCCACAAACGCGATCGTAAAGACTGCCTACAAGAAAGGGAGTGTGGACAATCTCACAGCCACAGTTATCCAGTTCGGATGGAAAAGTGATGGGCAGCTACAGCAAGCGATTGATAACAGTAAAGTGATGAAAGCGAGCAGCTTGAAAGAAAATACTACTGCAGAAGAGGAGATTGACATGTTCAATCTGTGACCTTAGTTTGGTTGATATCCTAATTCGTACGATGCGATGAGATTCTGTTGTTGAAGTGTCTGTACAACCACAACACCAAGGCCAATGTTTAGAAACAATACACAGTTCTGTAATCAATGTAACAACAGCCACCTTTGCAAATGGTGTCATTGCATCTGCATCGTACACCCTCAAGTGTACAGATGATCGTGGTTGGCGGTCCGTTTTCCGGTTCTGTTTGCGGTGTTTAAGCACATACTGCTGATCGACAAACACCTCAGCTTCTAGCAAGACACAAACAAAGTGAACCAACGTAAATTCCCAGCACTACCATAATAGTATGCTCATTCATTCTTCATACCCACGTGCGGGATATCGAATCCACCATTGATCACCATTGCATGGAATTTAATCACTGAATGTGATAGTGAGGTGACGCGAAGTACGCGGTATCTAGTGTCCAGGTGCTGCTGCAAGAACTCTACAACTTTGTCAAACTGGTCAAAAGCTTGTTAGATACCAATGAGAATGAATGGACCTGAATGTTACAAGACGTACGTCCTTTTCAAGATTTATTGCACGCTGTCCACGTTTGTTTTCAAGCCATGAAAGGCGGTAAGTGGCAAACAGAATAGCTAGGACAATCACTACATGATACTTTATCAGTCATGTATCACTTGTAGCCTTACCCAAGCTGCCAATGGCAATAGTCAGACTAACCTGCTACGTGCTTCTTTAACGAGTCTAGCATGATTCGTAACTGTTCCTTCAATCGTGATGACGTCGGCTTCGAATAATGCTGCGACAGGATCAGAAAACACTCGAGCAGAACCAGTCCGGAACCATCATGTGAAGATATTCACGTATGAACAGACACGTATGGACAGACATTAGGTAGAATACATGTAAATCATAGGACGTTAAGCGGTTCTAACATCAAGTAATGACCATGAAACAAATCGTCTAACATGTGGATACACGCTATACCAAAGACTTTATCACGTCCTCGTTGACGACAATACGACTGCATTGACAATGCCGACCAAAGTCGGTTCCAGGTCGGCCTACGACATGGAAAAAGACGCTGTACATTTTGTCAATATGACGTGAATAATAGCTACAAGAAGACTGTTGTTACGTTGAGGTCATTGGATCTCCTAGTCGAGAAGTTGGATCTCCTTCAACACTATCTTGTCCGTTCTTCACGGGTCTTGGTCCGACAAACGCGCAGCGCTTGAGTGCGTGTCGGTCCATGAACATCTGGGCGACGTTAGTCGGATCACGTGATGGGAAATCCGTCTGCAAAGGCTGCTCTGTTTGCTGTACCTTTAGCAGCATCCAATCGGCCGAGTCAAAGCGTTGCAAACGAAGGCAGCGGAGCTCGTCGCAATGTATAGTATTTTCAGGCTCTGGCTCGTGTTCTAGATCAACGCTGTTCGACAGTGCGCATTTGCCGCATGTGCAGCCCGCACACGGTCCTAAAGCGCGTCGCGCCATCTCATAATCAGCAGAGTCGAAGCGCTGGCGGTTGTTACGATGGCGTTGGATAATTGTAGAGGCTACCGCGTGGGAACAATTCCTCATGGGTTGATGCTGGCGCTCAGCTGCGAGTTTGTCGGTTGAATTGGTCATGCTGGAACAGTTGAAAGAAAGCGTGAGGAGGACAGAACCAAAGACGTAATGACCCATCGCATTACTGGTGCACACGCACGTGATTGGAATTTCAAAAGGTCGCAGAAGATGTGTCTCTATCAGCTGTGCACCAAAGCCGGTCAGTCGTGACGTCGTTAGATGATGATGAAGAAGAAGAAGCGATCGACCTTTTTTCAATCGCAATCAATGGCTTTGAACTTGCTGCACGAGGATTGCAATGTGCCTAATCCGAAATGCGACGGGGACAAACTTGGTCCGAGGAACAAATACCGTGGTCATGCATTCTGGCCGAAACCGTCTGTAGGAATCTTCAACGATTGGCCTGAGGGACGAGGACGTGACGATACCTTGCACGGTTACATACGTATGCGCCTTTGTCGAACTTCTCGGCGAATAATCGTGATATCGGTCATATCATGGCTGTTTATAACTCAAATTCAGCGAGATCACCTGCACGTGTTTTCAGCACGTCTAATTTTCTGAGGCGACAGTGTGCACGTGGTACACAAATACCAACACTGCTATTGTGACTATGCGAAAATGGCGCTGCTTTAGCTAACAAAGCGACGAGGAAGCTGTCAGCATGTGGTCGTGCGGTATCGACAATGGCCAAAATGTCCAAAAGGACATTATTTATATTTCACATGGAGCAAGCAGTCTTTTCTTCTTCAAAATTGTCCTACGCCTTAAGGTCGGCAATGCTTACTAGTATCCTTATCCATGTAGCAGTCTTATAGATTGTCAATGTATGAGTCGTTCTCCGTAGATACCTTAGCCTTGTTGCCAATCTTACAGCTTGTCAATGTATGAGTCGTCCTCCGTAGATACCTTAGCCTTGTTGCTAACCTTACAGCTTGTCAATGTATGAGCCGTCCTCCGTAGATACCTTGACCTTCCTGCCAATCTCGACAAACAAAGGCACTTTTACAATGGCGCCATTCTCTAGTGTTGCGTCTTTCACGCTCAGCGCCGTATCCGCCACACCTTTCGGGGGTAGTTTTCTGATGACAAAAACGACAATAAAACGGTTTGGTTCAGACACTGAGAAATGAATTCAGGCTGTGCTCAGAAAAACAACCTTACCGTCACTTCGAGCACCACGTGCTCGGGCATATTAGCCCACAGGACGTCACCCTCGATGATCTGCAACGATAATGTCATCCCTTCCTGCAAAAAGTCGAGTTGTCGACCTGAAAAAAGATCGCGCTCAATCTCCATCTACGCACAATAAAAATCACAATGCATGATCAACCACTACAGCAGCTTCAACACCAGGTAGCAAAGAGCAGTCGCACCTGATTAAACGTCTTGTTGCACATGACAACGAGGTGGTCCCCGTTATAATACAAGAACTGAAACGGCTCGTCTGGTCCCAGAGGTGCCTTGTTCACGGTCTCTGCAGCGCGGAAACGACGGTTCATCTTGGCTCCAGTCTTGATCTCCTTTAGCTCCGCCTGCAGAAACAGCAGCGGGGTGATATCTATTAACGACCCTATACGCACGGCAATATACACCGATCCTGTCACAAAACAGCTTTAATCGAACATACCTGGACGTATGCTCCACCCTTGCCAGGTTTTACGTGCTGGTTTTTACCCACACGGTAGATTTTGCCGTCAATCTCGAGCGCCATGCCAGCACGAACCTGGTTACCTATTCAATCAAGTGTACCACAGCCATATCAAGGTTCTAGACAATGAATAAAGTATGTATGAAAAGCTTGGCAAATTTCACAGTAGATGGTACCATTAATCGAGGCAAAACGTGCTCCATAGCCATAGGCAAACGTCGTGGACCGTGCAATGTGCTTTGCAGCTCGTAGCATGATATCACAATAACGCGGTCTACTATGATTGGCTGTCTACTGATGGTACCACCAACCAAAGTGGGACAGTTTTGGTGGCATGAGCAAGCGACCACCTCTGATTGGATAAAACTAGTCTTTCCTTGTTAAATGAACCCATTCTTCAATATTCTTCGTCATCGAGAATGTTTCTATTACGATCTCGTCGTCCTGAGGACGTGATCCAGAAGACTATTGAAGCAGCAATAGCAGCAGATAAGGCAGAAAAGTTTCAGGAAGCAGTGTGTTTGTATGTATCTGGAATTGAAAAGATGATGGCACAACTTGCACGTACGTTGAAGTAGGAATGCATGTGACCATCACTCTTTTTACGTGTTGAAAATGAATGGCTGCTTGTTTGTATACAGAGTTGCCACATGAGGAAAAGAAGATCGAGATGCGACAGAAGATTAATGAGTACATGATAAGGGCCGAGTATCTTAAGGAACGGACGTTGAAGCAGCAAACGCAGGTGTTTGTGGGATATATTATAGCAGAAATAGGATTGAGAACGAGGCGAAATGCTCGTGAATTGTCTTGAGCGTGGAGATTAATTGTTGTATTATGTAGATGTCACAGGTTCCAAGTGTTCAGAGTAGTAATGCACGTCCTACAATCGATCGTCTTCAGGTTGAGAATTGTGTATGAATTAGCTGAAGATGCTGGAAGTTAGCAGACTAATGTTAATTTCTACTTTGTTTTGACAGAAACCAAGATCGGGATATTCGAAGAAGCATGCAGAGCATGCGCATACTATATTGGACGAGGTTTTAGACCACTCACCTGGTGTCCGTTGGACAGATGTTGTAGGGCTTGGCATTGCAAAGCAAATTTTACAGGTATGGGATCGAAACTCGTTTTAATTGTTGATGACGAGCTGAGTCACTGACGATATTTTCGTGTGTTTTGCAAGTAGGAGGCTGTCATTTTGCCTACGCTGCGCCCTGATTTATTTACAGGCTTACGGGCTCCGCCTCGAGGGGTGCTACTCTTTGGACCACCGGGTACAGGTTGGCGGGAATGTGTGATGTTGTGAGAAATGCCTTTTGTAGGACTTGTAGTGATATTGTCTTACCATTTGATGTTAGGGAAAACATTGCTAGCGAAAGCTGTTGCTACAGAAGCGAATGCAACATTCTTTAAGTACGCCAATGCTTCGATTTGACGCTAAATGACTCGTAATTGTTTCATAGTGAAAAGTCTAATCGACGTGTGCTTGCAGCATTTCTGCGTCGTCTTTGACCTCCAAGTGGGTGGGCGAAGGCGAAAAATTGGTTCGAGCACTTTTTGAAATGGCCAGGGAGCTACAACCGTCTGTAATATTTATGGATGAAATTGACGCTTTGTTGGCGACGAGATCGGCATCCGAGAACGACGCTAGTCGAAGAATTAAAAACCAGGTTTGGGCTTGATGCATTTGGCTCTTTAGTTGTTTTGTAGGAAACTGAGCAATGATGTTGCAGTTTTTTACTGAGCTTGATGGAGCTGCATCATCGCAAGAGGATCGAATTCTTGTCATGGGAGCTACAAACCTCCCTCAGGAGCTCGATGAGGCCATCGTACGACGCCTTGAGAAGCGCATTTACGGTAAGTGATGTTTACGTACCACTTTGGAGGGATGTGTGATGTGGTGAAAGCGTTTGTTGACCCAGTCTTTTTGCTGTTGACAGTGCCTCTTCCGGATGCTTTATCTCGCGAAGGACTTGTTCGGCATTTACTTGGTGGTCAGAAGTTTTGTTTGTCGTCCAAAGAGATTAAATATATAGTGAAGTCAACGGAAGGCTATTCCGGCAGTGATCTCAAGGCTGTGTGCAAAGATGCTGCTCTAGGCCCAATACGCGATCTTGGTGCAAATGTCGCGAATGTGAAAGCTGAAGACGTGAGAGGAATTAACGCGTCCGACTTTCAGGTGGCAGTGAGCCGGGTCCGACCAAGTGTATCCTCGACGACGATAGAAGCTCTCATTGCATGGAACGGACAATATGGAGTGTCTGCAGAATGATAGCACGCTCGCGGCTATATTTTTAATGTTACTACTCTTTCCGTTCGTAAATCATCAAATACGATTCAGACACCCCAATCAGCTGTGGCATTGTTTCCTGAACGTGCAGATCTTGAATCTCATACCATTGCTCGGTTGCCTGCGATAATGAACGCATGAACACGCAGTAAGAAGTTTGGCACTGATGTTTTTGGTACACTAGTTCTCAACCACTTACTCTATTCTGGACGTGGACACGATAGCTGCCTTCTGTCAACGGATTCGTTCGCAGAGCTGCCTCTTGTCCAGTAGTTACTGGGCTGTCGTGACAAATATTGGCAATCAAGTTGTATCTGATGACATGAACATCAAATATTAGGCTGACATCAACTAAGCTCAGCAAGTTACAGGATGATAACAACAGTCGTACTTGGTCGATGGCAACGTAACGCGCAAGACCTTTTCAATCAAGTCAGCCTTCTCAACACAATCCTGTCACAAACCAAAAACATTTTAGTATTCTACTCGTCAGCCAAACAAGACCAAAGTTAGATCATACCGCAGTTGATTGGTTGTGGTTGCGCAACAGAGCTTGTAGCTCAGATATTGACTTATCCCGAAGCTCCGGTAAGAGGTCATGATTTAGTTTCAAATAATCGCGCAACTCAAGATTCTTGACTGGAAAGTTTACAATCGTTGGGTTTTTCTCAATAAAGAAGTTGTTTCGCGTAAAACGCTTGACGTGAAAAATCAAGTAAACTGGCAGTGTATCAATCCGATAGGTCTTCTTGAGTCGATGGGAGTCTTGAAGGATGTATGTAACGTGCGAACCATTGTACTTTTGCAGTACTGTAAACAGCGGAATCTACAACAATAATCCATCGCAAACGTCAGTGCGCTACTTCACGTTGTCGAAGGCATCAGATAAATTCCGCTGCACTTACTTGAGGAATGATGTTTCCACCTTGTGAATCCTTGAACAGCGGTGTAGACGGCAAGTCCAGAGCAATCATCCTACAACGCAGATACTTAGTCAGCGCCACGTAAAAAAATGCAGCGAATAAGCCACGGCAGCTTACAAGAACGGCGACACCGTAGTGGAGACAGCTGATTCGCGCTCTGCTGGATCCGCGGACGTACTTTTTGTGTCATCGTCCGTTGTCACCTCTACGAAGCCCTGAAAACATTTGTAGATAATACTGCTTCCCAACTTATTCGATCCACCAAGCCCCTGCAACCGCGGCATGCTATATTAGTTCCAGCATTTCCAACCCACCAAGTAGCAGTCGTACCCTATGTAATTCGTTCAGCAGCCATGCCAAAAGCTCGACACTTTCATTTTGCGTTCCGACGTGAAACCTTTTCTTACTGCTGACTGAGATCTCTTGCACCAGTTCATGCGGACTAATCTGCAGCACCCACATCACAAATTCCAAGCCCAGTCAGCACGACAAACAATCAAGACCCAATAAAAACGCCGCCACTTCATAAAATGCACACACCGTATTCTTAAAGTTGTGTGGACTCCACATTTTCCGCAAAAGCTCTCCAAAGCGAATCACCAGCTTGGACTTGATCTTTCCTATTTTGTTTGCCAAAAAGTAGTCTCGAAGCGGTGGAACGTGGGCAAGCGCCTGCACGACCACATTAATGTAGTCCGTATGTTTGAGGTTGTTTAAGCCGATAAATCCTGGCAAATACGAGACTCCAAATGCATCCTGTGCCAAGATACGGTTCTCGTCCAGTCGAGCAATCTGAGCGGCCTCAAATGTCGGACGCAGCGCGTTCTGCACAGGCTTGAGCGTATGGTCAATGACCTCGTAGTTATCCGGCAGGCAGTAAATGCGATCCGTCTGTAAGTTAATAAACACGTGATGGCTGCTTTGTACTGAATGGGTGAAGGCATGAGTATTGCGGCCACGACCCTTGAAATATTTGCCACAAACTAGACAGGCATAGACGTTCTGATCCGATAGACTGATGGAGCAAACCTTTTCAAAATCAAAGTCCAACAGCTGATGGTTCACAGTGTCTAAATACGGGCATTTACGTCGTTTTGCGGCAGCCTCGTTTGCTGCAGTTTCTGCCTTGCGCTTGATCCCGGGCATTGATGCCCTTGGGTCGCGTGTCGCCGAGTATAAAATCCCGTTTTTATCTTGATTTGTAATTTGATTGGATGTTAATAAACTAAATCTGTTGATTGGATAAAAGTATTGGTGGAGAACTGACGTCGATGTGGAACGATACAAAAAGCAAGTTAATTTCATCTGCTACGCTTTGCTACTACTTTGTCGCCACTCGTACGAACTGCTTCCTGACCACACTACTCTGCTTTCATAGCACTATATATTTGTACCTATCTAGCATCGTAAACTCGATTGGACGCTATCAACAACTATTTGCGTAACGCGCTTGTGACTACATTTCTTTCACCGAGGTGCTTTTTTATCCAATCTTGTTCACTGGTTACAATTTCCTGCAACGTCATTGGTCAAGTATACATTGAAATCGTATTTAATCGGATGTTCGGTCCTGCGCTATTTGCGGCTGCGATTACGACGACGACGCAGCATCTGACACTTTTGAATCCGCCACGAAACAGTCACTTGAATCTTCTGTTTCCTCATGTTTCGTCGCTCTTCCGTTGCATTGGCTCACAACGTCAAATCTGTCACACGTACCTTCAGCACCGGTGCCAATGCCTCCGGCGAGGTTAAATTTGAATTGACAGTGCCCTATCAATTGCATCGTACGTAATCGAATATGTAAAGAATAGAGAGATTGTAAATGAAGATGATGAAGAAGAAGAAGAATGATGACGATCGTTTTTGTTGCTTTTCTCTTTCTCTCTTTCTTGTTTTATGTACTTTCTGTATGTTTAGGTCTTGAAGAAGGACCGTCTGAGTTTGCAATGACGGATCGTGAAGAAATGATGCATTACTATAAAATGATGTATACTATGCGTCGTATGGAAATTACAAATGATAATGAATACAAGGCCCGTACTATTCGTGGTTTCTGCCACTTGTATGATGGTCAAGAAGCCGTAGCTACTGGTGTTGAGGCTGCTTTGGATCGTACGGATTCGTGGATTACGTCGTATCGTAACCATTGTATCATGCTTGCTCGTGGTGCCGAAGTGAAAGATATCTTGGCTGAATTGTTTGGTAAGAAAGATGGTGCAACGGGTGGTAAGGGTGGATCGATGCACTTTTACAATAAAAAGGCCAACTTTTACGGTGGACAAGGTATCGTTGGGGCCCAAGTGCCTGTGGGAACGGGTTTGGCTTTTGCTAGCAAGTACAACCACAAGGGTGATGGCCTTATGCCATGTTCCATTACCATGTTTGGTGACGGTGCCGCCAATCAGGGTCAGGTGTTTGAAGCTGCCAACATGGCTGCTCTGTGGAAATTGCCGGTCATTTTCTGCATTGAAAACAATCAGTACGGTATGGGTACGTCTGTTGAACGTTCGTCTCACAACACGGAATATTACACCATGGGCAATAAGATTCCCGGTATCAAGTGCGATGGTAACGATGTGCTTGCAGTGCGTGAGTGCACGAAGTTTTTGAAGACATGGTGCGGCGAGGGCAAGGGTCCTATCTTTGTGGAGATGAATACGTACCGTTACCACGGCCACTCCATGTCTGACCCTGGCGTGACGTACCGCAATCGTGATGAGATCTCGCAGATACGTGCATCGCGTGATCCTATTGAGCTGGTGAAGAAGCGCATGATTGAGTCTGAACTTGCTACGCCCGACGAGATCAAGGAACTGGAGAAGAAGGTGCGCGCCGAGGTCGTGAAGGCTACGAAGGAGGCCAAAGCATCGGGCAAGCCTGATGAGTCTTCGGCCTTTGAGGGTGTGTACTCGGACAGCCAGGGCAACAACCAGTACCCGCCGTTCATCCGTTTCCCCGACTACGCCAAGAGCTTGTACAACGGCAAGCGCCAGTAGCAACGTGAGCAGGAAGAGGGGTACATAGCGGAGAGAGAAATGTAACTATTCTTACGAGTCAAGCGTGTCGACATGCGGTAGAAACTGCGGTGAGTCGCCTTGTGGGTCATCTCATTCAGCGCGCTGCAAGCATGGGGCCGATTGCGGCGTGGAGTGCAGAGAACTTGGCTGGCATTGTAGTAAGCTCCACAAGTAGGAACAGTTGCGAATACCGGCTAGATATGAAATGTTAAGCACAATCACGATGATCATACTGTTGGTGGTACACGTATTCAGTCGCATTTTCAGCACAGGTCTCCCCTCTGGAAGATGGTTGAACGTTCAGTTCATCGGACGCAGCAGCACGCAGCAGCACGCAGCATCGAATAGGCCCATTCGTTTGGCGAGAAGGACAAGGACCGATTTCTGATCAGGAACAATGAATGATACCCCATGTTGAAGCCATTCTTATGATACAAGAATGCAAGTCCACTTGGCTGTGGTTCCTGCACGTGCGTATACATGCTTCATTTCCATATACGTACTCACACGCTGTACTACCGATACTACCTACTTTATGCCGTAAGCTGCGTCATCTTACTCTTCATCTCCGTCGTCATAATTCTCGAACGGGTATAATCACAATGTCTTAGCTCAAGTACAATGTCTTAGCTAGAGTACAATGTCACTGCGTGGTCGCTACCATGATGACGATGACGCACAACTGGACTATTACTACTGCTAGTGTTACCACCATTTCGTAGCATTGGGGCCATATATTCGTGCTCTTGTTGCAGCGCCAGGATACGATGGTGCGAAAGCTTTCGAGCTTGCTGTGCCAAGTTGTTTGCATAATTGGCAGCGACGATGATGTTTTTCGCGCGTAACATCGCTTCGTTTAGCTCGAGCTTCTCCTCATCACCTGCTAGGGTCTTGTGGTTGCCTTCGTGGTTGATCTGGATGCGTGAACGGCCAGAGCGAAGACTCTTGGCATTCTTTAACGAGGTACGGTCCTGCGCCGACAATCGTCTCAAGATTGACGACGTGGGCGACACGGGCGTGGATGATGAACTCGACTCATCGCAAGTATTGTCGTTGTTGTTCTTGTTGTTGTCGCCGAACTCATTTTCAAAATGGCGTTCCGCATTGCCCATGCGCAACTGATACAAGCGGAAGGCCTCGATTGAAATGGCCAGATCAGCTGGACTACCACGGCGCTTGGCTGCAAATAACGCTTTATTGCGCATGACGAGACCGTCGCTGAAGGAACGGATTGGAAAGCTGGCTTTTGGCACACCGATGGCCGAGCCCGTAGTATTAGCACCAAAACCATCTTCACTAGCGGATGTAAACGTCTTGTACTCGATAAGTCGAGAGCGAACGGGGTCAAGAAGGTTGTCGTATGACCGGCACGTCTCCACTTCCTCGCTTGTTGCACGACTGGTGGCTGAAAAGCTCTGCGCGCGACCCAGCGCGCGTTTGCTTTGATTTGTGTCTCCAAAAAATTGGTTAGAGCGGTGGGTGCAAAACAACGGAGTAGCGGGACGCTCTACGCCACCAGCCGTTTTGCGTGATAACCGACGGGCTTCGATGACACATGCAGTACATACGCGTAGCTGACGCTCGCCAATGTCAGGCACATGTGCACTACGCACCGAACTACATGAGCTGCAACATGCTTCTCCACATTTGAGGCAGTTATAGCGACGGCGGCGTACACAAAACTTCTTCGAGCAGGTCCGGCAGTGATCTCGCTCGCTCATGGGGACTACTTGCTGAGGCAGTACAATCTCCTCACGACCAACTCGAAAGTTCTCAGTATACTTAAGAATGCCGTTGATACACTTCTCCACGTGCGATTGGATTGCTGAGCTGGCAATCCAAGCAGGAAGGTTGCCATTTTTGTTGAAGTTACATGTGTAGGTCAGACGCAATTCACCCGGTTTCTTGGTCGAATGATACATGAATCCCATAAGCGGTACAAGGTCGCGCGCATACTTTGGCGACTCGGCATACTTCGAGAAGCCTGCCGGTGTATCCACGGATTGCATGATTCGAAAGGCAGTCATCTGTCCTTGTGCATCCTCAATCATGTCCACGTACTCAAGCATAAGCAAGTCACGATCCTTTGCAAATGGGCCCGAGCTCTTGAATGCAGCCCATTTAAGTGCAACGTAGCGGTGTGGGTTAGCTGGCGTGGACTCTACAATGTTCTGTACCACTGCCCCGTCTAAGAAGTCCGACGACAACATGGTCATCATCCGCTTGAACGATGCCGTCGTGGGCGTGATCAGTGACGCCGCGACGTCTTCGATGTTACAGGCGAACTTGCACACTGCATGAACGTTGCAGGGCACATTGGTTTCTGGATTGGATTCGTCGGCTTGGAAGAGCGAGATTCCATGCTTTTCGTGCACTAAGGTCCATGGAATACCACCGAGTAGATCGGTAGCTTCCAAAAGACTCTCCGTCATGCGTTTGGCCACCGTCGTGAGGCGTTCACGTTCTTTGGCGCATATTTCAGGCGTCTCGTCAATTGGCTCAATGTCATTGTCGTCTGCAGCTTCTGTTCCGTTTGAAGAGCCGAAGCTGGTGAGCGAACGTGGAGTCAAAGGGGTCCTTGTCAAGACTGGCCCGTCGGTCGAGCTATAGTCTGTCATGGATGGATCGAGCTTTTGTGTAGTTTATTTGCTCGAGCACTTGCTCCTCTACTAATTGTCTTGATGAATCGATAACCGCTTCGAGACACTCTTCGCAATGTTCGCGAAGAAGATGAAATACGAAACTGAGCAAATTTCAACTGAGGAAATGGTGTGGCGTTTCTCGTCGCCCGTAACAACCCGTAGTCAGACGCAGCACAGTCAGTCAGCTGCTGACCTCTATTTAGTACGAACGGCTAGTGAGCGGCTGAACTTGACCGGACAAGTTCTCTTCTATTTTCTCGCTGACGTACCTTCATTAGAGACGGGAGGATCAATAGTATCCGCTTAGTATTATCGTCAAGTGAGGAATGAGTTGAGCAAAAGTACTACACAACACCTCGAGACAGCCCATGACGATGACCGATAGATGATTTTCAAACTCAGACCTTGCTTGCAATGTAGAACAGTGCTCTAACGACGCTGTTTTACATGCCGAACAGTCCAGTGCTCTGGCGTTAAATATGGGCAGCGGCGATTTCAATGTCCCAGCCACGCATGCACGATACCAACTGCCTTCAAACGTACACTTTTGGAAGGATAGAGATGTCAGACCAATAGCATAAAAACGAGTCACGCATAAACGACATCGCGGCGGAGTGGAGTTGACGCTTGATTTGGTTTTAGATTGTTCGGTTCCCTTGAGAGGTCACGCACGACAAGACCTGGTGCGGGCGGGTTCATGCGGCCACGTAATCGATACCTTACTCAATAGAAGGTGCTGCGGGATCTCTGTTGCTTCAAGCGCGGCGATCTATGTGCGCAGAGTACTTCAATGAGATATACAAAAGCTATGTCTGTTTGTTATTGTGGATCTACTTGAAACCAGGAGGGTATGTATGTATGTACTCTAGACCAACAGGCTAGCGCTAGCGGTTGCATACAGAGTAGATGTGGTCGTGAATTGCTACGTGTGCGAGATACTGAGTAATCTAATGACCATGTTGCGTCTTGCGCCTAGAATATCACTACTGACTTCTTCTTCTTTGCTAGTGCTGCTTGTTGCTGGAAGATCGTATAGCGATAACGTCGTTCTGGTGACTGAGGCACGGGTACTTACCAAAAATCTTGAATGCTGTGTCCGCCTAGTGACAGAAGGTCTTCCGACTATGACACATGACTTGGCAACAATCCAACAGAACCTGATGATGATTGATATGCGATAGACTGGTCGAATGAAACAGCAATGAATGTCCATTATCCAGTAGTGTCGCTTATGCTGCTTAGCAGATTGAACGGTACTGGCATATGGAGATATCTAGTAGTACAGATTGCAGCTAATGATGTTGTCACTATGTTCTTACTACAGTGTTTCTCTACTACATCTGGGCCATACATTCCGCCTTTTCGTGGTCAATGCAGGCAGACATCTTGTCGATCGGTTTGTGCCTTTGACGTACGTAAGTCATAGCTGGTCAGAGAGATTTATGTTACGGCAGGACTTCACGGTCGCTATTGATCAACATTGATGTGATTGCTGGTAAATAGGTAACATCTGAGCTAATGCTTGTTTGGTTGGTAGGGCATTGCAGATATACTTTTGATCTGGACATGAGTCCTAGTGGAGGAGAGCGGAAGTGATCAATGCAGCTAAGTTGCCTGCTGCACCATCGATTTGATAGCATTATTTACAATCATTTCATCAATGTCGGGTCACTCTTGATGTTTTTTAGTTTCGTAGTCGTGACATTTCTCGAATCGACCCTTTGTCTGTAGGATGCGTTACTAGATGATGTAGTGGCAGCTACTTTGTCGGACAGATCGATGAAACTTAACAAACTCGCAAAATGAGGAGACACTAAATTTTGTATCGATATAGTGGGTGGCAGTACACAGAAGAGTTGCAACGCTTGAAAATGCCACGGTATTCTGCGTTCATAGATGGCTGACGTTGTGCAGATGTTTTCGGACATGCGACTTTCTAATGGCACGAAGCGATTTGCTTGCTTCATGATTGTATGCTGAGGTAACAGTATCTACGAAACGATTTACGCTCGTCGCACATGGGCGGATACGTTGAGACGGTCATGGAGAAGAGCTCAAAACGTATTCGATATTTCCAATCCAAAACACTCATGCACCTGTAATGAAACTTTGTTGACCAGGCCAAAAGCTGATGTCAACAGCGTGAGGCTTTGATGCGATGTTGTAGCGGATACCGACGGTGCTGCATCTTCTGTCGCCAATGTTTCAATCACATGGACTCTTACTTTTGTTTATGATCACAAAAGCTGGACCTGCGGCAATCGACATCTGCAAGATACCCAGCGAAAAGTTAGAAGCCAATACTGAAGAACTGAAAAACTTTGACAAACAGAAGCGTAACAACTGGCAAGCTTGAATGCGCAAAGAAAGCTCTATCTTACGAAAGACATGCGGTCACAACCTCAGCCATTGTATCTCAATTGACGCGTCCTAGGTGATCGCCCTCACTTCGATACGAATGATCTTCAATTTTGTTCGGTGACTGAACGACTAGTGAGTGGTGACTCACCACTTGTCGTACGAAAGGAAAAGTCAAAGCGGTAGCTATTGATGTAAGTGCTCTGAGGTGCGCTAATTCGTAAGAATCGATTTGTGTGAATGGTAATAGCATGTGATCTGGATTACTCTGTGATCTACAAAGAAGTTACCACGAACCTTCACTTCTACAAAGTCATCGTTGCCCAGTATTATATCATGGTATAGTGACGGCAGTAACGATAATGATGTGCGCATTAATTCAATCCTGCGGCACGTAGGGGCTCCCCAAGTATGTTCTGTTGGAGAAAAGAGACGCAGTTGCAATCGAGAAATTTCAACGCCGCGAGTTTGGTTGATTAGACGATTGTCCACCGCCTATGCCATAGTTGCAAATCTGGCATTCCTGAGTTCGCCAATGGTATGCGCCGTTAATCACATCGAAGCCTACAGCAAACTCGGCACAATACCGGTCGTACAAAGCTTCCCACTCGTCAAACGTGACGATTTCGTATTGACGCGCAGGTTTAGAACCGTGACTAGAAAAAAGGCAACACACAGTCATCTCCTTCGTAAGTACCAGTCAAATCAGTATACAAACAGCACATACAACCTACAGTTGCGTGGACTTGAGTGATTGCTCAAGCGTAAATCCCGACAGGAACATGGAAATATAGGGTGGCACAATCGTCCTCTGATGTGACAAACACACCAGCTCGGCATTCAGCACTGGACCAGGTGCTTCCTTTTCTTGACTGCGCACATACTTCCTCCACTTGTTTAGCCATTTTTTTGGTACCAAAAAGTACGTGGCAAACTTGCTTCGTCCGTTCACGGACAGATGCAGTGCCAATTGCTGCCGTCTGCTCCCCACCAAGTCTACAGGTGAAAATAATCCTTTTGGAAATCCATTCTTCCTCTCCAACAATTCCAACATCTCTTCAGATCCTGCAATTTCCTTCTCAAATCTCGCTCTCTTTTTTTCCTCGGCCTTCAACTTCCGGTTCTCTTGCTCCAGTACACAAGCCGTACAGTCGCAGCACGATCGGAGTGGAAACCCTCTCAGCTCTGGAGCATATACTGTAATCTTCCTGAATACGTCTCCACTAAGAATAGCACGTCGATTGCGTCCCACGCATTGCGCAGCTGGCAGCAATGCGTCATGGCTACAAACAATCATCGCTCCCGCTTCGTTAAGCGACAAGTTCGATGCATTTTCAAGCTTCTCCAGCACAAAACTGTCCTTCGTTTTCAATGCATTTTGCCGTCTCACCTGCCGTTTTGTGCGGCGGAATTGCAGCAAAAAGTGCTCAAATGCCTGGCAGCGTTTCTTGTATGCGCTGAGCCACGTGCGACTCACCACGACGCAATTAGGCGAGCAGGACGCAGCGTCTTCAAATGAATGAGCAGCAAATCGGGCCAAGAGATCCTTGATGTAAAGCAGCTCAGCACCTCGTAGCACAACAAGTGAGCGTGGCCAGTGAGTGGACGAGGACGGTAAGAAGCTCGTCACGTCGGCAAATCGATGTGTGATGACGCGTTCCAGAGCTAATTGAACGGAGAAACTTGACGGAGATAATGAACGGCATGTGGAAGTGAGCTGGAGAACGTCTCGTGCCGTCAAGAGTGAGAACAAATGCCCTAAGAGACCGTCAGGAAAGTGCTCCATTGTAATTGGAATTATCATCTACTAAGTGACCTGCATGATGACTGTAGTTCTACTAGAGGGAGATGCGAAAAAAAAACCCACAAAACTTAACGGTTTTAACGGTGCTGAAGAGAGATATTTTTGTAAGACGACAGATTTGTCAGCTCAGATTTCAAAAAAAAATAACAGTTAAGAATCTGACTTTAGCATAATGAACTTTTACATTTCAGAAAACGAAATATTTCATTGCATGTTTTTTTGAAAAATACATTTCCAATGCCTTCGATTCAAAACCCATCAAGATGCACTTGGCTCGTGTGACCGACCGTTTGCCACTCCTATTACCACTTGGTCTTCTTCATGGAGAGGATGAAATATCTTCATTATATTATACCGTCGTAAAGATTCGTCCTACATTGGTTCATGTCCTCGTAAATAGTCGTGTTGTGGTAAGTAAAAGGTGATTACTTTAATTCATTGGTACTGATTCTCATCATTCTCTTCTCTTGGTGTTTGTTTTTAGTGCATCATTCGGTCAAATGTACCCATTAGAGACGTCACGGATTACTACAATAATTCATCTAAAGCTTCGTATCGACTCTTGATTGCTGTGGCTGATGGTAACGTGTGGATTGTGACGTTACCAGCGTCTGCACACGTTGGAACAAGTGAAGAGCTTCTTACTGATATTGTACTGGAACGTTCGTCTAGTGAGAGAAATACAAGTGGAATGGCACAATGGTTTTGTCAATTACCTGGAGTACAATTTGTTCAGTCGTGTCAATCGGGATTGACGTCCTTGACACTCATGACAAGTGTCGTAGCTCCTACGACATTAACTGTGAGCATTCGAGGAACCTCGGAGTCGAAACTACAACGTTATCAGTCACTGGAACTACATGATCTTGAAGGTGAGCAATCCACTTGCTCACTGTGCTTGAATAGTCAAGAACCGAGACATTGTAAGCTCCTGAAAAGCTTGTTTCCAGATGTGGCAAATGTATTAGTTGGTGGCGTGGTTGCTATTTTACAGGGAGATTTGGATGGAAGTGTGCGGTTTTCCTTGGTTTCTTATCCTTGTAAAGAAGGAGATGTGACAAAAGTGTCGGTCATTCGCAGTGGAACACTTGTACAAATGGACGAGCCTGTTGTAAGGATTGTTCCTTTCGCGTCTGCCACCCCGTTCACATTAGCTTTAGAAGGAAATGTAGCAACAGGGTCATCTACAGTATTTGATGCACTGTTATTTCTAGGTGCTCGAGGACGCGTAGGAACAATTCATTTGAAGGGTGGGTGCTTGATAGAGACTCTTCCTGTGTCATTAAAAAAGCTAGATCTTGGATGTGCAGTCCAGTCATTGGCATTTATTGCTAGTTTGAAAGTGTTTGTCTTTTGCTCGAACGGTTCGGCCTACGTGTTTCGAAGCAATGATGTACTAAAAAAAGCACAGTTTGAAGATGCAGAAGGTCGATGCAATGACCTTAGAATATGTGCCGAGAAAATGCCATTTCAGCCGGTACGCATGTCATTTTGGTTTTGCTGAATAGATCGTTGCGCACTCATGCAGAGTTTGTGTATGTATGAAATGCTAGGGCATCCTGCGCCTGGCAACGCATGACAGCACACACGATATGTCAATGCTTTTCGCATCAGGGCGAGTGATAACTATCACCGAGAGTTTACTTCGCGCTAAGGTATCCAGTGTGCTGTTACCTGATGATAAGCAAAGACCCGAGAACGGGCTATCATCTGTACAAGAACCGATGAGCGATTCTCATATACGCAATTTATTGCATCGCATCGCACAGACGTCCACCGAATCAACTGCCTTGCGCACCCAATCGAAGCAGCTTGATTGCCAGCTCAAGATGCTACACTCGGCTTTCGAATTGCTCCAAATTGTGAAAGCAAAAGGTTTGTTTCACTCACCTGAATCAAGGTTATTGCGACTATTTTTTCATCTCTTCTTTGTTGCTGTTTGTAGGTGTTGACTCTGTGATCACTTGTGATTTGAGAGCATCATTGGTTTTAACTGGCACCTATTTGGAACTGCAGACGGTGAAATTGATGTGTTTCACACGTTTTGCGAATCCTGACGTTATCGTCTCGCTCGATGAATGGTAAGAGGCAAAGATTTGAAGCTGTTATTTGTTGTGGTGTGTGCATCAATATTGACGACACAATCTTACATTACTGTTTCGATCATTGTGAGCAGGTGGCTATGTATGCATGTGCGCACTCGCGAATGTGCCGTCGTGACACACTCATTTCCATTGAATGACGTACTTACTTGTGGAGAACAGAGTATCATCCTTGATCCAGAGATGGTCGCTCTACAGGATCAAGGATTCTTGTCAGTATCGTGCTCGATGGTGTTTTGTCCCATAGAGAATGGTTTACCAGATACAAAACATTGCAAATCGAATTGCATTGAGTTTAAGCCAGTTAATCAAGAGAACATGGCATCAATTGCAATCCCGCTACTTCAGAATCGACGGTTCCTGTTTGCACAGCTAAGTCAGCCTGTTGAAGAAGAAACCCCAGTCAGCCAAGTTGCCGTTCACTCTGCCTTGCGTCAAAATCACGAGTCGCTGATGCCAGTTGGAAGGAAGATCAAGAAAGGAAGAGCCTCGTCATCTCCACTTTGGAGTGGTGTGCAATGGTGGGAGGCATTAGCCGATCACGCCCGCAAGAAAGCATCGTTTGCAACGTTGTGGGCGAAAATTTCCCCTCCAGGCACAATTCTTGCAGCGCCAACTCCTCCATCGCGGTTTGTGATCTCTATTCCTTCATTCTTCGCTGCAGAAGGCGAAGAAGAGGATGAAGATCTTGAAAAGATTCGCAATGAAAGAATGGTGTCATTCTTGTGTCATCTCTTAGAGAGACAAAGTGATGAAGAGTTACCTTTACGTCGTAGCTGCAGAACGCAACATGGAAAACTGTGGACAGCGTTGCGATCAATCTCGGGAGGTCTCGTACTTCTGCGCTTTACCCCGTCCGAAGGCCATGAACGATCTGTTGACATATCTATCCAATGCTCCGATTTGGCGGATCTTTCAGCTGTACGTATTTGGTACTGGTGTAAAAAAGCTTTATCAGCAAAACCTCTATGAATGACAGTGTGCCGTGATACTTTGTAGATGCGAGCTCTTGTTATGGAGAAGATCAACAAGCGAAGTGATAAGGTTATGCGGGGAACCATCAAAGACGATCAGCGAGAAGAGCTCGTCCGAGACATGAGCGAAATGTTGGAACCCATTGCAGCTCTTGATAACCTTCTCGTGAGTAGTTTAAGTCAGATGATGTCCTATTAGACGATGTGGCATTACTAATCTCGTTTGAACTCGGTTGGCAGGAACTGACGCAGAAGACAGCTACCAGTATTGTCGATCCTCAGTCGGCTATTTGTACCGATGAAGTGCTTCATGCAATCTCGCAGCTAGCACATTTGGAAACACAAACACTCACGCTTTATTGGAAGACAAGATTACTGCTCAATAGTACCATCATATAGGGCATGCTGTTCATGACGTCCACGTTTGCCTTATCTACAATGAAGAATGGTTGAACGCACTGACTGTATCATATTGCAGAAACATTGATTGGAGTTCATCGTGCAAAGCCAGAGTTTGTCGTTAGCGTCGTGCCAATTTTGTTGCCTCTCCTATCGTTCTTCGATAGAAAGACGTTGGTCACGCAAGCACGCTTTCTCAGATGGCAAGAAACTGAGTAGACGCGCTACATGTTCACACAAAGACCAGTTGAAATAAGTCTGTTAGCTTACATCAACCCAGCTAATGTCGTACCTCGAAGTAGTGAGGTGCTCGAGTTGAATAGAGCGTGTAGATAAGGTTGAGAGAGATAACATAGTGCACTGATGTAGCAATGGCTGCCACGGTAATTTTGCACTCACGGCAAAGCTAAGCACGGTGATAGGCAAGGCTGCGAAAAACACTGAGAACAGGCAGCACTTCTGTATAAAGATGGGCTTAGCTCGTTCTAAGACCCGACAATCGATACAATTGAAGCACTCTTACTGGCAAAAAGAAGTACCTCTTTGTCGATGTTTGCTTGTGTGACCTTGTCTGAAGAAGTTGTGGACAAACTATCCCAACTGTAGCATGTAGATACCAAGTTCTAGCCAAAAGTCGTACATGTACAGAGTTGACGTTGGATCAAGCCATACAAGGTACTACATTGCCACGAACAGATACAGCACAAGGACAAGCAACTTGGTTCGACCATCCAATTAAACGCCGTTGAACGTCAGCCTTTTGCGATTAGCAATACCAGTAGCAGCGTGTCCACGTGAACAAACACAAACACCTCGGCCGCGTATTTGAAGAATAGAATGTCTATGCCATCAGATTGAAATCGAGCAAAGTCCGTTGGCAAGGAAGACAAACATTACCACGAGTGTAAGAATTCTCATGATCGGGTGAAAAGATTCAGATTTGCTCATGCTTCACACTGCCACTAGTTGTGTCACTGCTGTAGCCCTTGCAACGACCATCATGGCTGCATAAATTGTTGGCATTCCTCATTCTTGCACTAGAAGCTCACTACCATCTTTCTGCGTCATGTGAATGATAAAACCAAGACGAGAAGTAGAATTGACGAAGCTTGGTGCCTGTAGTTTTAGACCAGGTACCCAAACCTCAAACGTTGGTGTTCATAGATATCCCATTGAAATGAGAGAGAGGTCATGTGAGAAGTAGTAGTAGCTGTCACATTGACAAAACACCTTTGAAATGTTTACTAGCGACTTGACAGTAGCAATTTCACAAGCTATTCATCATGATATACTTCCAAAAAAGTACTTCATCATCGTAAATGAGTACTTGCAATCCATTTACATGTGTCTTAATCTTACCTATTGACCTACCAGAACAAGCGTATACTTGGATTTCTATGTAGATTTAGCAGAAGCTGACGGTCGGTCGTTAACCTTACAATCTTATCCAATGTAGACGTCCAGGAGGAGCAGAATTTGCCAATGTAATAAACATTGTCTACCAAAAGCATATCCAGTAACAAAACTACTATGAGTTAAGAGTATCATAAGGTAATGGATGTAGTAAGCAGGTCTATTGATTCTGTATCTTTCTTAGTGTATATAATAATCTTCAGTTAGTATAACTTCAACAAAATAATGATGGATTGGATAGTGGTACTACATTGAAACGTTTTATTCTGAATATAAGTCGTTCTCTCTCTAACAGAAGGTGGGTGTTGTTCGTACTACTAGGTCATTTATCTATCTTGACTCAATAGTATCAGAAGAGAGTAAAAATATCTACTTTGTCTACAAAACGCATCTGCATAGACGATAGTTAGTTTTCTTTCAGGTGACGTAGTGCTGGATCTTATCTTTAGTTTACTCTACGCTTTCAGTTTCATGCAGCAAACTAACTGACTGACTCAACGTAGGTTAAATCTACTTTCGACAGTACGGATCCATAACAATCGAACACGAACTAGCTATGTTTCAGGTAGGTAGTATAATGTAATGAATGCATTTCTTATGCATAACATGTTGTCAAGTTGGTAGTTCAGGTTCAGTCGCTGCTAATGGAGCTTGCTAGTATTAGTAGATAACATTTACGAAAGTGCCCGTACCGTCTCCTGACAACATTAGCTGCTGCTGCTGCTGGAACAAAGTAGCTAGTAACGGATACCAGCGTCACTTGACCCTGTGACCAAAGTGCTAGTGAAAGCACAAACTATTGAATTCACATAGCTTAATTAAATCGAACAACTTTAGGACATATGAATATACACACAGATATTCAGAAGAAGAAGAGAACTATCTCGTGATACAAAAAACACACCCAGTAATTTCATACATTCTATCTCTCAACGTTTTTTGTAACCATGATCTGGTCAAAAAAGATAAAATTGTCACGTCGTCAGTCTCCGCGACTTTCCACCAGATGGCAGTAATTTAATAAGTCAAACAAAAACCTTAATAGTACTCCTAATAAAGAGTTTGAAAAAGGGGAAGGGGACAAGTCCTTCGAAAAGGGTTAATTGACCATCACTTTCGATTGGGCAGGACTTACCATCACCTTAAAGGAGTCAGTTTTGTCAACGGTTTTGTATCACCATTAACAACTAACCACACAAAAAAAGCGTTCAGTCGTGTACCACTTTAGAAAATCTCACGTGTGTGTTTTGTTGTAAAGAGGAAGTGTTCATTACTAAGAAGCCACGCTATTGCTTACATTGTGTGCTTTTATTATATCTACTCCGTCTTCGTCTTCATCGTCTTCATCGTCTTCTTCTGTCTCAGGGTCTTTTTTTTCATTTCCAAGACGGAATCGTCAAGTTTTGTTGATTGAAAGAGTCTTGGTCTCTTAAAACATGGCAGTGCATCGCACGGAAGAGTTACAAGAGTGGGTTTGTAGTATTACAGCTACGTCAAATGATCATGGTGAACATTTGTCAGTGATGCTACGTGATGGTCAATTATTGTGTTTACTAGCGAATCGTGTGGACCCCACGGCGAATCTCAAGGTGAATAAGCTGAATACGGTGTTTCATTCAAAGATCAATATTCGCCTTTTTCTTGAGTGGTGCAAGAAACAGGGACTTCATGATGGAGATGTATTTCAGCCTGATGACTTATTGGATGCGGGTGCAGACTTTGCATCAGTATTGGGTACACTCTCTATCCTCTTTGACCGATTTGGTACGATTGGATACACGGGAGAGTTTGAGGAAGATCCGGTATCTGATGTAGAGTCCATGACGTCCACTGGTAGCTCGCAAGGCGCGTCACCAGTAAAAAACACGAACAGCAACAACAAACTCACCAACTTCATGAAAGGTGGATTTTTGCCAAGGAAAAAGAAACCATTGAGTAAAAACATAACGGATGATTCTCTTGATAAAAAACATCCGTCTACGCCTCCGCCAAGGTCGCCTCAGGGGGGTGGGGGGAATGATGTCTCCGCCTGGCTCGCCACCGATGGAACCGCCGATGCAGAAGGACACGAGGAGTAATAGTGGAGGTGTGAACGTGAACCGCCTGAACGCGTTCTTGAACCAAGTGCCAGCAGCGCGTAGTTCGCCACTAACGCAAAATGAGCACCCACCGGGTCCTTCTACGACGGCACCTAAGCCTAAGGCACGCCCCACTGTAAGGAGGCCACCTTCGCCAAAGCAGCCTCCGAAATTGCAGCCTTCTAGAACGCAGCCGATTAGCCGTGACGCCCAGAACAAGCTTGCGGCCTTTGTGAAATCCAACCCGCCCGCTATCGAAACAACGTCTGCATCGACTGGGCCCAACGGCTATAACCTTTCTCCCGCTGCGGGTGCTGTATCCACCCCTTCCCCATCGAAGTCTGCCTTCACCAAAGGTGACGGCAGTCTGAAGCCAGGCATGCCTGCTCCTGTTTCATCGAAGACACATGTTGATACAGGGTCTGCCAACAAGCTTAGCAACTTTATGAAGCAACAACCGTCTGCATCACCGGCCTCTTTGTCGAAGCCTCGCTCTAAGAGCAAGCTAGCAATTTTTTTGGCGACAACGAAATCTGTTTCACCAACATCGGCAGCATCATCTGCTGGCCTGTCGACAAACTCGCTGGCTGGAGGCCGACCAAATTTGAAGCCTGCGTCAGATGTTCCAGCTGTTTCGACGCCATTTAAGCCACGTCACATGATAAAACGCTCTGCGGGCAGCGGTAATTATGTCCGCAAGTATCAAACGTACTGGGTCCCTCCTAACCGTCGCCGCAGCAAATTCAGCTTGGAAACGAAGCGAAAAGCATTCATGAAGGAACAACTGGATATTAAGGAAGAACAGCTTCGTCAGCAGGCTGCAGGTGCTGGAAACAAGCAAAACTTGATTGTCCCTGGCGTGCAGTGCTACATTCCTGACAAGGAAGATGTGTGGCTGCTTTCCGAAATCGTAGATTATAATGATCGCAGGAAAGAGGTGACGATTACGGCATTCTTGGATTCAGGTGATTCTGAGCAGCGCGTTGTGGATCTAAAGAATCCGGACGTAATTCGTGCGGTTGCGGGACCGACAGCAACTGAGGTGGGGTCACTTCCGATTGCAATTATTCACGATGAACCAGAAGGCGTGGACGACATGCGTCTGCTCCGATACTTGAACGAGCCATCAATTTTGTTCAACTTGAAGCAGCGCTTTGCGGCGTCGAAGCCGTACACATACAGCAATGATATTGTGATAGCAGTGAATCCATACAAATGGGTTGAAAACCTCTACGGAGACGGTTTACACGAACAGTATTTACGGAAGCCGCGCGACTCGCTCCCTCCTCACGTGTACTCGACATCAACGGCAGCCTACAACCACATGAAGACAACCGAGATGAACCAAAGTATTCTTGTGAGTGGTGAGTCGGGTGCCGGTAAGACGGAAACAACGAAAATTGTGATGAACCATTTAGCCAGTGTGGCTGGTGGGCGCAAGGACAAGACTATTGCTAAGGTCATTGATGTGAACCCGCTTCTAGAGTCTTTCGGTAATGCCAAGACAACCCGTAATGACAACAGTTCGCGTTTTGGTAAATTCACTCAGCTACAGTTTGATAACCGTGGTAAGCTGATCGGTGCAAAGTGCGAGACTTACTTGCTAGAGAAGTCGCGTGTGGTATCTATTGCCGAGGGCGAGCGTAATTATCACATATTCTATCAGCTTTTGGCTGGCTTGTCTAGTCAAGAACGGAAAGAGTTTGGTCTTGACCCTAGCTGCAAGTACCAGTACGCCGGTTCGCTGGCAGAGATGCAGATTCCTGGTCTGGACGATAGCAAATGGTTTGTGAGTACACAGAAGTCGCTGTCGACCATTGGTTTGGACGCAGCCGCTCAAAAGACGCTTTTCAAGATCCTGGCTGGTGTGCTGCTGCTTGGCGAAGTTTCGTTTGAGAAGTGTGGTGAAGGCGGATCTCGCATTTCGAGTAGTTCAGCGCTATCGCAAGTTGCTAAGATGTTTGGCCTTCAGGCAACAAGAATTGAGGAAGCATTATGCAACCGTACGGTCATTACGCGCAACGATAGCGTGACAGTGCCACTTGCTCCTGTTGAAGCAACGGAGAACCGTGACGCGTTGGCTAAAACCATTTACTCAAAGATGTTTGACTGGATGGTGGTGAAGATCAACGCTGCTATCAGTACGGACGAAAGTCGCATTAAGGGCCAGATCGGTGTGCTGGATATTTTTGGTTTTGAAGACTTTGTACACAACGGGTTTGAGCAATTCTGTATCAACTATGCGAACGAAAAGCTGCAGCAGAAGTTCACAACCGATGTGTTCAAGACTGTTGAAGACGAATATATCCGCGAAGGCTTACAGTGGGACCATATCCAGTACCAGGACAACGTGGGCATTGTGGAGGTGATTGAGGGAAAAATGGGCATCATTGCTCTCATGAACGATCACCTTCGTCAGCCACGTGATACTGAAGAGGCTCTTGTGAACAAGATTCGTACAAACCACCAGACAAAGAAAAACGGCGATGTGAATGAGAGCATTGACTTTCCTAAAGTAAAGCGCACGCAGTTCATTGTCAACCACTACGCTGGTCCAGTTACGTACGAGACGGTGGGTTTCATGGAAAAACATCGTGATACCCTGCAGACGGATCTTCTTGATTTGATCCAGTTGAGCAGCCTCCCGCTGCTTCCGGAGCTCTTCGAAGATAGTGAGGTCACGACGGAGAGCGAGAGCGGACGAGGCAAGAAGGCGCCAAAGAGTCTTGGATCTCAGTTCAAGACATCGTTGGCGCAGCTAATGGATAACATCAAGACAACCAATACGCACTACGTTCGCTGTATTAAGCCGAACTCAAACAAGAGCCCGATGGAGTTCAACAAGCGCATGATTGTGGAGCAGCTGAGATCAGCTGGTGTGATTGAAGCTATTCGTATCACACGTTCTGGTTATCCAAGCCGTCTGACCCCGAAGGAACTGGCCACGCGCTATGCGATTATGTTCCCGCCGTCGATGCATAGTAAGGACGTTCGTCGCACATGCAGCGTGTTCATGACGTCGATCGGTCGCAAGTCACCGCTGGAGTACCAAATGGGTAAGACGCTTATCTACTTCAAGAACGGAGTCATGGAAGAGCTGGAGGCTATGAAGTCCGATTTCATGTACTACGAAGCGCGCACCATCCAGCGTATTGCATTGGGTTTCTTGGAGCGTCGTCGTCTGCGGAACAAGATTCGTGCGGCTATTGTACTGCAGTCTTACGCTCGTATGTCGCTGGAGTTTAAGGAATATCGTTTCCGGCGCGGGGAGATTATCAAAATTCAACGTGGCTGGAAGAGGTACAAGTCTATTCCAGTTGTGCCTCAGTACAACAATCCAGTGGACAATTTTAACGATGGCGGCCAGTGGGCGGATGAGCTCAACGATTCGGATACGGACGAAGGCTTTGGTGACGACCCTCTTCGAGCAGAACGGGGCAGGTCAGTCGCAGACCGCATGGAGTCGTTCAAGGTTGCCCACTCAAGTCGTCGAGGCAGTGTGAAGCGTCTCAACGAGCTGTCTGCTCGTGCCAAAAGCTTCATGAAGACGCGTAGCGGCAGTGGCAGCACATCGAGCTCAAGTGGTATTTCTCTCGAGGATGAAAACTCGATGCTGAAGATCGAAAACCGGAACTTGAAATACGATTTGGAACTGATGCGTGAGCAATGTATTGAGCTACAGGCCATCATTCTCGAGATCAACAAGAGCCGCAAGAGGTGAATGAAATGATGGTATAACGAACCCTTGCCTGTGTTTACAGCAACCTCAAGACTAGCAAGAAATCAACAGTTTTTAATAAACGCTGCAAAAGCGTATATCTGTAGCGAAAGAAAGACATGGCATTTTTTTCTCTTTCAAAATGAAGCCGTCGGGGGGTACATTCCGTATTTGTTCTAGCAACCTGGTTGTTGTTCTTGTCCCTTTGGCATAGACTGCTTGAGTTGCGAGAGAGCACCATATGCTATATTGTCTGAAAGGTGTGTTATGGTGGCCAACTCTTTCGACTCATCAAGTTGTCGGAAGCTCATTACGTTCTTCAAGATCATGCTATCGGATACACCAGTGCTTTTGCTCTATTCAGCATGTCATGCATCAACACAACTATACAGAAACACTGTCACTGATCAAGGAGCCAAAGAATTACCTCATGTACTCTACAGGCACGACTCATTGACGCATTTTTGTCTGAGAAACAGCTTCATCAAGGTGCTGATGCTCTGGCTCAGTCTATCATGACAACTAAACATGATCAAGTAGTTGGAGCTCGCTCACCAACGAATCATGTGAGTTAGGCGCTTGCTCGGCTTGAATGTCAATTTGCATGTTAAGGTCGTTGATCTGGACGCAAACGATGTGCGATCATCCATCGTAAGGTAATTTGATGCGGTATTACACTTATGTTAGCACACAGTCAGGCCAAGTCATGAAACTTGAGTCGCTGGGAGAAGGTCGAGATGACAACTGTCCGCAGACTCGGATCAAGAGAATAGTTGAAGTCAGTATCATTACAACAATCAGGTTGTGGTTGCGCCGTCGTGCTTGTTGAGATGTTTACTTGTTACGCCATGTACAAGTTGCACAAGGACGAAGCAATCGAACATTGGAAAGGTAGCTATCAAGGTTGACTGTGACTGTAGATCCTCGAGCTATCAGATCTAACCAACAAACTTTAATCTTGCTTTTCATTTCGCGCTGTTGATAGCAATCGTTACAGAATATGAGCCTAATGGCTGATATAAATGATGTCTTGAACAACTCAATTACTTTCCTTGACGTTTATTGCACAAATAACATTCGCTAGGAAGGAATTGCAATGGCATGCTACTGACATCAAGCCAGAAAATACAGCGCAGCGCAAGACGCAGGAGTGAAAAGCTACCGATATGAACGCGCTGGCTATAGTGGCCTGAATACTTAGCCCGATGTATGATACGGAAGTCAGAGCCTGTCTACGAGGCATGGGACGCGCTCTGCATTTTTCGTGAAGCAAACACTTCACAATCGAGTGCAATTGCGAAAGGAAACTCATGCGCTCACGCTGGATCAAGGCAACAATCTAATGACGCATACAGTGCGTTTTGATAAACTTTTGCTCGCGATTAGCTGCAGTTAAAGAAGTTGTATTGATGGAGGAGCTACTTTCCTGCAGCATGTCTTCAAGTGGCTAGCCCAAAGGAAGACTGAAACTCAGAGGATCTCTTAGTACAGCTAGCGATTTTACATCAGAGTCAAGAACGGTCGAAGACCCATAATATGTATGCCTTAAGAAGGCATCACTCTCATTCATGAGAAATGTAATTTGAACTTTGTTGTTGCTTGGGCCATTTTTAAATGGCCAACATACAATCTTAGTTATACCATAATAGATCTATGTAATATATGCCCCAGGTGGCCGTAACACCACCTCTCCTATACGGTGTGTATATTGTGTACTTCTTTCTCAGTGTCCGACACACCATAACAACCTTCCGCTAACTTAGCGGGTGCTCTACCACTGAGCTGTAGGGCTCATACAACTCGACGCAGAAATACTCGCGATCTCAAAAAGAACCTCCACATACATACACCTCGACGGCTACAAGCCGCACAAACAAACACACCTTCAGTATTTTGTCGTTATCGAGGCCTCCACATCCTTTGTTTCTATTTTGCATTTCCCAACGACGCCACAATTCTACGCACGGAATATCTAGCAGCTACTCACGTCTAGTAAGACCATTGCCTCGCTCCGCCCTCCCTCACCAGACATTTGGTACACACATCAACAATCGTACATTTACTTCGTCGACGTTGGATTGCATAAGCCCGCGTCCAATGCTTTCCCAAGCACCTTACTGTCCGCGAATAAGTATTTGCTATTAGCAAGAAAGGTAACGAACGGTCATCTAATGAGTCAAAGATGCCAGGGAAGAAACGTCCCCTGACGGCTGTACAAGGCCTAATTGATTACCTCAAGGAAGAAGAAGTGATGGACTACAAAAGTGACACTGGCTTTGCACCCAATGACAAACCCTCGTCATGAGGCACATATGTGCCTCAGCAGAGCATCCCTTCATCTTCGGTTGCATCCTCTGTACATAAAGTCATTTCCGACTTACATTGCTACACCCTACTGGTTATTACAACTGCCAATCCTCTCGTTGAGTAGCAGCAACTCGTTGATGCTAAAGAAACCAAATGCGCGCGTAAGGCTCGAACCAGGCCATTTTCTGGAACTTGGCGCAAGTATGATTTTATGGTACCACGCAACATTAACTTCACTGTATAATAGGCTGCTGGACACATGTGTACCCAGGCCCAGATGCTACTATGTGGTGGAGCGGTAATCACAAAAAAACTCTCTATGATCCCAACCTACCATTGGCGCCCAAAATGTCGATGACGGAGGGGGTACCCCAATACCATATGCTAGTTCTTCCTCACCTTGTATACCCGTCGACTGGGCGGTCTGCACTCTCCTCGGTGGACTTCTCTGATCTTGACCGTGATGGGGTATAAATCGAAGGTTGTGGATCGCGTGGAAATTCTTCACGCGATCGCAGTAAACACTGGCGATAATAGCTGCATTGGTCCACCCTGGATCTTCCCATTTCCTTTCTTTTTTATTCTCTTGAGCCTTCTAGTAGATTTTCTGACCACTTGAAACGTTTTCCTTGCTTGAACGCTGCGTCCGATCGCAGTTCACATGATTTGAGTATGCTGGAACCCCACCAAAATCCCCGTGTCTTCTTTCCCTTTATTCAACAAATGGCCAAAGATCCAACCTGAAAGAGATAATAACACGCGTACCTTAGATGTTACCTATGTATTATTAACACGTATACTAAAACTAGCCTAAGGTCAAACACTACCTATGGCTATCTAGCAAAATTAGTATCAATGCCCTTCCTACTAACCTGTGTCCAATTAACCCAAAAACTACCATCTTGCCTACTTGTATGACAGGAACAACGACACTCGTCGCTTCAACGACGACCACGATCCGGGGTATGTGATCCACACAACGCGATCCGATCCGTAGACGGGCACGATCGCAATCTATATTGCGTAGTCCACACCGTGCGATCGCTTTATTGATCAATCACGTGTGTTTCGGACTTACCACAATTATTGGATTGCCCGATCGCACAATCTTTATTTCTCCACAACTACGCCTAGCGCCTTTATGGAGAGAAAGCCCCTCTAACTGAAGTTCTTGATTCCGTAACGAACTGCTCTTTACGAGTACAAGGAGCGCCTCAGGCTTAGGCACATGGTGCCTCGCTGAATTATATTTGGAGCAAGTTAACCCTGCAGAAAGGTCTATTGGAGAATTTTAGGACGGCAAAGACGAGGTTGACTTTCTACCGCATGATAGTGATAGTTCACCCCAATGTCCTACTGTAAAGAAGCTTCATTCGCTAATCGTAATCCTGCTGTGGCTGTATCGATACACAAGACCGGACATTGCATTCGCTGTGCACAGGGCTAGCCGGCGAGCGCATGCACCAAGATACCGAAAATGGCGATAAGCAAAAAAAAACTAATTGTTTGCTATTGAAGGGCACCATTGATCAAAGCTAGAACTATAGGGAACATCTGGAAAAGAAGGACAGGTCATTGTTATTGATGGCTAAAGCGGCGTCAATTACGCAGCGGATCGCGTGGACCGCTAATCTGTAAGTGGAGGTGTGTTATGCTTAAATGGTATGTATTCAGTTGGATTTATGTCGGAAACAGGTGGCATTATCGACAGTGGAGGTCGAGTTTGTGGCAGCATCACTGGTGGCAAGTGACCTGCTAGGGATGAATGAACTGCTTGACGTGTGTGTTGCGAAGCCGATGCTGATGCACGTCTATATCTGAGCTGCCATGAAGCAAGTTAAAAGTGAAGACAGTCCAGTGTTATCTTTTTGAATGGTGTCGTTGTAGGATGGATCTCCAAGAAACAAGACAGAGCTGCCTTTTTAACGATGAAGGCAAAGCTCTTGTCCGCATCACATGTTGTGCTCGAGCTATCAGGACTGCGCGAAATTTTGCGTAAACTTGGCGTTGATACGAAAAGAAATATGAAGCTGTACGTGAAAACGTAGGCGGCGATCAAGCAGATTGAAAGCGAAGACACTTCAGACAGGGCGAAGCATACCTGATGTGTGGTACAAGATTTTGAAGAGCCTGCATCCTTAGTCGATAAACCTTGGACCTTCGGTCCATGGACTCTTGGACCCGGTCCCTGAAGGGCGACCTCGGTCCAGAGGTCCAGATACCCTAGCCAAGTAGAATCAAGAATCAGGTCTCGGGGTAAAGATAGGTTAAAGGAGTTAAAAGATAGGACTATATTAAATACTACTTAATTTGCGACCTACATAGCACGCTATAGTCGTGCTCTCAACTAACTTAACTAAATCTACCCACCTGTTCCGGGAAGGGATATATTGTGCCACCCCCGTCGAAGACAGTTGTGTATTAGACCCAAGCGTGAATAGAGCCCCAGGATATATTTGGCCTGTGGGTTCGTCGGAGTAGCACCCCACAATCGACCCACTATTGGAAGCGGTATCCCTACCCTAGTGGTTCGGGAGCAAGTAAAAGCCAGGCGGTTAACACCCCTGAGGTATCGAGGAAAAGTCCAAGGATGAGAATCTCCCCTGAAGAATTTGGTTATAAGTCCACCCTCGACCTAGTCGACCAAGTGGCCACATACCCGCCTACCGAGTGAAGTATATCCACTCGGTGCACCCCAAGGTCGACCTCTCTCAAGGCCGACATCACATCTCAACCAAGTCCTCCGAAGAGTACAATCCTCCAGCCGACGGGTACACAAGGTGAGAGAAGGTCTATACGCGGCATCGGGGTATCCCCTCCGACAGTCGGCAGTCCAGCACAGTGAGTGACTTTAGGTCTCATTACGCAGTTTTAAGAACCCACTCCACCATAGTGACATAGCCCACATTCGTGACCTTAATAGCTTGTCCATCAGCAACATTGCATTCTTATAAGCAGTAGACAGCACCGACAACCATTATGTCGTCCATAATTACTGACGACTGGCGCCACTATCGAGAATCCAAGTCTGTTCCCGACCACTGAGTGCAGTACCAATACTACGTGCAAATGACGGGTATGGCCGAGCTGGATACACCCCCAGCATCGTCGTCCATCACCTGGCGTCAAAATAGCCACTACAACAGTAGTACTGAGTGCAGTGCATTGTTCCGGCCGTAAGTGGGTTGTAATCTCCACTCACCAGGTGTGCGTTTGCATACTGTTCAAAAGTACTGGCGAAGTCTGCCACGCTTGCTTGAGATAGACAGGACGGCAACAATCGAGCCGCGTTGCATGGCTCTTTTCACCGTCGTTGCACCGTCGCAGATTTACTCAAGCACAAATCGATCTGGGCAGTTGGCCGATCTAGCCGCGTCAACCAGGTACTGGTACTGCTACGTGCACTGCCGATCGCACTGCTTACGAGCCCACATCAATTGTGTTGCTTGTTCCGCAGTACTTTTGTCGTAAACCCTCAAGCATCTTGTTTATTAGATATTCAGCCGTAGGCAACCCGACGCCCGAACCTATCATCTTATAGAAATTCTTTCTTGAAAAAATATCTTCGAGATACCGATTAGGGTTACTATTTTGTACTCCTCTAGTCATTCTTCACCTCCGCTGAGTCGTTGAGCCGCGCCAAGCTCGTCCAAAAGCTTCAATTAGCCAGTCTTTGAACCCGGCCTCGAATCCCCTGTGCTCATACTTTCCAATAAAGCGCTCAATAGGCAGCTTCATATCCTTGACGATCGGCATCCTGACCTCAAAGTCATGGAGGGTAGAAGTGCGACCCAGACTGCATATTTCCTTGCGCCGTAGGTTGAACTCTAGGGTTAAATGCCATTTGCTGCCGCGCTTAAGGTCGTCGTCGCTTCGCTCATCGAGTCGTCTTGAGTCCGGTGCCACTCCACCACCAAGGACTGGCTGAAGACGCTTGAAGTGCTACCTACACGGGTATCCAGATCCGTCGGATGCAGCTAGTCCCTCTCCTTGCATTCCCACGCCAACTCGCGCATCAAATTTTGCGATGCGTCCCTCAAGTCGATCTATGAGATTAATGCCATGCTCATGGGCACCGAAAGCACTCGGTTGAGCGATCCCCGCGCTGTAACTTGTCATCTCACCGACCTCATTTGGGCGAGTGGCAAGAAAAGCTGCTGGCTTATGAGGGACTTAGGCTCATAACCTATGTCTTAGTCGGGCTTGATTAGAAGGAGGTAAACGAGATACTAAATATATTGAATCTGATTGTCCTAGATGACCCTTGTGTCCATTACCATTGATCCCTTCTAAATGGTCACCACGAGTCGCTCTGCCTTCTTTCAGATTCACTTCGCCTCCTCCAAAGATCTCTTTGCCTTTTTCACATTCTCTCTCCGCCTTTCACATGATCCCTCCGCCTTTTACATGATCCCTTCGCCTTAACATGATCCCTCCGCCTTTTCAAAGGATTGCATTCTCTCAGCGTCAACGGCATCCTTTCAACACATACGTCGGTTGTATAATAGAGAGTACTGCGAGTTGCTTTAGTCTGTGTAGACCCAGCTCCAGCGCTTCCACTCATTGGGTGAGCTAACTTGGCACTGTTTGCTATGCCAATTGTCTAAGCGCACCCAGCTTTCCTTGCTTTACCTTTTGTCAGTTTTCACTCCACCCGGTTTGGCTCGGCTCCAGCTTTGGCTCTAGCGCGCCGGCCTTTCACTAAACCTGTGCAACCGTCTCTCGCGTAAGATGTAGCTATGTAGTTCTTTACTCAGCGTATGTAATTTTGACATAGTCACAAAGATTTGTCTCGTCGAATGCAATTAATTGTACGACAGACGACTTAAACTCGAAATTGCAAAAATGCAACTTGCACGATAAAGAGAAAACGCGTGTGAGTTAAGCTGTCCAATGAACGATGCATACCATGAACAAGCTTTCGTTTTCATCTATGACGTTTCAGCAAAAGAAATTTATGGAGTTACTAGATACGTCCTCAACTAACGTGTCATTGCAGTCTAGGTCCGCCAACCTCACTTCTACTCTGTCAATCTGAAATTGCTGTCCCGGTGCTTCGACGGGTGCATAAGGCTCAATATCAACTGCATAATGCGATCCCCAGCTTTCACAATAGGAATCTTCGTTTTTCTTACTCGCGTTCCAACTGATTTGCTCGGCATCGTAGAGTCCAAGCTGCTTCAGTGGTTCATCATACCAGTCGTTCTTCTCTGTCAGCTCCTTACCGAGAGGAGAAAACAAGTCTTGCACACGGAGGGCTGGTTTATATTCCGGTCTGCATTCCGTTGCGTGTTCCGGTTGCACGTACGTAGCTGGGCTTCCTTGCATAGCTATTCCCATATTTTCATCGTAGCAAAATGCTTCCCAATTTTCCGCCTCACTGCTGCTTGCATCAGATATCTGAACAACTGCTGATGAAAATATAGGTGAGATAATCAACGCCGTACCAGCATGCACATTTTGCCAGTATGCCAGTGGTGGAGAAATCAAACGGTTCTTCAAAGCTCTTGGTAATGGGCTCCTAATATCACGCAAGTTAGTTTCCGTTGCGTCAACCGTCGATTCACGAGCCGACTGCGACCTAGGGTCTTGGGCGGCAAACAATACGCTTGGATCCGTAAAGATGTTGTAATTGAATCGAGCATACTTACGTGGAAAGCATTTATCCGTTTGATCGCAAGATGACCCAGGTGCCGTACCTATCATGTTACAGCTCACCAAAACGGACATCACATCGTACACGCGGCGGTGCACGTCACTGTATGGAGTCTCGATCCACGGTGACGATTCCAACGCACCAATAAACTTCTTAGCTTCGATGAGACGGCTGCTAACAGCAGGCAATGTCACTCCAATTAGACCATCTTGTTGGAACAGCAAGCCCAGAAAGCAGACTGTTGTGGTTACCAAGCAGGGCCATTTTTCAGCTGCCGCCTGCTTCTCAAAAATTGTCACGATAGTGCTGTCTTCTTCTACCATGCTGGTCATCTTCTGACAGTGCGACTGTCGAAACTTTACCCTTGCTTGAGCTGAAACGTTCTTTATCTCTGCCAGACGTTGCACCACCGCAGCCTTCCCAAAGTAAAGAAAGTATCCGCCCTTAGTCCTTCGTGTCTCGCCGCAGCGCACGCGCTTGATCACTCCAATACCTATAGGCGCAAAAAAACGTGTCCGCATCTATTCTCATCCAAATCAGACACCAACTGCAGCTTTCATACCTTCTAACACGTGTAACACGTCATAAATCCGTCTCTTTCTTGGCACTACGCAGCGATTAGCAGAGAAAGAAGCCGTACGCAGCTAATAGGATACACACCGTACCCTTCATCTTGTAAATTTCACTGGATGGAATGAAAATTGGAAAAACTGCTGGGTCCGACGCAGAGCCCTGCAGATCTTCGTACAATTTAAAGAACTGCAGCATGATGCGCGTTCTAACAAATCCACAAAAGCTCCATGTTAGTACAAGACGCTCGTGTTTTCCTTGATCTTGGTGACATACATTTCTCCAAGACTTTTAGCTGCAATGAATCGTTCTTGGATATTACACCATGTCGGTTCTGGGAGGCTGTTTGCGGACCGACTGGAACTTCCGAAGGCTGGCGTTGGACTAACGCGACGTGAGCGCTGCCGGCGCTTCCGCCGCTTGACTGGACGCTTTGAAGCTTGCTCCACCATGACAGTCACCACAGGGACAGTGTCTTTTGTTGAGGTGAAGCGCAGTTTTCGTCGGTGTGTACGTTGGGCCTTCATTGACTTGAGCTAAAGGCAGCAAAATCAAAAGTGAGGGACGTGATCCATATCTGCAAGTTGAAGTGACATTCACTCTGAAGTAAACCATTTGACAAGACAACCTTGAAGTTACGCCCTGTCGCTTTAAGTGAAGTGCTGCAACCAACACACATTTGATCTCTACCTTAAACGTGCGTGCTGTCCAACCCATTGGCAAAACAAAACCTGTTCCTCATTATACTAATCTCATGACTGCTGCTTAGTATACACTGTGGATCGTCCGGGCAAAAGCTCGCTACTTGCGTTCCTTGCTGCTCTCACGTGAGAGTGATGCTTAAGCAGACATTTGGACTGTCGTTCTTTTAACTCATCTATTTGTCTGTCTACATCGAGACGCATATCTACTCGGCGGCATCAGATACTCCTAGACTGACATTTTGGGGACAAGGTCATAATATATAATTTTTGACCTTGACACAGCTTTTGCATTTGAATGCTGTGTCAAGGTCAAAATTTGTAGCAGTACCAGCTCAATGTTTATACGAAAGACGATCGGCTAACACGAATGGCTTTGTTGATCCTACAAATGGACAGACCTTTAGCTTAGGACAGTATCGCGAAAGCTATGTCGCGAGTTTGCTTCTGCAAAGATTGTCATGCCTCACTCTTTTGCGTGTTGCAGCATAATTACAAGTGGAGCAGGCGTAACAAGGTCATCCCCTATGTAAGTCAATGTTCAACACAAATGCATTACATGAATTCATTACTTGCGTCTTAGTGGTGGAGCAGGCACAACATTACTGCTCTCCGCGTATCCAATTCTAGAAAACAAACTTGCATTTGGAGGTAAAAAGAACAAAATCTCGTCAATGACACGATGCTGTCCCTCAAGTGTCGTCGCTGCGTCAGGTCTAAAGTGAACAGCTTGATCCAGATACAATCTACACTTATCATTAGCCATACATCCATCACCTGGTTCAAATCTGTAATATGTTGATCAATACCTGGCAGCAACTCGTTCCAGTCTCATTCTCTTCTCGATGCCAGAAGCGGACCTCTTTCGCCTCTGCACAAACCTTGAGTATTGTCGTTGATTCCTCTTGTATTGTTGAAGCAAGGATAGATCGTTTTGTTCTGTGCTAGCCACGAGCTGAAACGCGAGACGATGTGGACTGCAGCGACTTGATCGCGCAAGACCGCGCAGATTCCTAGCAAGCCGCAGTCGATTTACAGTCCTGACAATGCGCATGTCATGTTCATGTTGCTCTTTTCTTCTCGTTTCTTCCAGTTTCGCAGCTTCCGAGACCTTTTTCAAGGCTCCAGCCTTTTTATTGGGAGTATTGTTAACAGTTGTCAGCTCTAAGGTGGCTCGCTTTTTCTTCGTACGTCGTACTACCAGTCGCTCATACCTGATCAGTCACATTTGTTTTTTTACATTAGTTCCTAAACCAAGAGATGATAAACATACTGTAGCTATATGGTTCATCATATGGACATTCATTCTTCATACAGGCGGTTGAAATCGTCGCTACCGTTTTCTGTCATCAGAAACACCAAATTCTGTCATCAGAAACACCAAATTCTGTCAACCAAATCATTGCATTGGGTTTTTCACATAACATTCTATTGGAATATACGTATCCATTCACCCAAACGCTGGGTTTTATCGAAGTCCTCATTGATTATTCAAAATGCTACGGGTGTCAAACCTCTTTCGAGGCTTATCGACAGCACCATTGCGTCATTGCACCATTCTCGAGCTCTGCTCTGTCCATTCTTTCGCGACAAAAAACGATGATGACGATGATGAACGAGGACTTGGAACTGGATTGGGAAGACATCGGTGACCATGAAGACTGGACGCTGGATAACGAGGATGGTGAAGCGTCTAACAGTCGTCGTAAGCTTGAGGAACATGTCAAGCAGAAGGTACGAGTGCATCGTGCAAAGCATTCAAAGCGCCGCTTTGTAGATCGCATCCGTGTCAAAGCGACTGGTGGTCACGGAGGGAATGGCTGCGCCAGCTTTTTTTCCGAGTCCACGATGCGCAAACGTCCGAATGGTGGACACGGTGGTGCTGGAGGTGACGTTGTGATTGAGGCCAATGATAAAATTCCGAACTTGGGAAATGCTATACACCACTACAAGGGAGGAGCTGGAACCAATGGCATGCGTACGTGAATGGAAAGGAGGTGATCAAGAGTTGTAATGGTGAGAGTATTTGTATTAATAGTGAAACAACATTGTGTTATTGTTGTATGTGTGATTGCAGCAAATGATTCTGCTGGTAAAAGAGGCAAACATCTTTATGTCAAGGTACCGTGCGGCACGCTTATTAAGCGTGTGGAGCGCTACGAACGCGAGTTGGAAAATGGCGAGTTTGAGGTTGTAGACAGCATGAAAATTGTAGCTGATCTGGATAAATCTGGTGCCACGTTCTTAGCTGCAAAAGGAGGCAAGCCAGGACTAGGAAATCGTATTTTAGCAGGCAAAACGACGAATTTTGGTCGACTGCGCAAGCACATGCCTGAGAACAAAACCGTCGGTCAACCGGGCACTTCCCAATACTATGAGTTGGAACTCAAGACCATTGCCGATGTGGGGCTTGTGGGTTATCCAAATGCTGGCAAATCCACGTTGCTGAGTGTGCTGAGTCACGCTACACCTGAGATTGCCCCTTACCCGTTTACAACGCTTCATCCGTACGTGGGAATCGTGGAATTTCCGGATACGTTCCGGTTGAGCGTGGCTGACATCCCCGGTCTTATTGATGGAGCGCACCGCAACGTCGGTCTTGGCCATGACTTCTTGCGTCACATTGAGCGTACGAAAGTATGTAAAACAAGGTATGCTGACTTTTAAATTGGAAAGATTGCTAACACGAGCGATTGTGGCGGTTGTATGTAGATTTTAATGTACGTGCTTGATACGGCGGGCTCAGAAGGGCGCGATCCGCTAGAGGACTTTTGTCACCTTCAAAGAGAGCTGGAGCTGTACGCCCCAGGTATTTCGTCGCGCCCTTCTCTTATTGTTGCTAACAAGATGGATGAGGACGGTAAGAACAATAATTCCTATTTTATCACATGAATCGCCCTTCGGTTCTCAACGAGTATCGTAACACTGTTTTTGCTGCAACACAGGCGCTGAAGATAACTTTCATAGGTTGCATCAGTCCACCGATCTTGCTGTGCTTCCAATCAGGTAAAGCTTGTACATTGCCATTATGTTGTTGCCAAAAGTCGTAGCTGATTATGTTACTGTTGAATAGTGCCCTTCACAAGGTCGACGTTGATACAATCGCCTGCACACTGCGCTGGATGATCGAGAGTTATAGCAAGCTTACCAAGTCTACGTAGAATGCATTAGTCTCTGGCCATTGTTTTTAGCAAACACGGAAGGTCCTGCCATTTCGAATCCATTGATCTTGTTCTATCAGCAATAAGGCTAAGCTACATCTTGATTACGTCACAACGAAGGCCACGGTGTCGCGGAAGAGCCCACTTACATGATAAATCAATACAAGGTGCTGAGTCGGTGTTGAGGCAAGATTATTCGGGTACGCAATGTACAAGCACGGCAATTATCATCGTGATATCAAGATGAAGAACTTGGGGTGGTTCAACAAAAGTTTAACTTACGATCACAGGCTGGCCAAAACGGCCGCAAGATTCGGTCACGGCCTCGTGTGCGCGGACTGGTGTTTCGACGCGAAGATAGCAAATACCAACGTGTTAATTTTGTCGAATAATGTACAATAGCTTCGTCGACATGTGAAGCTCCATGGCCGAGCTGCAAGTACCGAGCAAGTTGCGCCTGCAATATCCTGAGACATCGTGGGCTGATAAATATATCGTATCTACAAGGTTTTATCTGACATACTCCATACTTTTGGCCAAGGTGCAGCAATCAATGGCTTCTCAGTATGCATGTGCGCTAACTCAAATGTGCCTCTGTATTATTTATAAAACGAAACACCCATTCCATCGCCCAACACGTTCACAATCTACTGCAACATGACCCAAGTCGACGTGTCACAACAGCTTAGACACTCCAGTATCGCCCATGGCGTGACCAGCACTACCTATGACTCAATTGGTGGTGCGTAAGGAAGAGGTGTCTGTGCTATTTATTACCAGAAGCGAGCACATGTCGTAAGGGATACTCGAGATATGCTGGGTGATTAAATTCCTGTCCGAAAGACGGAGTTGACGAGCAACCCATGTGGTAAAAAAACTTTGGTCTACTGTGCAGTGAAGAAAAGCGACGATGACTATTGCAAGGTGTGCTCGACGAAATCCTAAGTAAACCAAGTTTGCAACACCACTCAAGTCCAGAGAGAAATTTCATCAGGTATATTGTTCTTTTCGACGTGCTTGGTCGCAATCATACTGCTATACACAATAGCAACAGCATACTTAGAACTTAAGAGCGTGGGCACGGTCGCGCTTGGTCAGTGAGAACTTGGCGTTCAGGTAGGCCTTGAGGAACGGCTCGGCGTCCAGCTTTTTGATCAAAGCCGAGTCCACGGTCTTCTGGTCTTTCTTGCGCTGCTCTGAGATGACAGGGGCCTGAATGAAGGAAATGAACACGGGTCAGTGATTTATAAGGAGCTTATGTGCCGAAGCAAGCGATCCCAAGCGCTCATATATGGTGCAGCAGGGAGATTTATCGATAGACATTGACCCCCATCCTGCTAAATCCGTCATGCAAGAAGCAGCAAGACAACAACGAGAACAAGAGAGGTCCAAAATGGATCATCAATCTCATTTGCATGTCATCAAAACGCTCTCCACTTGACATGACGGATTGTGCGTAATAGTATCGAAACACCGACCAACTAAACGGGATGCTTTCACCAGCAGTAAAGAAAAGATAAACAACTTACAGAGCTCGACTGGGCAAAGAATTGATCCTCCTTGCTCTTCTTGGCGGCCTTCTCCTTGGAAAAGTAAGGATCGTCAATGGCAGGAAGCTCCAAGTTCTCAATGTTCACCTTTGTCGACGTGGCAATCACGTATGACTGGTTTACGCGACGGAGGGGCACACCGTTGACCTTGTACGGGCCTGTACACATAAATCACATCCGTTTGCAGTGAGCCAACGCTGTTTCTTTCAGCAACAACCCTCTTTCTACAACATGCATGCAACGATCAAGAATCGGCATTTCTCAGGTCTCATAATCTGATGAATCTTTGGCAACAAATCATCCCTCCTCATCCGCAGTACACTCCATGAGCCCCGTATAACGAAATCAACCTTCTCTCAGATTCACCGATAAAAGATTCATGAAAGAAGATCAATCCGTGCAACGAGACAAGAAAGCAACAGCAGACAAGGGAGCGATGGTAGAGTGCCTCGCACAGTGTCAAGTTTACATCATCGAAATGTCGTCTCTCTAGCTTTTGCATAATAAACGAAACGCTTTTTCTTACCAGTAACAAGAAGCAAGCCCGATGGCAGTTGTTTCAGAAATACCACACGCTTGCCACGGAAACGGCCTGAGAGTAGAATGAGTACCGTGCCAGGAGTGATGGATTTGCGTAGCTTAGCAGTCTTGACACTGTTACGTTTAATCTTTGCCGACGCAAGTGGTTTTGGAATAAAATCAGCCGGATACCATTTCTTAGTAACCAGTTTCTTAGTAGCAATAACCTTCTTCTCGCCACCCTTCTTAATCATTTTACCACGTCCATTCTTTTTTGAAAGACTGTTGCGCGAAATAGCATTAATACCACGGGCGAGGACAACATTCGCAGTCTTTGAAGCGGGCATGGTGATGAATATACCTACAATTTAAGTAATAACAATACACGAATAAATGACTGCAAAGTTATACTGACATTATCATGTTCAGGTCTTACCTGTCTGAAGAGAACTGAGAACTTGGATGTTGAATGGTCGAGACAACCACAGCCACCCAGAAGAATGATGTAGCTTACATCGACTGCATAATACCGTCTTACCTTCAAATGAAATACCGGTTTTGGAAGTAGAACCGGTTTCAAAAGAGCAACGAAATAGACCTTTTTTCTACACATGCTCAAATGATAAATACCTTTTTTATTGTAAGCATCGTCGATAAAAAACCACTATGCTATTCAATAGTTTCGATCCAAGTGTTAAATTAGGTAATTTATTTGATTATCATTAAAAGACCACCCCAGGTAGAGGTATACTATCTAAGCGTGGCCACGCGCTTGAGGCGCTCAAAGAAGTGGATGCTATTGTGTTTGAAAAGACAGGAACGCTCACAACTGCTATTAGTGTCTTTGAGGCATCAAATAGCGTTGATCAAACACAGCTCTGGCGTTGTGTTGCTGCTGCAGAAAGAAGTAGCGAACACTTACTAGGTAAAGCGCTCCTGGCATACGCTGAGGCTCAACTGCAGGGTTCCCGAGTTGACCAAGCGCAGGAGGTTGAGTCTGTTCCAGGATGCGGTGTCCATTGCACCGTGCGCGGTGTTGATGTGTGGCTTTGTTCTCTCACATGGGTTAGACAGCAGACGTACGGTGACTGTCGCGGCCTGAAAATTCCTGCAGAATTTGTCGAAGCAAACCGACGTTTTCAGACTCAAGGCTGCATAGTCGTGCTCGCTGTCATTGATGGCGAATTGCTATCTGCAGTTGCGCTAAAAGATGACCTGCGCCCGGAAGCCAAATGTGTCATTGACCAACTGAAGCGCGAGGGAGTACAGCCATGGATTGTTACCGGCGACCAGCGTGGCACCGCAACGAACGTGGCGATGGCGCTGGGGTACCTGCGGGCTGAAATTCTGCCTCATCAAAAGGTAGACAAGGTGCGCTTGCTGCAGAGCCTCGGTTTGCGTGTTGGAGATGGCGTAAATGATGCGCCTGCGCTATCAACCGCCGATGTTGTGTGGCACTTGGAGCCGGAACTGATATTGCTCTCAATGCTGCTGACGTTGTGCTCGTTGAGGACGACCTACGTGATTTGCTAAACGCCCGCGCGCTTTCAGGCGTCACTAACAGGCACATCAAGCATAACTTTGCTTGGGGTGTCATGTACAACCTGCTGATGATGCCTATTGCATGCGGCGCATTCTATATTCCATTCGGGGTGTGGATTCCTCCAGCCTTTGCCGGTTTGTCGGAGCTGCTATCGACCGTACCTGTGATCCTCTTCTCACTGCTGCTTGATTTTTGGAAGCCACCGTTCAGTGGTGACTGGGGTCTACAACAAACCCACGTGGCTATTGATGTATCGGAATCGACACCTTTGCTGCCGAAGCAGTACCAAGGTGCTCTCTATACATGAACGCAACACAAGGTAGTGTTATCATGCAAACAATCAGTAGACTAAAATGGTTGCCTCCATTGAAACGTTCTTGATTTGCTCGCATCCTGCTGGTTTCAGATATCGCGATGTGTCTTGAGCAACGATCGTTTTGCGCAAATGTTGCGGTGCCAGTGGATCAACTGACCAGCATGGACAGACAAACATTGCTCACCGTCATCACTGACTGATATTGCTGGGTTACAGCTCACTGTTTCATTGTCAGCTACTAAGTCATATGCATTCTGTGCGCGGCGTTAGCACATGAACCACATGATGGTGTGCTGTTTGTTATCGGGAAATCTTTTTCAGCTTCTTTCTTAGCCGACTACCCCGCTGTTTTTTCACAAACGAATCGTGCCTTGCCCATGTGATAGAACCTTGTTCGATAAGCGGGCAGCTTTTGGATCTGCTGACGCATAGAGACCGCACGATTCAATTTGGAAGCAGATGGGTTTGAGTGGCCTGCAAAGTACTTTCGACATCCGTTTAGCTGATACCGTCTGCTTAGCTGATACAGTTCTGTTGTTCCACGATATCGTTGACGACGGCTGCGGGTCCAAAAGGGAGGCTTATCCCATTCGAATTTGCTGCCGTCGTCATGGATTTTTACAATTATAGACACACTCAAGGTCGGAGCAATGCCTGCCTACCCGTGCAAAGGATGTGTGGGCTACCAAGCATTTCTGTGGCTGGTGCTAGTTGCTAGTTCCAATTTGTAGTTATAGGGGTTGCAATTGATTTGTACGTAGTTTATAGCGTATCTAGCTAATCGTTCATAAGGTTTTGAGCTAGACTTCGGGACGTGAGAGTGACACGCGTGGATTCAAGTGCAATTCCAGCGCTGTTAGTGCGACCTCGAGTCTTCTTTTTGCTTGGACAGTGGTGCTTCTTCATCAATGCTTCGCCCTTCTTCATAATCATGTTACCGATAGGTTGTCGTCGAGACTGGAATTTGCTGTTAGTTTTTTGTGTCACCCACGGGTGCTGCAGCGCTGCCGCGACTGAAAGTCTTAATTTCGGATTCACTTCAAGAAGACCAACAAGTAGATCGACACATGTGGCAGAAACTTGCGATAGGACATCCATCTCCTTAAGAGCAAAAGCTGTACCGCACTCAACCATTCGAGCAAAAACTTTGTCGCTGTCAGCTGAAGGGCGTTGTAGTAAAGCACGCTTAGTACACAATGTCCACAGGATGATGCCAAGTGACCAGGCATCAACTAAACGCGCATCTTCTACTTCCGTTTCAGCAAACACTTCTGGTGCCGCGTAAGTCTCTTTTGCAACTTGAATAACTTGAACACTTGGTCGGTCGTGCTTGAATCGTTGAGCATGACCCAGATCACCCACCTTGACGATACCAGATGCCGTGATGAAAACGTTTTCTGGTGACAGGTCCAAGTGTGCGATATTGGCGTTGTGTAGTGCTTGTACACCCTGAAGCAACGCGGTGAAAACACCACGTCTACCTACATCGGTGCAAGTCAAGATGGAAGAACTTTGAGGCGATACGCCTGCCGTTAACAGTCGAAGTTCTTGCTGCATGACTTCAAGCAAGTCTCCCCGAATACAGTGTTCGTAGAGTAAATGAAGTCGCTCTCCATGCAGCGAATATCGTTCCAATCTCACGACATTTTCAATGTCCCGAAGCGAAAGGTGAAGATCCAATTCATTTAGTGCTGCGGCACTTGCATTACGACCGTCAGGGGTACACGAGGTCATAAGCGTATGCTTATCGATAAAATGTTGACCAGAAGTAGGACATTGTACTAGATCCACGCGTTGAATTCTGTCGTGACTAGCCTGAATTCGCGTGCACAACTTGAAGGGGGGCTTCGATGGCTGGACCCATTTGAAACGATAAACCTTACCACTACTGACACTGTTTTTTGAAAACTGAACACCATGGGAGACTAACCGCCTGACTTGGTTGCCTATATTTTTACTTACCTAATGATCGGTATGGCATGACAACCAGTAGATTACGATGCTGCGTACAAATGTATTGCAAATGTATTGCAGAGGTTTCGCAGTGATAAGAATTCCAGCGCAACAAACATACATGTGGAAAAACGCTCTCTCTACCCACAATAGAGTTGCGTGTGTGCTCGGATGCATGATACGGTAATGCACTTGATCTTGTTGACCATGAGCGCATCCCGCTATGTGAATCAAGGCGTCGTTATCTCTATTTGAATAATCTTGCTTTGCGAATGAAGAAGTTCCTACAGGATCAAGGAGATATTGCACTTATTGCAGCACGTTGATATCCACTACTATCAAACCTTGAGCTCCAAGCACGTGGCAGTTCTTCTTGACAGAAGTCGTTGCAACGTCAATAACTACATCAACGTACTTTCAGAAATGTAGACGGTGTTGTTGTTATCGCCAAACCGTGATGACCAGTGATCGCTCGCTGGTCATCATGGTTCGTTACACCCGTGTTCTCGTAGATTACGAACCTTGGTGTAGATGGACGAAGACACACACATCTTACTCCATGCAAGGCTCTCTAGGTAAGATGAACGTCGTGGAAAGAAACATTTGTAAAGATCTAGCAATGTGAGACGTGATGTGCTAGTTAGTAATTGCAATGAACGATCTCAAAGTGAAAAAATAGGCGCTCTTTGGCACGACCAAAACGACTACTGTCATTCACAGGCGGTGTATCGTACAATACCGAAACATCACCAACGGGGGAGACTTTCTTCACGTTTTGTTTCTGTCTACGATCTTGGTTGAATGCCTCTAGTCGCCTGCTTCAAGCACCTTACTCTTGAGCAGCTCGATCATGTTGATTGACCACGTTGTCACATATTTTTGACGTGTAGATGGCACGTGCTTCCTATCAATGGACACTGAGCTAGAACGTACAGTGACATAGTGGTCGATTGATTTGGCAGGGTAGCACCAAACTTGTCACCATCATACACATCGATTTAAGATCGATTACTACCATTGGTTGACATGGGTTCCAGGTAAAACATTGACGTAAGCAGAATGTGACAGGCTCCATCCTTGATTGGCCGTTTCTTACAGCTGAAAATCATATTTGTCACATCCCATATGTTTCTATCATTTGTGCAGAAATGACAGATACATTCGATTGTAGAGGTTTTATGATCCTTAGATTTGCGCAAAATAGAACAATGTTTTTGATACTCTATCTTTTTTACTAGTTTTATGCCAATAGAAGGGAAATGTATCTTTATTTTGGTGCGTCAAGATGTCAAATTTGTGACGACTCATTGGTTCATTTAGTTGAAGTGAAAACGTCTAATGGCACATAGAATTGCGACAACCTCTACTAGTTCAGAAATGGCAGAAAGGGCATGAAATCGAAGACCATGCGCAAAGATTTATCTGCATGTGTCGAATCGTTTACCCAGTAAACATCATCAGAAATACTTTTACCACAGAGAGTCGACACAAAAAAGTTTTGGTCGATTAGCTTTCTCGACCAAAATCGCCTTTCGTAACGCTTGCATTGTCGTAATCGTTTCAGCAACAACGATTCCAAGATGGAAATCTCCACGAGCGTGCAGACACTCATTAACACGTTTGAGCTTATGACACAAGCCAACGCTGTGTCAGCCTCGGTATCACGATCTAGGTCAGCATCGGGATTCAAGAAGACCCTGCCAAACGCTGACAATACACCGGTGACGACATTCGTCGAGCGCATGAAGACTCAGCACTCGTGCATACAGTCAAAAGTTACGGAACTGAACCAGAAGGCAGAAAAAGCTGTAGAACCCCAAAAGGAGCTAGAAAAGGAGACAGAAGAAGACTCGGCTGCCACATCGATAAAATCTGCCGCGTACAAGGGCCTCACAATCAATACGTCAAACAAATACGACACCACGGTTCGCGACTCCTGCAACTCCACTTTCTACTCGATGGCCTCTCACACCCCATCAGCGTATTCGACGGCCTCAACATGCTCTCTTGACTCGCTTCTTAGTTTGTCAGATCTCCTGCCCGAGGAACTGCAGGTATCAAGCAAGACTAGACCCGAAATCGTCGTCAAACGCTCCCGGCCCACACTCGATGAACACTCGCAGCAGCAAACAGCTTCAAAGTTAACCGCGCCAACCTGTAGTGTGCTCATCAGAAAACCGCTATCCACGAAAAAGAAAGAGTCGTCAAATCTAGGGTCCAAGTCAACATGCCGTTCTTCCAAATCGACACGGAATGTTATGGTGCCATCGCCACTCGCGAGGACTCTCTCAACTTCATCGTCTTCGCCTAGATACATGGACTACGACAGTTCGCCGCGCTATGCGGCCACAAAAGCCTGGAACATGGAGCGACGTCGCCAGCTAGAAGAGCGCAATCGCAGCTTTGCCGCCAATAAGGCAAACAAACACCCAAGCAGCAAAACTGCCCACGTTGGTGCGGCAGGGACGGTTGCAATTGTAAAATGTCAAGGACATGATCCAGGACGCAAAAGACCAAAATCAGCAGCAGCGTGAAGACACTCACCACTCCGTCACAACCATGTCGAACCCTCCTGCGACACTGATGTTTTCCTATGCATGTTCCTGATGTTGACCAATAGCGTAAACAAATTAGATTCATACTCACTACATTGGGCTTGTTGCATTTACAGCCAACAGGTATTCAAGAGTGATGGTCGCTAACTTGAACTTATTCGGCACATGTATCCTAAGAATGTGTGGTCCTCGTTGTTTGGACGCAATATACGATAACACACACATAAGAAGTGCTCGCTGTGTCTGCCAAGATCGACATGAAGGTCATCTCTATAGAAGAATTCGCCATACCGACGAGTTATAGTCTAGCAGCTACTTACCATTGTCTCTATGCAAACGAAAACAACAAAACTGGTAAAGTCATGTCTTCCCCTAACAACGCCTCCGTGGTGTCGAAACCAAGTGAGACCGCTTCAGAGATATCTGGATACGTGAACGAGAATGTTGTAAAAATGCCGCGTCTACGACTGAGTGAACTCAATTGGAAGAATCGTGCCCGGTTCTTGGAGATGATGGAGCGTCACTCGTTCGTAGTGCTCACCAAACTCGGCGAGACACTGGAGCATACACACAATCAAGTACTTGACGACTTTAAAACGTTCTTCACGAATGAAGATGAGGACTCGAAAAACAGGTACACCAGTAAACATATTTACCGTAATGAGCACGGCAAACCTTTCTGGTATGCTGGATACGAACACACGAGTGTACGCGACTGCTTTCGCGTAGCCTGTGGAGACATGTCACGACTTGTGTGGCCAACGCCCGAGTTCAAAACACATTGGCTCTCTTTGCAGCGCTGCATGCAGCGTATTTGCGATCGCGCATTAAGTTTAACTGTAGGTTATCATATTGAGCCTAGCCATGTACGCTCGGACAAAGACTTTTCCGTCTGCTACGGACTGCACTATCCGAATATTGAGGGCAGTGGCCAGTCCGCCAACGAGAACGTTTTTGAGCATGTGGATCCGAGTTTGTATGTGGTAGAGCCCGTGTCCAATGTGGAGGGATTGGATGTGTATGATCCACATTCAAAGCAGTGGCTTAAGATTGAGAAGCTTTGTGTTCCTGGCAAGGAGATGGTACTTTTTTGTGGTCACGCCTTGAGTCGAGCCACGCAAGGCCGCATCCCAGGAACGCTGCATCGCGTTCATCGTACCTCTGAACGGCGATTTTGCATCGTTTACGAGCAGAAGTATGAGGAATACTTCCTTTGACTGCTACAGAGTAATGTGTTCGAGATCAAACAAACCAGAGCAACATGCTGAATGAAAGACATTCTAGTGTTGCGAACACATAGTGGATCCGATTGGTAATCTAACGCGAAGATGAACAATCAACAAGGTGTATAAGACACGACAGACCGTCGGCATGTTTATGGCAAAGACTTTGTGATACTCAACTATGTACTCATGGCTTCTTAACAACACTGACGAATCCACTTGCAGCAGAAAAATACTTATTAGCCTCGGCCACGCGAGCCTTTGCAGCTTCAGGGTTCATAAGCTCTATGCCTTGTACGGGCGTAAACGCGAGGCTTGATGCTAGTCCACAAAGTGGCGGTTTACTAGCAGAAGATGCAGCAAAGTTCGCAGCGCGCAACTTTTTGCTCGACTGCTTTTGCTCCTTGCGCATGATACGCAAATTGCCTGATCCTTCTTGGCCAAGTCGTCCAGATGTGATTCCCATAGCGTTGTCACCATACTCTTCATCAGCCATAGCAAAGGACTGCCGGTTCATCTCGCGCCGTACGTCCGTCATCTGCAGCCGCTCTTTTATTTTGCGATAGCGCTTACCACCACGCTTGCGGCGTGGCTTTTCGTCTGGAATGGGCAGTGCCTTCTTCGTCTTTGCCTTTTGTGGCTCTTGCCATTTCTCCATCTTCGCGACCAGCTCCGTACGAAAGCGCGCACCGACTACACCTTCCATGTCGTTCAGGTGTGGCTGGCTATCCACACGCGCCATTAACGCTAATTTGCCTGCTACTGCTCTGCACGCCTTCATTCGTAAATACGGAGGCATGCTCTGCACGAGATCGCTGAAAAACAAAACACCCGTATGCTTCAACGCAGCAGCCGACGAAAAACCACTCAACACCTTCTTCTCTTGTCCCAACACTTGCAAATTACACGACGGAAGTTGTGCGAGTTCCGCTACACCACCAGCAAGTCCCACAAGCAGTGCCGCAATACGAGTGCCGACTAATTGCGAAACATTCGGCGCCAAGTATTTCATACGACTCTCCACAAAGCATAAAATCATGTTCTTGTCCTTTTCCAGTGACAATACTTTGTCACAAGCTTCCATACACGTCGTTAGATCTTGAGGACCCAACGGTTTGCCACTCGTGCCTGAACCTGTCACGGAAATTCCAATCACTGCTGAGCTTGGAAGTAACTTGGGTAGTTCTTCCACAAGAGTCAAGTCCATCTCATTTCCAATCGCCTTAACGACACGAGCATAGTCCAAAGCATTCGGAACGAGCGAGTCAAGCTCTGGAAACTTGGCGGCATAGATCTCAGCAATAAAGCGGTGCAAAGCTTCAATCTCATCGTCAATCTGCACCATCAGATCATTTGATGTCACTACTAGATCGTATTCAGCACTACCTTTCTCCAACTGCTGGGGTTTAGCTGACGCAGCTGCATCATCGACATATTGTTGAATCTGCTGCACATGTGCGAGATACTTTGGTGAGCGCTTGAGTCTTGCAATAGCTTCTACACCACGTTTTTTCTTACTAAAACGTAATGATTCTGCAAGATCTTCTGTCTCCTCTTCCATGAGCGTCGGATCCGTGTCGTGATACTTTCGTTGAGCTCGTCTTGACAGGGTCAAGTCTTCATGTATCTTGTCATTAATGTCATCATTTTGTTTATCCTCTTTACTACTAGAAACACACAATGTAGACGCGAGTGTCTCGTCTTCATCGCTTCCTCCACTAAGTTCGTCCAAGTCTTCTAAGAAGGAGTCTGCAAGGGTCGACATGGTTTTATTCTTATAGTAATACTTACTATTTATTATTCTTACTAGTTCCTATTAGTACTACTAATATGTAATAATAATAAGCTTATGGATTGTATGGTGCATACAATATTCAAGTGAGTCGAGCTGCGGGTGGTGGAAACAGTTTCATTTTTTTCTGTCGTTTTTTGTCGTCTTCTTTTGTGCCACGTACGTCATGCATTTCTAAATCAGTAACTTTAGAAACACGACACAAGACGACACAAGACCACAAACGACACAAGACGACACAAGTAGAGATACACGGACATAAAAGAAAGTCGTAGTCATACTAGTAGTAATATCATAAAAATATGAATAGTAATACAAATACAAATAGTAATAGTAATATGAATTGGCGTCGGAAGACTCCAGCAGAAGGACGTAAGGATAGTAGCGATATTGAACATAAGAAGAAGAAACCGCGTCGTGGAGGTCGTCGTAATCATATGAATAAAAAGACCGATACGGATCAATTGAAGGAAGTTATTGCTGTCACTCTGTCATCAAGTCAAGTGACTGACGCAGATGTTCCTGTTGAGCCTAGTAAACCTACAAACTTGGACTATCTCTCGGACGTTCTGTTTGCATCTCTGGACATTTCGGCCAAGACAAAGCGTGCGATTGTCGAAGATCTCAAGTACGAGCGTCTAACAAACGTCCAGAACGCGACATTTCCGCTCATTTTGGAAGGAAATGACGTACTGGCAAAGGCCAAGACGGGTAATGGGAAGACCATTGCTTTCTTGCTGCCAGTGATTGAAAATATGGTGAAAAATGGACGTCAACCAGGCATTATTCCAACTCTTGCCGTATCACCAACGCGTGAATTGGCCTTGCAGATTGCAACGGAAGCTAAACGTCTGACAAAGTTTCATGACCTTCATGTGGCCTGCTTTGTGGGAGGTGCAAACATTAAGGAGGATGAACGTACGCTTACAAGCAGCACGCCGATTGATGTCCTTGTTGCTACTCCTGGTCGTCTAGTCGATCACTTGAAGCAAAATAGGGGCAAAATTACTGATCGACTGGGCAAGGCAAGTGTGTTGATTCTGGACGAAGCCGATCGACTGCTGGACATAAGTTTCCGTCCAGATATCATGCGCATCATTGGATACTTGCCAAAGGAGCGTCAGACGCTTCTATTCAGCGCTACGTTGCCAGCTTCTACGGAGGAGTTGAAGCGGGTTGCTCTACGTGAAGACTATTCGTTTGTGGACACTATTGATGCGAGTGAAGCCGACACAAATGTGCAGACTGAGCAGGAGTACATTGTGTGTAAGATGGAGGATGTGATTTCGACGGTGGAGTGTATTTTGACTGAGCACATGAAGCTGCCAGCATACAAGGTAATGCTGTTTTTCCCCACAGCTCGCTCCGCGCAGTTCATGGCGCAACTCTTCCAGGCTGCAAGTTTTCCTGGTGTCCTAGAGATTCACTCGCGTAAGAGTCAAGCCATGCGCACAAAGACAGCTGAAGCTTTCCGTAAGGGTCATAAGGTGATGATGTTTTCGTCCGACGTGTCAGCACGTGGTGTGGATTACCCGGGCGTGTCGTTAGTGCTCCAGGTGGGGCTCACTGATCGCGACCAGTACATTCACCGCCTCGGGCGTACAGCACGTGCTGGCATGAAGGGCAAAGGTGTTCTTGTTTTGTCCGAGTTTGAGACGGCTTTGCTGGACAAGTTGTCGGACCTGCCTCTCACGCAGAGCAAAAACTATGAGATGCTGGCGCCATTGCAGTTGCGCACATTGAAAGTGACGAAAAATTTGAAGAAGTACGGTGACGTGGAAAAGTCGGCGCAACAGTCATACCAGGCGTGGCTTGGTTTTTACAATTCGCACTCAAAGCGATTGAAATTGAAGCCGACTGAACTTGTGAAACTTGCGGCTGATTACAGCCGTATTATCGGCTTGGACGAGGTGCCGAAGCTTGAGAAGAGAACTTTGAAGAAGATGAACCTCTTTGGCGTGCCTGGCATTGAACCGTCACCGTATACTCGCGACAGTAGCGGCAATATTAGTGGTGGCCGCGGTGGGGGTGATAGCCGCAATGGCGGTAATCGTGGTGGTTATGGTCGTCGATAAGTCATCAAGGTCACTGCGTCGAGACTGAGACCAGTGAGCATGTAGAAATCAGCCCTTAATCTGCGTCTCAATGACTTGATTTCGTGGTTGAGAATGCAAGATGACTTCCTCATCATTAGAAACCAATTCTAATTTATTGCAACGAAGGATGAGTCAGTTTGACTAGGAACTACTGTTTGTAAACGTTATTCTTCCATGTCGTGTATGTATGATGAATCTGCCTCATGTAGCCATGTAATTGCCTCATGTAGCCATGTAATTGCCTCATGTAGCCATGTAACTGCTTGATAACAGTTGGGTACAAATACATAAGATAACATCAAACTAATGGAGGAGATGGCCAAGATGTTGGAGAGCTACACTGGCGGCTTGCAGCAATCATTCGAGTCAGTCTTTGAGCGTGTTGGACAGAGTTTATTACAAAGTACCCAAATGATGCGTATGATGAATGAAGTGATGGAGTCTGCTATGCTACAGAATCTATTCATCTCCTCGAGCTATGATGTTCATGGTGGTTTACTTATTGTAGTGGAGAATTGTTCATCCATTATGTTAAAGCAGACGAGAATCAGTGCACAATTGCACAACTCTAAGACGAGTTTCTTTACTATAAATCTTGATTTGCTCGATGCAAAGCAGCAAGTGCAGTTTCAAGCGTCGATCCAGGACGTTAGTGGTCCTATTACAGGCTTTATTGAGCTAGAATGCATTAGTCCTGGGACACAACAGACACTCACGAAACGTTCGTTGTTTCATGTCTTGTACCTTGAGCAAGGAAAGTTTCAGGCTGTAATGACTGGAGAAGAAGGAGCTACTCCTAGTGTCGATGAAGTTGCGGTAGTATCCGATAAAATTCCATTGACACGAGTGAGAAAACTCTTGGATCTGAGTCCAATTCAAGGCATCTTAACAGATAATCATGGAAGGTATCGATTTGAACCAGCAGGACTTCAGTCAAAGAACGAGATGGTGGTTTATGTATCGGTGAAAGAGAGTGAGAAGGGTGACTTGGTTATTGTATCTGCGGCTGGTAATGTCAGTACGACTGACGAGCGCCAGCATCGTTGCCAGCAGATAATCAATGAGATGGAGAACGTAACAAACTAGATGCATACAATGGAGCATCCATGCAATGTTTATTCACAGTGCAAAAGGCACTTGGTAAACGATCACTAACTTCTTTCAATAGTTTTCTGCACAGTATTCAGACACCTCTTCACTTCCGACACTTGCAAAATGAAGCAACATTGCTACTACCATAGCATTGTGTGCAATTTACACCCATCGGTGCTTTGAGAGAGAGTCACGATCGCTGAACCATTTGTGGAGCAGGAAGGACTGCACGCCATACATGACACCCAATACAACCAACTCAAAGACCGTATAATACATGATACGAGACTCGCTGCTGTATAGTGCTGCAAGCACAAGAAACAACAATTGTGGTCTACCATTAGTGTCTGCACCAGTACTACCCGAGCACACAAGAAACTTACTTTGAACGTGACGGTGCACTCGAGCACGATAATAATCCTGCTCATTGCGAATGAGTTTCAACAGTGTCTCCAATCGATCAAGTGACGTCTTTACACCAGTTAAATGCTCTGCGCTCAAGAAAAACACAGACAAACACCATTGCATTAGTAGTATCTTTATATCTCCCATAAATATCATCTCATCTTGTCCTAACAACACACACACACCTTTACGTATTTGATTCTCCAACTCATCTTCCTCACCCAACTCTTCTTTGTTTGACAAATCATATGATGTGTACCACTCGACTGTCTTCTGATTACTATCATGGGAATTATCAAGACAAAAGCGATACCATCCTCCTCGATGCTCTGAATTAAAATTAAACCCGCTACGCTCGATATTCTGATTCTTTTCATCCTGTACTGTCGTTACCAATCGATCAAAAAAATTCTGATTCACTTCCACTTCCACTGGATATGAGGGAAACGGACCAAACGCTTTCAAACGCACGCTGTACGTGCCAAAGGATTCCAGCACACCAATTCGTATAAAGGCCGTACGCTTCGTACGCACATACTCATGGAAACACTGTTCTTCGAGTCCATCAAGCCGAAGAATTATCGCATTGGATACCATAGGCATTGACATGAATACAGCGCAAGATACGGCAAGTACACGTCGAAACAGTCGTCCTAATCTCATGGTCGTGTCTTGCTTGGTCATTCGATGATCGTCGGACAATGAGACGACATCTCCCAATGCTAAGATTTATGATATTGATGGCTATTTTTAGCCAATCGAGTGTGTTGATGATGTCACGCGTCAGAAGAAAACCGGTATTTTGAACCGTAGCCCAAAAAAACCAAGGTATTTTGGGTCTTTTGGGTCATCATTACTACAGCACCTCCACCAACCAATCAATTTGGAATGTGGACAACTCGGCACCTCTCGCATCGTTTATTGCGTGCGCGTAGCTTCCACTCTAGCTTCGTTTCCTATGCATCAAGTAGTTATTTGTCGGATATATCAGTCGCTTCTTTACCAATCAGTCAGCAGTCGAAAGATGTGTTAACGCGTGAGATGGGCTACAAGTTTCTAACTCATGTGCAGAAGGATACACTACCGCTTGTGCTGGAAGGACACGATGTACTGGCTAAGGGCAAGACTGGCAATGGTAAGACGATTGCATTTTTATTGCCAATGATTGAGCGTATGATCAAGCATCGACAGTCAAAGCAGGACAAGATTTCAGCTCTTGTGATCTCTCCAACTCGTGAATTGGCTCAGCAGATTACAGTCGAAGCCGTGAAGCTCACAAATGCCCATGCATTACGCACACGTTGTTTTGTGGGTGGAAGCTCAGTCAACAAGGAAGTGAAGGAACTAACGCAATCAGATGGCATTGATATGCTCGTGTGTACACCAGGACGACTACAAGCGCATTTAGAAGATAACAGTGGACGCATTAGACAGAAGCTGAATAATCTTCAGGTGCTAGTTCTGGATGAAGCTGACCGTCTACTGGACATGGGATTCCGACCTGAAATCATGCGAATTATTAACCATTTGCCGAAAGAGAGACAGACGCTTCTCTTTAGTGCGACGTTGCCAGCAGCGACCGAAGAGCTTAAGAACGTGGCTCTTCGTGATGATTACAGGTTTGTGGATACGATTGAAGGAGATGATCAACAGACGAACTCACAGGCTGTGCAGGAGTACGTTGTGTGTGACTTGCAAGACGTTATTCCGGTTGTTGAAGACGTGTTGGAAGACTACATGAAGCTACCTGCATACAAGGTCATTGTATTCTTGCCTACGGCACGTGCGGCGCAGTTTATGGCACAACTTTTTCAGGCTGCGGGTTTCCCAAACGTGCTAGAAATGCATTCGCGTAAAAGTCAATCAGCACGCACCAAAGCCGCTGACGCCTTTCGCAAAGGTAAGAAGATGATCATGTTTTCATCTGATGTATCGGCACGTGGCGTCGACTACCCAGACGTCTCGTTGGTTTTACAAGTGGGTCTTACGGATCGTGATCAGTATATTCACCGCCTAGGACGAACTGCTCGTGCAGGGATGGAAGGACGTGGCATTCTGGTGCTGGCTAACTTTGAAAAGGCTTTGCTTTGTGATCTGGCTGACCTGCCGCTCGCGGAACTCAAACGGCAACCTCAGCTTGATGGGAAGGAGCACCGAACCGCACGTGTCCTGGCCGATATTCGTCCCCTGAGTGCGCTTGAGAAATCGGCAGAGAAAGCTTATGCTGCATTTCTAGGATTCTACAACTCGAATCTCAAAAAGCTCCGCATGTCCAAGACGCAGCTTGTCGAGACCGGTGCGCTTTACAGCCAGCTTATTGGACTGGAAGAAGTACCGATGTTGCAGAAAAAAACTCTGCGAGCGATGGGATTAATGGATGTTCCAGGTCTTAGTGTTGCCCCCAAAGCAGCTAGAGTAGCAGGATTCAAGCCAAAAGGTGCTGGCGGGAAGCAACACAGATTGGCTAGCGAAGAACAGGGTAGCTATCAATCGCTTCACAGCCGAAAGAAGCGAGATAGTCATGAGGGCAACGACAGGCGTGGGAGAAGGTTGCGGAGAACGTCATTTAGCAATGACGAACCCAAGTCTCCTCGCGCTGAGCTGCACTTCAAGGGCAACCGCAGCAGTCGTAGCACCTCGTCAAGCAACAGGCAAGAAGCGCGCACGTATGGACGCAAGCGTTTTGGTAGTGCGGCAGCCAAGTAAGACTTTAAGGGTTTGCCCTCAGCGATACTAGAAGACAACTAAAACTACGATTAAAGAATGCCAGGAACGAGCGCGACTCTATGATCAGACTGTAATTCGCTACAATATGTGTTCTACCAGGCCAACACAATCGCAGAATCACGCTCTCTTCCCCTTGCTTTATGCGTTGTTCGCTTAGCCGATGGCCTGATACTCAAACCGACGCTTCAGAACAAACCATGTCGCGCACGCACCCATTACGGCCCCAACTGCAGCGCCAATGGCAAGCTGAGCAATGGAGACAGTATTTGAACACGTTGCTGTAGATTGCTGCGCAGCAAGATCAGCGCTCGCATCCTGGCGACTTCTAAACAGCTCAAGCTGCTTCTCCAGCACCGGGATACGCGGCGGCACCAGTGTGTCACCTGGCCATTTGGAGAAGTTGCTGACTTTGAGCCACCATTTCGGATAACCTGGCATCTCCATATCATTTGGAGCTTCGCCAGTGGTGATATAGCCGTCTGTGTATTTGCTCACAAGCTTCCATGCAAAAGCCCACCATTCTTGAACGACTTTGGAAGCCAATTGATTAGATTGCTCTTGCAAGTATTTGCGAGCTTCAACTGTTGTCAAAGACTGGTGCGTGACGTGATGTTCCATCGCCTTCCGCTTAGCAAAACATGCCTCCTGCAACTCAGCAATGCGAGCGCGAATGTCTCTGCTGATAGCGTCAAAGCGTAACATGCTCCAGTTGTTAACAAAGCTGAATGCCCACCATGCTGAACCAAGCGTGAACTCGCTTTCCTTACCGAGGATGTACGCGGAGGGCACCTCTTGCTGTGCACAGGAAAATGGCACGAATACCGAAGCATGAGGCGAGCTTTGTCCATACCAGGCTACGCCACCAACGGCATCGGGAAGGTATGAACGCGCTTGCAGCACGAAACTGTACAAGGTGCGGTACATGGAAATCGGTCGCTCCCAACCACCAACGACACCTTTTTCGTCGCCTCCCCACCGCATAGGCATCCCAAACGGTCCCGAAGCAAGACCCTTGGACAAGTCATAAGGCGTGCCTTGGTAGTAGTCGCGCAACAAGTGTGTCACATCCGACACATCGAGTTTTCGGTCTGGTTCGACTGAAAACGGGTATGTCGAGAACTCTGGGTAATACCCAAGGCGAGAATCGAGCTGCAAGGATGGTGCCACAAGATCAAATACGCGCCACATGCGACGCCCTACATATAGAGGGCGCACGGGGTCCGGCGTTGGAGTAGCGTACACAGCGGTAAAATCGAACTTGCCTTGCTTCGGCTTCCACCACCCCATCTCCTCAGCAAATGAGTGCACATTATTTGACGCCATGAAACGATCTGGATCGTCCAGATCCATTTCACGAATCACAAAGCCATTGGCAACCACGACCACGTGGGTATCAAGCACGCGTTGTGCAGCCCAAACAGCGCTAGCATTTTGTGGACCCGTGAGCACGTGGAAGACCCAGACTTCTCCGTAACGGTCAGCAATGCCCAATGTCTCGGCTGCGTTCACGTACTCTGGATTCTCCGGGTCACCACTGTCTTCACTAAAAAATCCGTACTTGGTAGCCAAGTCGCCCATGGTCTGTATAGCGCACCGAGCTGAGTCACAGCGCTCTAACGCCACTCTAGTGAGCTCTCCAATTCCAAACATATTGTGCCCATGTGAACCTGCATCCATGGGCCATCCCACGGTCCTAGCTCCACTAGTACTTTCTCCAATACTAAGCTGCACTTCATTCATAAAACCATAGTCCTGTTCAAAGTAACCGTACGTGTGTAAGACTTGCGGGATCTCACCAAGTGGTGTCATGATCTCTTCTTGTTCATTCTTTGGTTTATACTCAGGTCCTCTCTCATTTGTCACAAGTCGTGGATAGCCTGGTTGTACGTTGTATACATACCGCATTGCTCCTTTCTCGTACTTTTGAGCTGGTACATATACCATTCGTAAGTCACCAGTACCAAAACCCGCATCGTCCGTATGAGCGACAAGTGTAGATCCATCCACTGTTGCATTGCGTCCCACTGCAATCATTGTACAAGCTCTTGCCATTGAGACAAAGGCACTTGCAAGCACTAGACAAAGCTGTGGATTTGACATGAGGCACTTACTTACTTGGTGCTTGTGATTGATTAAAATACGAACTGAACGAATAAATTACGGCGATCTTTTCAAGATCATTTGAAAACTATGTAAGATTTTGACAGGGGTTTTGTATGCTCATAGTGAATCAAAGTGTGATGATCGGACTTTCTAAATTTGGAAATATTTTGGATAAATAAGAATTGATTATTAACACTTACGCCATGAGACGAGAACGGATACGACTAGAAACCGTGTACGGGACAGTACTTGATAAAGACAGCTCATGGATAGACGGGAGTTTACACTCATGATTCATCTTACGACTAGGAGACAGCAACGGGAGATTGAATAAAGTCGCTGATTGCATCAATGGTGACATGACACAAGGCTTGTCCTGGATTCGAACGGCCATAGCAGCTTGTAGATTCCCATCTGGACGCGGAAGAATGGGCTTAAACTTGTCGGTACAATAGATGGGCATCAGAGCAGCACGCTTCACTGACATCTCCTTGTTAGTAAGACTTTTGCGTTTGCGAGACTTTTTACTTTGACGTTTGACGAGCAACATCTCGCTAAAGTTGTCACGCTTAAAATGCTCACGGCTATACGTGGGAAACTGGGCACGGGCTTTGCTCCATTTACGAAAGCCAAAGTAGTTGAGCTGACGTTGAAAGCTCGAGAAATTCTTGTTTTTAAAGTATTTAGGTAAAACCTGAGAGGTCATGGCTGCCTTGTCTAAGATCTGAAAAGCCATACCATCTTCTACCCATCGAATGATCTTTGAGTCTTCACGCCGTAATAGCTGGTGTAGATGCAGTAGGAACGGGGCCACCCAGCCGCTCTTTTCACTGCTCAAACTTGAGCTTGAGCTTGAGTCACTGCTTGTATTGGAGCAGCTAGCGACTGATGTCACATGTGACACTGCATGAACCTCATTTGTAAGAAGGTCGTGAACATTCATTGCAGTTTGTAAGTATTGACACTTGCGTTAGAATGAGCAGAATTGAAAATGAACGAAAGTATGTTTTCTCCCAGACAACTTGAATCACCGATAGTTGTTCAATTTTGTACATACAGATTTGGTTGAGTATTTGTATTAATAATATAGTATATATACTTTTGACTCGAATCTTAGTGAGAGTAGGGTATCACGAAGATAGCTGCATGTCTTTGCTCCATGTCGTAAAAAGGGTACTCCTTGTGGTTATAAAATACATGGCGCGCGTCCAAACGCATTCCCATAATATGAGCCGAAATTCGTAGGAACTCAATCGCATGGAGCATATGAATTCAAGATTATTGAATACTATAGCTTATCTGTACATTTTTAATCAGCACAACATCATGAAGATTCGCACGCGTTTCCTGTTCGGTGCGTTGGCACCCATCTCTCGATCATCATATCGTACAACATCAACAACGTTTAATCGTCGTCAAACATTGAGTGTGTACGACTTGTGCAAAGACCGGCAAATGACGGTCAGAAATGAGACTGTGACGCCATGAACATATGGACGTCAAACTCCAGTTCTTCACCTTGAATCTCTTTTGATTCTATTTTTACTAGATCGTTTCTAAATTTTTATACAGTCAAAAAAATACAATCGACGCCATCGACGTCACGCCCGAAAATGGTGCTTAGTCTCACTTGTCTCTACAGTTACATGATGGTGTTCACTATTAGTATTTTACTCAAGAAAAAGCTTAGGTTAAAAGGGCATCTATTGCGTATTATACGTCTTCTTGTCAAGTATGACGCGAGCTTCAATGTTCAAAGACATGTAACGCATAACTCTTGGTGATAGCAAGACTGCACTGCAGGATGTATGAATGTGCGATATGCCTGCGGGCAGTTTGGATCGGACACCTATCTGACTGATCATACTGTAGAATTTGAACATGTATGGACAAACATCAGGAATACTTTGCGCCAAAAGAGCATCCATCACCTTTGTCAATGGTTAGGCATGGGATTCTTACCACTGCGTTTAGTTGTTGTTTGTAAGATGTAAGTACAAGAACCAGAGAAAAATCATATACACATGTGCTAGACGACAAGCAAGTTTCCTCTGCAAGACGACACCGAGCATATAAACATGCTTTGGCTGATTCAGTGGTGCATTTTAAAGCGCTGTGATGATAACAACAAAAAACTTTTGATCTATTAAGTTGGAGCTATCTCCTCCCTATTGAAGTTTCTCAAGAAGTAATTTAGTGCCTTGCTGCGTGTCCACTAGCTTTTTCAAGTCTCCCATTGAAGACTTGAGTGCCTTTTTCACCACCTCAACAGCATTCTTGGGGGCGTGTTGAGCCTCCAGGAATGCTAGAACTACAAAAGAGCCACGGTTACTCGTTGCCCACTGCGGTAGCTGTTCTTCGACGGCTGTAAGCAAAGACCTTGCCATCGAGGTTTCTTTGATCAAGCGACGCAAAGCAAAGTGACCGTTGGCGTCAGTGTAAAGAGGCTCTGTCTCCTCCACGCTGGGCGCCGCAAAAACAGCGTCAGCCACGCTATCGCTTAGCTCCGTGCTCTCACTGCGTTTAGCAACCTCGACAATCACGTCACGACCCTCCTTCGAACGCATCAGGGCAGCTGCATTCTGAACGCTCATCTCCTCGAGCTTTGGCAACAAACCCTTCAGCAACTCTTCACGACGAGCGTCCGGGTCCTTCTTGTAGTTCACCACCATGACGGTCGGATCTTCCAGTAATGGCAGCATGGGTGGCTCGAGTAGAACAAGATCATCCGCAGACAAGTACTTCTTGTTCAACGGGCTCAATAGCTGCAACAAAACCTTTCGTCCGCTTGGGTGCGTAGCAATCGAAAAGAGTTCATTGTTCAGCTCTGCCAGAACAGATTTTTGCACAAGAACAGAGTCGTCAACCACATCCAAGATGCGCATGATCACGAGGTAACCACTCGGGTGGTTGCATGCCTCTAGCACCTTGTCCTTAAGCGTCTTAATAATACGCTTACGGTCTTTGGCCGTACCCAGTGAAATACACTTGTTGACCACACGAGCACCGTTGCGCGTGGCAAGCAGCGCCAGCGAAGCATCACGAACATTGGCCACCATCTGCATGACGTCGTCGTGCTCCGCATTGCTTATGTACTCCCATAAAAGAGACTGCACGAAAGCCAAACCAAGAAGCTGCTTGTCGATCATGCGACTCAAGATGCTGCTGAGATGTTTGAGCACATCTGCCTTTTTTTCTGGATGCGTGGCAATAATGTCCGCTAGGTTGCGTTTGCTTTCCGAGCGAAAGTAGGCAAACTCACGACCGTAAAACTCCAGCTTGAGCGCTGTTAGCTGTGATGGCTGGAGATATTCCTGTGAATATTCGAGCACATTGGCGGCAATATTGTGCGTGCCAACTTGAACCACGTGGCCCGTGAGGCACTTGACAATGGCCGCACGGTCCGCCAAGCTTCCATAGCGGATCATTTTTTGCACGAGAAAGCAACCGTATTGCATTTTGGCCAAATCAATCAAATGTTCTTTCATCTCCAACACGATCTGCGAGCGGTGCTCAGGTTTGCCGTGCTGCATGAGCGACTGGATGACCCGCGACGCATCATGCTTGGCTGCTACGTCATAGATCTTTCCTTTGACTAAATTATACAGCTCATCCACAAGCTTTGCACGCTTGTTCTTTTCCACATCGCGCTCGCGAATGACGTTCCAAATTTGCTTGGCACGCGTAACCATCTCGTAGTGCGGGCGCTGCATTTTGCGTTGCTTCTTAGCTAGTTTCTGGTCCATAAACGACTTCTTACCATCCTCAGCATTGCTGGCTGAGCGCTTCTTGGCATTGCGTCCGCTTTTGTTGTAGCTCTTGGTACCTTTTAGCTCCACCGTCTTTGCTTGCATCGCCATGTCTAGTGCAAGTTGTTGCTGCTTTGTTAATCTCTTGAGCCGTGCCCAACCAGTCAAACAACTGTGTTTTCAAACATAAATTATATGTTTTCGAATACACAAAGAGGAGCAAACCTACGTAATGAAATAATGTATCTTGAAGCGTTGTTATGAGCCAAATCAATTACTATCGGGCAATCAATTCTCTGTTCTTATGACACTTCTCGTTCTTATGACAAAGAATTGATTGCCCGATAGTAATTGTTAAAATATTCGATAGAGAAGGAACACTGTAGCGGTGTGTCTTGATTGGTAAGGACTGCAGACCTGACAAATTTTGCCGATCAGGCGACGTAAAGTCACACAAAAAGGTAAATGCTTTCCTGACTGATTTTGGTTTCGTGGTACTCTTTTCACGGAGAGACAACTGCGGATAATGTGCTTCAGAACTCATAGATTCAAAGTAAGGAAGAAGCCACAAGCTCAAGAGCATAAAGTAGTCGTATGCTACATTTAAAGCGTAGAGTTGATGCATTTTGGTTAAAATGGCAAGGTTATATATGACGGAAGGGTACGCAGACCTACGCTGTTCAAGAAAGTTGATGAATGACGTGAAAATGCATCCATGTAATTACACGATCAAAGATGTCAGCTTCAATTTGGTTGACAAAGAATTGATGAGGAATTGATCTCAAAATCCTGTCCTACACTTATGATAAAGCAGTGGTGATAGCATCGGAAGTGGCACTGATGAGCCAAGCATGAACACGTCTGCAGCATTCAGTACTAACTTTAATTGCATGTTGCTATGATGGGTATAATCGGCAAATAGTATTGTGTAAGACACGGCAGATTAAATCAAAATAAAGGAGCGCATTATACGGCGCAAATGGGAACACGTTTACAAGTGCGTCTACGATGTGCGAGAAGATTGACAACCTTGCGGGTGTCTTTGTTTAAACCATATTTATGAACATTTTAAAAGTGGGTACATTTGGCTTTTCATGGCACGCTTTTTACTTGTTCAAATACCGACCAAAAGACCGGTATTTCCATAGTCAAAAATAAATCAAGCACAAGACAAGAAGACGTACGTCACGATGAGTATGTTAACAAGCACAACGTCACACGCTGTAGTGGCTTTTGGATGCAATGATGATGGTCAGCTAGGAACGGGGGCAAAGCGTCGAAAGACACTGGCCATTGATGACGTGTCGGCTTCTAACTTTCCCACAATGCTCGACGGACTTTTCGACGAAGAAGTTGTCGCTGTCTCCTGTGGCTCTCGCCATACAATGGCACTTACTGCAAATGGCACCGTGTACTCGTGTGGATGGGGATCAGTATGTTTTGGTTGTAGCTCTTCGTGTTCATTGTGCAATCGAAGCATCACTTACTAATCGATGTGCGGTGTTTGGCAGATGGGCCAATTGGGCCACGGAGACCTCAAGAGCATTAGCGTACCTCAGAAAATCACCTTCTTCGAGGATAAGGGTCTTGTGGTTAGCTACATTTCATGTGGAGGCTGTCACTCTGCTGCGGTAACGAATGACGGAACGTTGTACATGTGGGGCGAGACGCATTGGGGTCAGCTAGGTCTACCGAAAGAGTTTGAAAAGACGCACGAGTCCGTTCCAGTCGAGTGCTTGATTCCAGAGGCTTATTGTGATGAACGTGTTGTAAAGGTCAGCTGTGGTGGCACGCACACGGCTACATTGACCAACCTTGGACGTGTTTTCGTCTGGGGTCGAGGTGATAGCGGCCAGTTAGGTATCGGCTCGGCATGGCTAAAGGAAACGGATGACAAGTGTCTTATGGGAGTTAGCCAGCCGCATTTGCTTGATAGATTAAACGGCGAGAAAGTCGTGCAGGTTGCGTGTGGTGCGTTTCATTCAGCTGCTGTGACTGAGCAAGGACACGTTTATATTTGGGGAAAAGAGGACTATGGCATGCTTGGTCTTGGACAGACTTCTGATCAGCAGACCCCGAAGCGCATTGAGTTTTTTGACAACATTCCAGCACAGTACGTTGTTTGTCATAGTTGTTGTTGCGTCCTCTTGTTGCTGACAAGTATCGTGGTCTACAATGTTCGTACAGTCGAGTCTCTTGCGGTGGTTGGCACACCGTAGTAGTGGCAAAGTCGGGAGAATGCTATGCTTTTGGACGGGGTGAATATGGCCGACTTGGTCTTGGTGACGCGAAAAGTCGAACGCGTCCTCATTTGGTACGAAGTGATGTAGTGAATGAACATATCTGACAATGTGTGCTGATTCGAGTGTTCGTCTTTTTTTTTTCAGGTGAAAGCTCTACAGGGAAAAACAGTGATTCAAGCTGCATGCGGTGGCTCTCATACCTTGTTTGTTACAAGCGATGGTCTTGCCTACGTTGCTGGAAGAGCTGAGTGCGTACTAACATTGATAGCGGTTTGATGCGACAAATGCGAAACTGACATCTAGTCGATTGTTTTTTTGTTGCTGTAGCCATGGTCGACTCGGTTTGGCAGACGTCAAATCGTTGGCAGTTCCTACACATTTAGACTTCGGTAGTATCCCAGTTCTTCAGGTCTCAGCAGGTGGTGCGCACTCAATAGCTGTACTGCACAGCTTACGCCCTACCTTCTCACCAATGCCCACCAACAATGCACGAGCTATAGAATGACATTGACAATTGTAGTTGTTAAAGTTAATAAACTGCATTTTATAATTAACTGCAAGAACTAATTAGATCCGAAACTTGGTATTTATATTTCATTACTTACTCTAAAACTTGTTACAGATAGTGAGCGTATGTAGTAAAATGTATGGAACAGACCATTCAGTCATTACAAAGACATTCATAGTGAAGAATACTTAATGAGCGAAGATACTGCGTCTTCATCGTCTAGCACCAATTCGCAGGACCGCGGTAAAAGGATTGAATGGTCTCTATCGCAACCTATCGATCGAGGATCTCACCGTAGTGTTTTGCGCACTACTGAAAAGTCCGTTGTTTTTCGAGTACGCACACAAGAAAAACTGTCAAGTGGTGGAGGAAAACGAGCGAGTAATAACAGCTCGTCACAGACGCTACGATTGATGCACAGTGAAGAGACAAGTGGCATGGAAGATGCTAATGTTCACGAAACGCTAAAAGAGCTATATGCAGAGGTCGAGCGCAAGAAACAGTGGCTGAACAACGAGGAGAAGGCGTTTCAATGTGGTCAACAACATCTAAACAGTTTACAGCGAGAATATGCAGCGCTTATAGGTAATTTGGAGCAGTGTAAACGAAGCCAGCAAGAACGATATCGTATTCAGGATATGGTGAGAGGACCACGTGGAGAGAGTGGAAAGTATGATTGTGGAAGAAGTAGTGACAGTGACAGCGACTATAGTAGTTATAAAGAGCATCGTCGAAGCAGTAGCAGTCGTCGCCGTAGTCGATCACAACGAGATGGTGCGAGAAAAGAGCGAAAACGATTGCGACAATTCCAGAGCGAAGTGTCTTTACGATTCCAACTATTACAGTCAGAATGTCGACAAACGGACCTGAAGCTTGATAAGTTGGTGTCTGATTTACGTCGAGAATATGCCGATTCGTGTCTCTTTGGTACGTCTTTAAATTTCTAGTCCAGATTGATCATATAGATTGACGTTATGACTCTTATTTCCAAGCTTAATAAGGCCATGATGGTTTTATTTTTTGTTCTAAAACGTCGTAATGAACAACTAACATGTGAATGTTATTCCACCAATCACACGTTTTGTCGTTTTGTCCACTGTGGGTGAAATAACGAAAATACAATTGACACAGTCTATGTGGCCGACTGAAACGGGGTTAAATGATGACGACCCGTGTGAGCTTCAGCGCCGACGAGAAGCTTATGCGCGAGAATTAGAACAACAGATTGCAATGCGTTGTATGTATCAGCAAAAGGATCAAATAGAACGTGAGGAACTAGAACGTAAGCTAGCACCAAGCGAGCACTCGCCATCCATGTGGCTAGTTGAAGGAGGTCGTTTCGACGTGGGACATACGGCTCAGTTACCTGAGAAACGCACGTCGTGTGTAGATGTTCATGAAGAAAAGATACAGGATCGAGGTGCTGCGACATGCGAAGTCAGTAGTGTGTCATCATCGTATCCACGCTTTCGAGTAATTGATGAGAGCAAAACTAGCCAAAGACTGCGAGAACGTGCACAGCAAATGCAGTGGAAGAAGATGTTGGATGAACAGGTGCAGGAAAAGGCGAGGCTGAAACAACAACAAGAGGCAGAGAGAAGACAAAGTGAGGAAGAAGCGGCGAGGGAGGAGGTGCGCTACCTTCGAGAACAGCAGCAACAAGCACAACGACGACTGGGCAAAGTGAATGCTGAGGAAATTGAGAACAGAGTGGAGGCATTGTCGTCAATGCCGGAACTGCCAGCAAACAAACAGCCGAACGACTTTGAATCGACTACAAACAATCTCCACAAGTTTGCACGTACCAGTGATCCACGAGAGACTGACGACAAGTCGATGTGTTATCACAACGATCGGCGGAACAAATGCCCTGGTGTTGCTGAAGCACTGTTGCCTCCGCCTGCTCTTGCACAGATTCAATTGCCGCAAGACAATGGACACAATCGCTCAAATGATGGCGGCCACGATACGTTTGATTGTAGAAAAGAGAGCATAAAACAGCTACATTTTGAGAAGAACGATGCACAGGCTTCGCAAGATCAGATGGAGCAGCATAGTCGGATCATGGAGGAGTACCGCTCGCTACTAGCGGACATTCGTCGTGAACGTGAAAAACTTCGACGAGAACGAGACGAGATACGGCGAGAAAAGGAAGAGTTACGTATGCAGCTAGTGCTGTTGCAGCTTGAAAACGAAAAGACGGCTAATTTGGTGGATGCGCAGCGGGCACTTAATGAGCAACATGAGTCAAACTTTCAAACGGAGCAGATACTGCAAGCCCAGCAGCAGCTCTCGCAACAACAGCAACAATATCAGGCAATGGCGTATCAGTTTCGCCAACCGACTGTTCAGTCTGTGGATATTAAAAAGGATAGCACACGTTGGGGTTATGGGCGTCCACGGCAGCAGCATAATGATGGTGAAATGAAAACGTATTCACGACTGAGTGAGATTCGGCAAACCTTGGGTGATTTAAGTATTCGAAATGACCAGCCTGAGTCAGCATTTCCAGGACGACGAAAAAAATCACCAAACCCGATGTCCATGGCTGACATTCCAGCAGTATCACCGAATAAGCGTATGAACGCCAACATTGTGAGCTTGCCAGATTACCAAAGACTGTCACCATACCGTCCAATCCCGACTATTCCATCCCATGACGAAAGCATGCTGGATCAGTCCTTGGTGAACGAAAGTGTCTTTGTTCCATTGAGTCCAACATCGGAGCACGACACTACTAGACCGAACGTTATGGCACGACGGACTCCTTCTTCTACTTCAGTATCAGGAGACATCAATAGCCGGTGCCTCGATCCCCTACGAAGCAGTCGTATCATCCAAAGTCGTGGTTTCTACGACTTTGGCCAAGAGTTCAAGACCAGTGACAAGGCTGACTCTTTGGACGCAAGTGGATCAATTAATGGCACAGATATTGGACTAGATTCAACAAGCAATTACCATGGCAATGATGACGAATAGAATGCAAAGGGCACAGACGAGAAGATGAAGTACATGGAGAATCTCACAACCACGAGCCAAGAGCAGTCGTTTTGCTCCATAATAATTACAAATAACTCTATGTCGTTAAAAAAAAGTGAGCACAAAATAAGAGTAGAGGAAGAAAAAAAGGTAAACATCGTGTGGTTTACATCATTTCACCAACTGGTCGACTTTACCCATTTTTATTCATTTTCGCTGGCATTCGTTCTATTCCAAGTCTTAAGAATGACGTTCCAGTTTCCCGTTGCGAGTGGTAAAACAAAGCAAATACAGGTATTTGAGTGTCCTACAGAGACATGGAAAGAGCGTAAACGTTATGGTCCAAAGGTTGTGTGAAAATGGTGCTATTGTATTTACTTTTTCATGCAATTAAGGGATTATTTGTGTGTGTCTAGAACAAGAAAAAAGAGAATGAAGTAGAGCTGACGTTACGACAAGAGATTCGAAAAGAATTTGATGACACGTTCGACTCGGTATTGGAGTTTAGTATGTGATGTATCTATCTATCTATCTAGTTGCTGTTCTATGGAGCAATCTCATGCAGTGTGTGTATACAATGATGAGCTGATGAGACCTTTTCGTGACCTTTTGTGTTGGATATTGTCTCTCCATAGCTACTTTGAATCTAAAAGGGAAAGAAAAGAAGATGAATGAAGCCAAGAAGATTGAGGCACTGGGTGGAAAAGCTGCTGCCAATCGTAAAATACCGTATAAAATACTGATTGGCATGAAGACAAAGGGTGTGGCTCGAAAACAGCGACGTGAGGACTTGGTACGATGTAGTAATGACTCATAATAGTAGTCTGGCGTGAGTGATTTGGTTTTGATGCAAACGTCTTGTTGGTGGTTTGTTTGCTTTTTGTGTGTGGATGTGCAGATGAAAGAATCTGACATGGTGACGGGGAAGCGGAGATTGAGTCATAAGTCAAGAGATCAGCAAAAGAAGAAGAAGACTGATTACGGCTTGCAGGCTACTAGAGGACGGTTCAAACGCGGCGTGTTGGATGTGCGTAGTTTGTAACGTATCAAACTCGTAGTAGAAAAATTTATGGGCGCTATTGGTATCGATCGATGTCGTTTTGAGCTTCGACAGTGCACATGAACTTTGCAACTAGATTGAGTAAGCTGTTTAGGTTTTAGCAGAAGCAATACGCTCAGTGATTGTGCAGAGACACGTAGTGTTGCCGGTTCTTCATGTTGTTATACGGAGATCAAGCGGAGATACAATCGAGTTGCGTCGGAAACAAATGATTCAGGGGACAGCTGTTAGAAAAGTGGATAAGAAGATGAGTTGACCCTACTTATTACACCCGTCATCTGCGGCTCAGGCGTTGCTATCATCTCAGAAATGCAAACTTTCAATCTCATGACACCGTTTTGGTGGTAAGACTCACACTGAGTGTTGCCAAAACAGTTAGCAAGGTGTCGCATTTATACTTGGCAACAAATCTCGCTAATACAGCCATCAGATCGGTGACGATGCACTGCGAAACTAAATAGCTCATATTTCATGTCAACATTGGATGAAACATCCACAACCAATAGATAAACGTGTCTGCCAACGAGGGTCTGACAACTCGCCGACAGGAACCTCACAATACAGCTAGACCCATTCATACAGAGCAATCAGCGATGAGCGTGACCGATTACGGTGAACCACTTGCTGCTTCCGAATCCACTGACGAAACCCAAATGTCCCGTCACCACCAATCGATTCACGGACTTCGCTTTCTAGATCCAGGTCATCGTCGATAACAACACACGAGCCGTGATCGCTTAATGGCATCGCATCGGCTCCGCGTGGCTCTAGCTCCAGGGATCTAGCATACCGACTCTCTTCTGAAGAATACAACATTTCAACGTGCAGAAGTTCCTGGAATGCAAACAAATACGTAGGTCAGGTAAAATTTTCATTCAAAGATGTAACTGTATGCTTGAAAAACTACACACAGTAATCTTCTTGTCGTTCGGAAGCGTGTAAGCAGCAGATTGACGGTGCAAAATCTCCATTGCTAATTCACCCATTCGCCGCAATCGACTCCCATTTACCAGACCATCGTTACCAAAAGCAGGCAATTCATTCAGCCCCGCAAAACCCTGACCAAAACCACCAGCGTCAGCCAAGATTCACTGAAACGAAATGCGTGTAGTAGCACTTACCTGAAGATACAACCCGATGTAAGGCATACACGGATTACCAAATTTCCGCATGAGCCGGTTCATCTCGCGGCATCCTTTGTCCGAAAGCAGTTGCATGTCGTTCAGCATCTTCTTTGCGTCAACGCTTAGCTGCAATGTTCCAATATGACCAAGCATGATGTCACATCAATAAACGTATCACACTGTACTAGCATGATCAAGTTTCATAAACGTACACAGTTGATCGTCTTCCGAAGGCGCTGCACTGCTGTAGACTGCAATGCATATAAAATCGAAGCCAGCGTATCGTAGTTGCGTAATGACATACAACAATCGGCAGCCTAATCGTATAATGCATCGGCACTCAAACATCAGCATTCAAACTTATGTTATAGTAGGATGCTCTTCTATACCTTAAGGTAGAACGAAATCACTTCAGCGCGTTCTTCAGGAGTACTTTGAGCCAAAACAGCGTTAATAACATAGGCAGATAGCTATGACACGTTACAATACAGAAGTGCATCAAAGTCAGCACCACCAACAATCAGCTGAATGTTTCAATTTGCGCGGCGCGTACATGCTGAAACCAATGTTTGATCGTTATGAACTCAACGGAATGTCTAACCTTCGAACCTGTTGATACGAAATCTTGGACTGTATAGATCAATGTATAAAAAGGTTAGAAAGCTAACAAAATGGAATAGAAGAGCGCACATTATCCTACTTGGGATTTTGCAAAAGACCGCATGTGTCAAAAGCGTGCACTGCTTCGACCACCGTTCTGCGTCAATATATCTGTATCCGTAAGAACCTTTTAGCAAAATTCACACACACAAATTGCAACCTCTTTACTACCTTGCTTACCGGTGCAAATGCAATTGAAAAGACTTGTTAGATCCAGGTTTAGCGCCTAACCCGTAGATCTTAATCATCGTTTCAGGAATTTGTTTGTAGCTCAAAGCATAGTTTCCGGCTCCTCGAAGTGAAAAGTAGTCTCGGTAAAGAACGGCATATTCTTCCACCAGACGCACCAATTTTTCCTTCGAGACGTCAACATTATGACCTATGAGATTGTAAAAACGATCAAGAAGATCATCAGATTCCTTGACTTCGGACTCCCTGAACAGCAATACCATGATCATCAGACGAATAAGTCCGTGACCTAAGCATATGGATGTACACAAACTTAGTGTCATGACTTGACTTCACCACAACAACAAAAACGTACGTTTGATCCCATTGTGTACGTGCTTGCTCAGCCGATCTACTACTTCATTCATGCTTGAAAAGCTATCAAGGAATAGCGCAAATGCCACAAAGTCCACTAAATCCACTTCTGTTCCTGATACAAGATCGTGGACCATATCTTCAACGGAGTTTGAGTGTATAGATCGATATATGAAGTCGTTCTTCCCAGCAACCTTCCAGAGATCGCTTGGCGCTGGTAATTCCAGACATCCTATCGCCTTTTTCATCTGGGTGTAGTCGACAAATGAGCCAAAGATATCGACATTAACACCATTACTGGACCGATTCAACGAACCCCCTTTTTGCAGCCGATCAATCACATGCGAACTGCGTGAGCTACTTGCTTGATGAGGAACGTGGCGACCGTAGAGATTTCGTTTGCTGAGGCGGCACCCAGCGCATGCTAACATTTCAAGGCCCAAGATTCGAGCATCACTATCTCCATCAGGAGCGGATGTCAGCAGCACTGTTGCTGGAGTCTGACCATATCGGTTCTGAACATTAGGATTTGCACCACGCTGCAGCAGCAGACGAATGATATCAGCGTGCAGGAGAACAGCAGCCAAATGCAAGCTAGTATTTCCGTCCAAGGTAGGAGCATTCGGGTTCGCTCCCTTCAATAGGCATAACTCCACTAGCTCGGTTCGCCCACTGTTCACAGCAAACTCCAGGGCCGAAAACCCATTCGACCACGCCACACAGTGCACGTCAGCTCCAAGCGCTAGGAGCGTTGCAGATCCTTCGAGTGATGCTGTCGAACACATGAACATTAACGGAGTAAAACCGCGTTTCTCCATTGCATTAATATCAGCTCCAGCAGCAATGAGTTTCTCAATGATTAGCGCCATGTTCACCGACTGCTTCACAGCATGCAGTGGTCTCCTTCCTTTGTAATTGCACAAATTAACGTCAGCTCCTCTTGAAACAAGATAATTAACCATTTGAAGCTGCCCGCTGTGCACAGCTGCATGAAGTGGAGATCCCTTTCCAGAGATAGGAATAAATCCAAATATTTGCTTCCCTCGAGACTTTTCCCACGAACAAAGCGTGTTAAGGTCCATGGTAGACGATCCCAGCCATGCAGCCGAGTCCAGGTCTCCCCGACGCCCAGCGATACACATCAGATACCGAAACAACTCAGAGTCCAGCGCAAGTAGTTGATAGTAATAGAACTCTGTCATGAAGGTGAGCTGCTTCGGAAGAGACGCAGTTCGCACGCGCTGAATGATCTTGTCAAATGGCATCCCAATGACTGGTTCGTGGTTGATTGCAATCAACGACAGACCAGGCACAATTGCGGAACTTAGTGCTGCTTGGGACATCTTTCGAACACTGTATACAATGGCTCCTCGGCCATTACCGTCCGTCGTGAACTGAATGCCAACATCATTGGTCGAAATGGATACCGAAACACGAGACCCGGCCAGACCTAGAGAATCAAACCGGTAGCTTTCATCGCCAATTTCAAAGCACTCTACCCACTTGATCGCATTCAGAAAAGCTGTCACGACATTCGCCTTGTTCTGACATGCTGGGTGGTGTTGATACCCGTGCTTTAGCAACGCACGAAGAATTGGTAGATCACTGAGCGATGACATTGTAACAACGTACCGAAAAATAGCCGTAAGCGCATCATCTGATACTTCAAAAAGCTCACCGTTGTGTTTGGCTATCGAGTTTGTAATGACATTTCCAGCAGATAGAATGACCTCAAACTTATGTGTTGGTAGCGACACACACTCGAGCAAATTGACTACACTAATGGCTTGCTTCCAATTGCAAACCGACAAGTCCTTTGTGATTCCAAAATCTGCCTGCGCTTTTTGCTTTAACACCTTGAGGTTCTGTTCCAATTTTTTGCGTCTCGACTTGACCCGATTGGTCTCTAAGCTTGCGTATGCTTCAGCATACAATGAAATAAACACGCGGTCTTCAACATGTCGTCGAATAAGTCGTACTAGTTCATTACCAGGTAAAAGTTCAATCTCTGAATCCTGATAAAGCTCCAAATGATGACGATCAATGATTGCGTCGTCCAATTCGACAATGAAATTGTGAATCGCCACATACGAATGATCATGTTCGTTTTCTTTAAACTTGACGAGACTGTTGGCAATTTGTTGATCCGTGACAAAAATCTTGTTCAAATGTCTTGCAACAGCATTCGAGCCTACTTTTTCTTCCGTTGCAGTCAAATCCATTTCATAACAAGGTGGTGCAATCCGTCGTACGGACCGTAGAGCAGCAACCCAGAGTTCTGCTTCAAATTGACTGCAACAATAACATAATAATTTGTAAAATCCTTTTTCAATCTGAAACGCATAGGCTTTCTCAGCCACGCGAATGTCAACATGTTGAACTGACACGACACCATCATTCAATTGCATACATCCTTTAATCTTCTTTCGTCCTTTATTCTTATAGTAAGCAAACGTTCCATCCGAAAACAAGACAAAAAATCGTGTTTTCCAGCTTTTCCACAAATGACCTTGTTTCATAAGCCATCCCATTTTCACAAAATTACCCGCTTGTAATTGAGCTGCATAGAATGCACCATTTAGTAATGGATCAGAACGATGACGGACTAATTGAAATGCTTTTTCATGATGAAGACATGATTCCAATGGGCCTACTCGTCCTGTTGATCCTACGGGTCCTGTTAATCCTGTTGATCCTGATCCTCTTGGTCCTGTTCCTGGTACTCCACCAACTAATTTCGAGTCACAAAGACCATCATCAGACGTCGAACTACTTGATAATCGACTGGACCTTCTTGTATATGTACTAAATCGCATGAAACTCAATCGATTTTCTTGTTTTTTCTCCTGATAATGACGTGTAAACTGTAATCTTCTCTTTGGCTTCAACATAATCACGTCTTCTTCCTCCTCTTCTTCATCTTCTTCTTCTTCTTCTTCTTCTTGTAATAATGGTGGAGGTGAGTCCATTGAGGAATGACAGGAATCTTTGGATCTTCTCTTACGTCGCCAACCTGAGGATGTCATGACAGAGAATAAAGGGGTTCCTACAGATAATAGAGAAGAATAGATAGAGAATCAAGCAATGAGTGAGTGCGTCGTGCGTCTCTAGCTGAGAGTTGGATGACAAGTACGAAAAACGAATGGAAGTGCACAAGTTATTCTGGAATCAAATCTGGCAAGGAAAGTCGTGCACTGTATATTTCGGACCATTTTTTGTCTTTTGTGTTGACCTTTTTTTCTTCGTCTTTAAGTAAAGATAAAAATCTCCCCGCTCTCTTTAGACACAACCTAACCACCTACACTTTTGTTTGGTTTTTGGTATTCTTGGAGTAGATACTCTAGATAATATCCATTCGTTTTTTTTTTTCATATGTTGTGTGTATGTGTATTCTGTTGTTTTGAATCCGTAATTTATAGACGCAACGTTTTCCACAACAGTTGTGTGGCATTGGTTTCGTTTATTTTACACGTGAGGAATGGATTGCACAACGTTTAGCAACTAGTTACGCTTACGTGCTCGTGTTGTATTAGTGCATCAACTTTTTTACCTTGATAATACGTTGTTAACTGAAAAGAAAGAGAGACAAAAGGGGGTTGCGTGGTTTATATATATAGAGATATAACTTGATATACACACACCTTGTGCATTCGTGTGTTGGACTATAATGTTTGGTATGCAGACTAAACAGCTTGGTTGTTTTCAGTTGGTAGAGAGATTGAAATGATTTATAGAGTAGAGACGATTTGGACGTAGTGGATGTAGGCTACAAAGCAATCCACGAAAAGAGTATTGTTACATCATGCTGACTCTGCATCCTGCTGACACTGTCGTTACACACACTCTCTCTCTCTGTTTTTATGCTTTTCCTCTTCTAATTAGTAGTAAGGCTCTATAACTGTAAGAAGTAATTTCTGATTCGTGACTAATTTGTTTATCACTTCAATTCGTCAGGCGTTGTTGTCTTCTAATTATGATTATTATGTTCAGTGAGGATACTTGAAGTTTTATCCCGTATATTTCACCCGATGAACAAAAAACGATATTATCTTTGCAAGGTCAGATTTTATCCAAAATGTGGACGGTCCGTAATCGTCGTCATCCTGTCGTGGCTACAAGACGGCGTCTCTCGACCTCCCACGCAGTCCGCTCTGCTCCCTGTGCATTGCGTTCGGTATTGTGGGCACCTACAGAGAAACGCGCACCTTCAGATGCAGCAGTCCCAAGCCATCAGCTGCTAGTACGCGCTGGGTTTGTGCGCAAAAGCGGCCATGGACTTTTTTCAATGCTGCCTCTTGGACGACGCGTTATGGCGAAATTGGAGGCGTTAATTGACCATGAGATGTCAAAGATTGGTGGTAATCGAGTGGATTTGACAGTCCTGACGCCCAAGGAAGTGTGGAAACAGTCAGGCCGCTGGCAAAGTCGGGGGACCGGAGCTCATGACGTTCAAGGATCGACATGAAGATCTACTGGTGCTAAGTCCCACGCACGAAGAGAGCATATCGAGTCTAGTGGCAATGCACTATAATACTACGGAGGCAGCCGAGTCATCGTTGAGACTATATCAGATTGGCCGCAAGTTTCGAGACGAAATCCGGCCGCGATTTGGTCTTTTGAGAGCAAGAGAGTTTGTGATGAAGGACATGTATTCCTTTGATGTAACGTACGATTGTGCGTGGCAGACGTACCAAGACGTTACTTCTGCTTACAATGAAATCTTGATATCAAGGCTTAAGCTGCCAGTGAAACGCGTGGAAGCTGATTCGGGAAATATTGGCGGCCATTTGTCGCATGAGTTCCACGTGCTAGCAGATGTTGGTGAAGACGCGATTTTGTCCTGCTCGTCGCCTGCGTGCGACTATGCGGCTAACGTGGAGAAGGCAGAGGGAATGTTTCCGTCATATGGTGAAAATCTGACGGAACAAAGTGACGAGATCTCTGCAGAGCTAAGCGCCATCATTGCAAAAGTTGAGGAACAGGCTCGTTCTGGACATGAACAAGTGTGGAAGTCTTTGATGGAGCTTCATGATGTTGCAGGTGTGCAAGGGTTTTCGTATAAATTAGTGCTAGAGCAGGCAGCAAGCAAGGACTCTAATGCTGCTAAAAACAACGGCAACGATGATGGCAGTTCACTGCCTCGAATGGCTTTGTGCTTTGCACGACATGATCGTGAGGTGAATGAATTGTTAGTGAAGCCATTTCTTGGTGGGGATGAAGGCGACGTGATTGAAAACAAAACAAAGGTCGCTGAACTGCTTACAAAGCTTCAGCAGACAACAGAATTACATTTGCTTTTGGATGATTCGCTGAGACATGGCAAACACATTACCCCAGCGGTAAAATCTCTATGTATCGTTGCAGAGACCCTGTCGAAACAACAACATCATATTCATCTTGTCTGGGGCCACTTTCGTTTGGCACAAGCTGGTGATTGTTGTCCTCGCTGTAATGGTGCTGCAGTGCTTGAAGGCAAGCGTGGGATTGAAGTTGGTCATGTTTTCTATCTTGGACAAAAATACTCGAAACCATTTGGCGCAATGTACACCGACATGAAGAATAACAAACATCCGTTAGAGATGGGCTGCTATGGTCTTGGTGTTAGCCGGCTAGTAGCTGCAGTGGTCGAAGCCTCACACGACGACTATGGTATCGTATGGCCGACTGAAATTGCTCCGTACAAGGTTCTCATCATGTCCATTGGTGGTAAGACGCAGGATGATGTCACATCTCAAACAGCATGGGCAATCGGAAAGGAGCTTGCTTCTGGCAGCGTAACTGGTCTAGTAAGAGACGATATACTGCTTGATGACCGTTGGGACGAACGTCCAGGCTCTAAATTAGTCGAATCCGAGCTTATTGGATATCCCTATCGTATTGTTATTGGCAAGCGGTTCCGGACTGAAAATCTCGTGGAACTTCAAATCCGAGCGACGATGGAAAAGCGATTGCTACCACTTCATGAACTTTCAGCTTTTTTTACTCACCAAGTTGGAAAGTTATAAATCATTGTAACCTTTTGTTTTGCTGAAGTAACGGTAACAACGGGGTACAAAAAATTAGTAGATTTTTGTGATGAAATTAAAACAATAGAGATTATACTTGTTTTGTCATCTCAAAATCTCCGGATATTTGTATCAAGCTTCTATTGACTCATTTTGGTCAATCAAGTATCCAATCCTTATCATGAGTTTGTCAGTCAAGCGACTTGGAGATGGTGCTGCCTTTTGTTTACGTGATGAAATTCATGGAATAAGTGTCTTATTAGGATGTGGAGAGATTAGAGACACGTCTTTTGTCTCTAGTCCTGATGACGGCAATACTGAAGATCTCGAGACAAGAAGAATGCAATATCGACGTGAAGTCAAAGGTCTATTACGACGTGATGGAAATACTCAAATTGATGCAATTTTAGTCCCAGATTATCGACCTGGAACAAGTTATATGCTTCCCTATTTGACGGAAAAATGTGGTCATTCTACTACTACTACTACGTTACTTCAGAATCCAGTCCAAAACAATCTCCTATGATCCTGATGACACACAGCACACGAGCTATGGCACCACATGTTTTAAAAGAATATTGGTACGTAATAGAACGAGGAGGAGGAGAGAGGAGGGAGGAAGGAGATGGGCGTAATGATACAAGACGTGATGATGTTGTGTTGTGTTGTGTTTCTTGTTTGTTGGACTATTAGGATTGGATGCCATGGGAAAATTAAAGACGGTGGGAGTGGTGTATCATCTCTCTATGATGTTCAGGACATTGCTACAGCCTTCAAAAAGACCAAACCAGTTGCATTAAAAGCACGTGTGACTGTGAATGAACACTTGAAAGTCACTGCTTTTCACTCGGGTCATGTAGCAGGTGGTTGTGCTTTTTACTTGGAAATTGGAACCACGACTGTGTTATTTGCCAATGATTTTAACCTAACAGGTGGACGCGTATTACTACCGGCACAGATCCCAAGATTAGAGCCTAATGTACTTATCACACGCAGCTCATTTGCTGTAACAGTGTCGGAGACGCAAAGTGCTATGGAGAGAGAGCTTGTGAAAGTTGTTTTAGAGTGTCTTAGCTCCAATGGTAAAGTGGTGATTCCGATTTACCGGCTAGGATACTTCCACGAACTCATCACTATTTTGTTGGAGCATTGGCAGCAAATCAAGGATGTTGGTGGTAAGGCAGCGCAGTGTCCTATCTACTTATCAAACGCAGCAATGGAGTATCCGAGCAAATACTTGCCTCTACTGTCGCGCACATGTACACCTGCTATGCAGAATTTGCTACGTGACAAGTCGCCAAATGCTTCTGACTTGCAAGTGTTTGATTGGAATCGACTTCAGCAACCAGGACCATTTGTACTGTTTACGGGACCTGCTAATATTTCTCAGGGTGATTCGTTGCGTGCTATTAAGGCGGTCGCGAACGATCCAATGAATCTTATTGTTCTCTCAGAATATTGCACACCCGGCACAGTAAATTATTTGCTTTATGCTGATACGGAACGGAAGCGTGTGAGTAAGCGACTGGGAGTGAATGTGGAATGCGGAGTGCATTACCAGCCTTGCGGAGACGAAGTGGATGCCAAGAGCATTGTCCAGCTTGTGTCACATGTAGCGCCCCGCCAAGTCATTCTCGACTACAGTGTTGCAGACGATCTGGAGTTTGTCAAGACACATGTCCATAATCAGCTGAAGGTGGACTCTGTTGTTGACACGAGCATTGTGGTGGCAGGAATTAATCCTACAGGGCGAACACCTATTGAACCTGCCCGAGACATTCCGATGCGTATCCATAAGGCTATGTTCAATAACCCCTCAGACGTGCATGGAATGTTGATTGCCGAGCCCAAGCGCAAGATGGTGTTAGTGTCGAGCGGTAATGGTGCACGGCGCTTGAAAAAGAAGAAGCACTCGCTTTTCTTTTCTTACTCCTGGAAAAAGCCATTTGAACCCTGTCATCGTGTAAAGAAGAAAAGCTGTCGCCCTGCGTCAGCATTGTCTTTTCTTCTGTCAGCAGCAGTCGGGTCGGCTGATGAAGAGGAAGAAAACGAGCAGCAACCTCAAGCAAATGTGGATCTGCTTCTGCATTCACTGGAAGTCAGTCTGACCAAATGGCTTCGCCATCTGCCTATCGAAAAGATCGATCGTTGGCTGAAGCTTCGAACAGTAGGGGTGGCAGTGTCTGCCGAATGGGAAGTTCACATGGAATGGTCTTACGATGACGAAGCTTTGGCTGGGCGCGTGCTAGGCATTGCAAAGCAAGTCGTCCACGCAGAATACAAAAAGCAACTAGCAAAGTAGTTTATACCGGTGATACAGGAGCAATATGCAGCCGCAGTCCATTCCAAAAAGCGTCTACTAGTTGAGCTTGTCATGGCTGTCCTTTGCTCGAAAGAATTGGACGAGTTGTAAGTACACCTGCCCAAACGACACCGTAGGTTGAATGCGCTTCTGAATCCACTCAGGTAGGCGATTGCGAACCGCCAGATTTGAGTATCGATGGTCAATTAGCAAAATGGAGGAATAGTCATTTTGATGGCGAATAGACCTTCCTGTACGTCCGAAACGACTAAATGTGTTAGTAGCAGCAGCGCACAGAGCAGTACAACAACAAATCTTACCAATCGACTGGTTGACCGCCTTCATGCAAATACTTTCGTAGAATTGTCGTCCAGATCCGGGACTTGACTGGTCCAGGAAATTCATTTTCTCAACTATCTCTACGTCTCGAGCGTTTGGATATGGCATGCCTACCATCACAACGCATCGTGCCAACTCATCACTGAAATTGATTCCTTCGGACATTTTACCTCCAACCACGCTTAGAAGTATGGCACCCTTTTCGTTCAGGTTATCTCGCGAGCACGCTGCTGAATACTGCATTAGCACCTCTGCAAGTTCATCAGCTTTTTTGGGCTCCCTGAAAATGCTTTTCTTTGCTTGAAGTTGCTCATACTGTTTTGTGTCCTGCCATCGTTGTACAGCAGACTCTTCAAAACGATACGAAGGAAAAAACACTACAACCCCACCGGGCACAATGCGTGAAAGGTTGAGTAAAATACGCCCAAGCTCATCTAATGCTTCCATGTCATTCCGTCGAGAATACGTGAATTCAAGGTGTTTTTGGGAAGGACCCGATGCAAGGCTGAAGACCAGCAAATTTTCAGGAGGAATGACGTGGCCGCATGAAAACAGGTCGATATCTTCTCTAGGCACTGAAGAAAAGAGTTGGTCGATTACTTGTGAGACCTGCATCACATTACAAAATGGTTAGTTTAACGTTTGTCACTTTCACGATGTTTGAGTCATCTACTTGCCGGCTGCATTGTCCCTCCAGCAAGTATGACACTCCGTGCCTTTTCCACTATTTCTTGGAAATGGACCACAGGGTTTAGCAAGATGAACTTGATCGAGCCTTCAACTCCCTTCTGCGCCTGAGTATATACAACAACTGTCAATGATCGCATGTCAACTGTCGATCGAAATGTTGTACCAACGCGACGTACATTGTTGGGCTGTGCAAGGACCCGTCCGTCTTCACCTGCACTGGTCAATGCCTTTAACAAAGCCTCAACTGTTCGCAGTGGTGATATGTGACGACTTTCAAAACCTACGTCTGGATCATCATTAGGTGTAGCTGGGGAGGTAGCAGCAGGAGATTCCTTGTTTGTGAGATCGACAAAGCCCATCAACTTCTTCGCTAAGTCACTTCCATCAAGATATTCTAGAATCTTGAACATGTTGAAGTGGTCTATCTTCGCACTGAATAAGAAATCGTTAATGGTCATCATCTGTGCCCCAGTATTATCTCCATCATCATCATCACATGCTGATGTAGCCGTTCCAGTAGACTTGCCCAGTTGGCGTAGAAATTTCGTTATCAGTTCCATGACGGACAATAGTTGTTTGATGTAGAACGCGTTCTTGCCCTTAAATCTTCTTTCATACTTTATGAAATACGACCACAGAGTCCTTCTTGCTACCACCAATTGCTTGCTGGTGATTTCGACTCTATAGGTGTTGTTGATTGCGTCGATAATATTGTGCGCTTCGTCAAAAATAATGATGTTATCTTCCAACGTAATGCCCAGCGTCTCTCGAGTGTCTTTGCTAAGAAGCATTGAATATGGTACCGTAACGATTTGAGCAAGTGGAATGCTTTCACGTGTGCCGTAATACGAACAAATTGACATTTCACTACCCAATGTGTGCAAGTCCTCAATGTCTTGTACGTGCGCCTATATATGTTTCGATACGCAAGCATGTCAGCATCAAGACATCGCCAGAGCAAACATCTAGGCAACACAAAAGACGTACCAGGGCATAATTTTTAAAATGACCAAGTAACTCTTTTTCGTAGAACGGGCACTTACCCACCTTCTTACCATTCTTGGTCTTGTTGCTTTGCATCATATCCAAACACCTATCCGTCATTCTTAAATCTGAATTCATCTTTGTAACCTTTGGATTCGTACACAAGTTCTTACGAGAACCCAAGGATACAACTCGAATATGTTGTGCAAACACGGTTTTCCGTATCTCACGAACAAATTGTGAGATCTGCGAATGCGTTCGACTGCAATAAATGACCTTTACGACTTGAAAATCCAATGTCTTTTCACTCAACCTGCCATTCAAATTGCCACATGTGATTGTACTCTCTTCGTCACTCTCACGATGATGTCGGTCCACTTGATCACTATCGTATGGATCCACTACATATTCCGCTTCATCCTCTCCACTCTGCTTTCTCGTGTGTCTAGCAGTACTACTACTACTACTACTTTTACACTCATGTATCCGTTTCCGTTCCTTATGGTGATACGCAATTTTCATCTTTCGTTTCTTTGTGATCGCTTCTGGTTCTAACCGAAGCTTTTGAATTCCACCTAAAGCTTCCAGGACCATTTGTTGCCGAAATTGAACCTCTCGATCCAGTGTCTTCTGCTCAAAGTCATTAACCCACTTCGGTTCGGTTTGTTTCGTCAGTTGCTCTTTATCAATATCAATGTTATCACCTTGTGTTGTATTTTGATACAATCCATACTCGTCCGTGTGATCCCGAAGCCATGTCAGAACTCCACAAATGAGACTCATGGATTTGCCAGTACCTGTGGGACTTTCATAGATACCACAATGACGTTTCTCAAGTGTTTCATAGATCTGACGCATTAAATCTAATTGAATTGAGTATGGGGCATAGGGAAAGGAAAAAAAACTCACTGTTCATGTTGGACATTCTCCTGTATCAAGTGTCTTAAGCAGTTGTATGAAGAACTATTGAAAGGCTGTAGCCATTCGTTGAAATGCAAAGCGAGGTCTTATACCGGTAATTAGACGGTTTAAGAGCATATGTAGCCATAGTCACTTCAACATGTCGGAACTGTCATGTGAGACTGTCATGAGTCTAATCTCAGTACGTTTTCACAATAGTGTGAGCTGATGGATGTGACGAGGATATGGAATAGCGCAGATAATGACGACACTAGGACACAAGGTCTAGCAAGAACCACTTGCTTTGTCTTTGAGTTGGAACGATTACTACGAGATGCACGTGAGATTCCAATTCGAGTTTTTCTTCGGTTAGTTCTTGTTGTCTTCAAGTTGTTGCAAAGCTGTGCTTTGTAATGCCTACAGGGTCTCTTCTATCCAAATATCATCATTCTCAATGACCGATAGAACGAGAAGCGCTGGTGTCCTCGAATTAACATCTTCAGGCAATGCACCTATCAAAGGTTTCAACTTACCACAAAGAGACATCTTTCGTCGTTAGAACACACAGTCTGCAACGTCTAGAAACCCAACAAGAATTTGGCGTATGCCCGATAGCACTGGTGCACCAGCATGAAGCACTTTTCCACTATGCACCACAACATCGCCTTGGGTAAGATGTATTGTATGTTTCGTGGCATCAAAGTAGGTGCCACCTCCAGTGAAATCGTCGGCAGAGTTTAGCAACACATTAAAAGACAGAACGGAGCCATCACGGTGAAGTGCGAGATCCGAGCGTTCACCCGTGCGAGCCTCGTACTTGACGAAAAAGAGGTCACGGAAAAGGAGTCGCTGTGACTTGGGCAGTTGGTAGTGCTTTGCAATTTGAGGAAACAGTCTCATTGCCAGCGTCGAACGCACCCAGGAATTCAAGCTGGCAACTTGGTGACACGGCATATCCGTTGTCTGATAAGATGCATGTCGCTCCGTGCACCAGCCTTGCTCAGCAGCCACTCGATTTACTTCACTTCGAATGAAATGGGTTTCCTCAAGAGTCCAGATAGTTGAGAATACTGACGGCTCTAACATCAATGCATGAGGCTTCAAGTTCGCTAAGTAGCGTTCTCTAGCCATTATGTCGCGCTTGGATCGCAACACATCGACATCCATAGCGCTTAGTGGTACCTCACCAGTAACATCCTTCAGTAGAACAAATCAAACACCATTAGATAATTTCAACACCAACTGTACCAATTGATTCTACCTCCAGAAATGCAGCAATCTCATCATGTCCATGGATTGCTGCTACACGTGCTGGAGAGTTTCCGTCCCAATCACGCAAAGTCTTTGGGTTCATAAGCATCGGTGGATCAATCAACCATTTTACCATCTTCAGTTCACCTTTCTTTGCTGCAAGATGAAGCAGCGAACAACCTCCACTTGCAATATTCTTGCCCATGGTCTGAGCAGTGTTTACTAGCAGAGTTACATCTTTTGTCACCACGCGGCCAACTATGGAGGTTGTCTTGTTCTGTTTGAGCTCCTTGCATACAGCATGCAGAAAAGTTTCCATCTGTGCCTCGACAGCATAATGCAGAGCTGAGTACCCGAGCGAATCAGCTGAATTGTTTAGCACCTGTCGAGTTAGATCAAATTCCGGATAGCGCGTATGAAAGTGAATGAACCCCGACCAGATCAACATGGCCAACTCTTCGTCATAGATTGAGGTGGCAAAGAGAAGTGCAGGTTTGCCCAGCACGATTAACTCCATGTCACCACGTACCTCCGTCTGATTATCATCACAATTGGACTCCAATGCTACCAGCACATTCTCGAGACTACTGGATGCCGGCGTATTTTGCCAATGCAAAAGCTGCAGCAGGACATTACAGTACACGGTATCATCTTGTTCCAGGAATTTCTTGAATAAACGGATCAGTGCCTTGCATGCGTATTGGAATTGTGTAAGTTGGTGCAACAGCAAACTCGCTTCGGTTTTCACCATCGGTGACACCATTTCACGAATCTTGAAAATGCCCTACAAAACGCCAATATTTGCGGTCTTATCACATTGATGTGGCCAAGCCTGTGACTAAGATGATTGTATTTGCTCGTTTGGAATTCTTACTATCGATATGTGAGCTTTGCATCTGATACTACAAAGTCCTGTCTGGTTTTGATATTGATTGAGGAGATGGCTGACTACATGCCACCGTTGTCGTCGTCATCGTCTGGTTCGTTAATTTTGTCAATGGCTACCTTGATTTGGTTGTTGTCTTTCGGATGAAAGTGTAATGCCAAGGTGAAATACTTCATCGCTTTGTCAATACGACCGAGCTTTTTAGCTACTTTTCCCATCATAAAGTGCACAGAAGACTCACGCGGCGCAGAGTTTTTCACAACGTGGAGTTCGTCTAGAGCTTCCTCGTATCGCTGCAGGGTGATCAGCACGTTAGCACGCTGAAACCGGGCTTGAGGATTTAATGGCTGAAGCTCAGCAGCGATGCCAAGTGCGGACAACGCTTCATCGTATCTGTGCGTGGCGTGTAGTACCATGCCTAGAAAGCAATGCAGCAGCGAGCTCCGAGGATTAATCTCCAAAGCGCGCTTGAAATGGTACTCAGCAAACTCAAACTTCTCTTGCCGATAGTAGATCGTGCCCAGACCATACCAAGCATTATAGTGTCGTGAATCGGTACGAATTGCATGTCGATAGCAGTTCACTGCCTTTTCAAAATCCTCGTTTGCAACGTATTCGTGACCTGAGAGCGTGTATGCATACGTGAACGATGGATCCAGTTGAATTGCCTGACATAGCGTGCAATCACACGCAAAATACATCAGTACCGTCACAACATTCAACCAACTGTAGATCTTAACTTACTCGCTGGAAAAAAGCCAATGCAGTGTCGTGCTCTTTCTGCAAACTGAAACAATTACCGGCAGCACACCATGCCTCGCACGATAATTTGTCAAAATCTGTCGCTCGCTGGGCCAAGTAAGAAAGCTCTACGTCTTTCTTAAGATGCCATAACGTTGTCGAGTATATGTCAAGGCCTTCCATTCGATGAGGCTCCGTCCTGTGTAAAGCACAAAATACATCTTCTGCTCGCTCATAGTCGGCCATTTCAAAACAAGCTCGTCCAATGTGCTGTTGTACCCAGCCAGACGCAAACTGGGTGGTAGGAAGGCGATTCAGTATCTCAAGCGCTTCTCGACACATGTACACACTTAATTTCTGATAAATAGAGCCAAAAGAACTGAGTAGACGCAACAACTCCCGTCGACCATCAACGCAATCCGAAGGGCCTTTGTTATAGGAGGAGCCAGATACCTGGCGAAAACGTCGGGTAGGAAACGGAGGTATTGCAGAGCTTAGCGCCAATTTCGATGGGTTCTACAACAAAAAGATAGCAAAGTGGATTGTCAATGAGCGAAGCGTATTCGAGGTCTGCAACGAAGACAGTTCGTTACCAATGGTGAGTCGTCGAGTCCAACAGCTGAGAATGACAGCCTTGCGTTAGCTCGCATCTTATCGTCACTATCTGCAAGTGGGCGCCGGTAACTTATCTTCTGTCGCGCTGGTGCTCCAATTTGTTCTACTCGTTGTTTCTTTGCGACCATCGCTGTGTGCATATTGTCGTTATTCTTATTGTTCACACTTGGTGTTTTATAATCCAAAGATTGAAATGAGCGGAGTTTCGAGGCAGCTGCACTCTTTGGCGTACCGAGACCAAAATGCCGAGGTGATTCTGATTTTGCAAAAGTTCCATCAGTAAACAAATCGTCAGCGTTGTTGTTACCCTCGCGACAAAGCTCCCCATTTTCACCAAAGTCCGGTCCTTTTCTACCATTTTTATCGTCAAACTCAGGTCTGTCTTCAAACTCTTTGCCAAGTTTATTTGCCGTTCCAGTGCTATTGAAGTAATTGGCAGCACCAAAGAACCTCGAAGCCTCAAGGTTTGCTCCAAGATCACATAGCTGCTCGTACGCTGACCACAAGAATGGGTCTATTTCTAAGCTAGATGCATCAGACACAACGTTAGTGACATCAACTTAAAACAATATCCAGTTCCAAAGCAACACCACCTCTTGACAAAACATGCCACAGCCTGTTGCCCTCTATTTCCACGTCTGTAGACTCGTCCCAATAAATACAGTCCAACAGCTCCACATGGTACATTATCCATCCATCCATCCACATCGTCCATGCAATGCCTTTCTCCTCCTAGCAGCGCGTTCTCAGCTTCTACCAACTGGCCTTGCTGGAAGCAGCAACAGGCCAGCAAATAACGATTCTCCGGCCTCGTTGTACCACATAATACAGCTGCTGCTCGAGCTGTTTTTCCATCTCGATAGTAACACGTGGCCAAGAGCAGCGTATTTGCCTCGGTCAAATGCTGTTAGAAATAACAACCAACAAAATGGATCATAAAGACATTAGTAATCGGTGTGAAAACAGCTTTATCACAGGTTTATAATGCAATAAAGTATACTACTGCATACTCGTACATGTGCAACAAGTCTCTCGGCTAGAAAAATTGCATTCTCATATACATACGCGTCCATATAGCGCTGCACTTGACTTGCTAGGACCACCTCTAAGGCCGCTGTCATGGGTCTGATCAATTAGCTAATTTTCTCCAATCGGCGTGACGTATGTTGTGCGAACAATTACTGCAACATCGTAGGACTGTACCCATCCTGTTGGAGCAACATTACTGAAACACCTTTGAGGCTGAGATGGCCAGTGCAAAAGTAGCAAGAAGAGCGAGAGAGTGACGAAGATAATGTATCAGCGAACTGGACCTCCTCGTGTATCTATCCGTGGCCAGCGGAAGATTGAACAGAAGACGCAGCACAAGAAGAATATACGTGCTGTGATTGGCGTATCAACTGTCCCGCTGTCGAGCCGTTTTACGCATTTGGCGGATGAAACAACGCCGCGTACGGCAAAGAAGAAGAAACAGCAGCAGCAACAGCATCAAGTGACCGTTGTTAAGAGGCCAAAGAAGAAGGGAAAGGAACAGGCCGTAATGCATGTTGTAGGTGGAAAGAAGAAGATGAAGGTATTGGTCTTTGATTCGAATCAGATCCGCCAGCAGAAGAAGCTGCAGGAGGTTACTCAGAACAACCGTAAGAAGCGCCAAGAGGTTGTTAGTAAGCACAGAAAGGGGCTTTCGACCCAGGACGTCAAGATGAAGGAAGATTGGACGAAGAAGAAAAGCGCATTTGTTCAGCAGAACGGAGAAAGAGGCGCGGGTTATGGAGGTCGAGGTGGTCGCGGAAGCCGTGGTGGTCGTGGTGGCCGTAGAGGACGTGGAGGTATTAAGGCTAAACCTCTGACCGGTAAAGATCTTGACATGGACATGGACGTATACTGGCACGAAGCTGGCAAGGGCCCTGACCCCAAGGCCGTCCAACTGGACCGTCAGATGGAAGAGTACTGGGCCGCCAAGCCGACGCAAAATAGCGATGCTGCTAGTAGTACGAAGATCGAACCAGCTCCTGACGCCACTATGGAGTCATGAACAGCTGAAGCGCTGTAGTCATTGACAGAAGACGCGGATATGTAGATCAATGGCATGGAAACGAAGAGGAAGTGAACATTTTGTGAATGCCGCATGTGAGCGATAAGCAGCCGACATAGCTTCGCGAGAGAAGAGCGAAGGCGGCAAGGAGACGACTCAATATCCAAATCGAAAGAAAAGAAAGATCGCGTGTTTCCTGAGTGTTAATGTTTGTCGTATCTGGATGGTGGACGGACGCAAGCGTCCGAACAATCACGCGGAGGTAGCAGGAACAAATGCTTCGAGCCGCTGTTGAATGGCTAGTCAGTACAGCTCTCTCAGCAGAGAACCGAAAATGAGCTCGCAGCGGAATATCTGCGAGCGACAGGTCTCTAATCGTACAGAGCCTTATCGCAAGAAACACGGCTGCGTTGTTCTTTCCAAGTAGTCCATCCCACCGCTGTCATCATAGGAATCAAGAAATCCGCCGTGTTGCGAGCTAACTGTCAGTATGATTGCATGTACGAGACAAAGTGTGATGCAAATACGGGTGCGTGAGAAGCACGACCAGTTGCTTGGAACGGCAGCACGGCATTTGTACTTGCGAGTTGAAATAATACTTGTCGAACAAAGCGCACTTTTGCGACGGAACGCATAGGAGTCGAGTCGAGGGCCAAAATAATAGGTGTCTCATCCGTTGCCGTGCTGTCGAAACCATCTCAACATTCCAATGCTTCGAAGCGCACGTTCGATTGTCAAATCACTGCATCCAAACTCGACGTACGTACCTCTTGCAAAAGTGCTTAAGTGCTATGTTGATAGTCGAGCTGGAGCTGTCAATTTCAGTGTTTATTGGATCAGGACTTGCAAACCGTCCTTCTTTTGCAATGTATCACAAATCTCTGTGAAGATTGCGTTTTATCTATGATCCAGCGGCAGTTATCAGCATCAATATCATAGCAGTGTTAGCTGGTTTAGGACCAATTGCAGCTTGTTGTTGTGCTAATGATTACAATGGACGCATCGCTCATGGCTCTTGAAGTAAGTACGTCCCTAAGGTACTAATTGACCACGTTTGAGGTTTGTCAGCCAGGGTGTGTCAAGTCCATGCATTGCTCGAGAGTCGAAGCTGCAGACAAACCTACTTAGGTGAAGACATGAGCCAATTGGCTATCATGGATCTAGGCACTCCAGCGTTGGCAACAGCCCAGTTATGACGAATCTATGCCAAGTATACAAGGTAAGTTCTCAGCTTCCAAGCCAGTGGAGCTACCAATTGCAGTCGTACTCGAAGATCTCGACGATGTTTTCAAGATATTCACCACTATTGCAGCATAACGTGATACGGTCTCGAATCCCCGCTGCAAAGTCATCATCAAGCATCACGACCTTTTATGAAAGAAGTTAGTTGCAGATTTGAGACGTCGCATATGGAAAGTATAGACTAGAAAGCGACCAATGTGCCATGATACAATAGTTAGGACTTCACCTATGAAGTCATCATCAGGTTTATTCGCTTTTGATTTGATATTTGTAAGCCGTTTGGAATCCTGATGATGAGCTTGTTGAATTTCCGACCAATAATGGAAAAGAGGACACCTATTCAATTGTCCATTTCTTCATTGTGCTTTTGACTTGCAAGTACTATGGGAAATCGAGGACGGCGTCGAAGTACTCACGCTGCGAATCGGACCGATCTGAGAGCTCTTGAGCGTATGGAAAAGCAGAAACCGATACCCCAATCGGAATTGGACGAATCCCGTAGTCTGGAGAATTCTAACCAGCTGGAAATTCAGTCTATTCGTTGGAAAAGACCACAGGGACCTGTCGTGATACAGTACAAAGATGGTAGTCACTACAAAGGCAGCATGGATGACGAGGAGAGACGACATGGAACTGGTGTTTATATACTGCGATCAGGACATATTTTTGAGGGTGGTTGGGTCCATGGAGACTTTGAAGGGTGTGAATGATACTTGTCGAATGTGACGTCGTTGATGGAGACTAAGAATCGGATTGTTGGTCGTTTTGGACAGGTTTGGTATGCAGACGTTTTCAAAGACAGGAGACTGCCATGAAGGCATGTATTGTAAAAACTACCGTCATGGTACAGGAACGTACTTGTGGGCAAACGGGGACAAATACGTGGGCAATTGGCGAGCTGGAAAGGTATTTACATGCAATTTGAACGTTGCTAGGTACGTACTGATGGGACGTGTGTTGCTGACTGTTTGTAGATGCACGGAATTGGTACATTTTTCTGGAAGAATGGCGACTTTTATAATGGTGAGAATCTGCAAACGACACGAAATCTTCATCCATCTACGTCAATAAGAGGTGTTCACGATGTTGTACGTCTAGGTGAATGGAAAAGGGGAATGATGCATGGCAAAGGAAAGAAGATCTTCTCGACTGGGGAAATGATTGACGGAGCATGGAGACATAATCAAGCAAGCGGTTGGGGGAGTCAAGGTATTTAGCTACGGGGATAGGTACGAAGGATTCTTTGTCAAAGGTGAACGAGAGGGTTTTGGCAAATACGAATGGGTAGGTGGAGAATCACACGAAGGTACATGGTGTCAAGGAAGAATGCACGGCAAAGGTGTGTATGTGTCGGCAGGTGGATCCTTGCACGGTACGTGGCTCAGCGATAAACTTAGTGGCCAGGGCGTTCACTACTTCCAATGTGGTAGTGTATACACTGGCGAGTATAAAGCTAGTGAGCGAAATGGTATTGGTACACTGACTTTTGCTTCGGGAGAAGTGTATGAAGGCGAATGGCACATGGGTGAGATCCACGGTTACGGATCGTGGTCTTCACCTGATGGTAGGAAGTTCATTGGAACTTGGATTCATGGTTTTCCATCTGGCCGTGGCATTTTCTGCTATGAACATGATGAAAACCAGGACGAAGAAGGCGGACATATTGCTGAAACAAGGTCTATGTTTGAGGTAGGAGAGTTTCGACGTGGTAGGCTTATTACAAGAGGCAAGCAAATTGTCATAGGACGACTTGCCGCTCCATCCTAGGACCATGTGGACAACATAGTTACTGACAAGCTTAACTATAACAACAGCAATGTTTCGTTCGCAAAGCTAGCCTGCTGCATTGTATAATAGACACAAGGAGAAAACCGAGTTTACGCTAACGAAAATTCTTCTAACTTTCCATACGACGGCTGGCTACCTGCACGGGGCGTAAAAAACACAGCAGACAGACACCAGTCGTGCAGAGGCCCTATCTGGTGGATCTCTCATGGGGGGAGAAGGAGAAAAAGAAATAGCCAGACCAGTCCTCCGTTGGAAAATCTCACTCATCATGTCGATGGCGCTCAAGGCCGCGCGATCCCGGTTGGTCGATGCGCGATTCCTTAGCCGAGGCTGGGAAAAGCGCTCATGTCCGTCACATTCGGAACATTAGCACCATGGCCACCACGGCCACCAGTGCGGCCGTTGCCACGAGCACCACGGCCACCACGACCGCCTCGTCCACCACGCGACGAGTCAAAGTCACGCGTGAAGCGTTCTGGCTTCTCCAAGCGGAATCCCACGTCAGTAATGACCTGTTTCTTGCGACCCGATGTCTTCTTGCTGTACACCTTCTCGTACTGCGAGTCAATGAAGTCTGGGGTCTTTCCTTCCTTGGTAATCTGCGTTGCGCTGGAAAATTGGTTGGTCACCTGACGAACCTCAACATCAGCAAACAGGTCACCCGAGCGAGACGACTTTTGCTTCTCAAGGTATTCATCGAGAGTGAGCTGGACCTCCTCTTCTTCTTCCTCCTCAGGAGCAACTTCATCTGCAGCTGCCTCTTCGTCCGACACGGGCTTTGCACCCTCCTGGAAGGCGGCTTCGACCAGTTGTTCGTTCGGATCAGCTTTGTTGCCCCAGTTGTGGGCACCACCGCCCTGCTTGATTGACTCCTTGCCACGGCCCGTGCCGCTGCGACGCTCGTGCTCACGACGAGGGCCGCGATGGCCACGGCCACGGTCGCCGCGGCCACCACGGTCGACACGGTCACACAGTCGCCACGGTCGCCACGGTCACCACGTTCACGAGGAGCACGGCTACCGTCATTTGGGCTGCGCGGCTTGTCACCCACAGGGACTCTTTTGTTACCAGACTTCTTGTTACCAGCGGCAGGCTTATTTAGCGCTACATTAGCCGACAGGGTTGACGTAGCCTTCTTGTTCACACGTGGCGTGTCCTCCTCATCCGAGTCCAGGGCGGCGAATATGTTCTGATATTTGGTGGCCTGTTCATGCAGCGCCAGACAATTGGTCAATTGTCTCTAACGTCATCAGAGCAACTCTACACAACAGCCAAACTCAACACGACATGATGCCACAATTGAGGATTAAGAGATGGGGAATACTCTGCCTAGTATAAGTGTTCACATGCGGAAAAATTGCTGCTTTCACCTGGGCAGCACATATTTAATGATTTTTCTATCCATTGTGTCCCCCTATCATATTGCTGTGTCATTTCCCTTCCCCCCACTCTCTCTTTCCTCTGAGTCACTTGTACATGCTGTAAAACTATCTCCTCACGCTGTGCAGTGAGACCTAATGAGAAACGTACCATGGCTGCCAGGCGAGATGAGAGTCTGATCTGGGCTGCTGAAAGGCCGAATGGAGTAGCTACGATAGCCAAGCGCTTCGAGGCCACAGAAAAAGCTACATCCCATCTGGCTCGGGACCGGTTCGTATCGACTGAACCGGACTGCAACCTGTTGGGGTTACGCAAAAAGAGCTAAGGGTTACGTTTCAAAGCGTGTGTTGTATCGAGAGAGTGCATCAGTAAATACCGGTACCATCTCGACAAATGTCAACTTTTTCTTTAATTTTTTGTTTTTGTACTTCAGAAACATCACGTACCACTCAGCTTTTGCCCGTCGTTGTTCTCGCGTTTTCGCAACCGAAAAAAGTATTTGTATACTCGTGAGCCTTTCCAAACACACCAGTGGCATGCGTACATTTATGTTGCAACTCGTAACTGCCTCGAAAAAAAGTGTGTGAAATAGCCAGCAATGGAGCGGAGCTCTTCGCTAGAGGTTCAGTAAAAGAAGAAGACAATAGTTTGCTCTTTTCGACAGAACTTTCTCGGTGGAGCTCTCAACAGTGTTACGAGAATAGTATAGTCAACGAAGCCGCACCACATCCGTCGATCAAACGATGATTGTCAACTTGATCGGCGTAGGTTGGTGACCGATCACGTCTTCCCACTCGCAATTGACAGGCAGCAGTATACTTGCTTGAAGTAGCCTGCATTTTTGTACTAGATATGCTCCAGCTTTGAAAGCTTTGGTACTAAAATTTCAAGAGATGATTGTAAAATTCAGTAGACACTACCTGCTGCTGTAACCGTCGGACGTGAATACAAGGTTTTCTATGGCCATTCCCGTTGGAACGTCCGTCGTCAATTAGCCAGGAATGCTCAGAAAGCGAATGTCCTTAGTTGCATCGATTATTGCATGTCATAATTAGTAATAAATTACAATGAAAAGATGTTGAGTGCACAGTCATGAAGCAAAACCATGTGCACAACACGGCAAAGAAAAGAAGAAGAAAAAAAAGCAGCAGCTTTTGTCTATCCCGATGTACTCTGCCCATGATTTCCAGTCCAAAAGCAAATGCCTCATATTCATTCCAACCCGGTGCGCCGTCTCTTGCGCAATGTTGCCCTGCTGTGCTCTGATACGAACCGACAACATGAGCGTATAGCCAGGCGTTCATGATGTATTCTACAGTACATAGTAAAATAAAAGACAATTTTATTTGCACTTAATTCCATAGGTTCATTATTTATCAGAGGTTATCTATCAGCATCTCTTACCTGTTATGATCAGTCCATGTGCAATCAGTTATTAATTTACACAAATCCGTACGATTTGGGTCAGTACAGTACTGACACGGCATCCAGACATCTAAAGTTGCCCTCGCTCACTTTAAGACTGACGCGATATCACGTAATACGAAATTCCTTACCAAGAGCTACTACTTACTATCATTATTATCATTACTATTATTACTATTATCAAGTCTAACGTAGTAGACAAAATACAATGGCATTACGATCATCACTCTATGATGCAACAACAATAGCTCATAGTAATACGACTACACCCCCTCTCTGTCTATCAAGTGGTGGGAATACTACAACACGACTGAGTGTTCAATTTCCACTACTACATCAAGAGATGGAAATTGCAACAGCAGCAGCAACAACAACAACAATATCATCATCAGCAGCAGCAGCAGCAATACATGATCAAGTACATAATGGACGACCAGAGCTTGTGAAATGTCCAGAACTTTTACTTACAGGTCTTGAACTTGAAAAACGTACGACGTTATGTATTTTATACATGAAAGGAAGACGTTTGGAAGCACCGTGGGAACCTTTTTTCGTTGGTATTTATGCCCATTCTGTCTTTTATTTTGCTAGTTTAGGTGATTGGCCATGTGGTGTGGTACCTTTGATTGATGCACATGTGATTGCAATTGATCGTGTCTTTCGACATGGAAGTGATGGCATGAGTAGTAGCATGAATCGTCATCATAATGACGAGGAAATATGTGGTCCATGCTGGAAAGTGACATCGTCTAGTGGACGTGTACTGCTCTTTCGTGCACAATCATATGATGCACGAATGGAGTGGATTGAACAAATGCGTCAAGCTTCAGGAAAGTTTAATCAGTATCGAAAATCTAGTATGGATGGAAAAGCAGCACTTGCTCTTGCAAGGAGATTATCGAGATCGTCGAGTTCGGCATCCTTGGTCTCGACTGCATTGACGACGCAAATGCAGTCACCAAGACAACGTATTACTTCACCTCGTGGACTACGAAGAAGAGGAACGTTTGGAGATGAAGTAGAGCACACAGAAATGCTGCGAGATGCTCTACGTACGGTACAGAAGCAGAAACACGAGATTAAGGCGCTGCAAAAGCGTTTGAAGGTGCTTGAAGGCAGTGGTATGCCATTGGATACTAGAACAAAAGATGTACAAGAATACATAGATACAGAAAGAGGATCAGAGCGTCGAAATATGGGAGATGCTGGCGACATGGAACAGGGTAAAAGGAAGGAAGAAGGTGGAGACGATCGAGCTGAAAATAGCAATGGAGATGAGGAGGAGGAAGTTAATATGTTTGCAATGTTAAATGGTACTTCGATCGAAATATGCAAGGAATCCCGACCATCAGCGATTTCTGACGTCCTTTCAGAAGACGACGATACACCGACAATCGAAGAAGAAGATAACATGGAGGAAGTGGACAGCACCGAGAGTGTACAGAGTAATATACAAGGGGGTGGAAAGGAAAACATTCAGAGTTTGAGCTTAGTGGATGAGTCGACAGAGGCTTTATCAAGCGAAGAGGACGGTGAGGTTGCTAAAATCGACCGGTGCACTAAGTCGCTTTCACCTCGTACGAAGGCGGCTATGTCAGCCGAAACGTCTGCTGAGCAAGAGACTGCTTTGATTGTGGCAGTTTCGAGACAGGATATTGTGCATTCCGACTCATATACGTCCTCATTGAGTGCGACATCGCTTAATTGCCATGACGTAGCGGAAAATGAATCCATCCAGCAGCAAGCAGCAGAGTTGGTTGAAATGGCACGCAAATTAAACAAAGATGACGCCACCGACTCATCTTCAGCGCATGAGAGCAGTGAGGACGGCTCTTTTACCTCCAGTTTCAAAGGATTGCAGAGCGGTGCTAGTTACTCTGACTCGAGTACTGGTGCTGGGAATGAATTTTTGCAGCAGCAAGCTATGGAACTCGCCGAGATTGCCCGCAGTTTGCAGTCTTCGTTTCAGGTTGATCCTAAGCTTTCGAAGGTAACATGTTCTTACTTGAATGACAGATGTTGTCGGCATTTTGAACTGATGCATGAGTTGTATTGATAATTTTGATCAGGTTTCGTTGAAATCAACCTTAAGCTCGTCGTCGCTAGTTGGATCCCAATCTTCTTTTTCTGGTATGAACGCTTATGAATGAACGTCTCGAGCATTTACTCAGCTTGATTCACATGCTATTATGTTATTTTGCAACCTGCAGACGTCAAAGACTTTAGCATAACTCAAATCAACTCAAATGGCAGCAATGGCAGCATATTTTCCATCACGCAAGATGATCTTTACTTTGATGAAGACGAGGGTGGCGAGACCGAGCGTCTTTCGGAGTTTGATGCGGTAAGCCACACAATGAGTTGTGTTCGTGCTCGTGTTGTTGCTAATGAAATGCTTTGACTCAACAGTCGGACAGCCAATTTTTGGAGGCAAGTGGTTTCCTTGACTCTATTCACCAGGTCATGAAGGACTTTATTGTATCGACGCAGCCGGCACAATGTCGCCAGCCGGATCAGTTAGTCATCAGCGACAAGATTATTGCTGAAATTCGACAAGGAACTTATGTCAATCCATCAAAGGTCGCCGACGATCTTGAGGAGACTTGTAGACAGCGTGCCTTGCGAACACACTCGACTGCCGCTGAGTCATTAAGTGCAACAAGTCCGAGGATACGCAGTATCTTTTCTTACGCTAGATCGACACCCGACTTTTGTAATGGAGATATTGAACGTGCTTCTTTGTCACAAACACCAAAGGATCTTTCATCACTGGTCGCCGAGGACACAATGTTGGTTGTCGCTTCAATCCTCCAGAGCGCGGGACGAGAAGATAAGATGGTTTTGCTGTCACCATTCCTCCGCATCTTTGGGAGCCGCAACCGCCTCAGCCATCTTATCCGCTGGGCAATTGAGATCGAAGTTGCTTCTGTCATTAACGTCGCAACGCTTTTCCGCTCGGACGACTACGCGAGCAGATTAGTTTCGACGTACAGCAAAGCGATTGGGTCAAAGTTTATTCGTGTAGCTCTCTCGGATCCCATCCGTCAGATATGTAAGTTAAAGATCGCCGACATGGAGTTGAACCCACACAAGGAGGAGTCACTGCAGGATGAGGCACAAGCAGATTCAAACGCCGCTAACTTGATGCGGACGTGCCAAGATATCATTGACTCGATCATGAAGAATGCAAACTGCGTAAGTGTCTGACTATCAAGCTGTGACATCATGCCATGACACATAGCTAAACTGACGTGTTTGTCTTCATGCTTGTAGATTCCGTCGTCGTACTTTCACATTTGCTCCCATTTGAACTCGAAGGTTATCAGTCGTTTTGATGGCTCGAAAGAGGGTGTTGAGGCAGAGGACGCATCTACATTAACTCGAGTACGTGCTCAATCTGAGGTGATTAGGATTGAACCAAATCTAACTGAATGTTTGATTCCACGCTGGGACAGTCGGTGATCGGAGGTTTTCTCTTTCTTCGCTTCGTTTGTCCAGCCATTACCACCCCCCATTTGTATGGACTGACTAAGCAGCTTCCTCCACCTGAGACGCGCCGTGTGCTTGTGCTGGTCACAAAGCTGTTATTTAAGACGGCTACTGGTGTGAAGTTTGGAGATCGAGAGCCCCAATTTAAGTATGCAATGCATTGGAAGAAGCGCTACTTCCTTTTGGTGGGTAGTGTTTACTAACCGCTTTTGTTGCTGTTGTCTTGTTTTTTTTGTGTAGGGTTCTGAATCCATTCATTGAAAAGAATTCGCCAGCAATTCAACAGCTTTTTGCCAACTTGGCCATGTCACCAAGCCAGGATATTGACGAATGCTTTGCTTCTGATAGCCGCAAGATCTATTCGCACGTATCATCGTCGCAGTTGGTCGAGGATTTAGAGGTCATTAGGTCTGTCTCGGAAAAGAACCTCGAAGATATTGTGAAAAAGTTAGAGGAGTGCGATTGTGCACGCGAGGTGATGGAGAATTTCAAGACGGCTGTGCTGACCAGCTCGGATCCACTCCAGAAAAGCTCATTGACAAAGAAATTGAGTGCCAACATGAAATTCCTGAGCGGTTTTGGCAAGAAACCTAGGACAAGGAAACAGTCCGATCAGTGAACAAACCAATCAGTCCCTGTTTGTAGAAGCGGGTTACTTGTGCAGTAGTATTACTTCCGCGAAGTACGTATGTGTACGAAGCGTATTCCCATCGTACCATTTTTTGTTTTTAAAGCATTCAACAGTGAAATGCAAACACCAGAATCGAAGGGATTTGCTTTACCTCTTGCACATTCATTTTTATCTAACAAACCTACGTACGCGTCTTCATGTGCTCGTTATCGGTGGTAGAACCAACGTTGGATGTAGTGGAGTTGTTCTGCCCCGTCGGAACGTTAAAAGGCGCTGCATTTGCCGGAATGGCAGAAAAATCATTCGTGGAAAAAGCTCGGCGCGTACGCGACAGCGATGGATTCATGCCTGCCTCTGCGAGTCTTTGCTCTTTCTCCTGCTGCTTCTGTTGCGCGACCTTACGCTCTTCCGCGGACATAATGGCTTGCAGGCGGCTCGACGAATCCTGCAGTGCACTCAACTCTGATTCCGACATATTCCTCAGCACCGCGTTGAGTGTGTTATCGCTCATCGCGTGCATTAAGCCATCCTTCTTTCCAGAACCAGCACCACGGATATCCGTCTCACTACCACTGGCAGTCAGCACGTTAATGAACCTTTGCTGTTCGACGATAATCGAGCGCATCTGCTGCACCGATAAGTCATCATCGCGGTCGTCATTGCTCGAGTTGGATCGAAGGATGTCCTCAATCACTACACCACGACTCAAGGCATTGTTGTAAAGCAGCCACGTCTGAATCTTTCCAGGGACATAGAATGCTGCTAGCAACATGATGACAGTCAAAGACACGAGACCCAGCACGGCATCATGCACGAAGTAAAGAGTGCCAACAAAGCGCGAGTTTGTGCCAATGAAAACTAGCGCCCAGCAGCCAACAGCCGCTGCGAGGTATCCCATGCTTAGTAAGCATTGCCACATACCATCCACATAGCAAAATGCAAGAATGAGGCCAGACACTAGGACAAGCATCAAGATGAGCTTCAGGAAGCGAACAAGACCATTCTCGCCATTTGAGCGAGACGAGGTCACGAAGATTGCTTCAGCACTTAGGTACACCGCAGCCATCAAACAGCAAATAGCAAATGGAAGCCAAGTGGCCTCCGTCAGGATTGAGTGGTATCGGTCGCTAGTCGAAGATATGGAAAGCGCGATGAACGCGAATAATCCACCCTTGATCGTGACGCACGCCTTAGCCCATGGACGCAGGGTTAAGAAGTAAGCATTTTCCTCCTTAAACCATGCCTCCCACGACTGATTCGGATTGCCACCGTCGCCGCGCATCCATTTGAACCACAAGCGAAAATCTTCCATCACGTCGGACCACTCGAATGACAGAGGGTTAAACCAGAAAGGCGACCAGTACCATGACAGAAACACAAGCCAAAGCGACCACGTCATTGCAAAGTATTGGTGGCCGATCGTGAAAATGAAGTAAACCGTAAGACCGATGGCAATCTCAACTGCAGCGTAGAGATGGCTGCTCGCGTAGAATCGATAAAGCTCATCAAACGAAGAGTGCTTTGTCACAAAACCACGGCCTGTAGCACGGTATTTCGCACCACCAGCAAGAATCGTCTGCCCAAAGTAGAACCATTTGGTACCAATATGGAACAAGAAGTACAGCGGGCCACCAGTCACCAAAAGGACGATAATCTCGTTACATGCGGCCTTGAAACCACGTTCGACTGAAATCGTCGCCAGCAGCGGCGCAGTTGTGAAGAAAGCAACTGAGCCCAGCATAACCTGCAACGTGCTCAGCAGCACCGGTTCACGGCCTCCAACACCTTCCAACGAAAGCAGCGAGCGTAATAGGTTGCAGTAAAGCAGAAAGTAAACCGTCCAGATGATGATCGACGTCGACAAGTAAAAGCCCACGTGATTGTAATAAAATGAGAGCAGTTTGAAGAAGTCAAGGCGCTGGCTAATTCGATAAACATCACGAGACAGCGACTGCTCTGCAGCCCCTTGAGCCAACTTAGCCTCAAATTTATAAATCTGCTGCATACCAACATCACGTCCCTTGCCGCACTTTGTGTACTCCGGGAAGGTCACACACCCACCGCGCATGCAATTGTTATAGCCGGCGAATATATCTTCACTGAGATTAATGCCTTTGCTGGCTTTGCTAATACCACCTCGCGTTATGAAGAAAAGCTTGTTGAACACGTCTGGGTGGCCATAGTGCAAACGCATACGCAACGGACGCGCCAGTGTACGCTGACTCAATGTCACAAACGATGTCTCTTGCAGCGCCATGTAGTTGGCCAGAGAACTCACACTGCCCGTAAAGATGTGTTCTGGAATTCCTACAATTGTATAGGGCCGGTCATCCGTACCTTTGTCAAACTCTTCAAGCAGGTTTCGCATCTTCAGCCCTTCCTCGAGGTATCCGTCCTGATTCATATCAATTGTCTGCAAGTGTTCACCGCGTGTAAACACGATGGCTGCGTTTTGGTTCTCAGGCTTACCCTCGCCCAAGATCGGGTTACCAGGAAGCCGCACCCGGTAGATTTCATGCACCGTGCCAAGATCTTCACCACCCTTGATGAGCACCGAAAAGTACGATTGCTCCTTTTGATAGTTTACGCGGACCTCATCAATGTACGCGACACGAAGATTCGGGAACCGATGCAGCAAAAACTCGATGTCATTCGCCTTTGGATCGTTATTCTTCTTTTGACGGCCATAAATTTGGCACGCAACAACGTACGTGAACTTAATGTTGACCAAGTCCTCAAGCTTCTGCTGCGGAACTTGCTCAATCTCTGCAAGCAATCGTATGGCTGCTTCGCCATACATCATACCCTGAACTGTACGCGAAAGTGTCTGGCCACGGAGCGAGGCCCACATGCGCAACTCAATCGCTGTGTCCGGGTTTTTCCAAATATTCTTCTTAGGTTTCACGCGCTCCAAAAAGTTCTCCCAGTCTCGCTTGTAAAGTGTCTGAAGAAATAGTAATGTGTGTACATCGAGACCGTCTTGCTTGCTTTCAAGATCCTTTCTGGAGTACAAAACATCCTCAGCATAGAACGGTGTCATGACACTCCATGACTTCATCTCTTCGAGCAATGGAGCCAATGGCATGTCCATAAACAGCGAGTTCACAAAGAACAGCAAGCGGCGACGCGCATCAAAGGACTGAGGTTCAGCGTCGATCTTTTGTAAGGTCAGGAGTCCGTGCAGGTGTGACAGTACCACATCCGCATGGGTTTCAAACGCAGTAAGTGTAATTTGCTCACCCGTATAACTGTCGTCCCACATGAAACCCCGTTCTTGCGTAAGAATCCATGTCAGTCGGTCAGAAATACCCTTGCTGTCAGCGTACACCGGATCTTGTTCGTGAACATGAGCCAGAATCTCTTTTCCTAGGTTTAGAAATGTACGTACACGCTCGCGAATCTGCATAATATGAGCGCTTGGAATAGAGTGCGCGGGCTTGCCGTTGGTGATAGCGGGCTTGTGCGTTTGCTGTTGCATGCGTGCAATGCGAGCAACACCGGAACCACGACTACGACGAGGAGGTTCAAGGCCCAGAGACGACAGGCCTGTTGTACTAGCAGATTTTGTGAGCCCGGATGATACAGGGCGGTACGAACTCGGCTGCTGTGGAAATTCGTACGATACGTAATCGGAGGGGTCTTTGCGCACTGGGATGACCTTAGCGTTGTTCTTCCAGTTACGGATATTCGACTTCAATAGAGACACCAAACTCGCTAGAGCGTGGCCACACGATACCACCTTCTGGAGATGGAGGGCACGGAATACACCACGAGCTGCCCACGAATTAAGTACACTCGTGATATACTTCACATCATTCGCGTGACATGGGCCGAGTACATTGATAAGTACCCAGTTAGTCAGCTCCCAGATTTCTTCTAATGCCTCTTCCACCATCGGGCTTTCGCTGAGAATTTCCAGCAATTTGTCTTGCAGCGCACGCTCCGATACATTGCCGTTATTAGACGAATAAATATCAAGAACGTTCGACGCAAAAGTTTCAAAACAACCAGCTAACTGGAACTGAGGCAGGTAAATCTCTCGCTGATAACCACTAAGACGGTGAAATTGAAGTAGAGCCTTCTCCTTGTTCGAAATCAAATCGTCTGCACGCATACTATCGATGATCGTGTCCCAAACCACAGAAAACGAGAACCACTTGCGCCGGCGCACCGCTTGCCGCTCCAGGGGCGTCTGTTTGCGGCGCGAGAAAGATAGGAGAGGAGTCTCGTCATCCTGCGCAGAAGTACGTCGTTGAGATAAAATTCGAGATGTCGGGTCGGCGCTACCTTCAACACGGTCGAGCACCTCGTGACCGACGGCTGTAGAACCATACGATACTCCAGTGCTCTCCAAAATCTGAAGCCCAGTCTGCGAAATTTGAGAAATCACTTTGGCGTTGAACGCATCCACTGCACGGCTGAACGCTGAGCGGACGCGGCTGAAATTGCGAATCTCACCGATATGTGACGAAAACCCCACAAATGTACCAGTGAAGGCCATCCAAATCGAATTCCAAATCGTGATATCCACGCAGTAAACCAAAAAGAACGGTATCCAGTTAAGAAAGATGAGTACCATAGTTGCAGTCATGCTCACTTTGTTCTCCACATGATCGGCATACAGCAAGAAACTTGGCACCACAAGCGGGTATATTTCAAACTTGTAGCTAAAGTACATTTTCCAAGACAGCTGAGATACCCAGAAGAACTGGTAGCCTACGCTCCAAGATTCTGGGTCCAAAACGTTGTCGCCAATGTACAAACGGTTTATGGGGCTGACAATGTCGCGAATGAACGCGACGGGAACAAACTTTGTGTGCCGCGTCCAATTCGTAAGACCAGGCATGACTTGCATAACACAGTTGAGCAAACCTGGAACATGCAAAAGCACCACCACCACATAAAATGATTGCCACCATGAATTACCGTAAGCCCAGGCGTACCAGTATAGCATCGATGATATTGTCACTAGCGTCAGATGTAGAAGCACACGGACGACGCAAAGCGCTGACGAACACATCTTCTGGTGCACATGATACACCGCAAAAATGTCAAGGCCATCACGAAGAAGATCCAAGAAAAAGGGTGTAATCAAAGTACTTGACACAATCTTGCATGAGTGTGTAAAGCTCATTTCTTGCTCATTTGCAAATGCAAGCGCTGCCAAGAAATGAAACGATATCACGTGAAAGTTGAAGATACGGTAGAAAGCGCGCAGTGGAATTAGCCACGATCGCTTTTCCACAAACGTCTTCGCAGACTCCGTAAACCACTCAGCAATACTTTTACGCTTGTTAAAATAGGCAGCGCTTTTTGCACGATTATTGAGCCCAGCCTGACTGCTGAAGCCACCCTGACCACTCAGACCTTCGCGTTTCTGTTTTTTCTGCTGGTAGAATGCGGCGGGGCTAGGTGATGTAATATCGATGACCTCTTCATGCTTGTAGTCATAATTCAGACACCCCTTGGACCAAAACAATTCGTTAAAATCATCGTAGTTGTGGCGATCCTCATGGTCATACTTGGATACCATTTCGGACTTCAGCAAACCATAGACGGGTGTCACCACTGTGTCCAAAAAGTATCCAGTTTCACGTTCGGAGTGACGAACCGACGGAAAATCTTCTTTCATTTTGTGAAATAGGAAGCACAAATATTCTGGTGAATGGCGCAAGTTGCTCGCTTCACCCCAAATAAAGAAGAACAGACACAAATCCACCGAGATCTCGTCCACGCTGGTGAGACCGCCTTGAGGCGACCGCTGCTCGTTCCAATGCAGCGGCTGAATCGTAAGTTTTGAGCACCACTTTTTGTAGTTGGAGAATACCAAATCATGCAACTTCCGATAAGGATTTCCACTATTACGGGTAGCGTTCGTAAGTAGCACCACGATGTGCTCCGTTTGGTTGCGCAAATTATCCAATTGAAAACCAAACGAGCGTTGCACATTCACAGCTATGCGGAAGATGGTACTGAATTGTTGCATGTTGTGCGGTAGTCTGGACGGTGAAAAGAAGTTCACCACGCTCTTTTCCACTCCCGATACATCATCATCATCAAGTTTCCAAGAGCGAGCATCTGAACTTGCAGACACTGGCGGAAATTTTGCTTTGCGCGCTTCGATCGTGTTACTGCGCAATAGCACTCCGCGCATGCTATAGTACCCATAGGATGTCGCAATGACACTAAGGATGACAAGCAAACCATACGTCGCTAGGCAATGCTCGGTGCAGAAGCCGACGTGGTCACGAGTTTCACCGTTGAAAACGAAACCAGCAAGCTCCCACGCATTCTCGGCAATATCACCTTCGCTCACCCATAGCGACACTGACAATAAAAACGCCAAACTACCAAGCCACGAAGTTGATACGATCACAATGTGCTTGGTGTCAATCTGCGGTGTACTTCCCAGTGCGATACCAATGCATACCAGCACTGCAGTAATCACGCGCGAAGACAACAGCGGCACAAATTGACTTACCATTACACCACCGTACAGACCAAGCATCGCGCCCAGCGATATCGGGTACACCAAAGAGCATAGACCACCAAGCACTATCCCACACACACATGCAAGCGTGGCCTGAACCCACACATGATCATGGGGAGCAATGGCACTGAGCGCTCCGTAAGATGATGCAGTAAGCCACAATGAGCTAGCGTATGCCGCCATCGTTTTCGGGTGAGACGAGCCGCGGAATGCCATGAAAAGGCCCAAACACGCATTAATCACTGCAAACAGTTGTACTAGGCCGATGTCCACGCGTAGTGGAACATACCACGGGAGACCGTAGTTTACTGGGTTATGATAGATCCATTCAGACGTCGGGTATGCCTGTGGGTTGCACCCCACTGATGTGTACCGGTTTGGGTTGCCCTGATAGACACGCACATAATCGATCGTAAAGTTTGAGGGCCACAGTGAGTTGCAAATCTGGCCAGAGCACGGTGGTGAGAATTTTTCGGAAACAGCCGTACTCAGAATGAGATAACTGGGCTCCACCGGAATCTGGCGGGGAGGGACACCGCCCACCCATTTGTTTAGCGCGGAGCCAGGAATCTCAAACAAGAAAGAATTGTCCATCCACCAACGAATGTAACCTTCTGGACCAGGTGACCAGTCGAGGCGATAAATATGATACGACTTAAATGCATTGGATTCAAGTTGTGTCAGAGCAGAAATCGAATCGAGGCCTAACTGACCGTAGTAGTCACTGTTGATACGCGTGAACTCACCAAACTTAAGACCTTGGTACCATTGGTTCGGCCCCGGCAGGTTCTCAGACGCGGGACGCATATCGTCCAGTAGACTAGGACGGATCTGCAGCGACGTTGAAATATACGCCGGCTCATCCCGTGCACGAATCTGAGCTTCAATAACATCAATTTCTGTGGCACCACGACCTTGAAAGGGATTCAATCCATACATTTCCGGATATGAATTCTTGTCGTGTTTGTTGGTAAGATTACCACATGCATTGATCTTTTGCTTGACCTTTTCAATCTTTTCAATATATGGAGCACAGACGTCAAAACACCATGGCCACGTACCATCTTGCGAGTCGAGGAAAGCAGCACGACCAATGTTTCCCATGATCCAAATAGCTGGCCAAGTGCCGGGAATACCCCACTTACCAGGCAAGATCGCTCGCACTTCAACATAACCACCAGTGTAACAGAATTTGTTCCACGTTTGTGCACTGCCACTCACGTACTTGGCACCACGGTAGCGATGTTTGGGTTTGGACGTTGTGATAATAAGATTACCCTTATCAATTTGCACAGCTTGAGGCAGAAAATAGTGCTGCCCCATGTTACTAGTATCACGAACATTCACAGCTGTCCATTTGGCATCAAATCCAGCTTCAAACGTGCGTTTCGAATTATTGAATTCATCCGAGAAAATGAGTGTATACTCATGATTAAAGGAAGCGTTTCCACCAAAGTTATACGCTCCTTTGGGTACCGATGCAGTGTAGAATTTAAGTTCCGTATCGGGATCAATCCACTGCTTTTGAAAAGCTGTAAGGTTGTATTGTGCACGCTGCCGAGTGCTTGTAGTATCACATTTTGTCAGGACCATGAGTAACACTTGCGTTAATAGCATGCAAATCCTCCAAGCGTGCGTCATGATAAATGACACGACGCTGCACTTTTAGTGGTGATGAGGTGGTTGATACTAAATTTGTAAAGGTCTTGAGTGGTAGCGTGCAAAATGCGGAATGAGTTGGTGGTTGGTAGATCTTTGATCTTCCACATCAGTCGTCTGAGTTTATCCTGCGATGGATCCGGGTCTGGGTCGGGTTTATGGTCTGAATAATACAAATACCAAATCGTAAACGGCCCGCTGGACAATTTCGAAAATAGTTTATACAGTACCTACCTCCAGCTGACGTACTTTTCCATACTAGAGTTTGACTGGTCTAGATGACTCGACCCAAGCACCAAAGAAATAAAGCAAACAAGCAATTGATTCTCTCTTTTTTGCATCAATGGATGGATACTACTATTCTGCTGCTTTTACTCTCGTTCTATATCTTGTCTGCAGCTTTTTTTTCGTCACACAAGCCAACACCAACTTCCTAGTGTCGGTGCAGTTGTATCGTGCACAAGATCGCTCATGGTGGCTACAGCTTCAACGACTAAAAATTCGTCGAAGCGAATTTGTGGCAAAAGGCAGCAGAGATTTGATCCCAATCGATACACTAAAACCCCCTATAAGCTACCCTGATTTACTCAAGAAAACGACACGATTGGTGCTCGTAAACACTGCTGCATTCTGCATTCCGTCATAGAGCTCGGTTTTTATCTAAAGCTACCAGTCACTGGTCAAGTAGCGACGTCATTGCTTGGATGCTAAAGCTCTGGCAGTTGCGTCTCCAATTGCGAGATATAAGGCCCCAAATCCTGCAAGAGCTGTGGCGGCATACTTTACCACATAACTGCGACTTACCACTAATATTCTAATGCGTTGTTTAGAGCACACATTTGCTCAATGCGCTACGTAAAGGCGGAGATGTCTTTTGTAACGCCTATTACGTGCAATGCATGACAAGAAATACATACAATTTACACACATAATGACGTTTCGATGGACGCAAAAGGTTTATTTCGTATTGCAGGAATCTTCCTCTAGATAATAGACAGCTATGTACCAAGATAGGCAGGGTATCTAGCTTGAAGCTGTGCTACTTCCAAACCTGATTACATAATGTGTATTATTAATTAAGATTTGCGCCTTCACGTGTCAGAAACAGTGCAGCTTAGCTATGAAAACCGGTAGCGTGCACGGTATTCACATGTATACATAGATTGTATACACCAATTCGTTAGGCCGAGCATCTCCCATCCACACATAGCGATCGCATCAATCGCTTGCATCTGCTTGACATCATGCTCCGCCGGTCCTGCCAATCAGCCTTGACGCATATGCGCGTACACAAGCGCTTTATCTTGCAGCGCAATGCGCCTATATTGTCACGTGCATTTGCCACTGACTACTCGACCGTTACCGCTGAGAATATCCGCAACGTGGCTATTGTGGCACACGTCGACCACGGTAAGACAACTTTGGTTGATCAATTACTTAAACATGGTGGCAATACGCTCTCGGAGGAGCGTGTCATGGACTCGATTGATCTAGAGCGTGAGCGTGGTATCACCATCATGTCCAAGTGTACGCGCGTCGAGTACAACGGCCACGTACTGAACATCGTCGATACACCGGGGCACGCTGACTTTGGTGGCGAGGTGGAGCGTATCTTAAGTATGGTGAACGGTGTCGTTCTAGTTGTTGATGCCACGGAAGGACCTATGTCACAGACCAAGTTTGTGCTGACGAAGGCGTTGCAACGCGGGCTGAAGCCACTCGTAGTCATTAACAAGGTAGACCGTGACACTAGCCGCCTCGATGGTTCAGTGGAGAACGAGCTCTTTGACATGTTTGTGGCACTTGATGCCAACGATGACCAGCTGGATTTTCCTGTACTGTATGCGTCTGCCAAGCAGGGCTGGGCTGTACGTGACTTGGACAATGAAAGCGAGACGCGTGATACGATGCTACCGCTTCTCGACGAGATTACTCGCTACGTGCCTGCACCTGAGTCCAACGCCGACAAGCCCTTCGCCATGGCTGTTACTATGATTGGCCACGACCCGTACGTAGGTCGTCTTGCAACTGGCCTTGTCCACGCTGGAACAGTCAAGGTGCGCACTGCTTGTTATTCATGATGCTCATATTTGTGTCATACTTTATTCTCACATGCACTTTGTTCTGGCATGGGTAGATTGGAGACTCGATCCAAGTGATGAACCGTGACAGCAAGAAGCTTGAAACGGGCCGGGTCACGAAGATGTTCGTAACCCGTGGCGTCGCAAAGTCTGAAATCACGTCTGCAACTGCTGGTACGTGGATGACCTGAAAAGAGCTTTTGCTTGACGTGACTCAACATTTCCATGTACATGTCCATTTTTGAACAGGTGACATCATTACAATTGCTGGTGTGAACGCATACGTGTCTGACACAATCGCTGATATCGCTGTGACGGAGCCCATTCCGTCTCCTCAGTTGGATCCTCCTACGATCTCGATGACGTTTGGTGTGAACGACGCACCGACTGCAGGCAAAGACGGTAAATTTCTCACATCTTCTCACATCAAGCAGCGCCTTGAGCGCGAGTGTGAGGTAAGTAATTACTTGATATTCACGTTTCACTAGCTTGCGCGAAGCAAATTGCTAACTGCATCTCTGATTACTGTCTGCAGAACAATGTTGCCATTTCCGTCTCGCCCAGTACTTCGTCGGAAGCTTTTGACGTCCATGGCCGTGGTGAGCTTCAGCTTGCTATTCTGATCGAAGAAATGCGTCGTGAAGGTTTTGAGATGTCCGTCTCGGCCCCACAAGTGCTATTTCAGACCGATCCGGAGACAAAAGAAAGGCTGGAGCCCATCGAAGAAGTGACAGTAGATGTCGATTCTGACTTTTCTGGCTCGGTTATTGACAAAATGTCGACCCGTGGTGGTGAAATCATTGAGTTTAAGGAGATGCACGACAAAGTGCGTCTTCAGTTTAAGATCCCTAGTCGTTGCCTCATGGGTTATCGCAGTGAGGTATGTACTACTATTGCTAGCACTGCACAAACAAAGCCTTGCATGGACTTATGACGTTGTGTCCATTTTGTAGATTAAGACTGACACGCGTGGAAGTGGCATTTTGAACTCAATTTTCCACGGCTATTCTCCCTTCCACGGTTCGGCAACTCCTCCATCTAAGGGCAAGTTGATCTCTTCATCTCGAGGCACATGCACGGTAATAAAATGAGGCCATGTGCGCGTCATTTTTTAGCTTGTGTCTACACTTTCTCACCATTCACATTTTTGCTTGTTTTCAACAAGGCTTACGCACTTAACTCGTTGGAAGACCGTGGAGAAATGTTTGTCAAACCTGGTGACGAGGTGTACGAGGGTATGATTGTGGGTGAACACAGCCGCCCCACTGACATTGAAATCAATCCCACGAAAGAGAAGAAGCTCACTAATATGCGTGCGGCTGGCACGGATGAAAACATCAAGCTATCGCCTATCCGCCAGATGTCTCTTGAGGATGTAGTCGCTTATATTGGTGAGGACGAGATGATTGATGTCTCGCCAAGTAAAATTCGCATGCGAAAACGTGAATTGACTGCCAATGGACGCAAGCGAGTGCAGGGAAAGAAAAAGTAGATGAAGCTCAGGAGATTGATACTACTAGGCAGTAAGTAGTAAGTAAGTAAGTAAACGCATGGCAGCTAGTTTGTATTCATATAGAGAGAGACACATGCAGGCACATAGTAGAGCAATGATATTCTTACCAACTACGTGCATATTGAAGCAAGGTTGCTTTAAGACCATATTACGTTGCTGTAAGAGCCTAAACGTTACCCTAAGACCTCATAATGTTGCACAATTGTCCATTGAATTCACATTGACATAATTGTGAGTCGAGTGCGGATGTCTCGAGAGGATGAAGCCGCGTTTCATTTACTGTCTATGAAGCTCAAGCGAGACGTTAATTGCTTGATGGATTCAGATCGTAGTGTTCGACGACGAGCGGTGGATAAATTGCACCGTGTGCTGCAGAGTGAGGCGTCGCATGTGTCTGATACAGTGCTGCGTGCATTGTGTGTCTCTACTCTCTTTCATCCACTGCTGATATGCGCCGAGCATGACGTTGTAGAGAAATGTCGCGAGCGAGCTCTTACATTGTTGCTGTTTCTGTGCGAACGTGGAGCATTGGAATCGTCGGATACGACGCTGAAGGACGTCGTTGCGCTGGCCAATGCTCGACTGGGTAAACTGCCGTACCCGGAGCCTGCGGAAGAGACGCGACTGCTTATTTTGCAGTTAATGCATGCTTTTTTGAAGCAGCTTGCAGCAGAGAAAGACACTTTGGTGTCATTGCAGGATATCATTACAGACCTTGCCAATGCATTGGCCAAAACAGCGATGGATCCGTTCCCGGATGCCAAGAAGATGTCAGCAGAGTGCGTTATTCTGATTTCGAGAAATTGGAAAAAGGATGTAGGAATGCAGATCGGTACTATTGTGCGACCTGTGGTGTTTAATTTGGGTCACCAGCACAGTCGTGTGCGTGTGTGTGCGTTACAGGCGCTGGAAGCGGCGGTACCTTGTGGTTCGGAGGCTCTTCCGGTCCTTATGAAACAGGTGCTGTTGCCGACGATGAGCAAAGTTGTGCTTGATCATGCAGCATCTGTAAAGAAGCAACTAGCGATAACGCTGGCGGCATGGTTTGCTCAAATTGAGCAAATTCAACAGTTCGAAGCGTCTATTCTACCGATGTTCCTGGCAGGTATCGTCGACGAATCGCCCGAAGTACGAACGCTATGTCTTGCTAAGCTGAATGATATTTCAATTATGTGGGAGCACCGCGACGAAAATCAAGGCGTCAAGTCGGGTGACGTGGAGCTAATGGAGGTGGATTTGGACTTTGTCAATCGCATACCTCCGCTGTTCTTTGGTTCTCGACCACCTCTTGGTGCCCGCAAACTTGCAGCGAGTATTCAAGCTGAGTTGTTGCCACCGTTGCTTGAGAAAACGGGAGATTGGAATGTGCAAGTGCGCGAACGCTACACAAAAGTACTTAGTGCATTCCTGATCTTGCTGGAGCAAAGTATGAACCCATATCTCGACAAGATATTTGCAGCGTTATGTAACAGCTGCCGTGACGACGAAGAAGTTGTTTTGAACAGTGTGAAAGCGTGCTTGAGAGTCGTTGGGTTTTATGCTGACTCCCAAATGATCTTGGCCTCGTTGCTGCCCATGGTAGCAGGCAGGATAGCAGGACAGGACACTGCGCAATACCGTACGAATGGATTGATGCTGTTGGGCATGAGCATTGAAGGTATGACGCCAGAGACGGTGGGAGCTCACTTGACGGTATGAATTGCTATGACCATTAGCTATCCATTCTAGAAGAATGAAAGCTGACACTATGTTATCATCGTTGTGAATACTGTACAGTTGATTACTGAAGCACTTTGTGATCCTGGTCTACGGGAATCTGAGGTTTTGGATGTGCAAAATCAGTTGGCAGGCGTCGTAGCAAGTATTGTCAAGACTGCTGGTCCGATACTCGCGCAAACAGACGATAGTTGTTTTCGACTCTTTTGGGTACTGAGCCACCTCTTGGCCTCGTCGTCTGAATCGTCAGTCGCCTACATGACGGTATGCTGCTTTATGTGATCATCGACTAAATCTAGAGGTATAATTAGTAACGCTGCTCTTGAATTGTACTAGGCAAACGAATGCATGGAAGAGTTAGCGATGCATCTGAATCAGTCTGTCGAGGTTTGTTATGCTGAGACATTTTGATTACAGTCATCTTGCTAATTGTAGCACATGCTTTTCATCGCAGGAGCTGTACGTTCGCTACGTGGGCAAACTCCTAGATACGATGGCGCTGCCGACAGATACAGGTGCTAGCTGGCAAAAGAGTAACCTTACTCGAGTACTATTTGACTCACTTTGCCGTCGTGGTGGAGCGGTACGCATGCTTTTTCTGTTGATGCTTGCCATTTCCAACCATCGCCAACTTGACCTTGCTGCTTAGGCTTGCGGTACGAATCTGGATAAAATTGTGCCCGTCATTCTGGTCCATTTAGACCCATCTCAGGACGCGGATGTTCGACTCGTTTTTCTTGCATTGCTAGAGACAATGCTACGAATGGATACGATCTCTCAGGTATATCAGTGGCCATCGGTTGGAATGATCTTCTTGCAGGATGTGACAAAGTTGTGATGTGAGCAGGCTCTGAAAGCGTTTAGTGTGGCGTTGCTTCGAAAGGCAATAATTCCCAACATTGTTTGGCGTGAAGGTCATATAGCTGCAAGCATTAGGTACGACTGCAGACAACGTTTACGACTGTTATTTGCAATTGCTAACGTTTGCACTGCTTGTTTCTCATTCCATCAGAAAAGTGGCTGTTAACTGTGCGTATACCTGCTTTTGTCAAGGCATTGCCGACGAGTCGTGCCTGTTTGAGACTGTAGCCCAGGTAATCGCTTGCGTTGCTATGGATTAGCAAAGTACTGCACTGATAATGATCGTGCTTTGACTGTACATGTAGATGTTGCCCATTCTCAAATCTTCATTGGACGATAGCGACGCCAAAACTCGTCATCTGGCTTGCCTTGCGTTGCAGCATTTGTTTGTGGCATTGCCTGGCTGTTTGGGAGGTAAACACTATGTGTGTACTGCACTTGTATATGACGTATGGTTGCCTTAACAAATGATTGGCATTCACATGGTTTTGACAGAGGAATCTGTTGATCAACTGTATCCGGAGATCTTGAAGCGTCTTGATGACAGCAACAATACTGTGCGCAAAGCTGCTTGCCAGACGTTTTTGATATTTCTGAAAGCAGCACCGAAGGAGCATTTTCAAGGAACCATTATCGACTACGCTATGGACTGTCTTTTTGTCCACCTGGACGATCCAGAGCCCGATATTCAGGTGAGCAAGAGATGTAAAATCAGCTTTCATTGTTGTTTCCTGCTTAACAGATTGTATAAAACTCTTGTTGTTCTGGTTGACTGGAGCGCAGGAAGCTGTGTATAACGTACTGAGGGAAACAGCTGCCATCGATGCGCATCGACTGGCGAGTAAAGCAGGAGAAAATCGGAGTCGTCATCAAAGTCCTCGCTATTGCGACCAGCTTCTCGCCTTAGCTACTGCACAGCCAGATTAGCCCTCGCAAGCACTTTAACTGGTAAAACAAGAACCTCTGGCATTTGACAGACACTCACTTGGAACCTGCAGACCATTTCAAGCTGTCTCCAGCATCACTTTGTCTAAATTTTTGAAGTATACGACCAAGTCCTCGATGCGTTTCTTGTTTTGTTCCTCTTCTTCTAGCTGTCGTTCCTGTTTGAGCAATTTCCTCTTGCGAAACGACGTGTTTATTGTCTTAAAAGCAAAGATAGGAGGTGATTCATGATCCATACGAGGACCAGCTACCTTAGTAACCTTCTGTTTTTTTGACAGCTGCTTCCTGTCTTCACAAGATGCTCGTGCGCTATTGTTGCGTTTCTTTTTTGTCCTCAATGCACTCACTTTATTCCCCTACAATCAATGGCATGTCAGTGCTGAGGTGAGTGGTCCGTTGCTAATAGATTCGACATTCATACCATATTTAGGCCTGGAATGGGTACATCTTTCCTCGTTTTCACGTCCTCATCATACGAATTGGCTGAAAAGAGATAGATTACATCAAATTAGATCAGATAGAAAGCCAAAATCGACCAATTGTAGCTACCGTTTTTTTCAGGAGTGTCGTCGTCCAGCTCACAGATCCTCTTCCTTGAAGCTGCATGTTCTTGTTGTTTGCGCGTCTGCATGACTTGAACGGGTTTGAAGTTGAAGTGATGACCATCACTCCTTTCGATGTAACATAAACGCGGATTGGTCGATACTTGTCAATTTGGCTACTTTTGATTCGCTGGCATAAATGACTTTTAGCGAACCATATGTCACTTACAAGGGAGGGCCGTTTCTCTTCAGACAAGAAATAGCGCAGCGTCAGGTCTTGCATTATGAGCGATACAAAGGTCGCTTTTGACGAGCCCCAGGGCACTATATCGATTGAAGTGCCACAGCATGTACTGCAGAAGATACGTAACGAGATTGTAAAGGCTGTCAACATCCAGAATGTTCGTGGCATCTCTCAGTTCTTTGGTCTCGGTGAGTTGTTTTCCTGTGTTTTCATTTCCTTGATGGCGTCAATTGACGTCGTTTTTATTGTATATGATGGGGTCTTGTATGCAGGTGAGGAGAAGCCATTCAATGTACCTGCACGTCAAGAAATAGCCTCACGGTGCCGAAAGAATGCGCTGTTTTTCAGCGCTAATTACCTCATTTCCGCTGCTCTTGTTGGCGTCGTTACGATGTACGTTGATAAGCTTATTTCTTTTATCATTAGCTATTTGTGTACAAAAGGAGAAGATTGTGTGCTTACTATGGTAGTTTTTGTGTTCATTTTTGTTGATGTGTAGCCTGTTAAACCCGTTCTTTCTTTTCGTGCTCATTTGCCTGAGCGGTTTCTGGATTTACATGTCGAGCGCAACAGCAAATGAGTCACCTGAGAATCCGACTAAGATTATGGGCCGCATTGTGACGCCTGAACAGCGGAAGCTTGGTATGCTTGGTGGTATGTGGTGCTATATTTCTAAAGGAGGGTGGTTGTTATTGAATGTAAATGCTCACGAATATGTTGTTGACATGTTGTGTTTGCAGTGAGCGCTGCGGTAGTTGTTGTCTTTGGAGGATCGATTTTGTTTACAATTTGCTCAGCCAGGTAAGCTTTTTGATAGCGACGTGACGCGGAATACAGAATATTTATCATGTAGTGTGATCTTGTTACGATGCTACAATTTGTAGTGGTGCGCTCGCGATTTCCCACGCTGTTTTACGCGACTGTTCCACCATTCATGAGGAAGATGAACTGGGCTTTCTGTCGGACGCGGCTGACCAGATTGCAGACACTGTGTAAGCGTGGCGTGCCTCGGCTTAGAAGAACTATCTAGGTTTGCATACATATATTCTGAATGAAATGAAGATGAAGCTTTGCAGCTAGCGTGTCGATAGCTTGGATGCTTGAACTCTTTCAAGACTATTTCAGATGGTGCGTTGGATAAGCGAGCATATTCATGTAGACCGGTTGCATTTGTTGTGAAAGTCTGATGCTGACAGCTATCGACTAGTTCGCTTGTCCAGCATTCTCTCGTTACAACCAACACCTGTCATTTTTCTTTCCATCGAGATCAACCACCACTTCTGATTATCTCTGAATCAAGAGCAAAACATCCAGATCCCTTGCTTACTTCATCGCTTGTTGCCGCATTAAGCTTTACACGTGAAATAGTCATCCTATCATCGCGAGGCCTCGCTCGCCTTCTGTGCCACACGACCTGTTCATCGAGCTGTCCGAGTCTACCGATCGACGAAGACCAAGTATATCGACAGTTGCTTGCTCCTATCCAGTTCAAAATTGTCATGTCCAAAGCAAACATTCACTTTTAGACGATGAAACCAATGTACATGTGCAGGATGCATGTATTTGCTTGCGTCGAACGAGCAGTCTTGACACTTTTGAGCTGTTGGTGCTGACACACGTGCCTGTAAACAAGTTTACCCTGTCATCGCCTTGCAAGTGCTCACATTTAAAGCGCTATAATGAGTGTATTCTGATCAATTGCTACATGATGGAAGTCTTTATCAACTCTAAAATGAAACATCTCTGCAACACAACACAACATCATATATTGCAGGTTGCTTGACCACAAAGTCATGGGCGGCCAATTCTGTACATGCACTCCAATTTTCTTTCGTGTAATACTGACTTGATCAATGGCTGATCGTCTTATGATTCATTTAATTAGTTGAGACTCTTCCAATTCTTTCGAGTGTGCATCAATGAAAGAAGAACGAGTCTTCATTTCTCCGACAGTTTCACTTCGACTGCTTCTAACAATTTCGATGTTTTCTTGTTTTCAGCCAATCCAAAGTAGACTACACGAAATGTTCTTTTGACCAATCAAACCTTGGATTACGAACACGATGGCTGAAGTCATCTTGTCATAAGAACGCGCTACAGTAATTGGTTGCCAGAATCAAAGTAGCCATAAAAAGGGATCAAATCGGCATTTATACCGTAACGACGTACGTCAGCACATGAACAGGCCAGCAAAATGTCGTCCTATGTACGTCATTTACTGAGAGGACGCTCTCGGTGCACGTGGCATCATCTGTCCAATCAGCTGTTGAGTAGAGTTCAGTCGGCATTCGAGCTCCATGTCTTTGCCACGAGCAGATCAGTGCGGCTGTCCTGCGGCACAACTAATACGCAAGAGCTGTTCCCATTGCATTATTGTACGGATATGAGTGGCCTGTATGTATGCAAGTGATCGTCTACGTTTGCCAAAGGCAATGAATGGTGCTACACAGCTGGCATGTTATTGGTACGTCGAAGTAGAAACCGTACCTTGAGTCGGGGTGAAACGGCTACACAGTATACACCAATCGTACAAGGATAAACATGCAATAGTTGCGCCATGACGACACACATTTTGTAGCAATGTACCACTGCCACAAGAATACGCACTATTAGGAAATACCATTACGCGGGCAAAGTCTTGTTGGTAATATTTGATCAAGTGCATTCTTTTGTGGTGGTGAATAACCTCAAGTCACTTGGCATCCTCTGCATATTTTACCTTGTAAACTTTATATTCTAGTCAGGAAGTAATCTTTAGATAGTGAATAGGGCAAAACAGATCAATTTTTAATGGCCGGTACTTTGGCTCTTCATTCTGGAATTCGCCTCATTAGCGGCACAACAGCAGTCATCCACTCGTCTCTTTTTTTTCTTTTCTACGACTTCGACGCCCTCTATAATTTTATCGTATACCATGTGGGTATTTGGCTATGGCTCAATCGTCTGGAAGACTGAATTTCCTGCAGAGGACACGGTGTTTGGTTACGTTGAAGGCTGGCATCGGAGATTCTGGCAGGGCAGTCCAGATCACCGTGGCTCACCCGAAGCAAAGGGCCGTGTTGTTACACTCATTAGCCGAGAAGAGATGAAGAAATTTGATGACGAGTTTGCACACTTGGCAGGTGACCACATCACATGGGGCCGTCTGTACAAGGTGCCGGATGAGGAGGTTCAGGACACGCTTACAAAACTCGATAATCGTGAGCAGGCTGGCTATGATCGCCAAATGGTGGACGTGCACTGCGTTGACGGTGTCGTGCGCAAAGCGCTTGTGTATATTGCTACACCGACTAACTCGGACTTTTTGGGTCCGTCATCGGTGGATGAAATGGCCAAGGAGATTGCTACTCGACGGGGATTCAGTGGTCCAAACTTTGAGTACCTTTTCAAGCTCTGTGACTGTATGCGTACATTGCAAGTTCGTGATCCACACCTCATTGCGTTGGAGAATGCTACACGTAAATATACGTCTGTCATTAACTGGAGCGCGAGTAGCAATGGATGTGGTGTTCAATAAACTAGAAGGCGCGCGAATTATTATTGCGCTCCGAGGCGTAGCAACAAGCTACGCATGTAAATTATTTCAATAGAGGCAAATCCAAGCCAGTTTTTGTCAAGCATAACCCGTTCTCTGCTTTCTTAGTGTTCTCGTAACAAACAACGACACGGAAGCTTTGCAACATCGCGTTACGTATGTATGCGTAGAAGATATTGAGCAGTGGAAGGATTCTTTTGCTGCTACTTGTTCAGACTTTGCCAGGCATGTAATGTTGTTACACACTGGAATTTGAGCTACGTGTGACGCCATTGACGAAGCAGCTACAAGCAGCATTGGATGCGTGCGCGTTTGGAAAAGAGAGTGCACATTCAGCTTTACAGACGTGTTTATTCACGCTGCCAAAAGATCAACGCTTGACTATGGCGATGGGCAACGATGCACCATTCCACATAGTCCAATGATAGCAAAACCATGCACGGAACATATTTGGACAAACGCCATAGCTTGAGCTGCTTGAGAGGCCGTATGAACGCACACATTATTACGTGTAGATACGCATCAGCTCCAGCAAGTTCGGTACTTTGTTAGGGGCAGGCACCAACACCACCAGAACTATGTGCAAGTGACTACGGTTCATTTAGTTATGATTCCAGAAAGCTTGTTGTCTGCTGGGGACTAACAACCTAACCCAGCGAATGCATCAATGTTGATGGACTTGCCCTGTTGACTCTTGCTCTTTTGGAGACTTGCTGGATTCATGAGCTGTGAAATGTGGTAACTGACATTGCCCATACCACCGAGTGCAGACTGCTGTCCTGTAAAGGAACTTTGCACAACCGGTTGCTGCTGTTGAGCCATTCCTCCCATTGATGCACTCATCGGCATTCCCGACATCGACTGCTGATATCCCGTAAATTGATTAGTAGTACTAGCAGCAGGCAATTGACGAGTTGGCTTCTGACTGTGTTGCTGGTAGTTGCTAGCATTCGGATTGGCATAAGGATCAAAGTTGATACGTCCAACAGGTTTAGCTACAATAGGCGTCGTAACGGAAGCAAACGGGTCGACGTAAGTTGCTGGCTGGGGAACAACAGCAACTGGACGACCTTGCTGCTGCTGTTTTTGCTGCTGAGGCCCAGTTGCAGCTGCAGAATTTTCTGTTGGCAACATTTTTACCTAGGAGTCATAACATGCATAAGATGAGATACTGCACCAGTGTACCTGGTAATTCAAGCAATGCCACACTCACACTTGCCAGTGGATCAAAGATTAACGACTGCACTGACACAGTCACACTAGGGTCAAAGTCGTCAATGAGGTTAATTTCATGCTGCTTCGTTGGCTTCGGCGCAGCTAGAGCCGAAGGTTGTTGCCGCTGGGCATTTAAAGCACCTGAGTCAGGAGCCAATGGAGCGCTTTGTGCTTGCAATGATGAACGCTTTCCACCATTTTGCTGTACACTGCTGGAACGTTGCTGTTCATTGTGCTTTCCTGCGAAACTGCGGATGTGTCCATTATTTTGCCCCGACGACGCTCGTGAACCATGAAGACCAAAGCTCTGTGTACGATCTATCGTACGATAAGTGTCCGTAAAAGAGCCTCGAATGCTACCAAAAACGGGTTCCCGAGAACCCGCAAACGAGCCACAATGCAGCTGAGGTTCATTTTGTGACAAAGATATAGCCCCATCAGGTCCCCATCGGTGCGTTCCGTAGGCATCTAAGCTCATACCATAGCACAAACAAAGACATTAGCATACTATCTTGTACCTTGGTAATACACTACAGGATCACCACATACTTCCAGGAGGAGCATTCGGGTGAGTATAAGTAGCTGTAACATGAACGTGCTTCTTCCGACGTAAAACATCCCAGCGACGGTATGGAACTTTGTTCATGAATAAATCTTGACAAAACATACACAAACAATATCGTTCCTTAGCTCTCTCTCGCTTTTGTCCTTGTGTCTTTGCATACGGAATCATAGCATTCACTTCACTGTATGAAGTACCATATTTTGGATTATCAGCTGACTCGACTTCATTAATTCGTATTTCCATGACCAGATTCAGTCCATCCAGAATAATGAAAAAACTCCAATCTCCCAAGGTTGCCTGCAATCTCCAAAGCACATTTTTATAGACATAAATACTCGTTTCTCTATGCAATCACACCTCATTATGATTGCTCACTGTACTTACAGTTGACGAAAAATGCATTTGACGACCACCATATTGCACCATCTGCATCAATTAGATATATAAATATATGGCCATTAGTAGTCAGTCGTTAGTGTATACTACACCCAAGTCTACTTGAACTCGATTATACCTTCTTATAGCTCATAATTGAGTGGACCAACACAACTTCATGTGTGCGATCAGACTCACCAAGAGTAAAACGCCACGACACGCGCTTCTTTGAAGCTGCTACAATCTCTCCAATAGGTTGCTCCTCGCGTCCAATGCGTTTAGGTGGACCATGTTCAAGTGGGTCAGGCTGGGAATTGCAGACACGCACTACATTGCCCGAGTACATGGTATCAATAGGAAGCTGATTATGCTAACTCGACTCAGTGAATGTCAAAAATAGGTCTTTTTCTGGTCAATGGTACCTTTAAATTGGGTCAATATTTGGATTGACACCTATTTTATCATGAAATTACAAAACAACAACAACTTTATCGTTTGCCATGTGTAAGCGTGTATTGTCATCAGAAGGTCGCTTGAGTAATAGATAATTCTAGTCTTAATATGCTTAAGCTCGCGGTGATTTTGAAGTTTTCAGTAAACAGAGTCTCAGTTAGGGAACTAAAGCATGACGCTTTCGCTTGTTCTAGAGTACACCTTTCTTAACCCCGTCCGACGCTAATTGAAACAAGTTGCTATCGCAAAGTATTGATTCAACATTGCATTAGTCGTAAGAGAGTGTAGCAACCCTCACTCGATGATTCACCTCCTGTGTTTTTGTAAAGCATGCAGAGCCAGCTTCTTTCGGCTTTCCGTACATGTTCTGCTCACTTCTGCACGCCAGAATAGGTTTAGGAAACGCAAATATTCGATTTTGCCTATCATCACTACAAGCATGAATACTACATTGGCGCTAAAAGCTACCTCAAAGAGATACACCAACATCGGAAAAGATGCATCCTCATGAATACCGGGCTCCTCCTGCTTGGCTTATTACTATCAGCCCACAGACGTGTAGTAAATACTAATAGTAAGTATAGTACTCCAAGCGACCACACCTATGGTGCGGCTTGTGGAAGAAAGCAGGTAAGGAAGACAGCGATGGTGCAAGTATACGGAGAATACAACGAACTTTGACAACCGTCATGATGTAACGGGGTTACACGAAGGTACCATAAAGCGGAGTACCAACGGGGTGGTACTCCGTTTTATGGTGAGGCTTCAAGCGACACACGTCACTTTAAATCATATTAAGAAAAGGTAATTAGATGCTTTATGTCCCATCTGGACTGTTTCTTCTGTTACTTTCAGCTCTTCGGTACATTCTATGCGGCTTTTCTTACACATTGCACTGTTCATGCACTAAGCAAAATTTTAGCTGGAATTCTGATCATTTGTAAGATAGATAGCCTAGTTTTTTGTCCAATAGAATGGGTTGTTCGATCCTTTTCTCGTTTGTTACCGTGGTCGTTGACTTTTTTTGATGTTACATACATGCACAGACACTAAAAGTTACATAAAGTCTGGCTTTTTGTCCCTCTCGCAACTGACTGGCTTTATTTAAACGTACGATAATGTACCGTATGATACCAAGCAATTTGAAAAATTTATCCCTTTGATGTCATTGCCATATTCGCATTTGCCTTCTACCGACACAACAGTCTAACCTCAATCATGCGCCTCCAGCCCGCCATTATGTGTGGGTCTCTTGCTGCCTTCTTATCGGGTACTGGATCGCTTGCCAGACCATTAGACGTCGTCAAATCGTCTGGCTCGCTGTCATCTGGTCAATATGATTCCGTTAAGAGGTCCTTAAGAGGGCCTCTTAACTGGCCTATAAACGACGGCGAGGACGAGAGGGGGGAATTTTGCTGCTGCATACGATTCGGCAGTAGAGAATTTGAGGAGCCTTGGGCCTACTGCTGAAGCGTTACGTGCGGAAGAAATCGAAAACATCGCGGACAACGTTCTTGTAAACGCAGAATACATGCACCAAGAAACGTACTTAAAAGTACGGGAATTTATAAAGAAACCTGAATTGGAGAAGTGGACTGAACTAATGGATTGGGAAAAGTTTGCAAGCCAAAACGACGAATCTGCTTTGGAGAATTTGTTTTTCAATCGTTACACCTTCAATGAGCTGTGCGACTTCACTGCTGCTGCGAGGAAATTCCCTCCCGCTGAATCAATGGCCAATAAGGTAGAGTCTTGGCTACGAAACAATCATCCATTCTTTTTGATGGGGAAATTTGTTCGTAATTACAACATAAAAACGCTTGGGGCGTGCCCAGAATTATATAAATGGTTTGACTATATCGCCCACTACAACGAGAGGTACGCAGAGGAACAAAGTACGGTTTCTAACGCACTACAAGGATTCTACACTGACGAATATGTGACGAGCTACTGTGAAACAATGAGAAAAGTACATATTACTAAAGAACTTACTTCCGAAGAACACGAATGGCTGGATACGGCGACACCTCCTAAGGATGTCTTTATCAAGCTTAACCTTCATATAAAAGATAATGGCTTTTTCAATCAGAATTCACTACCTGGACAAATTAAGATGATGGATGACTTTTACAAACTCCACTCCAAATTGCAGATATCCTTTCGCGCGATTTTGCCGTTTACGGATAAAAAACTGCTCGATTTGGTGTTTTTTGAGTTGAAAACTACTCCACACAAAGATGGCCTCAAGAATCGAGCGCTCAAGGGGCTATATGAGGCATGGATTGCTAAAGATTGTTCTCCATACGAAGTTGCTTCACTTTTCGGCCTTGATAAGATCTCTGATCATTTGTATTTGACGCCTCGGTTGAAGAGCTGGGAGGGTTATGTGTACGCTTACAGTGACGCAAAAAATTTGAACCCACGACTAAAAGCTAAATTTGAACTGAAGAAGGCATATAACAAAGTGACAATTTCGGCTATTTATGAGCGTTGCAAGCGAGAGAAAAGCAACAAAAGGAAACATAGCGAGATTAGATAGATCCAAAGACTGATAACGATGCAGATGTTTGTTAAGGAGTCCATTCTCGAGCACGGGCAAGTTCTCTTCGACATGCTGCAAGCTTTGGGCACGTGAAAAAGGTTCGTGGTTGGTATACAACTATGGACTGCAAAGGCCAAAGAAGACAGCATTACAGTGCAAGCTGAGGGTAGATGTTGTAAACCTAAGACAAAAAAGTATGTGACGTGTGACGGATTGAATTTGTGGCACTTTACTCCTTCAGTCTAGCTCTCTCTCTCGACGTATATCTCTGCATCTAGCTAAACGTCATACCGAGACCAAGTTGAGCACGTTTAATGTTATCCTACAAGAATATGAGCAAGTTCACATTAGTCGATACAACCACAAAAAAGGACCAATTTGCTTCAAGTCCTTACGTGTTCGTGCGCCTTGAGAATCCACGAGTAGTTGGCCTCGAGGCGGCCAATGCGAGTTCCCCATACAAGTCCCATCCCAATGGAAATACGCATATCATCTGCAAGATTCTTTATCCATTTCTTCTCGTCCAGTAGACGGTCCCATGTGGTCAAGTTACCAGTATTGACATAGGCTTGTCCACGGAGACCAAGAGCCTAGAGCAACATGTCAAAAAATGAAGAAATACGTTGGATCAACTGTTTTCCATGTGACTCGTAGCAGTTTATACGTACAGCAAGCAGCGGCAATGGGACAGGAAAGCCCACGCTTGCTGTTCCATTGTAGCTCACGTCACCACCGAGGGCGTCTCCTTGCGCAACTCCCCCATCAAGAGGAGAAGCGCGAGGACCAATACCCTTGTGATTAAAGCCTCGCACATTCATAGGACCACCCAGGAAAAAGCGGTCGCTGATACGTGCTGGACGGTTTTGCTCCCTGCCATACGACTTAACCGTTCTCAAGTGGTACGAAAGGCTAAAGTTCAAAGCTGGAAACCCAAAAACAACGGGACCGAACGCCACATGCCTCTGGCCTTCCACCTCTGCCTTGACAAAGTTTACGTCACCCAAAAGCCCAGCTATCTCCGTCCTAACCAATTACATGACGAAGCATGAGATCAACACCATTTTATGGCATACACAGATGGACTTACGTATACTTGAAGAGCCCCCCATCCGTGGGATAAACAATGTCGTTCCGATTGTCATCCGTGAAAACGTATTTCACACTGGTTTTAGTGGATGGCATCGCTTCCACCAAAATACTCGGCGACGCACAGTACGCCGTGGGAATTTTCGAGTCACGACGCGGGAGTAGGTCACGCCAACCAACGTTGAACGATAGGTCGTGCACGCCTTCATAGTCACTGATGGAAATGCTGCCAGCACGAATCTTCTCGCTGTAAGAGCTTAACCACTCCTGATTCTGTAACCAATAAGCAATTCATAGGTCAATCGTCAATCGGATGCACAAGTAATGTGACCACGGTGACGTACATGCAGTTCGTTAACAGCTACGGCGCTCAGATATAGCGGCAAACCCATAAAACGCGGCTTTTTAAACGTCGCACGCTGCGTATTACTTCCCGAACGTGCATAGGTAGCACTCAACGTGATCTTTTCTGCTTCGCCAAGCGCATTTGACAGCGTAAGCGACGATTCCTACAACAACGTATTCAACGCCGACCAGACAGAATCAGCATACTCTCCATACCTCTCCTTCACCCTAAAAGTAATAGTCACACCGTACTCCTGCTTCATCAGTGCCATCAGTCGTGGCACCCACATGCAGAGATCGCCAGCCTTTTTCCTTCACCGTGATAGTCACGTCCGTTTCATCATTTTGACCAGAGCTTGCTAAATTCAGCATCATGTAAGTCAAGTCAGCTAGCTCATCAGTATCCAGCCATGCTACGGTCCACAAGCATACTCATCACATTGTACGCATACATACATACATACATACATACATACACACCCTTATCTAGCTCAATGTCAATGGACTCGAAAATATCGAGATTCTTGAGCTCTTCCGTCGCTTCTTCTAGTTTGTGCACCAATAAACCAATACGTTCGGCATCATACGCCCCCTATAGATTCAAAAATACACACACCATGTATTGAATCAATCCACTACGTATCCAATTGACTCTTTAGTATGTACGTTGTAGTGTCATTTTGTACCTGTAATTCATTCTCAAACACTTGAGGTCTATACATATCATCATCATCATCATTATCATAGTTAGATTCATCTATACTCAAGACCACAGACAAGTGAAATGATACCCTCACAACTAATCAAAGCAAAAGAAAAAGACTGAAACATACTTGGTACGATTATTACCCTTGATGTAGACCTTGCCAATACGCATCTGTGGTCCCCATGGATGCGGTGGCTCCACCACGTCCATGCTACTGCTATTACGGCTTGCCATGACTTTCGAATACGCCACAAACTGTTGTGTCACTAAAGCGAGTACATAGCCTCCTCATGATAATGACTAAAGTGACGGACCATGACAAGTGTATGGCGTCGACTGCAGCTTCGAATTGCTGGTACGACACCGGCACGACGTTTCCAGGTGCGTGCGTTTGTTATTAATATGTTGATAGTTTTGTATGTAGTATTTTCATGGTTGTATGAAGTTATGATATTGGTATCTGATGAGGCTTCTATGTGACGTTTAGGAGGAAGCGGATGTAGGTATTGTTGCAGTGCTGAGCTGCTTCCGAAGCTTAAAGCTGGATCCATTGAATGTGAATAAGTATGTATATAGAGGTGCTAATATGTAGACTATATTAAGGTCAATGGATGTTGCCAATTTCTGTTGAATGACACTGTAGAGAACATGACGAGATGTTTGACCAGGCAGTAGAAATCATTGGCAAGAAGAACTTTGAGCAGCAGAAGAAGTACGTGCAAGACGAAGTTGTTAAGCAGGTTTGTGGAGACAGAAGTATAGTTGAATGCTGTAATTGAAGTGAGAAGTGCATGTTGTTGTTGCTGTTAATACAGGTCCAGAGTTGTTTCGAGGCTGTATTGAAGATGCCCAAGGACTCTGAGAAGAACATACCCAAGATGTCATTGTCTGGATATGAACGCAATGCTGAAGTAGAGGAAAAGGTACGATAGCTATCATCAATGTTGCTACGATGGTGTGCTTCAATATCTTGATGATTGCGTCTGTGCTTATTGTAGCTTGGAATCAATGACAACTTTCAGGAGCTCTTTGGGTTCACTTTGAATGTGGAAGAGTCTAGTGTTCCAGATGCAGGTGAAGGCGTCAAACTGTATGGATCGACTTTGATTGGATCATTGGTGGTACGTGTTGTGCTTTATAGTGCTACGAGCTTTCATTTCTTACTCACAACATTTCATGCTCCGTGTGTCATACCCACGAAGGCACTGTACCCCGGTATCGTCTACTTGCCAGAGCATTATAAGAAGGTGATTTGGTGTATAGAAGTGGTGTTACTTTTTTGATCGGATTCACTTTGTTGTCGTGGTTACATTGTCAGAAACGCTACTTAAGCGAGCTGTTAAACAACCCTTATGCTCGAGCTCGATTCGACAGTGTAATCATTGACGCTAAGAATGAGTGTAAGCGTCGTGTTTTGCAATTGTTTCTGTAGCGACTGAGTAAGGTGCTCATTTGTTGATACTTACGTGCCAACCTAGCTTCGAATCCGCGTAATCCGCTTGCGGTTGCTCACAAGATCAATCACCCTCCTAGCGGAACACCCCCCAATGTCATTGGCTTTGGATTTGAATTTCCACCAGAAGGTTTAGACTGCATGCATGACTGTTTGACTTGATGATCTTGATACTGACGGAATGCTACTTGCACACGAATGTCAGGACCTTTTTCGACTAAGGAATTTGACGAGCTCATTCCAAATAGCTTTGTCAAAGAACCCTCACGCCTTTCCATGTTTGGCAAGCGTGCTATCGTGCATGTACGTTTTAGCTGGCAAATTCTTGCTCTTCTTTCCTCATGCAGCATCTTTGTTTCCTCACACAACGCATTACAGGGTCTTGCCTTTATTGCTATGACGGACATTGAAGACAAAGGAGAGCTGTTTCTCAACTATCGGTATGTATGAAGATGTGGTCACACAGTAGCTATTCCAGTGTTGATTCGTTCATGCTCTACGACACCAGATACAATCCGGATCATCCGCTTCCTAAGTGGTACACACCCGTAGACGTCGCTTCGGATCGCGCGATGTGGAAATAGTCTCGCTATCATAACAAGAAAAAACGAATGCATTGATCTGGTAAAATGTCGATTTTGTAGCTGAAGACAACTAAAGGGCTTTTCTTCACCAGGCACATGGTGTGTAAGTGACCTAACTTTGTGCGCTAACGTTGATCATGCAACGCCTCTCACTTGCATTTACTTGGGAAATCCCGCGTTATTGGAAAGAATAATGCCCACGATGACACCAAAGATTCCCAACGCACTAGCGAAAATCTCTACAATCAAAATCGTCACGTATAACGCGGCATTTTGAGCATCAGCGAGCACACAGCTGCTGCCAGCGATACCGACAGATACCCTGCCTCAAACACCAAACAAGCATGCATAACTCAGTGCAATCCAATCCTCATTAAACTTGGTCCATCCTTGTCAGCAAAGAGGTCGTACCCGCTTGCAAGGTTAGTCAAACCAACTGCGAGTCCCGAACCAAAGACAGCATAGCCTGCAAAGTACAACGCCTGTTCATTGATCGGTTCATCTCCGTCATTACGCAATCCAGGCTGGTTCATCTGGTCACAGACAGATACCATAAGGAAAATAGCCTCAATCAGCACTCGCTTTCATCATCACTTTCCACATCGTCATTCGCACCTTGCTCTGCAATATAATTGCGATAATGACACCGTAAATTGCCGTCGCTTCACAAAAAATGATGCTCACAAGGTTCTTGGATCGTACACGCGGAGCCTTTACAGCAGCACCCAGTAAACTTGAGCCTGTAATGAATATGCCCCTGTCATGAAGGAAGAAAAAACATGACCAAAGCTCAATCTCTCTCTCTCTCTCTTGATCCAATTGCCAGTGATAGAGTCCAAAACATACCAAGCAGCACCCATAATAGAAAAAGCCAAACCAAAGGCTACGCCCATATTACCCCATGCATACGGTGATATGTTACTAAGGACATCACCCCAACCTATATAATGATAATAGAGTCAGTTAGAACCCAAAATAAGAAAGGATGGTTTGCTTTCTCGTCGCTGTGTTTTTATTCCTACAACTCATGCGACAACTATATAACGAAGCTGCACTTGACTACGTAAATCATCCATCTTCTCATATCGCTTTACATACCTTGATTAAATAGCTCATCTGTAGCGGCACTCATACTGATCTCTTCCTTCCTGTCACCTCAGATCCTTAATCTTTGGTCCTTTATAGACTTATTTTGGGTTTATTGACACACACAAAAATAGATCAATTCGTACTTAGCGTGTTATCCCATGTGACCCATTTTTTACATTTAAACTCCTACCAAATCCATCAAAAATGACCAATAAAGCAGACAAGCGCATACTTTACGTAGGCGGCTTGGACAAGCAAGTCACGGAGCAGATACTGTACACTGCATTCATTCCTTTTGGACCTATTAGTTCTGTACAAATTCCTGTTGATTATGCCACGCGTATGTGTATTTTTGACTACAAATAAAACGTCTTCGACAAACCTGAGAATGAATTGAAATGATTGATAATGATGACGTAGAAAGAGGAAAACGCTTTGGCTTTGTAGAGTTTGCAGAGGAAATGGATGCTAGTGCTGCTATTGATAATATGGATGGTGAGTTACGATTGATAAGATGGAGACATTGTGTTGTTTGTGAAGGCGATGGTAGATATAAAAGATGTTTTTGATTGCATTGAATGACTAGAGTCGGAGTTGTTTGGAAGGACGTTGCGAGTCTCCATTGCTAAACCTGATCGTCCGAAACTTGGATCGAATAAACCAGGTACGTGGTGTAAACTATCGTTTGTAGTATGTAACACATCATGTCTTTCTTATGCGGACGATATGTTTTTTTTCTATCAAGTGTGGGCAGGAGATCGATAGAGCGATGAGAGGGTCAATTGAATAGGAGACGACGACTTGTAGGAGCACAAATGGAGACGTGATGGATACAATTGAATGAATGGTGACAACGATTATATTGTACTTCATTGGAGCAAACGAAAAGTGTCACGAACACCAAACTAGTATTCTTCGTTGCGTGCGCTGCTAGTACACTTGATGACTACAATATTGCTGTTACAATGTGTGATGTTTGAGTTTAGTCCTTTGATATGACAACTTATAATCGCGTACGGCTCGTTGTAACTCGGCAAGGTCTCATGTTGACATAATACACTTGGACGTAAGCTTGAAAAGTCCAGAGAATGGGGATGATTCTCTCAGACTTTCCAAGCTTACGTCTGCTCTGCGTGCCATGATCTTTGCGGTCTCGCCACAATGCTCACGATAAAGACCAGTTGAAAAACCGTTACGCAGTCAAAGGTCGACAACGTCCTGGATACAACATGTAAGAAACTGCAAGGACAAGCCGTAGACACTTTGATTGTAAAAACGTCCTTCCAGGAAGTTCGAGAACTTTACGGAGCTGTTCAGTAAGATCATGACAATGCAGACCAAAACTGGCAAATACTTGCACAAAGAAGCTTTTGCTACGTGTTCAACCTGCAATACAATTGACAAACCTGCTCGTCAGGTGGTCTTCGATCGTCTGCAGCTGTTCAACAGCTATAGACTCACATACATCTGCGGGGCACTAAAGCAATAATATTAGTCCACTACTGGCCCTGATGCTTCGATTTCATGTCACACGAGTGTTAAGGTACGAAACAACATTGTTAAGCAGTTGATACAATCTGTCTGTCAGCATCTAAATTGGATTAACGCCAGTGCATCATGAGCTTTCTTTCCATGTCGATCGACGCACGTCTATGGCTTTTCCATAACCTGATTGCGTATCTGGACTGTCATTATCCCAACCCATCTGTCTATAAGGTCCACTCTTTTCGGCGAAGATAAGGGTCAAATTTTTGGACACGTGGACATGAAGTAGCCACAGGTTTTGTCGACCGAACCGGCTTTTTTGGATTATTCTTGTATTGTGTATACAATAGTCAAGTGAATACTGACCCCCTGATGCAACGGTCAAATGGTGGGACCAATAAACCTACTCATTAATGCATAAAAAAGCCACAAGCACACCTACGAATCTTACTCGAGGAGCTCCATACAAAAGCCTCGACATCTGATCGTTCCTGGAAAGAAATACAGATACAATATACTCGGACGCTATAGTATGATGCCCCATTTACCATCGAGCACTGTCCAAGGCACGACGGTGTTAAGAAAAGATATTTCAATGAAACCCACACAACGTTATGCATATTCACGTAATGGTGACCAAGGTCGTGTAGATGAAAAGTGTCTTGTTCGTGTACAAATTCCGACGGTCGATTCATCCGAGAATGGCAAAGTGCGCTACCACGTGCGTATAACGAATGTCCGGTCGGGTCAAGTGTGGCAAGTAGCACGCCGCTTCTCCGAGTTTCTTCAGCTACGCAATGACTTGATTGAGTTTTTTGGCAAGACTGATAAGAAATGTCCGGGATGTCGTAACTATGAAAAAGTACTCAAGCTGTTTGAGTTTCCACGCAAGCACGTGTTTACAAGTGTCACGCCTGTTGTTATTAACTATCGGAAGAAAGCGCTACGGAGTTTTGTGGCTTTGCTAGCTTCACATACTTTTACTACAACACCAAAGTGTCCAACGTGCAGTGGTTTTCCATTTACGGGTGTACGTGACTGGTTGACAACGGATATGGTTGTAGGAGCTGGCACTGCAAGCACGATTGCTGGTGGATCGCCTACTGAGTCAATTCGCGATACGATGAACGTAAAGGATTTTATCAACTATCATCCCGTCACGAGCTCAATGCCAGTTGACCAGGAAGGCCGCTTTGTCGGCAGCACGGCCCTCAAATATGCATCTTCAGCTGTGAGCCCGACAAAGCAAACCGAGAACAAGTGGGTGGCTCGTAGTTCTCCACGTTCACAGGCCAAAGAACCGTTGACGCCGAAGGAAGACCCATTGAAATCTCAGCAGCGCTATACATCCAGCGATAGTGTTTCCTCGACTGGTTCTGCAAATGATTCGCTGTCTCCTCCTTCCGTCGATAAGTTTGTGATACCGCCACCAGCATCTGCAATGAAGGAAAAGGAGATGGAAGGAGAGGATGATGATGAAGAAGACTTTGAATCCTTTGCAGCTTGCTCTGCTGCGACTTCAAACGCATCACGGGATCCAAAGTATGTGGACCAGCCCGCTTGTGAACCTCCAGCTAGTGAGAATAGTGCTACTGGTGTCGAGAAATCGTTTGAAAAGAGGCACTTTAAGTTTGCGCGCAGCTCGATTGTGGCTGATAGCGAGGAATCGTGTGTTCAAACATGTGAGAGTAGCATGATTGATATCGACGGCTGTGATGACGATGAAGACGACGAAGGTCTGAACATGGATTTTATGAACTCAGTGTACGTAGCGCCCAACTAAAACTCCGCCACCGATGGGCATTCATAGAAAGCAGGTACCACCAATAGGTATGGAGTTGTAAGCACTCTGCAACATATAATAGACATTGCACAGCCTTCTTCATGGGAAGAATCGATCCATAGCAATTGCACATCGTATACGACCAGGAAGTATAGCACTGCTACCTCTGTGGTTTGTTTGCATGAAAGATGAAGTGAAACGTCCACGACAGCGTAGTTATACCATCTAGCACATAAAGAGCAAGTCACGTGTTGATTGTTTTTTTAAATATGGGTTATGAACACTATCGCTGCGATGTTATGACTTTGACCACGCGAAGTGTGAAGCAGCATGGTACGCTGTGGATGGTGAAAGAAATATAAAATGACGTTCATGCTTTCAACCCTCGAGAAAGACTTAGAAATCAGCATCTAGAGTAAACACCTGATCCTCAGCCGCAACACCTACGCCAGCTTTTGAGTATTCACCCACACGTTTCTCAAAAAAATTGGTCTTACCCTGGAGTGAGATCATATCCATCCAGTCAAACGGGTTCTTGGCATGGTAAATCTTAGATACACCAAGAGAGTAGAGCAAACGGTCGGCCACAAACTCAATGTACTGGCACATGAGTGCCGAGTTCATGCCAATGAGCTCCACAGGAAGCGAATCACGCACAAACTCGTGCTCAATTGTCACAGCATCTCGAATAATCTCGTGCACACGATTCTCTGGTAATTTATTGACTAGTTTCAAGTACATGAGGCAAGCAAAGTCTGTATGCATGCCTTCATCACGACTAATTAATTCGTTTGAGAAGCTAAGACCTGGCATGAGACCACGTTTTTTCAGCCAAAAGATAGAGCAAAATGAGCCGGAAAAGAAAATGCCTTCGACTGAAGCAAATGCTAGTAGACGCTCTGCATAGGAGGACACACGTGGATCGCACCACTTGAGTGCCCAATTTGCCTTCTTCTTTACACATGGAATCGTATCAATAGCACGCAGTAAATGATCTTTTTCCATGGCATTTTTAATATATGTATCAATAAGAAGTGAATAAACTTCCGAGTGAATGTTTTCAATGGCAATCTGGAAACCATAGAAACACCGAGCTTCTGGTACTTGCACTTCATTGCTAAAGTTCATGGCTAGATTCTCATTCACAATACCATCACTTGCTGCAAAGAAAGCAAGTACATGTTTAATAAAATAACGCTCATTGTCCGTAAGTTTCTCCCAGTCTTTAGTATCATGCACAAGATCCAGTTCCTCTGCTGTCCAGAAGGAAGCCTCTGCCTTTTTGTACATTTGCCATACATCATTTTCTTGAATAGGAAAAAGCACAAACCGATTGGGATTTGCTACAAGAAATGGCTCAGGTAATAGCTCACCACGCACTTCTTTACGTTTATATTCCGACATCTCAATCACTGGTTCTTCTTCATCCTCGACAGTGACAAGCTTGGGTGTAAATCCATTTACAGACTGTGGACTTAATTCTTGTTCTGGTTGTTTTAAGAATGTAGTTGCCGTAATGCTACATTCCAACGAGGTTGCAGCCATTCTATATGATGAATAATAGTAGGACAAAGAGGAAGAAGAAATAATTGTTATTGTAAATATTGGAGAAACGTCGCACTTGGTGGCTAATGCGACAAATTTAAAGTGATAAGCCAATCGACTGTGACGATTCCGCGCGCTTTTTTCCCACCATTGCGTATGAACCAATGAAAATCAAGTATTTCGGGTGGATGGCGCGCCATTTTGAAACCGAACATTCCGATAAACTTGTTACTGAAAAATCACATTAAGACCAACAACAAGAAGATTGCGTGATTTTTCATTCGTATCCATTTTTTAAAATGATGATCAGTCAAAGTGACACAAATTCTGATCAATCAAGTACCAAAAAATGATACCAAATACAAAACGCAATTGGGACTTGCAAACCCAAATTGGGTTTATTCCTCATCAGAGGAAGACCCAAAAAGCTCATTCTTCTCGGCTTGACGATTTTCCATGACGTCAGGAATTTCAACTCGAGAGTTTTCATCCTCCTTCGTCACTGCTTCCTTTGATGCCTCTTGCTCATTGTTATCGTCACTTGAATCCGATCCAAAAAGATGAGTGGGATCTTCCTTTTCATTCTCCACATTCGAATTCACACGAGCGCGTTTGCTCCGTTTCTCCACCAAGTTCTTCATGGTTGCGTTCCGATTCTTCATATCCTCAATGGACATACTGTGATCCCCGTCCTCGTCCAATTCCTCGTCCCTGTCATCAATAAAACCACCATCCTCATCCCCCGCTTTCTTACGTTTCTTGCCTCCTTTCTTCTTGACCACCTTCTTTTCTTCCTCCTCACGTTCACGTACACTCCAGCCTTCATGCAATTTCTTCAAACGCTCGTCCTGCTTGAGTCGAATATCATCGTGGCGTTTGCGCATATCATCCTCTTTCATACGCGTCTCTTCCTCTTCACGTGCCACGCGTTCCTCATACTCACGCAGAAGCTTGCGCTGAGCTTCAATCTCCAATCGACGTTTTTCCTCCTTCTGACGCTCAAACTCCAAATGATAGCTCGCCTTCGTCAATGTGTCGCTACAAAACTTCTCGTGGTCTGATACCTTCTCTTTATCAAACGGCAAATTGCTAACGTGTTTCTTCTTCTCGCTAACACTGGAATTATTTGTTGCTTCTGCTTGCTGAAGCAGAAAACGAAAAATGCGCTGAGCTCGCTTCAGATCCAAAATGGCGCGTTGAACATCAGCCATGGTACGATGTTGTGGTACGGCATTACCAGTAGCGGATCGCGTGGTAGTTTTTGTTTCCTGCCCTAACGTGGTCACGGCATAATCTTCCTGGGCAAGACCAGTGTTATACCATAGCCGAAGATCATTTGGAAACATGTGCAATCCACGAGACAGCGTGGCAATACAGCTCGAAAAATCTTTCCACTCGTAGTAAGCTTTAGCAAGATACAAAAGCACCTCAAGATCTTGTCCATGATAGCATTTTGTAAGACACACCGTGTAGAGCTGGATAGCCTCCTGGTAACGCTCTTCGGCGACAAAAATGTGCGCGAGATTGATCCAGGCATCTGGCATGTCTGGGCTAGCCTCACGCACCTGAGAGAAAATCTGTTTTGCAAGCTCAAAGTTACCCTTCTCGGCAATCATTATCCCCAACCCGTTCGCTGCGTAGATGTTGTGTGGATAGGATGCCAACGTCTTCTTGTAGTACACTTCGCTCAACGACATATTCTTAGTGTAACGATTCTTTTCTCCAAGGTTGCTCATAAAAATATTGCCCATCGATAAAAATGCGTACGGATCGTTCTTCAAACCAGGCATTCCCATGATCTTTTCATACTTCTTCTGAGCAAACACCCATTCGCGCTTCTTCAAATGAATGTTACCTTGCAGCAACGAGGCCTCGGCACAAGCCGGGTCGACCTCCAACACCTTGTCAAACATTTTAATCGCCTCAATCTCCTGGCCACGATCACGCAGCATGCAGCCCAGACGCAGCAAACAATCAGTGTATCCGGGGAAAACGTCAAGGATAGCATCATAAAGCCTCTTGGCATGGTCACGATCGCCCATCTCCTCGTACACCCGACCCATATTGTACAGAACAGTGATATTCGCCTCCGATGGTGTTGGAATTGAAATCTCCTTTGCCAGTGCATCAGTCTCGCCTGACTTGCTTTCTTCATTACCACTATCTCCCAATTGCATGAGCGCCTTCTGAAAGCATTTAATGGAGTCAGCAGTCTTGCCCACACGTTGCTGAAGCACGCCTAGATTCACGTACAATTCCATCGGCACACGTTCTGACGCATTATTCATCACCTTTTCCGCTGCAATGTACGAGGAGATTGCAATAATCTGGTCTTTCCGTTCCAAGGACGCGTGAAGTAGTTCAGCTGTGCCGATCAGAGCTTCCACGTTGCCTGGTTCGAGCTCGACGACACGACGAAGCAGAATAACAGCTTCATCCTTTTTGCCAAGCTTGCCATACACATCGCCAAGCAGCGACAGGATTTCCACGTTCTCAGGATATACTTTGTTGGCCTTTTCCAGATAAGATGCCGCCTTCGCAAATTCTTTGCGCTCGTAGTACATCTGTGCCAGACCGAACCACGGGAGAACGAATTTGGGCCAAAGTCGTCCAGCATTAAAGTAATAGCTGTACGCATCCTTATACTTGCCTTGTGCGTGGCAGCCACGGCCCATGAGGTAACAACTTTCCGATCGGATCTCAGGAATTTTCGTGCTGTGAAAAGCATTCCCTGCAAGAGTGAACATTTTGTCATAGTCTTTTCGTGCAATGTTCGTGCCTGTTGCGGACTCATCGCGGTACGGACCATCAAGTTTCAGTCCAGACGATGACACGGCATTTTCATCGCGGCTGATATAGGCAACGTACTTGTCACTAATGCAGATAATCTGACCTGGAAACACCTCGCTAGAAATATCCTTGGATGTACTCACAATATCCGATCCACGCACAACACTCACTGTACACGAAAGCGGAATCCACTGCGAGAAGTAGTGATTTGCCAGGTGGTTGAGTACCGTAGGGTTTGTCTTATCAATCGCGTGAGCGTGATGAATCATCATCATAAACCGCGAGCTCTCATCACGTATACTAACTGCACGTTCCTCACGACTCTGACTTGCCAGTTGCCACAATGCATTAGCAATCACGGCGTCCACATTGGTTTCATCCAGTGACGCCGTATAACGCATAACTCCACGAGCTTTCTCCACTGCTCCTAGATGGTAACAACAATAAGCAAAGCACATGCGCATATTAGCAGCTTGTGGACTGCGTGGATGTAGCTTGATCGCTTCCAAATACAGTTTTTTCGCGTCCTGGTACTGTTTCTTGCGATACAGTAGCAAAGCTTTACCCAAGATCGCTGGCAAGTTTGTTTTGTTTGAAATCAAGACACTCTTGATAAAACGATCAGCACGATCATCTTCATTCTTTGCCATAAACATGAGCGCTTTGCCCACTAATGTCATAGGATGTTGATGATCTAAACGATCAGCACGTTGAAAGTAGCCCACAGCACGTTGTGAAATCGTCTCTCGTTTCTTCTCATCTTCTTCATTCCACATGGCATTTACAGAATGACTTGCTAGAGCAATAAAGAACTTGATGCGACACATGCGTGATGCATTATCCTTATAGATTTCTTCAATCCCTGGTTCAGACGCGACCGCTAAGATCTCATGAAATTGACTAACATGTCCTTGATTATAATATTCCACCTAGATAGAGAGATATAGAGATATGTAGGAATTGTATAGGTTAATATGACAAAAACAAAAACGTAGAGAGGGAATTTTAGCTTGATAGTATCAAGAATGTCAAGTATCACGAGTTTATCACAGAAAAAACACATACCGCAAATTGTAACCAAACGTCCAGTGGTGCTACTTCAGCACGTAAAATATCAATAATATCATTCACATCATCTGGTAATTCATCTACAAATACTTCAACTGCTTGTTCCGAGTTCTTTACAGGAATTAACAATGCACGTTGATCACTAGATTCTTCTTCCTCAACAACATCGCCCATTGTAAAGTAGTCCCCCATGACGTAGGTAAACTACATGTGGACCACATGATTCCACCACCTTCCTTCCACATGCACTCATAACTAAAACCAGGCTTAATTAATTAATTAATTCGTCAGTCTCTCGTAAAACAATGCTCGTACGACTAAATGGATGGAACGAGATGGATGTCTTGGCACTCTTATCACTATTACGTAAACATTTATTATATTATATCTATACATCGAATAATGCATTTGCAGATGTTGTACATACCGAACTATCACGTACGTCATATACATTGATATGTAGTCCTTAACATCTAATACTACTAGGAAGACTACTACTACTACTTACTATTGTATGACAATTATCGATATTATGGAATAGATAAACCAGCATCTGAAATTAAAGAAATGGTTCGTTCTTTAATGCTTCAATTTGCACTTGGATTAAGTACCAAAAACTTTCGTACCGATGGTACGTCAGAGGGTTGATTGAGAGACGAGAGAGAAGACATGGAGTGAATTCTGATTCGGACTCTATGATTTCTGATTCTATGATTTGATCTAGTGATTCAATTCAATGGACAAGAAGTTTATGTCTATGAACATCTTTATGAATCAATTAGTGAATTGAGAGAGAACAAGATTGGTGGCATGTGGCTCCCGGATGAATTAAGTCGATTTTTACAGAAAGCGTGTCAATATCGTGATTTATTCCCAGCCCATTCTGAAATGTATTTTAGACGGATTCAAGTGTGGAGTAAGTATTTTTGTTTAGTTGGTGTGTAGATTGATAATCCTGTCGTGATGTGGTTTTGATTGAATCGATGGTATTGTTCATGGAATTAGGTAAATCAGTTGCAGAAACAAAGAGCAAATTCTATGCATTTCGAGACATTTACATTCGAGAGAAAAAACGTCGCCTATGTCGTACGTGTGTCGTCGTATCTTGGATTTGTATTATCTAGTTGTTATTTGGGTATCCGTCACAGTTTTGTACGTGGCTGATGATGGTATGGACGTGTTGTTTTCTTTTTCTGCCATAAAGAACGAAAGGGTGTGGAGCCAGCACGACTAGAGCTGTTGAAGAAGATTTTTGGTGGTATATCTCCTGCGCATCGAACGGAAAATGTAGCCGTATATAGCAAAGCTCTAAAGCTTTGGACATGCGAAGAGATGGAGACGCTCGTTGACTTTCTCGTACGGATCACTGCTCAGATTCAAAGGACTGGAAGCTCTGACCTCGTGGATCAAGTTGCTGAAACGCTACGTATGTGGTGTTGATGCATGTGATTACATTTTTTCGTTTGTTACGCTTTGCTTCTGACGTGAATGTTTTGATTACGCATATGGATCAGGCCGAACAGATGGGTCATGTGTGAATAAGTTGGCAGATATGAAGGAGAAGTTCATGAAGAAGTTGCCGACAGTTCGTGCAGCGAGTAAGTATCTTCTACGGTATGATAACAAACCTCGTCGCAATGTGAATAATATTTGAACAAACTGCAAAATTTCTTAGATTTGCCGGACACGATTTATGATCCAACGTCGGAAGCAAACAAGATCTTTAGCGCAGGTAAAGTGCTGCGTCTAGTTGTCTTGCAGTGTTCACGCACTAACCTCTTTGTACTTTGTCAAGACTGGAGTAACAACAATGACCCGTATGCTCTTGGCTATCTAGCGCTAAAATCACGGAGTACGTATGTGTGTGCCTTTGGATTCACTTTGTGACATTTAAGTGAAATATGTCTTAACAGGCCTTAAACTGACAGCTGCACGCAATAAAAAACGGCGGGGTTCCTGTCCTTGGACCCCACGACCTAACCTTCGATCATCAACGCTAGCAGCTCGTGGAACATCGAGCATCAAAGAAAATCCAACAAGTCCTATGAAGCAAGATGTTTCCGAATTGTCCAGACCCATTGTAAAAATCCAGGCTGCAGTGAGCGCTCCTCCTGTAAGTGAGCTTCACAACAAGGTGGCTGTAATGTCACGACCACCGTCTGTCCAAACGACGCCAGCAATTTCTTTGCCTGTGAACGACTATACGGCGTTTGTTCAAGATATTGCAAAACAGTGCCAATGGACGGAGGAAGCGGTGCACAATTTGCTTCACTGTATGCAGCACTCTTTTGGTTTGTACAGATCCAATAAATTGGTTGCTTTCTTCTACAAGGTTGCAAGCCTGACATCAGGTACGTGGATAAGACGATCCTTGCTGATTGAGATCAAAATGGCAGCATTCCTGGACCGTATTTTCTCTTATAAATATTTTGGTACTTTATGTTGTATACAGGCTTCACGTTTCAAGATCTTTTTCCAGGCGCTCAGTTTATTCTAACCCAGTTTGAGCGGCGTATGTTATGTCTATGATAGCATATTATATGCGATACGTTGTTAATCTCGATGTTGTTTTCTGTGCTCATGTAGGTTTTGGCTCGTTAGATGGCTTTGAACAGTTTGTTCTAACGGCACTGGATCAAGACTCATCCAGCATAGTCAAACAACAAGCAAACGACGGAGATGGTACACTTGACTGTGCTGCTACATCCGCTGCTATGAATCAGCGTAATGTGCAAGATGGCACACTTGACTGTGCTGTTACAAGCGTTGCTATGAAACAGCGTAATGGGCAAGATGGCACAGTTGAAAGTGCACCAAATACTGTTTCGACTGCAGTCTGTACGCAAAGTAATGTTACCAATGAAGAAACAACCGAATTGGGTTGCACTGAAGAAGCTGTTGGTGACGAAAATGAACGTGGTCTTGATCACACTCGAAGTACATCTCTAGCTCAACAAACTTTCCAGCCCGGAACTGACGATGCAAAAGTGAAAGAAGACGAGTGTAAACATGTAGATAAGGAATCTATTCCTCTTGAGTCACCGAGTCGGACACCTCAAACAGGTAATGAGGATGCTGCCGACGAGCACAGTTCGAGCACTGTTGGAAAGCAGTCTAGCCCAGGTTTGTTGATTTTGGCTGCGATGCATTCTTCATGATCGGCTTATCTAAAAATGTATTACGTTGTTGTTTAACAGAGGATACCTGGGACGAAGGAGTCGATGCTGATGTCGATATGGACGATGACGGTCTTGATGATCAATCGACCGATTCATTGGAAAATGCATGTACGTTGTGCTTTGGTTGCTCGTGGTGGTCATTCCACATACAGACATGAATCCTGTTTTCTTGCTTTATGCAGGGTCCGGCTCAAGCAATATTTTAAAATCGAAGGGTAGCCCTCACAATGCGAAGGACAGTTCATGTGTAGGCATTTCGTATTCGCCGTCAGGGCAATATGATTCTGACAGCTTAAAGAGACCGTCGAAACGAGGCAAAGACGAGCAATATGGGAAGAATTTTGTCAAAAAGCTTCGACAGAACGAAACGAGTTCCGCAGCGTGCGTAGAAGACGATCGAGATGATGAGGATGACGAAGAAGACGAAAGCTACGATGAAGCCGAGGATGATACTTACAAGGGTGAAGACGGTGGGCTATTGGTGAAAGTCAACAGTTTTGGCTCAGAAGGAGAACATGAGAAAACTCCTCACCCATTACAGAGCATGCTCAACAATTTGGAGTTGCAACATGCTGCACTCCAAGAAAAGCAACGCGTGCTCATTGAACGAAAAGAAGATCGCGAGTGGCGTCAACGGAGCTGCATTTGTATGTCGACTATACATACGCCATCATTTTCTTCTGAGAGGTAGTAACCGGGAACCGAGAAAATTGGCTGACTGTCGTGGAAGAGATTGTGCCGTTGGTCGATGGTATTTTGTCTTTGTCAGCTATGTTGCAATGGTGGAATGGGAATTGTTTGAATATTGTGAACGAGGTCTCATGGTGTCTAAGGCACATATGAGTATCAGAATATCTATTCTACACTTCATCATCATACACTTGGTGTTGTACTGCCCACTCGTTGCTCTTTAAACGGCCTACACGACGCCGGATTGACTCGATTAGCGTCAAACTATCACCCCCTTGCTCGTCGTGTCCGTTAAAATCGTTATTCAGCAGGCATAACTCTTCAATTGGAACACCGCTGCTATTGCACGGACTTGTTGCGTCATGGCGCTTGCCCGAGCTAGTGAGTCGTCGACGCTTCCGAGCCACTGTTTCTTCTTGTTCATTGAAGCTATTTCGTACGGAGGTGCCGGAGTAAGTAGGATTAGTGTCGCGAGTGTTTTCCAAGATGCCCGCTATCGTCGCAAGCCCGCTCAATGTGAGTAAGTTTCCACTCAGATCGACAAGCATGAATGGTTTCATCTGTGCCCGTTTAACAAGTGCACGAAGAAGTGCGGACGCACCGTCATCCCGCAACCGATTTGCTCCCATCGAGAGAGAGATGAGAGTGAGGTTGCTCTCCAGTGCTGTTAACAGACGAGCAGACACACCTGCTAGTCCGAGCCCAACGCTGTTCGCTTGTAGGTGAGTGATAGAGTCGTTAGTTGACAGAAAATCTGCAAGCACATCGCCAAAGGCAACGTCGCAAAAGTTTTGAGCGATATTCAAATGCTTGACGGTCTTGTTATGACCTAGTGCTAGCAGCAGACTGGTAACACCTTCGAGGCCAAAATTGCAGCAGCGAACGTCCAGATGAGTCAGCACTGCAGCCGGTCCAGCACCTGGAGACGCTAGCATTGGTGTCAGAGCGTGTATACCTGGGTCGCCGATCTGCACATTGTTTGTCAACTCAAGACGTTCTAGATTCAGTACACCATCCATACTTGCGCTACAGATCGCTCCTGCTGTTGTACATGACACATTGTTGTCACTGAGGCGGAGGTGGCGCAATGCCAGTGGTTTTCGTATCTTTGTCAGTCCAATGAACGCATCATCTTCTAACTCGTTGTGCTCCAAGAAGAGATTCTGTAGTTTTGAAGCACGAAATGCTGCATCGATGAGCAGCTTCGTGTCAAAATCCGCAATGGAGTTGCTCAGTCTCAATTGCACTAAGTGTGGCATCTCCGGCACTAGATTTGCCAGCTGCCGATAGCCTTCCGATCGAATTTTAACCGACACCAACTCCAGCGTCGTGATTCTGCTAGTGTCCAGTCTCTTTATCACCGTTGGTGTTGGCGTCACTAGCATGGTGCGAAGTTGAGCTATCTGGTCATTACTCAACTTGCCGTGAAAGAATCCTATCTCTTCTACATGCGGGTGATGCTGTATCAATCGTTCCATAGTTTCCCAGCAAGTGTTTTGCTGCTCTGGATGGTGCACTTCTAGTCTCCGGAGCTGTCGAAGGGCTAAAATGAGCTTCTCATTATCTTTACAGACCTCACGGCCGTGCACTTTGAGCACCTGCACAACGTCCAGAAAGAGTTCCTGACACTCTGACAGGACATCTACAAGTCCTTCGCGCTTCAGTGGCGTTCGAAGCTTAAGCAACGTGCGGAACTGGTGCTCCCAGAACACAAGTCGATAATTACGTCTGCGTCCCTGCGCTGCTGCCGTGTTCTCAATAGTAATAGCCTCATTGCTCAATTGGATCTCATTCATACGAAGTCTCCAGACATACTGCGTCTCACGATCAAACAGAAACTTGTCACCAGCCAGCGGATCAAAGCCATCGCGTGGTTCCGGTGCTTTCAGCTGGGCAGCTGCTTCCCATGCCATTTCCATCTCTCGCAGCCGGAGATTCGACAACTCACGAAAGAGATGACAACGAATGGCAATGGGCAAATACTCCACATAATAAAGAAGCTCTTGGACGGGCGTAAAGTGCGCCACAGCCACGACTGCAAGCTCAACCAGTGACTGCATCCTCTGAATAACGTGGAACGTCTTATTTTCAGATTTTAATTTGGTGGTTCAGGCGACGTCAGGGGCGACAACGTCACATGGCTACACTTTTGGATGGCTTCTATGCTGCTGCGCACTTGTGCCCACAATTGTCTGAGTTTGTCTAAACCTGCTTCGCCTTTAGCTAATGCATCCTTCACTTGTTGCGCCATTTCAAGACTCACTAGCTTGGACTGAGCGTTGTTGGACTGTAAGGAACGCTCAAATTGCTCCGATTTATTCGCTGCACACTTGATCACTTCGTCTGGAAGCTTGGCCAGCATGGCGACGTTGAGACCGTAGCTCTTTGGACACATACCGTCTTTTAACTTGTATAAGAACGTGACCTTGCGATCGTTCTCGGGATCAACGACGCAGCCCATGTGACCCAACGATACCTTTTCATTTCCGGCATACTCTTCAATGAGGGAGTGATAGTGCGTCGCGAACATGGTCCGACACTGAATCTTGCTCAATAAATGCTCAATAACCGAGTATGCGATAGCGGTGCCGTCAAACGTAGAGGTACCACGTCCCAACTCGTCCAGAATGACAAGCGAGTGGCTCGTTGCGTGGTTCAGAATCGTCGCAGTCTCAGCTAGCTCCACGTAAAGCGTACTTTGACCAGCAAGGATGCGATCAGACGCACCAATGCGAGTGAAAATACGATCCACGGGACTAAGACGACATTTTGCAGCAGGAACGAAGCTGCCAATCTGAGCCATGAGGGTTAAAACACAGGTTTGGCGCAGCAACGTTGACTTTCCGCCCATGTTCGGTCCACTGAGGAGGACCATGTGACCCTTTCCTTTAATACCTAAGCGCGCATCATTTGGAATGAAATCGCCGCTGTCGTAGGTTGCAGCAACACAAGGGTGTACACCGTCCTTGATATCAATGAAAGGAGTTCCTTCATTTGCCGCACTAGCCGCAACTACTTCAGGCTTGGTGTATCCTTCGCTCTGGCTGCTGAGTAATCCGAGGCTGACTAAGCAGTCCAACACTGCCAGACATTGCACCGCCTTCATCCAGTACTTGTAATTTTTATCAAACTTGTAAAATATGCGACGTGTCTGATCCTTTAGTGCCTCCTCCTTCTGGCTTTCCGCTGTCGCCAGACGTTTGAGCAGGTTGCGAATCGTTGGCGTGTGGAAGCGCTTGAATCCTTTTTTTGCGAGACTTGAGCTCGTATTCTTTCGGCTGCTTTGAAAGTGCACTCTCAGGAACCTCTAATTGGTAGCGATCCTCTTTTTTCTTGCCCCAGTAGGAAATCTCTCGACACCGGAGTGCAGTACGCTGCTTGTTTAAATACTCTGCTAATTCAGCTTCAACCTGAGCAATCTCAACACAAGCTGAATCGAACTCCAAGTCGACACCAGATTGAGGCACAATTACACCGCTCTTTTTTGCTGCAGATTGGTCAAAGCTGCGCTTGAAAAACTCGAGCTTCTTTGTGAGGTCGGGAAAGTGTCCACGTTGTGTACTTGAGTGGGCATCATCATCATCAATAGGACACCTTTTCAAGAGCGTCTGGAGAATAGGCGAGGACGATTGCAAAAGTCGTGGCCCCAACTCAACGGTAAGATTCATAGCCGCGTCGAATCCGTTTAGCACGGACAAGAAGTCTTTAATTTTGCGAACGTTGTATTGTTGTGACTCGTACATGATCGCACGACTGTCCGGGTGTTCCTCCGAGCGATGCACAGACCCAAGTGCGTGAATTCGAGACAACAAACGTTCCAGATCGGGCAATTGGCGAAGAAATTCGCGGATCTCCATCATTAAGTCGTTACGGTTAGCCAGTTCTTCAACAGCATCAAGTCGCTCTTGAATATCGCGTATCTTACACAAAGGCTTCAGTACCCATTCCTGGAACATGCGACGACCAAAGCTTGTCACAGTCTTGTCCATGATGTGAATAAGTGATCCCGCGCGCGAGCCGTCAAAGCTATTGGAAAGCACCTCCAAATTCTGGATGGTCTGCGAATCCAATACGACATATTGCTGGTTCAACTCGGCCTTAGCAGCGGCCATAGCTGAGTTACCTGTGCATGCATCTCGTGCTTCCTCGTCTGAAGGCATATACCTCTTAAAATTGCAGAGCGACAGCAGCTCTTGGTCAATGATACTTCGTCGAAGATGCCAGATGCAGCCGCCCAGAGCACTGATGGCAAGTTGACCCTCGGGCTTTACAACTTTGTCCATTTCAAGGAAGTATAGAACATCTTCTGGCCACCCATGTTCCTTAAAGTATCCTGCGCGCTCGATCTCGTCGATTGTTTTAGATGCATCCCAAAACTCCTTTCTCGCTCGCAATGGTGATCGGATTGCAGCAGGTGCGGCGTGCTTAAGGACCATCTTCGTATCATCTAAGATATTAGATCGCTCGGTCACGATTTCCACGATATGGAATTGAGCAAAAAGGGTCTTGAGACGGTCGCGCTGCTCCGTATCGTCAAACTCCGATAGCTGAAAGGCACCAGTATAGCAATCCACCATGCAAACACCAAAGCGCACAGTTTTCCGCGCAGGATCAAAAGATTCTTTGAGCGCGAGGAGGTACGTCGATATTTGGTCTTGAGATGAAATAGGGGCGTCTAGATAGCTGACGGTATTGGTACCCATGGACAGTAGCGAGCACACCTCACGGCGGACAACCTTTGCTTTCTTTGCAGAGGTGCTGTTTCGGACCTTCAGCATGTCCGGTGTTTCGGTTTGTTCAACTCGAGCTACGCGATAGCCCTTTGCAACTAACTGCGACGACATTTTTGCATATGCGATCTCTGGGAAGCCCGAGTGTGCTTTATCACCTTTCATGTAGATAAGGTTCAGCTCCTTGAAACCCACGTCAGCATCCATATGAAACAACTCATAGAACTTGCCAACCTTGAAAAACAGTACTGTATCCATATTATGCGCTTTCACTTCCCACCACTGGATCATGGCTGGAGTTTCTTTTTTCAAAAACTCTGGCGGCACGTGTAAAGTGCGTGGATCATAGTCAGGAGAGTCTGGCGCATTGCCATGAATGTCACGTCGTTCCTCGTGCAGCCAAGGTAGGGAATCATGGATATGGTTGCCAGCACCTGCAACGGAAGTCGACAAAGCCGAGCTATCAGCAATTTTCTTGCTGTCTGACGTCGGAACATCATGCCATTTAGTTTTGGCCGCAGGTGGAGGTGACAAGAAAGACTTTGTCGTCACTTTCTTCAATGTGCTTGTTGCAGGAGCACTCTTTCTTCGTTTCTTGGGTGGTAAAACCTCTTCATCTGACTCGTCACGTACAAGATTATCCATGCTATCATCATCATGGAATTCCTCATCAGCACCACTAAATTCCGATTCATCTCCATCTCCTTCCTCTCGACTCTGCTGCTCCATCCATTCATCATCACTACTCACAACATGATGCTTGATAATCTTTCGCTTTGAACGACAAGGAGGTAACACCACCGTCTCTTCATCATCACTATCATCATCATCTTTAATAATAATCTTCTGTCGTCGTATCGTCTTGTTTGTCTCTATACTTATCTTGATAGAATCATCTTCCTCTTCTGAACTCGTGCCTAGAAAATCCTCATAGTCCTTGCGTATATTGCTGCAACTCCGTGTCTTTTGCATACGCTTCCTTTCACAACTGTCACAATTGTTTTCCTTCTCATTTGGCATTGACTTCGGCTTTATTTTCGGTGAAAACTCGATTTTCTTGCACGTCGTGTCGAATGACTCGGGCTTGAACTGAATATTATCAGTGTCATTCTTGCCGCAAGTAGTCGACACTGTCTTCGTCTTTTCTGATGCTGATTCAGATCGTTGCAATGATGGAGGACTGAAGAAACGTAATAAAGAGCTCTGTGTCTTTTGCTTCATCGTCAATTAATTGATCTGTGTGTTCAAATGCACCGGAACTCCCGCCAAAAACAAAAAACTGATTTTTTCATTCTCAGATTGGCGGATTTTATCCATTTTGCAAGAGAATATTTAGATTTAGATTTCTGTTTGTAATCTAGTGATGGTCTAAATATCGAAAGTTAGAGATTTAGAAATAAAACGAGACGACGAGTGGACGCTATTATAGCGCACAATGCACGAGGAAGGATAATGTCTTTCTAGGATGATGATGATACACATGTGGATGCAACATAGTGCAATATGACAATGTTTTGCTCTACACCACGCTGTAACGTATGTGTCTTCTTTCCCCTTCGATTCATCTCATCGCTGCCAAAAGTTAGACCTGTATACCTGTAACGCAGCACGGCAAACAACAAAGACCGACCGAGGTTTATTTCCACCACAAAAGTGCTGGTAAGCGCAAACCTTGCTCGATTGACAATACATTGCATCAGTAGAGCCCATTTCTCGGCAAGGCTGTATTAAAAATACCAAAACCTCTCCACCACCCTGTTCATCTACAGTCGCTCGCTCCTTCATTCCTGACGGACCGTTCGTGTTTCAAACAAGTGATACGCCATGCGTATTAAGCAACACTTAGTTAGCCGGAACACCACCACCTGACTTAAGGCGCAATTGAGCCTGACGTTTGCGAGATACCTTGGTTGGCTTGACCTCTTCCACGGCCTTGGCAACGTTAGCACGCTTCTCCGTCAAAATCAGCTCAATATGGGCTGGATTAGACATGTATGGGCCAATGCGACCGTGAGCGCGGTACGTGCGACGGCGTTGCTTAATGGCGGCATTGGCCTGAGCGTGCGAGATGTACAGCAGGTCCGTGTCCAGGCCCTTGACTTCGGCGTTAGCTTCTGCGTTCTTTACCAGATCAAGAATAATCTTTGTAGCCTTTTGCGGCCACTTGCATTTATCACCAGCAGCACCACGAAGCTTGCCCTGAGCATGACGGCCACAGCCACCCGTAAACTTGGTAAAGGGCACAGCCTGCTTGTACTCGAGCACAGCCTGCAAAAAGCTCTTAGCCTTGTTCAAAGGCATACCCTTAATGGCGTGGCTAACTTCACGGCAGTGTTTAAAATGCACGCGAAAGTGGGAGCCACGAGCTTTCGCAGCGCGTTGTGCATCTTCAGGTTCCTGGCTGTAGGACGGCATGAGACTTGCTTTACGTTTGGGTTCTGAGTGGCAAAATGCCCGATAGGGAGTGAAATGACGAGTTTTTGATTGGTGGTGGGGAAGCGCTTGGTCAAATCTCGTATTTTGGAAATTTGGGTCCTACAAATGGGTACTTTAAAATGCCTCTTAACAAAACAACCTTAACATTCCACATGCTTTGAATTTACTATTTGCCGCTACAGAAGCGCATTTGAACGCTACAATGCCATTTTGCATATATATACATACATACATACATACATGTATTGATGATACAATATCAGCAACCTTTTTCTCTAGTATCAAACGCTTTGATAACCACTTCTATCGATGCCTTTCAACCACAGTGTACATCGATCCAGTTGCACTCTAAAACGACGCCTCCGAAGAGTCCGAGTCGCTAATGGCAGAGCTCTTGGCACCGACATTTTTCTTATTGTCGTCGTCGTCGTCCGCTTCTTCGTCCTCCTCTTTAACATCATCTTCTTCACTGTCAATACGCTCTTTTTCGTAAGACTTGCGCGACAACGCTCCACGACGCGATCGTCCACCCGAGATAATCAAGCTTGTGTCAATTCCCTCCAGCTCTTTCTCCTTTACGCGCTTTCTCCTCGCCGCGCTTATTTCGCGACTTGAAGGATACAAGCCGGCGAAACAAATATCGGCATCGTGCAATCGATCACGCAGAATCTTCTCTGCGTCCGCAGCTGACGCAGTATGTTTTAGCAATCTGTACACTTGTGGACTAAGAAGTTCCAGCAACAAGTTAGTTGACACAGAAATTGCAATACATCTTGCATCAAACACGTACTTGAGAACACCTGCTGCGCGGCCAAGTTCTTTCAACGAAGCAATACCTGCAGAATCTGGCTGCTGTGTTATCTTGGACTTTTTTGGCGGTGGCACGACACCTTTGCTCTTTCGCTTCTTCTTCTGGCTGCTATCGGTCTATCAGTACAGACAGAAGCACATAGTAGCAAAAAACGTAAGGACAGCACGGCAACACAAATGAATTGCCGACAAGAGGCAAGACCAATACCGCTTTTCGTTCCTCTTTGACAGGGGCAATGTCGTCGTCAGCATCATCCTCTTCATCGCCCGATTTTGAGCTATCTGCACTGCTTTCACTTGTCGCACTATCACCGACAACTTGGTGTCGATATGGATCTCCAACTCCATTGCGTTTCTTCGCACTGCGCTTCCTGCTCGGACGAAAATCAACTGCTTTGTCGTCCTCTTTGGTAGAAACTTGCGTATCCTCATTATCATTTCCACACATGGTTCCACCCGCACATAAATCCATCATGTCCGGCAAAAGCGCCTTAATTTGAGCTCTCCACTTTGCTTTCAAGTCTATAAAGTCCATACCGAAACGAACCGCGAGCTTCTCCATCACCATTTTCAGAGTCGCTGTGTCTGCGTTGATTGACGGGAGAATATCTCGCAGTGCATTTGCAATCGAGTCCACTGTAACCAGTGACTCGACTGATGCTCGTGGTGTTTCACTCAATGCCTCCATCATTTTGTCCACTTTGTCAAAATACTGGCAAATGAATGCGTTTGTCAAGCACGTTAAGTGAATAAATTTGTGAAATACGTAAGAGATAAATAAAACCGGTAAATATAGAGACAATTTTATGCAATTTAAGTGCGTAACCTGAATAAAGATCACTGTTTACAGACAAGACTGGCATTAGCAAATATTGATTGGCATGAATAATCAATCATCAGTGCGTGTCTTGCAAACGTTTGACTCATTATGAAAAAACCAAATGCAAAGATACAACGTCAAAACTCCAGCTTACATCTGCGCACTAGTTTTCGTGTCTCTCTCCTCACTCTCGGAATCAAGTTGCAATTGCCCACTCTTTCAAATCCTCCACGCACAAGCACATTTGCCTTCTCTTAGTCATCCTTGCCATCGTTGTCCGAGTCCGACGACGTGCCTTCATACTCCTCCTTGGCCGCATCATGGATACCCTTAGCCACTACGCCAACGAGTACGCGCACCAGCAGGATACCCCACCAAATATGCAAACAGTATAGCGTCGTGAGTAGGAGGTTGAAAAGCAGCCACGATGGCGGTCCTGGGTGTGGAAAGAGCTGCGTGAAATCATGTGCATCAGCCATTGTCATGGTAGCCTCGCGAGTTTCCACAATGGTTGCGTAGAGCAGCTTGGTCGGGTACTGGTAGACACGATAATAGAACCACAACACGATCGTAGTAACAAACAGGATCTCACTTGTGAACAGACCAGGGACGCCTTCCATTTTGAGGTAGTTGGCCATCTTCAGCATGTCGAGAGGGACGTCAGTCATATCATGAAGAAGCAACACAATCACACCCACGGGCAAAAAGCCCACTACGTATGACCAAGTGACCAGTGCAATTGTGACAACGTGGTGGGTCATCATGACCAGATAGTCCTTGCGAATCTCTTCCAAAAATTTGCAGGAAAATGCGGTAAAGATCCAAATGGCCTATCACAAGTGAATCAGCCATAGATACGTTCATTATACACTATATACTATAGAAACATTGGCAGCAAATACGTTATGCTCGACGTATCGTACCAATTGCGTGATGTAAAGCAGCTTGGTACTGAACTTATGCGTCGGGAATACGCCCGTATCGGTTCCCTGGTTCCACACTAAGTAAAAAAAAGGGTCAGAGCAAACAACAAGTCAAAAGGTGCCACCAGTAGTCAGTCAAAAGGTGTTCTCAGTCACATGTAGACAATCTCATCAAAATCCACACAAGTTCTTACGTGTCGTTGTGTCTTGCCACCACGTCTCATCACGTAGCACATGTAGCTCAAAGATCGTCATGGATACGTGAATAATGAGTTGCCACGACTGGTCACACCATTTCTTCATCGTCACCGTCTTCTTCAGTGGATCTCCAAGATGCTGCAAAAAGGTGCGGGAAAACCATCCACCCCCCATAGCAAACAAAGTCTTGGTGAGTTTCACGGCCAGTGCTACCACAAAGACCATGGACACGAGGATACAGAACATTTGTTTATCATCCCATAGAGTGTGCAAAATAACTCCCAGTTCACAGACAAGAAGACACACTAGAAGATTGTCTAGAAATGGATTAGGCCTTGGAATGGATCGCGCCATGTTTACTCTTTTTTTTCTCTTATAAAAAAAATGTACTTACTTGTAGATGCAGACGTGATTGATACCAGTTTCATTGTGGTTTTATGCAGTATTTAGAAACATACAATCTTTGTATGAAAATAAATTGTGCATTTGTGTTTTACATTACGTAATATTTCTAAATTGATACATTTTCAACCATACCGGTATTTTTACCCTTTAGAAACACAAACTTACTATAGCATAATGTAAGTAAGCTAGTAAACTAGCTTATATCACACATCAGGATGTTTTTGGCAGGTATTGATTGATTGACTCTGTAGTAAACACTTAGAATCAGGCAAAGCTTGACAATATTCAACTGATAATATAGTGAAGCTAGAACCAAATTGAAGTAAATTGTGGTTATCGTGAGCAGCGAGCTTCCAAAAACTCGAGGTCCTTCTCGCCAATGTTATCCAAGACACTCAAGCACGCACGACGATTCACTTCTCGAAAATGAGTGTCCAGCTCCACACGAAGCTTTTCTGTCTTTGCATTTGCTGCAAAACTTTTGCTCAGGCTGTCGTAGACGACCAAAATCAAGAACTGATTGAGAACGCACAACTTATACTGCCAAAACAGCTCATCTAGCGACAAATGCACAACACCCGCTTCTGTTACCAGTGCTTCGTGATACATCTTCAAGCACTCGTCTTCCTGTTCTCGACGATGACTCGCTCGTACACTGACAATGAAGAAAAATGCAAGATCACGCAGAGGATTACCCTGTCCGCACGTTGCCCAATCTAAGAGCCACGTCACTTCTTCAGCGCCATCCGTCGGTAGAAGCATATTAGCAATGTGAAAGTCGCCATGGATTAGTGAAGAAGGTCCACAATCGACCATTTCATGCACCACTTTGAGCTGGTCAGGTTTGTTGCTCAAACGTTGACACAATGTCGTTAATTGTGCTTTCTCGATGCTTTCCAACGGTATGTCATCGACGTAATCCTTCCAGCAACCTGGAAACTGCAGACGTTTCTCTTCACCAGATAGATGGCTACCTATTCCCGCTGGTGTTGCAAGCCCATCACAATCGTGACCCCAAAAGCGCGCATGCATCTGGGCTAGTTTTGTCACCAACATAGGAATATGGTGCGGTGGACTTCCATCTACACATGTAAATGACTTGACAGACTCGACGCATTCCAATACAATCAGTACATTCGACGTAAAAACTGCAGTCGGAATTGCAAATGGAAATTTCACGACCTCTGCCGAGTTTTTCACTGCTGTATCGCTTCCTTTTGTCGTACAGTTATTGTAAAACTTTGACTCGACCGTAAACATGGATTCAAATGGGAATTCAGGTCGTAGAAACTTCCCTACAAACCGTCGTACGATCTTCTTTGCATCACTGCAAGTGTTGTTAACTTCAAACTCCACTGCGATGATTACAACCTCTGCAATCACTCCAAGATTCATGGGTTGCCACTCAAAATCAACTACACGATGTGACGGAAAGGATGCATGCATTATTTGCTGCAAGAAAGCGGTTGTCATCTCGCCAGGCCGTGTAGGAACCTCTGATATCTTCACCATTCTCTACCTGACGTTTCTCACGTGACAGATCCTTTAATTGGTTCATTTTACTGAAAATCGAGGAAAAAAAAATTTCAACTTTCTTCAGTCTTTTCATGCAAATATTCGACATCGAACGTCGAACCGAAAAGTAGAGAATACCTTTGTGTCAACTTCAGTCTTAAGCTCTATTTGCATTTGACTAGCGGGAATTTTCGAGCTTGATATACTTGTTAACGTGTCCTAATTCTAAACATCATTCAAAACAAGTATATTGGCGTTATTGTATCAATTCGAAACATCATCGGAGGTGTCGACTACATGTAAACTACTTCGTGATGCCACACTGATCGATGAACGGATACGATCGCAACTTGCAAAAAAACATGAAAGCTTCCATTGACACTTCATCGATTGCGAGTTTGGAAGGCAAGTCAACACCCATATGAAATACAGATTTCAGAAACCATGACACAACACCCTTATTCACACCAAGCAAGGGGCTATATTCTAGCACCTACAATCTCCAATGTCATCACTGATGCTGCCGGGATTGACACGGTAACTAACAAGCCAGGCAGATCAAATTGTGACCTCTCGTACAGCGCACCCAATCCACTCGTCTCCGTCGTCCAAACCGTAACTGGCCCAGGTGCCAATTGGAAACCCGACAGGTCGAACGTAACTGCCGTAGTCGCTTCCTCCATGTTTACCGTTACCAATATCAGCACTTCGGATTCCTGGTGGTAGGCCATGACGGTATTTACATCATCCGTCGCGAGGATGGTCATACCGGGTCGAATGTGACGGGAGTATTGTGCCATCACAAAGTACTTCGTATTTGGTGATCCAATCGTACCTGCAACTCCGTCAGCCTCAATTAACCCCCAGTTACCACCGTCAAGTGCTTGCCAATACACAAACCCTGACACGCCCATCACGTTAATATCAAGCGCAATTGATTCAGCCAAAAGGATTCCAGATTTGTCCGCGTCTCCATATTCAGAGTCCCAAAATTTCTTTATGCCTAACGTTCCAACAAGATTTCTCAAAGGTTCTCGTTCTTTACCGCGGTATGGCTTTATCCCATCGTAGCCGTGCGTGTTTACTTTTCCTATAGCGTCAATCACCTTTGAATATTTTGACATAAGGGAAAGAGTCGATAACGCCAATTCAGGCGAATTTTCGTCGGAAGCAGAAATGACAACATTCTTCAGTTTGAAATCGTCCAGGTATTGACGCAGTTGAAGCAAAACAGTTTTTTGCGTTTCAATTTCAAAATGACAGCCCTCCTGCTGCTTTGGAAACACCCACCACGGACTCGACGGCTCATTAAACAGCTCTACTGACGCGACAAGATGACCCCACTCTTTCTTTGCCTGCTTCACTACAGTCGCCAAGTAGAAAGCAAAAGCGGCGTGGTTCCATTTCTGCAAATTATCCTTCATAGGTTCTTCTCCACCAGCAGTAGCATGATTTATCAACATCCACCATGGTGGAGAATTAGAAAAGAACTCAATAATATTAGCGTCGCGTTTGGCAGCCGAATTGAGCATCTTGCGCTGGTTTTTGTCGCAATCCCAGTCAAAACTGTCGCTTTTCGAGTCGTTACTCATCCAGTTCAACCAAAATGTTTCGATGAACTTGAACTCCACCATTTTTTCAGGAACTTTCATCGCAACTTCAGTGCCGGCATTATCGATCACTTTCTTGCTTGACCCACCAACGTTGTAGCGAACAATGTTGAGCCCTAGCGCCGGGAGCTTGGATACTTCACCTATCAGAGACACGCTATTTTCTAGCGTAAAGAGAACGTCAGCAATGTCATCACGTTCTCCGAAAGCGTTAGCCCACCAGCAAAGAGATGTGCCCCATCCATCCCAACTAAGGGTGAGAGACCTCATGGCATTAATTTTAACCGTGTATTGAGTGGGACTTTTGGGAGCAGATTCGACCGTAGTCGCAGTGACTTGCGAGGGAAAAGTCATTACTAGTGCACAAGCCAAGGCTGGCGCTGCAAATAAATGCATTGTAAGCATCAGTCTTCAGTCAATTCAATTTAAGTGTGGCGGAATTTCAAATGACGGCTGAGAAAGCAACATCACAAACGGAGAGAGGTATGGATCGTTTATATCCCACCATGAGATTGAGAGAAAAAAGGGGGGTATTTGCATAGACTGGACATTATGCTTGTTAAATCGTGAGTGCTGGACGTGCTCATTCTCGTGTCAATCATTACACATGCTGAGACACTTACGCAGACATTATTCGACTTGATAAATCGGTAACAGACTTGTATCTTGTAATTGTGTATTTATTGGATACTCAGTTCATGGAGAGGATGTAGTTATACAGGTAACACTGATGTGCTCGAGGAATGCAAGAGAACGATCAGTAAGTCACGTTTTTACTGCGATTTGCATTTTCGGAGCGTCAGAATGAGCAGTGTCTTTAATAATAAAACTACGCACAAGACGTCCGTCTATACAGCAATATCTGATCCAAAAAAAAACATTACTCTGATGTACGTAACGTACGACGCCACCTTTTTACCTCCAGCGACAATGTCACAACGAGTGTGGCAAATTGTATACTGCTTTTTTATACGATTGTGCTGTCTGTGGTAGTCTCTACGGCGGGAGTGTAGTCTTTGATATTCTACAGCGGCCCTCCGAACTTATATAGGCTGTTTTTATGGCACAACATTCCACTGAGGTTGAACCCGGTCGCCATACGATCCACCCTGTCCTTCTCTGTGCATTACGTCCAGCAGGGTGTGTGGCGTTAGTCTCTTTTCCGGTCGCGGACAGAAGCACGCCTTCCAATGGCTGATGGCCGGTCGGACAGTCAGACCAATGATTCACCGAGGCGTAGACCATGTAGACGATGAGGGGCGAGCATGTAATGGCCGGATCAACGTCATTCCCCGGGGTTTCGCGAAAACCTTATCCCATGAAGAACCGTTGCGTAGTTGAAGACACAGGAACATGTCTTGCGCCTCGCCTTTGGTATACCACCATGATCCAGCACGGAATAATTTTGCATTATTGACGATTAGAAGCAGTCGCCGAGAGCTGGTGGGGAAGGGTGGCCTATGTCAATCCTCTACCTGCAGGATTTCGTCCATTTGCGAGCGGGAAAGGATCATTTATGAGCGAGTGTTCAGCAGCCGTTCTGAGACACATTCTCGTGGGCGGACAACCCATAAATCTTGGGTCCAACTGCGGCCGCGTCATTACAACCGGTTGCCGATGCTCATAAGCGCTTTTGACATTAGACGAACGTGTTCCCCACGCCACTCATCTTCCAAGTTGAGCGACTGCACGACTGCTGGTATTCTAGGCTGTGGCGTCTTTTGCCGCAGCTGAGCCCCCACGCTTTGGCAGCCTCCGCTATGTACGCAAGCTTTGTCTGTGACAGGTCACCAACCCGAGGCCTCGTCCTATAAGGATAGTAGCCGAGTACAACAGCTTTTTGCAGCAATTGATATGGTTCAGCTACACAAAATACAGGTAGTAAGAGCAAGTAGCAAGTAGTGCAACACCTATTTGAGGAAGAGACGTTTAAAGAAGCATATATTACCGAGAAAGAGGCTTACAGAACAACAGATATGTTTTTCATTTAGTTTGGCACTCATATCCCTGTAGGTGACCACAAAACCGTCGAGTTGCTCCCAGCACTAGCTAGAAGATGACGCTTTGGGTTCCACTGCAAGTCCACAACCGGACCATTGTGTCCTTGAGGAAGCGTATGGACGAATTGTCCACTGGAGCTCTTATAGAAATACACGCGACCATCCTCCGATCCCGTAATTACATATGCACCATCTGCGGAGTAGCAACAGCCAAGCTGAGGATCATTGTGTTGACGCTGGGTGGTCCCATGCTCCTTGAAAAGATGCAACAGTCGGCCCTCAAATGCATCTAGGTGAATAAACACGCCGCGATTCGTCGTAACAAGCAACTGATTCCCATCAGGACTGAATTTGAGGTCGAGTGCATGAAGCTTTTTTGTGTTCAGGTTTAGAGCCTGTATTTGGGCAAGGTATGGCTCCACAACCGCAAGAACTGATGCATCGTAGAGAGAAAACTTGGCAAATGGCCCTTCCTGATAATTTCTTGCATCATACATGCGGATCAAGTGGTCGTCCGTGTAGACACCGAATACCACACCCTCTTGATCATAGGCAGCGCAAACGTGCGAGACTGGCAAGTGGTCAGTTCGAACAATAGCCTACCATACATTAACAAAGTACCAGCAATTACTTTGATACCATTTTCATCAAATGCACATTTTCGACGCACCATAGTATCCGAATTGCGAATATCCCATAAACGAATCGTGCCGTCCAATCCAGCAGAGATGAACTGATCCGCAGTGGGGTGCATCATGAGTGACGTGACTCTATCATTATGCCATCACAAGCTTAGTATCGTTTTTCATTAGAATCTTGTATCACAAGACAACAACATTACGTTTCCGTGTGACCAGTATAGTAGCGAAGAAACTTGTTGTCAAAGAACGAATGATATCGTATGCGATCTGTCCAGAGAAAACGCACCAATAATAACAATACGTCATCCATCACTCTACTCATTGGTACAAGCCCAGAGCAAAATGAACGTACGATCATTCGAACTATTAGCTGAGGAGAAGATCACGCAATCTAAGTGGTGTGTAAACCGGACAATACCGACACCATATCGTTTAGTCAAAATCGTCTTGGCGACTCTAGCAAGCACAACAGTCACAGATTCGCCTTAATCTTCAAGAATAGGGGTCATCCAAGAAGGAAGAGACAGAAAAACCTACGTGCCACTTAGACAATTAATCATGGACATGACTCCGTCGGTGCGGCTTGTGACACAACGTTCACCATTGCGGTGAAAATCCAGAGACGTGATCTGTAGATTTGATACTGCTTCATCTTCCTGCATCGTCGATTATAGCAAGATCACGACGTTAAAAGACACGAGGATTCATCACATATTTGTATCTACACTTGTATCATACCGGCGGTGAAAAGTTACGTGCAACACTGTAGGAACACACGATCGAATCGACGAGCTCTGTGCCTTCTACCATAATTATTGGTGATACGGTCAAAAAATATTCCGGATAGTTGTTTCTATGCAGTACGATGGGTTTGTGTGGATTGGTCTAAACATTTCAGTACATCCCTTTCACTTGTCCACGTCATTAGTGCATTCTTATGTCAGGCGGCCACTTGTCAAAGGAGTTCTTTGAGCTCGTCAAATCAATTGGTGAGAGTAAATCAAAGCAAGAAGAAGATCGTATTATTCTTCATGAAGTAGCACAGCTAAAGCGAAAATTAAGTGATGTAACGGCCTCTTCTAGCACATCCAGTAGTCTCGTAAACAAACGTAAGCGCGAATTTCTCATTCGTCTCATGTACGTCGAGATGTTAGGACATGATGCATCTTTTGGCTATATTAAGGCTGTAGAGATGACAGCTAGTACGAATCTGATGCAGAAACGCGTAGGGTATCTTACCTGTAGTTTATGTCTATCTCCGACGCACGAATTCCGCTTTATGATTATTAATCAGCTGCAGAGAGATCTACAAAGTTCCAATCATCTTGAAGTTTGTGCTGCTTTAATGGCAGTATGTAAACTAGTGACTGTGGAAATGGTACCGGCAGTTCAGCCTATGATCCTTGATTTGTTACGGCACGACGCTGAGCTCGTTCGCAAGAAAGCGGTAATGGCTATTCACCGCTTTCACCAACTGAATCCAGACTCGGTCACGGAGGTGGGAGATGCATTACGTCGTACACTGTGTGATCGCGATCCTAGTGTCATGGGAACAACGCTCTGTATTCTCCACGATCTTGCGGTGGCTACTCCCACAAATTACAAGGACCTCGTACCTAGTTTTGTTAGTATCCTCAAGCAGATTACGGAGCACCGTTTACCTCGTGAGTTTGATTACCACCGTATTCCAGCACCATGGATCCAGATCCGTCTCTTGAAGATTTTGGCACTGCTGGGTCAAGCTGACCAGCAAACCAGTGAGGGCATGTACGAGGTGCTGCACGATGTCATGCGTCGTGCTGATACGGGCATTAATGTGGGATATGCTATTATCTACGAGTGTGTGCAGACTGTCACAACGATCTACCCGAATAGTACGCTGCTAGATGCTGCAGCTGCAAGCATTTCTCGTTTTATTTCGAGCGACAATCACAATCTAAAATACTTAGGTGTCACGGGACTTGCTGCTATCGTAAAGGACCACCCGCGTTACGCTGCAGCGCACCAAATGGCTGTTATTGACTGCCTTGAGGATCCAGATGAAACACTAAAGCGGAAGACGCTGGATTTGCTGTATCGCATGACAAATCCCGTGAACGTCGAGTTCATTTCGGACAAGCTCACCCAGTTTCTTCGTGAAGCTTCAGATGTTTTTCTCCGTACGGAACTGGTCTCGCGCATTACGCAATGTGCTGAACGCTATGCACCCAGCAACGCTTGGTACATTCAGACCATGACGAATGTATTTGAGTTGGGTGGCGACCTTGTTCGGCCTGAGGTGGCACACAACTTGCTGCGTTTGATTGCTGAGGGGAGCGGTGAAGATGAAGATCAGGACATGGAACTGCGTCGTGATGCGGTGGACACTTACCTTGAACTGCTGGAACGCCCAGTGCTGCCCGATATTTTGGTCTGTACCATGGCTTGGGTCCTTGGCGAGTACGGGTATCTGTCTGACGCTATGGAGCTTGAGGAGATCTGTGAGCGCCTTGTGGAGCTTGTTGATCGCCCTTTTGAGCAGGAAGACACTACGCGTGGCTACGTACTCTCGGCTGTCACGAAGATAACGGCTCAAATGGGACACACCATTGATGTGGCTGACGCAATGATGAACAAGTACAAGACTAGCCGCAGTACGGATCTTCAGCAGCGCTGCTTTGAGTACCTTGCACTAACTAAGAACTTTTCTCTAATGAACGAGGTCTTCCCGGAAGACGCAAGCTGCGAAGACATTGAGGTCGATTCTAACCTTTCCTTTCTCACGAGCTTTGTCGAGAAGGCTGTTGCTCAGGGAGCACCCCTCTACGATCCACCTGAGGACTCAGATGATGAGGATGAAGGATACGGTAATCGCCGCAATGGCGGTGACTCGAACCGCCTCAATTTTGAGGCGTACAAGAAGCCTGAAATTCCTTACCCGACTAAACTTCCTCCTGTGGACCCGCAAGGTGCATTTGGAATGAACAAGTGGGGTAATGGTCAGGGCGGTATGCCCGGATTGGGCAATTCTGGCGGCCCAGATACGATTGGAGGTATTGGTGTTGGAAAGCGTGGAGCAGTCAAGAACGTATGGGGTCCAACTGGCCTTAGCACGCCTGACAACACCGCGCCCGCAGCAGCACCTGGAGTTGGTGGCCCTGGAGGTGGTTACCCACCCGACATGTACAACCAGGGCGGTCAGGCTGCCTATGGCGGACAAGTCGGACAAGCTAGTTACGGTGCGCAGCCTGTCTATGGCGGCCAAGGATTATACGGAGCTCAGCCTCTCCAGCAAGCGCCGCAGCAAGATTACAGTGGCTCTAATAATTACGATATCGGTGAGCCTTCAAGTGAGGACGAAGCCATAGGCAATGTTGACGAGCGTCAGATTTTGGCTTCGGCCATCTTTGGCGGCATCCCGGGTGCTCCCGCCCTGCTGCCAGGGGCCCGACGTATTGGATCAAATGCTCGTCCAGCTCCCCGCCGTACTGGTCGTTCTTCAACGCGTCGCACAACGAGCCGAGGCGACCAGCAGCAGCCTCCTCCTCCTCCAGTACAAGCCCCAATGGAACAAGCTCCGCCTCCGCCACCGCAAGGTCCAAAAGTTGAAATGGACCTGCTCGACATTTCGTTCGATGTGCCAGCAGCCCCGCAGAATACAAGTATGTTCCAGCAGCCGTCGCTACAACAACCGTCGCTACAACAACCGTCGCTACAACAGCCGCCGCTACAACATCAGCTACCACCACTACAACATCAACAGCAGCCACCACTACAACAACACCAGCAGCAGCCACCACTACAATATCAGCAGCAGCCGGTGGCGAATGCAGATCCGTTTGGAATGGGCTCGATGCTTGCGTCAGCGCATATCTCTGAAGCTAGTACCCCAGCCCCTTCTTTGGATCCCTTCGACATGTCGGGACTCGGCTCGAGCATGAATGGTAAGTGCATTATAATTGCGTCATGGGGTGTGATGTTTATTGATAGTTACAATGTTCTGTTTGCACAAGAAGCTGCTGTTGAGCTTGGCAAAAGCCCTGCGAACAGCTTGGATATGTTGGGAAGTAGCAGCAGCAGCAACAAGGGCGTTTTCCAGTACAACGGGCGGCAGCTCGAGCCGTGGCAGATCACTACACAGGACTTTGGTGGTCGTTGGGGCACTTGTCCGTGTGAGAAGAAGATAAAGGTGGACCCGAGCAGTGTTCGCACGCTTGAAGATTTCATGGGTCGAATGCACATGTTTAAGGTGCACACCGTCGAAGCCATTCCAACGAGTACGTTGCTGTGCAGTTGATGTAAGTGCATTGCATTGTGTATACAGAGCTCTAAAGTTATGCTTGTTGCTATGTGCTTTCACTCCTATATCTAGCCAATGAAGCCATTGCAGCTTGCCGTTTAGTTAACTCGGAACATGTAGGATTGATTCACGTCAAGGTTCGCAGTGGCGGGTTTGTGGACCTGACGGTTCGTACAGCTGACATGGAGTTTACAAACCAGCTCCTTAATGCAACGGCAGAGCGACTTAAATAGGGAGATCTGATACTGTAAACGGCAGGTGTTTCATGTGAAAAATCATGGTCTAATGAATGCTCACTCCATCGCTTGGTTTTGGATGATTGGTCGGTCGGTCCTATATATAGTGCTGCTGTGTTTTTGTTCAGCCATAGCCGAGGATTAACAACAGGTGGAAGTAACATAGAGCAGGGATGGAAAGGCCAGTGCCGATATGAATACCTTCTCAAGCATTCAGCACTTGCTACTCAATCAGTTTTTCATACCAGGTGATGGCGGTCATCTCCACTTGTTGCCAAGCAAAACAAATACTTGCGCTATGATCCTCATCACGTCTCACATTCTCTACAGCATTACAAGTCTTGTAATCTTCTTGCCATACACAGATCCTCACGCCCAAACGTTAGCAGCAACGGTGCAGTTTGAGCAAAAGCCAGTTCAGTTTTAGGAGCATTCAACTGGTTCAACATCCATGGCTTGTGTATTCCCCAGCACTCGCATTAATCCGCAAGAAACAGGGCAGCGCTCTGGAGAGCCATCAACTGAGAGACAACAGTATCACGCGACACTGAAACCTAGGCTGGTGCCATTAGTTGTAGCGTCTGTAGAAGTGTCTAGGTCACCACCACAAGACTGCCATTCCTCCTACTGTGATCCTCAGTCTTCTCCTCTAAACACCGACGGTCAGCCTCAGCTACACGTTTTTCGTAACATTATTGCAAAGACACTTGACGTTGGCATGTCCGGTACAATGAAATCCCGAGTGCGGGCCGTGAGCTCGGATAACACCAAGCCAACCATCGTGGTGAACCTGCCGGGCGTCCGCTTAGCTGTCCTGACAAGCGCCTATGATTCATTGCTACATCTGGACGTTACTCTCAGCTCGGCCGCGTCGGTGTTGCTCGCTACTTATATCGTTTGTGTGCTAGCATGGAGCGCCCTCTCGTTTGTTCTTGCGCTGCTTGCAAAGACGGCAGTGTTTGTACTCATCACCTTTTACACGTTCACGGGACTTGCCATATTTTCTATGAATGCAATGGGGATGTCTAGTAATGCAATCTCATATCATCACATTCCAGGGCTAGCAAAGAATCGTTTCGTTGTCACTCCGACGCTTCCCCTGCTTTCCGTGAACAGCGTCATCAGCTCATTCAAGTCGTCTACCCATGCCAGCAAGAACAAGACCGATGATGCCAGTGCTTCCAAGAGAAAGAAGCTCCAGGCTCCGGGTCAACGCCGCGTGCTGGCACACTTGAACAAGAATCGTATTCTGGTCAATGTCGTGCCGAGCGATATGCGTCGCCGCGTGGATATAAATCTGGGTAACGCGAACATCCGTGTTGGCAAGGCGTTTGTTCAGACGGTGCCTGGCAAGCGCAAGCCACGCGACATTTACGTCGTTCGTGTAGACTGCGGTGCTCAATCAAGTACGCAGGAAAAGCACATGAATCCCGTGATCATGTGGGACATTACTGCTTCATTTGACGAATTTAAGCAACTCGAACGTGACTTGAGTAAGGAGGTCAAGGCCAAGAAGAAGCTGTGTGGAGTTAAAGTGCCTCACTTGTCAAGCGGTGCGGTGCTTTTCGTGCAGCCTGAGCTTACAAACCACGTACTGAACGCCCGTCGAGCGCGTCTACAGACGTTCATTGATAGTGTACGCTCTGACCCAGTGCTTTCCACTATGGGTTGTTTGCGCAAATTCTGCCAAGCCTATTAAGTGGTCCATCCTGCAGCGTGCGAACTCCGACCGAAGGAGGTGATGTCAAACAGGAAAAAATGAAGAATGGAAGCTCAGCCCGCAAATGGAGAATGAATTCATTGGCGGTGAAGATCGAAGGAGAGAGAAAGTGAGACTGTAGCTTCAATTGTATGGGGTGAGTGTATTATGCATAGGGACATTGTCGGTTGTTGCTGGGCCGCTCAGTGGATGACGGCTATATTCCAATGACCGAGGGTGTCCATCTGTTAAAATTATGAATACGATTCGATCAAGCGCAGTAGCGACTCTGTTGTCAGGGACGCTGTGGTATTACAGACGGAGGTAATACAAACATATTCAGGTCTGAACTCGATGAAGACTTCCTCGTGTTTACGTCTTGTGTCTATGAATATGCTCTGATGAATACCTCCAGTCAGCAGCGCTCTTGCAGAGATCTCTTGAGCAACTTAACCATGCTGATGGTCGCAATAACGTCTCGGTCCTAGTGTAACATGTGCCTGAAAGTCTTTCCTACTCTTCTTCTCGATATCTAACCATATGTTGTCGAGTATACTAGCAATAAGTAAGGTTCAAGAATGTTTCGCAAGCTCCATCATCGAACTTCAACATACATCATTTCGTATTACTTCAACATGAATTGTTATTTAGCTGACGTTCAGTATATAAAGCACTGAAGCAAAAAAGAAACACGGCATGCTTAACGTTTGTTTACATATGACGAGCAAACGAGTGATGTATTCAACACAATTGTTGGTTTTATGAACAAAAAGCAGTTTTTGCCTGCAAACATTCCTCTTTTGTACAACATTCTTCTAACAAACGCTCTGATTGGTAAAAAAAAGTCACAGACAAGACATTCTGTAATAATCAGTCAAGTGAACAAGTACGGTCTAGCTCGTCTACTGACTGGGTCAGTCACTTGCAGCTGATCGATCACATAGCAGCACAGTTTTTTTCTCTCACAAGAAGCTCAATTACTTGATTCAATATCAATCGAGATGCAGACAAGAAATGCAATACAAAATTGGGATTATACAAGAAGAATGATAGTATTGATGATAGTTACAATGGGATTAGATCATTTAAAGACAGTGACAGCATTGGAGACAACAATTACTAATGAAGAACCACTAAGAAATGCAATTGAACGTACTAATGAGAGAAGACGTATTGTCTTGCGAGGTCTCATGCCTATACTAGACAGCACGTATTCAAACTCTGGCGACTATGAGTATCATTGTATGTTATAACTCATTGTAATTACTTTACATTCATCATAAGTCTCTATTACTGAAATTGAAAGTGGCAATGGACAGACGGAAGTTATCAAGGTGATAAAAATGACAAGAACTCAGACAACAGCAATAGATCGAACATAATGATCTTTGTGGCCAGTATTGGCGTCGGAATAGTCCTGATCACTGCATGCTTGATGTGGAAAGCTTGCGTAGTGTGGTTGGGCACGAGATCGAACAAACGGTCACGTCATCGAGCTTTTATCAAGAGACCGTACGTCGCTTATCCTTACACACTCACTCGAGAAGCATTTGAATGTGTTTTGATCAATCGGTTTCGGTGCTATGGAGTATAGAAAGAATGGATGGAAATGCGCGATATGCTATCACACCAACGAAGTTTTGCAGACTGTTTGTGTGCTCTGCAGTACTCCAGTTGAAGGTTTGATCGACAAACCACGACATAAATACGTATGTCTTGAGCTTATACGCAATCTTTTGCCTCCTGTGTCGCAGATACCAATATGCTTTGTGACCAAAGAGATAGCAAAGACACATCGATAGCAATCGCTCTAGAAGAGGAAACTACGACGCAAGTGACTTCCAGCTACCAACTTATGTCTTCTCCTCGCTCTGAGCGGTGTAGTGAACTAAAGTCATTTTCCAGTAAAAGCTTGACCGACCGCCAATTAGTTGCGCGCCAGCGCCATCAATGGAAGCGCTCTATTGGGGCAAAGCACGTGCGCTGGGTAAGCCGACTTTTTGTAGGCGCTTGGGTACATCTTTTCAGCATAAGGTAGCTGCTTGCTCACTATATGCGTCACAGGTAAACGTCCCGTTTGATGCGCTTGTGCAGAACGCTGCTTTGCGCAGCACCATTATAAGGGAACGCGATGTCCGCGAATGGCAAAAACGGCATCTTTCTTTGCTTGCTCCTCGAACTGCATTCGTGCGCAATGACGTACACTCTGGAAGGCGAGCAGTGCACGCGTGTTTGGCCGAGGAATTATCCATTCCGTCCCGTAAATACTGGAAAACGCTTATGGTAGGTGGACTCATGATAGTTATGCTGAGATTGTTCCGATGTATTCTCACCATCATGGATGAACCTCTGTCATTTTAGCGCGTTGCGACGTTGACATTTTCGGAAAAAGCGCAGTGGTTTTATCAGTACTCAGTCAAGCTGTCTTTTTCGATTATGGATGGATATCACACGATTCGTATGTTCTCTCTTGGCACAATACGTGTCACCATGCACTGCTACTAATAATTGTTCATATTTGCAGAAATTCACCGCAACAGGGTGTTGAATCAATCCATGTCGTTTTTTTTGGCGGCCCCTAGCGCTACTCTACGTCGTCGACTCCGGGTTAACTTTATCGAGGAAGTCGGTATTGACGGTGGGGGAATTTTGCGTGAATGGTTACATCTAGTTTGTACCCAAATGTTTTCAGAAGCTCTAGGATTGTTTTCACATACCAGCTCAACAGCTCACCAAGGGTACTGGATTAATCGAACCACTATGAAAAAGTCTACTAAGCAGTTGCAGGTACGAATGCTGCTATGTTTTTTTCTATATTGCTGCAGCTATAACCCAACGATATTGCGCTCTCCGTGACAGATGTATGTCTTCTTTGGAAAGCTGCTGGGAAAAGCTTTGCTGGAAGGTCTACTTTTGAACGTTCGACTTTCAATTCCGTTGCTAAAGCATATTCTTGGCACTCCGCTTGAGTTATCCGACTTGTATCTGCTCGATGAAACGGTGTATTCCAGTATGATGTGGATTTTGGAAAATGATAACACCAACACTTTGGGTTTGAACTTTATAGTAGAAGGTGCAGAGCTTATTCCAAATGGCGCGAATGTTTCTCTTCACGATGGAAATAAAGAACTTTACGTTGCAAAGGTAGTGCAGTACTATCTCTTTGACAGTGTTCGAGCAGAAATTTCTAGTATCTTAGAAGGTATTCGAAGTGTTATCAGCGATACGGTCCTTCACGTCTTTGACTTTAAAGAGCTCGATCTGTTGCTCTCTGGCCTACCGCATATTGATATCAAAGACTGGAGGATGCACACGGACGTTCGGCTTTACGAGCAAACGAACCACGAGTTTGATTTGATCGGTTGGTTTTGGGAGATTTTGGAGTCCTATACACAAGATCAGCGTGGGCGATTGTTACAGTATGTTACTGGATCTAGCGGTGTACCCGTGGAGGGTTTTAAGGTCTGCTTCTTCATGTATACACAAATTAGCCAAGTATGGGTGAAATCATTGCTTTTACATAGTGTATCATATGATACAGGGCTTGACTGGTATGGATGGCGAGATTAAGCGTTTTACAATCCAGCTAGGAAAAGATATTTCGACCGTGTATACGGTACTACCGCATGCAAGCACCTGCTTGAACAGGCGAGTGTTGGCATTCGTTAACGAAGCTTTAAACGACAAGTTGTTAACCTGCTTCCGTTCTTTGTGCAGACTAGACTTACCTCTCTATTCTTCTAAAGTTGAGCTTGAGCGAATGTTGTCAATGGTACGTGTTGTTTTCTTCCGAATTTTCATTGCAAATGATTGAGTGAACATGATTTGGCATCGTCGTTGTCTTTATAGGTAATAGAAATGGACATCACGGGGTTTAGTCTTCGCTGAGATCTGTCAGCAAAATTACAAGTTCACGACTGGCGCCGTAGTAACTTCGTACCCATCAGTCTTCATTCCAGGCAAGAAGATCCTGAGCACTCCAAGGATACGTCGTATCCTTAGTTTACGACTTGTAGTACCGCATAATTCTGATGTTGCGCCAACTTGCACCGTGATGCGGTAATTTGTAGATTGTCGTCAAGAGGCTTGAAGGTACCACCTCTTTTCGTCTCACATGTACTGTCCAATGGAACGGCGCAAACCGTGGTTGGTTCATGCAGTTGCAATTTGTTCTGTTTCCGAGGAGACGTGACCAGTCCTTTCATGTGCTTGTTATCTAGGCTATCGTTCTAGAGCACGCACTAATGTCCATTCCTCGAGTAAAAAATAATGAAATATACGTAAACACGACTATGAACCGGCTTTATTACGTATCTTATCTCCAGCATACACATACAAAATAGTGAGGCAAAGATATAACACGTTCACTAGATCGATAAGAAGTAACTTGCAAGTCTTTTTTCTGGGCAAGTAGATCCCTGGCTCAGGCTGTAAACAATCGTGTTTACCGTACTTTTCATAGCCTTGCTCAAAGATCACGGCTACCATAGAATACATGATATCGAATAACCTGAACGAATATGCCAGGTTTTTTTCATCTGATCAGAGAATTCACAAAGCTGCAGTCATTTAAAGGCAAAAACACCAAAAGCCATTAAATAAAGCGCTATTGATGTGGTACACATATGGATTATGTAGAAAACATCACACTATTATCTAAGCAAGACCTACGATGACGGAGGTAAAGACGGCATCAGGGACCAACGGCACGGCACCGGCTGCAGCCCATAGCAACGGTCGTAGTCGTGACACAAAACATGAAGATACAAGAAGACGACGTGTAGCACCTGGTGCTAATGCCACACCAGAAGAACGTGCACGCTACGAGTTAGAACGCAAGAAAGTCGCCAAGTATAAAGAGGACAAACTGAAGGCACGCCGAGATCATACACGTATGATCTTGGAAAGCCATGCACAGGCAAAACGCCGTGCTCTTTTAGGCAAACAGTCGGAGTTTCTTGCCAATCTTGAGTTTCGTAATACGCTGCCTGATATTCCCTTTGATACCAAGTTTGTGAAATATCCGCATGAACCAGAACGGTGCAGTCTATATCTATCGATATGATATCTATAATGTAGTTATAAAGAGGATTAAGCTGATATGGATACTGATGATATCGTGGTGTATATGTTGTTGTTTGTATTTAGACTGATCAAGTACAAGCCCAATACACTTGAGATGGACTACACGTACGAGATTCATGAAGAGCCTAATCTTGGATTGACCATCGACCTCATTGACCCGGCCAAGTATGAAGGTATAATGCAATTTGTGATGCAGTAGGATGTTGTATAAAAAATGTTGCTAATAGTAGTGCATTGTGGTGTGTGTGATTGCTTTATTTAGCACCGGCGGAACCTGAGCCACTGGAAGTTGGTGACGAACAGGTATTGATGATGAAGGAAGACCATGTTGGCCTCAAGGGTCGATCGAAAGTCCGTCCAACGGTCTCTTGGCTACGACGTACTGAGTACATGGGCAACGATTTGTACGACTCGGTGCATAAGTTCAAAAGCGAGGCAGAAATTCAGAATGTACTGCGCGAAGGCACAGAGAACGCTTTGGCTGAAGTGGTGTCGGTCACATTAGAAGATCGTGCTGAAGCTTCCTTCCGCGACATCAAGGATCCGAAGCTTTTGGTGCACCCGCACAACAAGACGAAGAAAATCACCAAGGCGTGGGATGTCTTCCCAGATCAGCTTTTGTCTGCCAACAAATATGCTATTCTTGTACGTTCCATGCGAATGCGTTTATCTTGATTCAGCTGCGATCTCACAGCAAGCTAAAAATGTGGTGCTCTTGATCTGCAGTCATACGATATGCTACCTTCCGAAGATATTAAAAGCAAGGGAATTACTAATCGCGAGGAACGCGCTTTGTTGTGTGGAGTGAACAAAAAAATTCAAGCTGGCAATGAGCTTATTCAGGGCTCTATCTTGTTGCCTAACACATCTACAGAAGAGGAGGTACAGTGTTTTTGTATTGTTGGCCGAGCCATACGACGACACCTGATGAATGTTTGTTTTGTTTTATCTCAGAAGAGTACTGATCGTGAAAAGTTTTCGTGTCTCCGAGAATATCTGATGTCTGTGGAACCGCTTGATAGCGTACGTAGGTATCGCCACTGTTTTTGTCCAAGCTGAAAGTTCTAACTTTTGTTACCATGTTTGATTTGTTTTTTTTGCTTCAGAGAGATTCGCAGCATGTTGTATTCATGCTAGACCCTGAGTCCGATCAGTTCACGTACAGTGATGTTCTCAACCGCATTCAGCTACGAAAGAAAAAGGTATCAGTAAAAGTTGATGTTGCTGCTCATTGATAGTGAGCATTTGGCGTTCTAACAAGATTCATTTGCATGTATGCAGATGAGCGGAGAAGAAAAGCGCCGCCATGGAGCTGTTGTGTATCGCCGAGAATTTTCTGAAGGCGAAATGGATCGTCGCACCCAGATTCTTTTCGACTGCGGAGGAGTCTACGATGATCAGCTTGACGATAAAGAAAGTGTGCGTGAGTTTAAGCGCCGGTGGGCAGAAGAGAGACACACGCCGTTTCCTTCTGATGACGAAGGAATAAAGGCCAAGACACCTTTGCATGATGAAACGTCGCTTGAGAAGCCAGACATTTCTGCTGCAAAAAGTGATGGCAGCGATAGTCCGATTCCGCATAATGCCGGCAGTGCTAGCCCAGTGATCAGCGACAGCGATAGCGATTAGCTTGATGGGATGGTGCAGACTTTATCAGAAGTGATACAATGGTCAGCATATTGTGCCAGAATTTGCATTTTTCAAGGAGATTTACAAGGAGAATTATTCATCTAGTGTATTTCCATATGTAGCAGAAATATGTCTTGACTGTTCACACTTTACGTTAGCACCAAAACAGTCAGTCTCTACGACGCATATACGAAACGTCGCTACCCCTTGTGTTGGGTTTTGCACACCGCGACAGCGCCAATAATGCCAGAGTCATATCCTGCACTCGCCTTTTCAATGCGAACCTAGCAATAGGGATGATATCGACCGGATGGACGATGTCAAATGAAAACGTAATCGACAACATTGTGGTCAACGAAACGTACAGGGTTGGCAAATGTTGTCCAGGTGTGCTTCGCGTAAGCACGACGGATTTGTTCGATGTAAGCTTCTCCGGCTTCGGCGATTCCTCCAGATAAAACAATGATCTGCAAGAGGCAGCAATCATAAACTTATTTTACCCCACACCATTGACATGTAGGCCATGACCACATCATTACTTCCGGATCCAGCATTCGACAAAATGTAACGCAGGCAAAACCCAAGTAGTCGGCGGCCTGTTGCAGATCACTCATACAATTAGCTACAACTTCCTGGTCGAAAAGATATGCAGACACATACTTCTTCAATGACATGCTTGCAAAGCTCGTCACCCTCAGCAGCGTATTTGAATATTAATTCAGCATTTATGTCTGTTTCACAATAGCTTGACAGCCTTGATGTTTTGCCTGTAAGGGGAAGGAATACATGACAAATCTTCGATATCATACGAGAAGCAAGGAAGACGCAGCAAACCAGCGCGTAAATGCTCTCTCGCTTGCAATATCAGCGCACCAGCCGAGCTATATGCTTCAAGGCATCCTCGTTGCGAGCAACCACATTGTCTTCCATTGCGTTCGACAATCTGCAAAAATAAAAAGACAACAGCAACAAGACAAGAAGATTAGCAAACACCAGTAACCATTGACGTTGAAAAAACCAAGAGCAAAGGTTCCAAACCATGTGGCCTCCTTCAATAGCATTACTACCACCTCGTACAAGTTGACCGTTTGCGACAACACTGAATCCAACACCTGTACCAAGTGCTACATGGACATTCAAAGACCACAATCACTTTAAAACCTTTCGTCGACTAGAAGAATACTTCAGCAATCGCATTTATCGTACTAAGCATGATAAAATCCTTGACTTGACCCTTTGCTGCACCGACCCATTGTTCTGCTAGAATTGCCGCATCTGCATCGTTGCACACCGTAACCTCATGTCACATGACAAAATGATCTCCATTAGCTTCATGCCTTATGGCATAATACTTGGACACTCTTTACGGTAAATACCGGTTTATCAAGTGTATCGGTAAGTAACTGTTGAAGCGGTATATTTTTCCAGGATGGAAAACTAGCAGCAGCATGAATGATACCACCAGGTTTTAGAACACCAGGACAACCGACTCCAACAGCATCCAAGTCTTTTAATCCTAAACGTGTCTGTTTGCAGTAGCAAATACAGCTTTCATGGTTTTATTGTTCATAACAAATGAATACAATATAATAAGACAAAGGTAGAGAGATCTTCGTACCGTTTTAAGAACTGTATACAGCAAGGTGACTGCCAGGTTTACAACGTCCTGTGGCTCGTGCTTATCCGGATGATAGTTTTCATGTTCACGAGCAATGATAGAGCCCTTGGATGTTACAATTCCTACCTTAATACCTGTTCCTCCAATATCAATACCTGCAAACATATTAAGTTTTTTACTGGTATTGTAACAACACTCGAGATTGTAATATTGCAACAATTAGTCTTTCAAGACCGGTCTACCAGTGGAAGCATGCTTTACCAGTATTATACCGTCACCTTTACGATACACTAAAAAAGGACCAATTGAGAGTGTGATTAGTTGGCCACTTTTGAATCTGCAAATGCTCAAATTTCAAATTTTGGTCCTATTCAAACCGTACGAAAACGCACTTGCTTGCACCAAAAGTATCCTCCATGCTGCACCAGAATGCAAGGTTCCAGCGTGTAAATGCAATACTATTGTGCTTCATGGCTGTCTTATGTGGATGGTATCTCTGCTTTCTCTTTTATCGCCGCTGTTATCTTCGAAAAAAAACATCGCATAGTGAAAAGACAAGTATTCCACGTGCTCATCTTCTTCTACTCAGCGACATGGAGAAGCCGTTATTGATAGGATCAAAGTATGATGAACAAGGAGCATTGGAATCAATTGTTCACAAGTATCAACCTTCAGCACCTCCATTATCAAATTGGGAGAATGAGCATTGTGGTTCTTCCTGGTGATAAAAGCCAGTCAGTGTTTCTAATGAAGACGATGCGTGATCAATGACGATGTGCTGTACTTGGTGTCGGTCGGTCTTACATGTATACTCAGTCACTTTGTGTCATGTCGGACGTGTTTTTTACGATAAATTCTATGGAAATCAAAGTGCTTTTTCTTGCGCCGTATGTACTCGCGTTTAACTTGTAACGCCTACTAATCTGACAAAGCACTGGCTGCTGCAGAACCGTCACCGGCAATGGGTGACATAACCGACTCAATTCTTGCCATCTCGTCTTCCTTTGTTTCCTCTTCGTCGGATACGATGATTTTCTTAAGCTCGCTCGGGTTCTTTTCGGTCTCTTGTTGTTGCAGAGAAGGCAAAAAAGCAGTTTTTTTCTTCTTCTCACATTGGTGCATTGTAAAAAGCTAAGAGACCATACACAGTAACGTAAGAGTGTATCACACATAGCAATAAGGATTGCACGCACCTCGTACAGAAGCTGGTACAACAAGTCCACCTCGAGTCCCATTGCTATTGTAATCGCCTTCGCATGCTTCGTCGAATCCAGCTCCACGGACACTACCTGGATACCAAATGATGTAGTTTGTGCAACATTCACAACGTCTTCAAAAGGAACCACAACTGTGTGCACAAATACGGGCACCATTGTCCGATACATCAAGTTTCTACGATCATCACACAAGCAGCAAGCAAGCTGTCAGCACAGACTTCTCTCGCGTCTATGGTAATTGACTTTCTTACCCGTAGGTCACGTGAAGCGTGACAGGAATACCATTTACCATGCACGAGGCCTCGTATAGTAAAACATTACTCTTGCTGCTGATCAAAAACACATACCCACCATAATCATGGTTATCCCCCATATCCTGACGCACAAAATTACAAAATTATCATCATTATCGCACCGGTCGTCGCCTGCAGACTGGTTAAAGCTTGAGACTTCGGCATTTTCTCTGTCATATGTTCAGCGAGGTCAGTTGTAAAGTAGGCATTCCATCAATCTACACAACTTACGCTTCCATGATTGCCCGGATTGCACGAATCCGTAAGGCTTGCACAGCTTCTACACGCGCAGTCACTTGCTGCTGCTTCTCTTCAATCTTTGCCCGTAATCTCACCTCGCAATCTTCTTTGCACACCCGCCACAGATTTTGAACCATCTCAGAAACCACCTCGCCATAGGTTTTGTCAGATTTTACGCAAGATGCCTGGGTTACTGATGTGGGAGTATCTACAGTTTCTCGTTCATGCCCTGATGAGTTCTGCACCTCTTTCGAAGCTGAGTCGTCCTTATCTATTGACACACTCTCAACGCTAGCAGTAAGCATGATCGTGTCATTTTCCGCATTTCCGTCCCCTGTCGGCCTGTCTGTCAACTGGATTGCGTGTTTTTTTAGCGTTGGTTCAAGCAAACCAATCAACAAGGCGCAAGCGTATTCTTGGTCATACGCATATGATTCCAAGGGAATACACAGGTCTCTTATGTTTGCTTTCATTTCACTACAAGTCATAACAGCAACAATGGTTTCAGGATAGCACAAAAAAACAGCCACATTCTGCAAAAAGATAAACCTGCTGAATGCACTCTTCAAGTCCGTAACGTATCCTTCATCCAGCTCAGCATTCTCAACTGTTACAATTCAAACATTCCATGACAACATGTTGAGCAAACGCAATAGTATGAGCAAACGCAATAGTATGTGAATAACGCCAATTTGCTTCAGAAAAGACAGCACATACCTAAATCCATCGAGTTGTCAGGACTAGACATGTACAAATGACTTAGCGATAGACACTGACTAAGCAGCATCAATTGCAATGCTCCCAATAATTGATCCAGCGCATACTTGTGTGGTTGATTGTAATCTTGAGCAGTCCACAAACTGCTTCGTCCAGCTGGTATTATGCCACCAAGCAGATTGCTCTCACTCAATATCAACGTACAGATATCCACTACACGTAACTTGGATGGAGATACACCAATGTGGACGTACACATTGAGGTATGTGGCAGTATTGGCCATGCCGTGGGCCATCGACTCTTGTGTCACTTTCTTACGGAACAAGACCCAATTCACATGCTCCTCTGCAATCAAAAGACCTTTGCCGATACAAATAGTAGCAACAAGATCCTTGATAACTTCCCATGAGCGATCAGGACGAATCTGTACCTCTAAAATTGTCCATTTACTTGGATCTTTCTCCACAGGCAAGTCTGTCATCCACATAGGCACTGCACGTTTATCTTCTGACGCCATGGCCGCACGAATTTCATCTGCATTCAACAGTTTAAAATCTGAATGATTTTTTATCATACTCTTAGTCTCGTGCTCCATCGGATCAGCGTCTCGCGACATTTTATTCATACCAAATTCCTCCTCTTCTTCATTCATTCTATTGCTCAATGCCGCTACTTTCTAAATCTTTAGTTTTAGATGCGAAGTCTTAATTTGAAATGAGTGGTCGGTTTTAGAACCTCTTCTTTTTTTAGCAACATGATCTAAATTAGAACACGTGATTTTTAAAAGTGATTCGAAGTGACATCTGGTAGTAGTCGTAATAATAGTAACAAATGTATCATATACCAAGCATTTTGTCATACTCAAGCGCCTTATTCACATTAAGACGTTCGCAGCTTTTGTAGTATCGGTTTAAATTGAGTCCGTATGCTTTCAACACTGCTATGGCTTGGACTAGCAGTATTCGTACTTGTAACACAGAGTTATACAATTCTAGCGCGCTTCCTACGCCTCCTATTGCATACGTACTTTCGCAAGATTGTCGTCTACGGACTCAATAATTTTCCACGTGAAGGACCGGTAATATTATGCCCAAATCATCCTAATATGCTTGTTGATGCCATCCTTGTTATTACTGAAGTTGTTAGTCATGGTCGCAATCCATACGTGTGGGCAAAGGGCTCACTTTTTAGTAACCCCATCGCTTCATTTGCTCTCAAGAGGCTTGGTGCAGTTCCAGTATACCGCCCACGACGCAATGAGACCACGCTTGCTGATGTGGATTCCGACAAGACACCCGAGGAACTAGAGGAAGCCAATCGTGCTATGTTTGAGCATACATGGCGTGTGCTTGCTGATGGCAATGTCATGGTGCTTTTCCCTGAAGGAACGTCTTACACTGCGCCGAAGATGTTGTCACTACGCACAGGTGTTGTGCGCGTGGCGACAGGTTTTGCCAAAAACTATGACACACCCATCCCGATCATTCCTCTTGGACTCAATTACTTTAACAAGGATCACTTTCGAAGTCAAATGACGCTGGAATTTGGTCCGTCCATGATGATCACGCCCGATATGGTGCACAACAAAGCTTTTCAGAAAAATGAACACAGCGAAGTGAAACGCTTGACGCTTGAGCTAGAGGAGCGAATGCATGACGTGACCTTGAATGCCTCTGATTTTACTACCATTCATATTGCGCGAATGATGCGGCGTTTGTACCTGAATACACCTGGAACCATTGATGCAAACAAAGAAGTTCGTTTGACTCAGTACATTGTCAACATGCTAGAAAAGGAGCCACAAGATGAGGAGCAAAAGGAGCGAAGTGCAACGGTTCGTGACAAGGTTATGCAGTACAAAGAGCAGTTGGAGAAGCTGCGGCTGAAAGACCAAGAAGTGAATTTGCCAGTACCGAAGAGGCAATCGCTTGTGCAGCTATTTTTGGAGCGAATTCTGTACCTACTTGTGCTGCTGCCACTAGCTACTCCCGGTCTATTGCTAAATTTGCCCTACTACTTTGTTGGTAAGTCGTGCTCTTTGCATATTATTGGGAGTCGTATGGGCTGACATCGGTTAATTTGACTGTACAGGATCGAAGATGAACAGTCTTGCAGGATTTGTGGAATCTAAATCTATGTTCAAGATCTTTGCCGCCGGGCAAGTGAGCTATTTGTCTTTGACTTTATTCTAATGACGATGCTGATTTGTTATCATGTGATGATCTGCGTGTAGTGTGCTGGTGCCTCTACAGTGGCTTTTACTGATCCTTTCAGCTTGGTACTTTCTTGGGTCTTCTTATGCGTACACGCTGGCGGTGGGATTGCCACTGCTACTTTACTCGCACATTCGCGTGTTAGAAGAGAGTCGGTCGATTGTCGAAAACGTCTATTTTCTCTTTAACATTACGGCACATGCCGATCAGGTCGCAGTGCTTCGAAAGAAGCGTGAGTTGCTTGCGGAAGAGGTTTACGAGTTGGTGACTGCATACGTGGATGCCAAGTTTCTTTCAGCCGTGCACAAGTCTCTTGCCAGTTCACCTGTGAATCGGCGGCTGCGTCATCGTGCCTCTTCTACCAGCGACACCTTTTTGCACGACGACGATACGTGAGAGTTCAATACCATGACGTGCCTTGACGAGATACAACTTTGACAAACTCTTGTAAAAACAAATGAATGCATTCTCCTAACTCTCTAGTAGTATTGTCACTACCAATCCCAGCAAAAAAAACGCGCTTGAGCTTGCTAGCTCTATTTGAGTGGTTTAAGATCTATTTCCACCACTAGAGCTTACGAAGCAACAGACCAACATCATGACGCTTTTTTTTCCTTATTGTTTAGCTCATCTGTTACCGTCATTCATCATTTATACATTGTCAAGTCAAAAAGCTTTCACACATTGCTAACACTAGTATTAGCATAACAAATACAAACAACTTACTCTTTTTAATCTCAACAATGACATTTCTTTTCTCTAGAAAATAAACATTAGCTCTTTTATTGTAAGTAGCCTACCATAGGATCATCATTATACGTAAACTTAGTATCACTTTCAATCCATAACAATGATTTAATCCATCGCAATGATTCAATACACATTTTCAAACCTTCTTTGGCTTGGCTGTTTCAAGTTCACTCAGTGCAACCTTAAGCTGCTGAATCTGCAAATATAACAGACTGTCAATACACCTCGACACTTGCAGTCAATAGCAGTCCACATTTACTGACCTCTCGATCAAGTTTTTGACATAGACGTTGCTCCTTCCAGTGTTTATCAGCACATGGCACTTCCTCAATAATAGCCATGTTGTATCGTATTGATTACGTCTTTCTTAAATTCCATTCACCTCAGACTTTGTATCTTTTTGATATAGCATATTACTTACATACAGCATATACTGCGATATAGCATATTTTATATAATCAACGTTTTTTTGTTTGTTACAAAATGGACGTGATTTGAACAAGATGAATCAGTGGGACATATACTTTGATTTTTTTGGATAGTCCACCTCTTTCAACATGACAATACAAAAATTATGTACATCGTCATAAGTAAACGGTCGGTTCCATTTATTGAAGTGGTGGACCGTTACATTAATACTATTATAACATTTATACAAGAATAACAGGTACCGTCAAGTGACATCATGCTTTTGGCACGTGTTAAAAACACGTGTGAAACGGTTCAATAGAATCACATAGTGTAAAACCGGTCAAAATTCTGGTGGCTACTGACTGACTGTAAATCAACGACACGCACTGTGACATCTTTTGGAAAGTTGATGGTTAGAACAATTTCCTATACGTGATATTATTGTCAACGTGCATTTCCCATTTCTTGTGGTCGCACTTGTTACCGTGTGCTTCTTTTTCTTTCTTTGTTTCCGACCTTGCATCACAATTTACAACAGGAATCTGCTGTATGATTTACATACTTTTTTCATTTGCATGAACAAATAGCTCCAAGCACGGATACTTGTGGTTAATTGTGCCTAGAAAGTAGCAGGTAAATTTTCAACTGCCTCATAAATGTCTTCGCTTTCAACTTCGCTGTACGTAGTTTCAGTCTGAAATGAGGATTGTAACGTATGAATCGAGCATGGCAACTCGCCTGTCTATTCCAAACGAGCTAAAACATTCAGTCTGAACTAATGCAGCACTGTACGTGCTATAACCGTGACAATGAGTGTCTCGCTGCTGGAGAGCTCAAGATGCACCCAACGCTGTCGTGGAAACGATAAACAAGCCGAATCGTTGGTCGCATATTGATGGGCCATATGTAGTCAGAGCACAGTGCTACAGTATTCAGCGTCAGCATCCGGTCAGCAGTTGGTATTTCAAGCTCACTGTCCCACGTCACTCTCCAGAGACGACGTACGCAAAGCTTACGACTTGCAAGTCGTAGCACCGCCTGCTTTGCTTGTTGCACTAATCCTCACATTAACGCCTATCTAAAAGGGGGAAGAACTTCCAAGACTATCTATCACCTGATAGTTTCGTCTATCACCGTCTCAATTAACGTTGTTCCAAGACACCAAAGACCTTTGTTGACTGACAATAGATCAACACAATCATGAACGAATTCCAGCGTGGTGGTGTACAGGTGTTTATCCCAGCGGCACTCAATAGACCTACGCATACGCTATATAGCATCTGCATCGTAGTGCAGCCCACGAACCAAGAATGGACAGTTAACCGCCGCTACTCGCAGTTGCTCCAGTTGCGCAAGGACATTCAGCGCAAACTTTCTACGCGTGGCGTCTCGTGTGCAAACTGCGCCAGCTTTAATCGTGCTATCAGCAAGTTTCGTTTCCCAGGCAGATCGTTGCTGCGTACTAACTCGGTCGTGCGCTACCGCGTCTCGTCCCTCCAGGAGTTCCTCAAGCTGCTTGTAGGACGTGTGTACAATGACTTTCCAAAGTGCAGCGTGTGTGGTGAAGAGATAAAAAACACCATGCGACCATTCTTCATTCGAGGAGCACAACCGATGAACGGTTCGATTCTTTCCAAGATTAACAAGTCTCTATCGCTCGATTCGTATGCTATAGTGAATAGACCGATGATGCCTGTACCGGAACTGACACCGCCTATTTCACCTTCACTGGTTGGCAGGGAACTTTTCAGCGCCAGCAAATCGTCGAGCAAGCCAATCTTCACACGCAGTCAGGTGTCAGTCGGCAAGTCCTTCTTCACACGCAGTCAGACGTCAGGCGGCAAGTCCATCTTCTCACGGAGCTGTGCGATGCTGAGTGCCACATCCGACGATGCATCCACTCAGCCAAACGAATCGGAAGACCCTATTATGGACTACTCAGACAGCGATGAAGACGGCTATGGCAAGAAGTACGACAACCAATACTGTTACGATGAAGGTGTGCCTCTTGAAGAAGCCATGAAACAAGTAGTGTTGCCCGAGGGCACGCGTCTTACATGTGAAGAAGTGATTGTCCGACTCACATCAATGTGGGCTACTTACGACCTTCAGGAGACTCTATCAGCCTTACCGCCCGAGCGGCTTTCACAAAAAGCCAATTTTTCGATAGACGAGAAAGAATACGCGTTCTAAGTGTATGCTGGATAGCGCAATTTTGCTTTCCACCTCTAGATGCTGGACCATGACATTGTGCAAACTAAAATATGAAGCAGCCAACGTACTTGAATACCATAATACCAACGCAACCAGCACACACTGATTACCATCTCTTACACTTCTCAACATTGCTGCTGAGTGCAGCATGTAAACTGAAAATTGTCGTACTTCATTTTACTGCATTGTGTTTATTTTTGGGCTTAACACAAAGAAGCACTCCATCGCATGTCGTACTATTATAACTTTTCCGGATCCGCGATACCCGTGGCGACTACGGAAACACGCAGCTTACCATCGAGTGAGTCGTCAAACGTTGAACCAAAGATAATGTTAGCGTGCGGGTCGTCAAGCTCTCGTGTCACTCGTTCCGCAGCTTCGTCGACCTCAAACAACGTCAGGTCGGAGCCACCTGTAATATTTACAATCATACCCTTGGCGTCCTGGGAAGAAACATGATACTCATTAACACTACATAATTGTAAATAACCATCATTTGTATCGATGACACCAATACCTTGATCGAAATATCGCCCAAAAGAGGATTCGCCAGCGCATCTTCAGCAGCACGCAAGGCCCTGTTACAAAAACCTGTCTTAGCTAATCAAGAGTACAGCAACACGACAACTGATTTGCATCACAAACCGGTTCGCTCCATCAGCCTCTCCACTTCCCATCATGGCATTCCCCATGTTTTGCATCACCTGCAGCAATTAGTCGATAATGACGAATAGAAAATGGACAGTCAGCAGTGTTTAAACAACCAGAAGAACAACAAAGTATCGTGCATACCGACTGAACGTCAGCAAAATCAAGGTTGATAAGCCCAGGCATCACCATCAGATCAGAGATATTCTTGACACCATCAAGAAGCACATTGTCCGCCATTCTAAATAAAACAGCAATCGTTGAGTGTTATGCCACCGCCTAAGCAGCATGATAATCAAGCCACAAACCGGAATGCATCCATCAAAGATGTGCGCTCGTTCGACATATTGAAGAGATTCTGATTTGGAATCACAAGCATCGTATCCACGCTATCCTTCAGCTCGGCCAGTCCCTGTGCTGCAAGCTTTGCGCGATTGTTACCTTCAAAATGAAAAGGCTACGATGGGCAAGTAAATGAGTCGTTAGCGAGCACAGTCTTAGATGAACGATGGTGTGGATCGTGAATACCTTTGTGACCACTGCTACCGTGAGAACACCAGCATCTAGGGCCGCCTTGGCGATTACGGGTGCAGCACCTGTTCCAGTGCCACCACCCATGCCTGCAGTAACAAACATCTGCACAGATAGAAATAAACGAATTTGTCACCGCTACACTGTACTCTTGCTTTAACACGAGTTACCAGCGCAACGTACCATGTTTGCACCGTAAACCCGTTCCAAAATCTCATCAATCGCAGCCTCTGCAGCTTCACGACTGTATTGATACATCGACAAAGCATCATACCAAGTAAGACACTCAAGCCACTCATCGTCGCGCAAACATGAGGTGCACAATCACTGACCCAACTTCTGGATTTGCACCACAGCCCAGCCCTCCAGTGAGTTCAGGAGCCATTTGAACGCGGTTCTCCGTCAGCGTTGTGCGCAAGTGCTGAGCATCAGTGTTGCATACAAGAAACTCCACTCCTTGTAGCCCACGCGCAATCATATTGTTCACTATCAATCCATTTCAACAAATTGCCACCACGACTTGGTTATACTTTGTCACATCCTATGTCTTTCCTCGACATTGTTCAATCAACCCACCCACCAGCATTTCCTCCTGCACCTCCAACACCAACAACCACAATTTTTGGTGCAAAGCCTGATAAATCCGTCACAGGATGATCTTGTGTAAGCCACAGTGGTTGAGTCGAGCTCATAGCAGGAGGCACTAGCTTTTTCTCCACCACAGATGGCATCACAACGTTTCGATCTGTCAGTAGTGCAGGATCAGCTTCTGCTTTCATTATTAACATCTCATGGTCTTCATCCTTTTGTGCCTTCTTGAATCCCTGTCATAAACAAATGCCATGTATAAATAAACAGGATCATTCAGACACTGCTGCATGTGTTGTTTTCGTACGATTTCAATCGATTGTTACAAGCTATAGACATGAGATTACCATGCGCAATACAGCAGCTGCTGCATCCGTTGCTTCAGTAGAAAACGCAAAGCGTTGAGTTGCTCCTTGAAACGTCACATGTGCATGTAGCAACGTCCTTGCAGTAGCCTTCATGCGAGATATCGCCATTGGAACTAGATACGTCAAAACTGACGCTACTTATACAATTGGTGATACTTATACGAGAGGATTTTGATTGAGACCCAAAATTCAAAATGTGTAGCCATCTTCTGTAATTTGGCTACATTAGTCTCATGTTTGTTGGCTTCAACAACTACTGCTGATGGCTGGTCTCATTATGCATCCTTCCTCTCTAAAGCATGAACATGTTCACCATGTCAACGCACTCGATAGTGAAATCAACTCAAGTAACTATGGATGTGCTTTGACATTTGGCATTTTCTCGACGTTTTTTGGCTTCTACACCAACCCGATTGGACTTTTTGCTCTCCGTCTTGTTCTGACCACGATGTTTTTGCTTATCCAAGCGTGACATATGTAAAGCATCGCGGCATCCAGCACCGCCTTCCCAATGACGAGCGGTTGACTTTTTTGTAACAAAGTCATTGCCACACGAGCACATTTTGACCGAGCTCGATTGTTCTTTCGAACACAAACCACAAATTATTCGACTTGCAAATTTACCAAAATTAGCTTCTGGACAATCGCTTGAGTCGTGGCACACGTCGCATGGAAAAGATTTGCCACAGCACTGGAATCGAAACCAGCGTTGCGAGTGCTTGTAATGATCACAAGTTCCACTACGAGGCAACGGATGTCCCAAAACAAATCCTTCTACGAATGGCTTAGCTCCTTTCGTGCGGATGTTGGCAACCTTTGCAGCAAAATCATCGCACATATTTCGCTTTGTGGTAGAACCATTTGACTGTCCTGCAATAAAGCGCTTTGCCATCACTGCAAGTTTAACATGACATGAAAAGCAAGCTTGCTCGGATCGTTGTTGTGGCAATATCTTCTCCAGCAACGCTTCACACCCGCATTCCAAGCACGTGACTAACACATCAGTGGGAAGAATGTCAATGACACAACAATTCTCTGTATCCACATATGCAAGCACGTTACTGAGCGAATGAGCAAACACTGGCCTCATAAGCACGTGATGAAGCACACTACACCGTGGGCACCATTTCTGGATTTCAGCAAAGTCCAAACTCAAAATTGCATCGAACTTCAAAGGACAATTGTCACACTGAATCTGGCAAACAAGTCGATGCGCAACAAGGGTACCAACTTTGTGCAGAAACAGATCTTCGAGGCGAATTGGAGTTCCCTTCATTTCACCCTCAGTCATTATTGTAACGCGTTGTTCAACTGGAATGATCTTCGTGTTCTGAACATACGCCTCACGTTCGCTTAGCTTTGCGATTTCTTCATGCTGTTGCAATTTTTCAAGTACTGCAATAGGATCTACACCGCGACGAACCACCTCACATAGCGCCTTGAAGCGGTCGATGCACTCATTCAGGGACCGACCATCGACCTCATTCGCGATGCTGGTCCATCGCGCCTCCTTGTCCATTGATGCTGTATACTTTTTCAATGCCATATCAAGCGCTCGCTGCTGTGCTTCTGACCACACATTGCTAATGTCACTACGACTCCCGATACGTTCAATATTGCAGACTACTGAATCATTCTCCGCTTTTGCGACTAATTTTCCATCCTTTGATCCAACTGCACTTGCAGCCGGAGCACCCAATTGCACGACAATTGCACGAGACAAGCTTTCAGGTTTTTGCTTTTGGCCGCTATTTTGTGTTCCAGCTCTCTTGACCTCATGAGAAAACTTGCAGCTGTCTCCATCACGACATTTGTTCTGTGTGAAATATTTGCATGTACGCATTCGAGTTTTCTTCTTCTTCACCGCAGGTAGTACTACCACCTGCTTTGACGTCTCAGATGGCAGTGCTGCATCAACGTCCCGGAATGCCGACATTTTAACAACGTCAGAACCTTCTAATACTGCACACACCACTGGCTTGTCCTGCTTTTTCTGATGCAAAAATTTACATACCACGCCATCTCTGCAGTTACCTTTTGCAAAGAAACGACACAGCCGTTGGCCTCGTCTCCTTTTCGGTTTCTTCTCACTTGGTGCACGTACATCCATTGCAGCCACAGACGTCTCTAGCTCGTGATTCTGGCCATTGCGATTGGTTATCACGTCTTGACTTGGTTCAGTATATATTTCGAATGGTGCAATGATCTGCCACAAATTATTGTCGATCCAAGTCAGCAATTTCCTTAGCGAAAAACTACCACAAAGCTGCTGAGCTCGAGCAGCCACCGCTTTGTTCAATGCATTGACTTGCGAGTCCAATAGACGGCTATTCCACTGTGTGAAGTCCACTTGAACAGCATCAATAGGATAATTTTTCGGTATTGTCATCGTTAGTTCCACTTGGCCCTTGAGTCGTGTTGGCAGCTCTGGATCGGACAGACTCAAGTAAAGACACAAACGCTTGTCTAGCGTTGTAGTATCCTCATCAATCAGCTTCAAATGATATCGACGCTCCAATGCCATCCACTCTTTCTTGCCAGCATCGGTCTCATTCGCTAGTGTTTCTTGCCAGCTCAAGTCTGTCATTATTTGTTTGTGACAATAATGGGCAAGTATGAAAATGCCCAAAAAAATTGTGAGCAGCATGAAATCTATCATGAATGTGATTGGTTGGAATTATTATCAGTATTTTTATCTTACCAGACGGAGTATTCCTTGAATTTTTACTCTGGTTTAACACTATTTAGAAATTACAATACACGAATTAGAAATTACTAAACACAATGACCAACATATGGAACATACGTCTTCGAGGACCTCATGGGAAGCACGTAGTGCTCAAGGTTGATTCAAATACAAATATCAAGATGTTTACAGGTATGTACTTCATTGTATTGTAATCTATTTGTATGACTTGTTTGGTATTTGTTGGCATTGGTTTGTGTATTTAGTAATTGTTTTTTTTATCTTTACCCAGACCAAGCAGTTAAGGAATTGGGGTTTAAAGCAAACGAACGACTCATTTGTACGCATATGAAGCTTAGGATGGTTATTATAATGGATATGTTGTGACATGTTTGTGATGCTAATAGTTCGTAGAGGTTTTCCACCTCGAGTGGTTGACGTGGAAGGCTCGATGCTTGTAAAGAACGTGTTTGAAGCCAACGAGACGATTATTGTCGATACAAGCTCTGACAATACGGTTTCAGTTCAAACTACGTCTACCTTATCAGCAAAAAATGGTGTGAAAAAGTCAAAACGAACGGCTGTGAAGAAGACGGGTGTAAAAGTACCGAAATATGGAGTGCACACGCTGAATGAACCGACTAGCACAAAGAAAAGGGAGCCGTTGAAACGAAAGATTACTGGCGGTAAAACACGTAGCACTGGTGAAGTGCCTGGTACGAAAGAGACGAGAGATACAAGTGATAATGAAGATGAAGCGCAACGTAAACACCGACGAGGTTGTGCAATTAACCTCACTTCCATGGAGGATGTGGAACTTAGTTTGGTTAATGCTGTAAGTGGCCAATCGAACGATCGTGCAGCAACGTTTTACCGTGCTGCGACGAAGAATGCAGTAGAACATCAATATGAATTGACACTTGCCACTGCTAGGCTCAATGCAGCATTGGGGCATAATTTCGAGATGGAGGAATTAACGACTAGCCGACATGCTGATGGTAGCATTGCAAAGATTCGAGTGCGCTTCAAAGAGACATCGCGCAAGTGGAAGGAAGAGATTGTAGATCTATTAAAGAGGGACGAACTTCAGGCTATTGTAAAGTATGTTTTGTTGTCAGGAGGCGAGACTGGGCGTGAGATGCTGAAGCCGTTTAACATGGCACAAGTTTCTACCAGAGTATTTTGGAGTATTGCACGTTTGTATAATGGAGATGTGGCTGCCGGTTTGGTTGACCTTGTTCCTGATGAAGATTGGTCGTTCTTAGACACTCGTACACGGTACGTATATTTGTTAACGAATCAGCTGAGCTGCATGGCCGTGGTGCAATTTGACGTGTAATGGTTTGTGACAGAGTAATGTCTAAAAAGGCCAAGGAAGCAAAGGTACAGTACATTTTGCGTATTCATGTATCCTAGATGATTCGTTAGGATTTCGGACGGGTCAGCTTTGTAAATTGCGCTTTGTTGTAGACCAACGAAGAGCAGTATACCTTGTGGAAAAAGAGCTGTACTCAGGGAGGCAAGTCGTCTCCTCAAAAGCAAATGACTCAGCAAGTAGCAAATAACGAATTACCTGCAGCTAAGAAGGAGCTAGAGGTGATTCACGAGAACTTTAATGTTGAACAAGAGGTCAAGAAAGAGGCTGCGATGTCTATGTGTACTCAGATACCAGCCATTTCAGTGAAGAAAGCGACTTCTAGCGCAGTGGCACAAGCAGCGCTAACTCGGCTCGACAAAAGCTTGCAGACAAGCGTCGTTGTATCTGCGTTTCTTCAAGAGAAAAAGCCAACCACACAATTCAGTACGAAGAAGCAAGTAGCACCCGCCGACGAAGAGGAAATGGAGTCAGAGGAAAAAATGGAAGAAGCTGTCACAGTCTATTGTGATTCTTGCAAAAAAGCACGTATTCTTTCGCCCGAAGAAGCAGCTAATGCTGAGCTGGACAAGGACCCGTGGACCTGCGCCAGCTTAGTGAAGACCGGGCGCGACGGCGAGTGCGAAGCTATCGATGATGAAGTAGCCCAGATTACGGGCGTTACCATTGCTGAATGGCTACGAAAGGTGGCTATCACAACTCGGCGAGAATTGGCAGACGCTACTGTGAATTCCACGATTCATGCTCTGGTGAACTCCTTGGACCCATCAGCTCAGGTTTTGCAGGAAAAACTTGAAATGCTGATTAATGAGGCGAGTAAATCTGTTGGACTATCGATACTATTGAACTAATTTTGTGCGTGTAATATGGTAGGCGCGTCTTGATGAGGTGAACGACTGGATGTTGGAACTTGTAGGCGAGTCTGACGTAGTGCAACGGCTAGAAGCTCAGAAGCTGGGCACACCTGCTGATCTAATTGCCACGCCGAGCGATTTAATCCTTGAAGCTGTGGGCAATACATGTAGCACGGCTTACCTGTCAATAGATGAGGTCAGCTCTTGGCAAACCCGGGCCAAAAATTTGGTGGACAAACACCCCTGGCTGGCAGACTGGCGAACTCTGTAATACCTGCACTCAAATTAGGCTGTTTTCGCGCAACACAACGCAGCTAGAAAGTTTTTAAAATCAACTATCATTTTTGCTTTCAGATATTTCTGTCTTCGACATACAACAGGATGGGACAAATGGCACGTGCACGGAATCCAATATCCCGCCACACATCACGGCTGCCAAGCGTTCGCGCCTCTAAGGCGATATGCTCAACCAGCCGAAATATTGTCATCATCCTTCAACTTCGCCATTCCTTCCATTATCGTGTACCCTAGTATGCCATCTAGTGATTGGGACCGTAACGGCCAACTTGCTCACACCTTAGTCAATCTTGACAGAGCTGTAAATCTTGCGCGTAAACCAGAGACAAGCAAAGTAGCCGATGGTTCCCGTGAGAAAGAAAAACGTGACAGAGATCAGGAACATGTAGCCAAAGTACAAAATACCCGAAACGAACGCCGTAATGTTCAACTTCGTATAAAAGTACAGAAACGCGTACAAGTACAAATATACGGCCGCAGATCCCGAGGTAAGAAACGAACGCCACCACCAGCGGTAGTCCTCGGCGCAAAGCTGGAAATAGCACATCACAACCGTCACCTCCGCGCACGTGACCATCAAGATCAGCAACACAATGAACAGGAAACCAAATACGTAGTATATCTGATGCAACCACAGCGCCGACATGATGAAAAACAGCTCAATGAACACTGCGCCGAACGGCAGGACGCCGCCCATTAAAATGCTAATAGGAGACGAGAGGTACCATACTTGCTCTGGAACCTGACGAGCAATCTGGTTCGTACGCACAGGCTGCTCAATGGCTGCAGCCTTGTAACCAAAGTAGCTACCGAGGAAAACGAGCGGCACAGAAATACCGAACCACAGGACAAGCAGAGCAAAAAGCGTGCCAAACGGGACAGCCTGCGACGAATCCTTGCCCCACAACACCAAATTCAGCAGAAAAAATACGCCAAAAAGAAGACCCGGGTACAGCATAGCCGTAAGAATGGTGGTCTTCTTCCAGTCCTTGCCGTTAAACATCTTGTAAGTACGCGACGAGTAATAGCCAGCAAAGCTGCCCATGAAAACAAAAAGCAGTAGCAGGGTCGTGAGCAGTGAGCCACGATTTGCAGGCGAAAGCAGGCCCAGAAGTGCAATAACCATTGTGGAAGCACTCATGCAGCACACCTGGACGCCAGTTCCCACAACCACCGAGAAAAGCATGGGCGAAAGCTGCGGTGGGCGAAACACATCACCATGGACCAATTTCCAGCCATACTCTTCCTGAGCTTCTTCCGCGGTCTGCACCTCATTATAGCGAGAAATATCACGGTGAAGCGTGCGCAGCATAATCATTGCAATCATTCCAGTCAGGAACAGTACAATCATAAGCGAGTTGACAATGGCAAACCAGTGAATCTGATCATTTGAGCTTTTGCTGCTAATAATACGATCCCAACGCTCCTCCCAGACAATGTTTGACTTGACAAATTGCACGTCATATGTATAGAGTACAGTCGTCTCATTACCTGCGTTCAGGTATTGATAATTACCCTGGGACATTTCCTCAATATTGACAAACTTGCCACAAGTATCAGTTTCTAATTCCTGTCCAGCCATTGGTTCATTTTCATATCTATGTTTAATAGAAGTAGGTACAACTTCAAAACCAACAATGCGCCACTTGGGACCATGACCATCTTCTTCTGCGTACGGGTCTACATTGACCGAGATAATAATGCGTACGTGATTATACAGCAAATACTTTCCATTTTCATCAACTTCACCCACTGGATAACCACGCTGAAACGATCCAGTCTGCAATACGTCCGTTGGATCACGATATAGTACAGGTAGATTATCTACAACCCATTGTACGTAATACTCATCCTTGATCATATCAATAAATAATTGAGTTTGTTCACGTGTATACGTAATAGGTGTGCAAAGTACTTGACAAATCGCATCTTTTTGCATTTCTAGTTTGTATAGTGAATCCATAATCGCATCACCAGCCATAATCTCACCAAGATTTTCCCTTTGTTCTGTAATCGATGCAGGTTTACAGTATGGAAGATAATAATACTCATATGGTACTAATGTCTTGGTAGATGTAATTTTATTTACATTCAGGTAAATACGTTCACCTGCAGCCCAAGACATTGGAGCTACACCTGGAACGTAAAATGCCCCATTGGTGCTGGATGTCAAGATGACTGCAATGAATGTCGTTATTACTACACTTTTTAGCCACATCATTGAATGATTATAAAGAGGAAAGAAAGGAGAAGAGAGAGAAATTGAGGGAGAGGAGAGGAAGAGGAGAGGAGAGGAGAGGAGAGGAAGAGGAAGAGGAGAGGAAGAGGGAAGAGAGTTGTTATCTGCCTGTCAGTCGCCTGTTGTTTCCTTAAGTATGAAAGGTGCCACGAAGCAGATAGATGAAAACACATACCTGTGATAAGCGATAAGATAGTAAGAAGATGATATGATGATAATTTATACAAAATGAATTTCCAACCGAAATTATCAGTACAGTCATATCCATTGGTTAAAACAATGACGAATCATATTACGACACGACTCGACTGCTTATGTGTCGTACATTATCTAAGCTACATCATAGTTTGTAAGTGTGTCAAAGACACGAAAGATACTACCTAAGATAGAAATGACTAAATTAGTGTATTGCACCTACTAGCTTTAATTTCATGTTATAAACGTGCAAATTTATCAAAACTAAGATATTCAAGATCTATTGTCCGTGATTAATTGTCACTATAAGTAGACCAGTTCAGAGTATTAGTAGAAAAGGGTCCAAGTGAGATAGACAGTCAGCCAGTCAGCCAGTTATGGAAGTAGCTATTCCTTTAGAATCAGTGGTATCAGATGCATTACATCAGCTCTATAATCCGCTAAGTTTGCCACGCGTACGAAGACATGCTGATTCTATATTACAGCAATTTCAGCGCTCACCTGATGCTGTACAGACGGCCTTAGCTATTCTACAAGCGCCACTAGTTGACACACAAAATACTGAATATAATGTGCTATTACGAGCTAAACGGGCCTTTGCAGCATCGACCATTTACTTTATAGTATCGTCATACATTTGCAAGTATAAGATCGATGACTTGGCCAACTGGACATTAGAAGATCAAGCTCAACACGAGCGTCTTGTAAAGGAATTTGGTTTAATGGCTCAGAAAGTCTGGAATCTATTGACAGAGCCAAATGGAATTCAAGATGACCTAGCTGTACAGACTTATCTAGCACTTACCATTGCAGTTATCTTGCTGCGCTTCCATGAATCACGTGATGGTACTACTGTGGTTGATGCTGTGGAATGGCTTGTTCAAAACCAAAAGCATGAGGGTAATGATAGTGTGCCATCTATTCTGACAAATTATGCCGTACTGCTTACACTAAAGGTACTTCCGGAGGAAATTGACAATCAACGCGTCAAAATCTCCAAGGCTAAGCGCGCACAGTGTGAAGACATGGTGCAGGAATGTGCAGCACACGTTGTGCGTACTGTTCTTCCATCGATTGCTGCTGCTATGGATGCAAGCCAAGATCAATTACAATGGCGAGGTCTATTGTTACAAACTTTCGCAAGCTGGGTAGAACATGGCTCAGTGCCCCCGTTAGTTCTCATTGAGAGTGGGCTGTTGGATCGATGTTTTCGTGAAACGTTAGAACCAGCTTCTTCCGTGTACGCATTGCAGGGCATTTGCGAAGTAGTGCGTGCTTGTCGCCATAATGAACATGTGGAGCTGATGGAACTTATAATGCACAATTTTGTGGTGCTAAGAAAGCACATACAAGAGCACATGGCAGCATCCGAAACAAGCGTAGATTTTTGTCTTGTCGACTGTGCGAGATCGATATCTGATTGCGGGCAAGCCTTCATTATGTATTTTGTAGATTACACGCTGGATATGCGTCCTGGTTCTTTGGTGTATGAATTCCTGGACGCTGTGCTTTTTTTCACGTCGCTGAATAATCTCGATGTTTCTAACGAGACAATGGATTTTTGGATTCGATTTCGCACTTACATTTCTGGCAAGCACGAAGAGCGCATGTACGTGTTTGAATCATTCATCTCCCGTTTGCTGGTTATTCTGGTTGAGCGAACCCGGTATCCCGAAGGGTTCAAATCGTTCCCGGAACCTGCAAAGGAACGCTTTTCTGTATACCGAAGCGAAGTACGCAATGTTTTCCGCGCACTTGCTACAGTCTCAATCGCCAGCGAAGATAGTTTTATTGTAGATACTATTTACGCAATCTTCCACCAGTATGAAGCCGCCGATTTGGGAGTCCCGTTGTCACCAAATGTACGCACGTTCACAATAATACGGTATTTTTGTTAACCGAACTAACTTTTTGCAACCTCACTATTGCGTCTAGTGGTGGCAAATCACAGAAGTATATGTCCATGCTCTTAGTGCGTTATCAAAATCGATTCGGGAGGAAGACACATATCTTGTGCCAAGACTGTTCGAGTATTTGTCGCGAAAGGAGCCCTCTCACCGCGAATTGACGCGCACAATAACCATTTTTCTTGGTGTGACCAGCCACTGGTTTGCAAAACATCCTGTCTGCTTGTCAACCTACGCGTTCAATATTATTTCCAATGGCTTTGAATATTTTCAGGACGATCTTGGAATTCCATCAAGTCATTACAACCTAGACGATCATGTAGGTGCCGTGGCATTGCGTAAGCTGACGCTTCGGTGCGGCTTACACTTTTTTACTCCGCAATGGATGGATGCACTGGTGAGCCTGTATCGCTCAAATATTGCAGCAGCAGGTGGGATGAGCAAATGTTTGACGAGACACAGCGCAATGCTTGTTGTGGATTCAATCTGCAATGTTCTCGCCACAGTAACGTACAAGGATGCTCTACCGGTGGTGGACGAACTTGGTGCCATCATGTTTGCGGACCTTGCATCGCGCTCTAGCCAGCTAAGTGCGAACGATGACGGCTCAGTCAAGTTTTTGTGCGAGATGCTCAGCCACCTCAGCGTGTTGGCTACAAAGGTTCCAGTGCAGATTGATGAAGAGACCCCACACCCTGTTTTCTGTATGTTGCAAAAGCACTGGAGGGTGCTGGAGTGTATATTACGCGTATACGGCTGCTGTGCAGTAGTGGCTGAACGGTTGTGTGCTCTATTAGTAGGCGTTTTTGAGTCTTTGCGATCCCAAGCATTGGAGATAGCATCTGCAATCATGCCATCATTGCTGGATCAATTTTTGCGGAGCCATGACGGTAGTTACCTTGGTGTGGTCAAAAGTCTCGTGCGTTGCACTGGCGATGACGAGGCTACGGCTGTTAGTTTAACTCGCGTGATGGTTATTGTGAGTGATAGCTCAATTAGCAAGATTGCGGCAGATGGGAGCGTTGATGAACACGCAGGGCTCACAATTGCGCTGTTTTCTTTGGTAGCAACCTGCGGCATGCACCATCCATCAATTTTAGTCGAGTCAAACCAGTTGGAGGGTGTAGTGGCACTAGCATTACATGCGTTGAAGTCGCAGAACCCTGAAGTCGGAGCTGCTACTCTCGACTTTCTGCTGGAGCTGGGCTCGCTATTTGGCCAGATCCTTCGCACTCCAGAGCATTTGCTTCAGAGTTCTGAATTTGCTGGCAAGGTCCTGCTTCACCAGCAAATCCAGACGCTGTTTTATGAAAAGGACGTTCAGTATCGTGTGCTCTTCGCTCTGTTCATTGCTGCTGCAGGGGGCATGCCGTCCAATTTGATGACAAAGATAGTAGAGGTTATACGATCTTGCTGGATCTATTTCGGCCGACAACATAGCGAAGCGCTTATTCATCGGCTTCTATCTGACACCAATTTTGTGGGATCACAAGTTAACAAGCGTGCGCAAACTGAGTTCCTCACCTTCATTTCCACACCAATTTGTGTAGAAAACCCGCGCAAGTTGAAGCGAGTACTGAACGCGTTCTGTGGTCATTTCAAGTGTAATCTCGGCGGAAGTGCGAAGGAAGATGCAATGCCTTTGTAAGATTTGTACTGCTGTGGCAATCGGGACTACATCGGTGACACGAGAGCGGAAGGTCGTATAATAATGTATAGGAGAGTGACAAGCAGCTTTTTTAAGGATACGATGCAAGAAAACCGTCATCTTCACTAAAACGCTGTGGCATCGTCTCTATTGAAACGGATTGCCAGCATCTTGCCAAGACGTCGTGTTGTTTTTGGTAATGGCACGGATCAAGTGTCCACTAGGGGGACGAGCAGCATAAGAAGCATTCGACCATTCCAAAATCTTCTGCGCAATATCCTCGGCCTGATTTCAATACATGTAGAGCTCATGTAAGATCGGGCTGAAGTAAGTCAATAGCACAAACCATGTTGTCGTACCTTAGTCCAGCTCGAAAAGTCAGCGTCTGGCATGAACTTGCGATTCATTGGCGTGTCGATCGTCGCGGGCAGCACACCCAATACTGACGTATCTTTAGGTAGCTCCGTGCTGTAAGAAGAATCAATAGTAATGTCAGCAAACACGATATCTATGTGTTTCTTGAACATGTAACGTTCAAAAAGCCTTACACAGCACTTGCAATCAAATGATGAGTTGCTGCTTTAGTAGCTCCGTACGAGACCATACTTGGGGTGGCCTTGAGTGCCGCAGTAGCACCAGTCAAAACGAGCAATCCTCCAGGCAAGAGCAGATGACTTGCCAAGTACGTTGCTGGCAAAATCCACCAACCCGTTAGTTCGTCTAGCAGAAAGAGTCAGGAGGTCTAACGCATTTGAAATGGGTCAGACTTGCCTAAAAATGCCGATTCCAGGTTCTTCATATGCATGTCCCCTAAATTGACGAGAGAGTTTGGATCGCGAATGCTGCCTCCAGCCCATCCACCTGCCGTGGATACAACAGTATTGACCTTACCATATCTATTCACTCCTTTAAGTCAGCTCTGTCGTTCATTTGACATGTCAACGATATCTAGAAAGTGCTGGTACAAATACCTGCTTGAGATTGTCTCCATCGTCTCTTTTGCTTGTTTGAGATTGTTACTCTCGGGCACAATCACATTGCTATGAGCTTCCTCATTCTTTGAAAAGCCTACCGAAATGACTGTCCACGATGCACGAGCAAAGTAGCTCACCACATTGCGACCTAATGCGCCGGTACCTCCCAGAACAAGCAACTTCTTTGACATTATCAAGGTCACTTGATAATGTTTGATAGTCTTCAAATACCAGCCGAGATCCTTTATGATAGCACGCACATCTCGACATAAAAAACAACTTTGAAACTTTATTCTTCAAATCCAAGACAAACTGCGTTCAAGTCGGCAACAAAACATACGTGAACTACTAATGGCTGATATCTGCATTTAATCTATGAAAACTTCTCCGAGTGAAAGTCAAAGATAGTTCCATTGGAAGACGAGTACCGTTTGCACATTTTATCCAGAATCTCCTCCAGTGCGTGAGGGCCGCAATAAAACACACCAACTTCTTCGCGAGGATGGTTAGCTTTGGCCTCGGAAAATACCTTGTCCCAGTCTGGACGACCAAAGTGCGTCAGTTGTTTTGTGTTCAAACCAGACACAAAATCTTTGCCGGTCTGTTCGTGCACAAACGCCTGAAACATTTTAAGCTGCGATGTATTCTCACTGCCTTTCAACGTACTTAAGTATTGGTGCGTCTCAATCACGTTGTCACGGTCCATTTCAGAAATCTGATTCATCGTATCTTCAAACCAACTCAGAGACTCCTGTCCACGAGTTACCCAGTGAAAATATAGTTTCTGAATCTTGAACGAGCCCGGATGCCGAACGTGGCTGCAATTCGGACAACGGTTGTCTTCCCACAAATGCACGACGTCCTTTAGAATTGAAGCAAAAGGGGTGACACCGATACCACCACCAACGCAGATAACAGTCTTGTAACGGTGGTAGTCTTGGGTTGGAGCACCAACTGGACCATCAAGGTAAACGTCCGGATACAACACCTTACGTTCATGGCAGTTCGAGATGACACGCGCCAAGGCTTGCGTCCAGTCGCCACAAGCACGGATGTGGACACTGACATAGTTGTCTTTCGGAGCTGATGAAATGGTGAACGGGTGCCATTCGTGTAGCGAAATTAGCGGGCAGTTGATAAACATATACATGCCTGGGCGGTACACAAAACGACGAGGCTTCTCCATAAACAGAGCAACGGTACCATCCAGCTCCATAGCTTCCATAATACGTACAGGCGTAGCAAACAATTTCGTATAGCGGAAACGACGCTCAACCAGGTAGATCAGAAACGGAGGAGTAATCCAAATATACGAAGAGCTTCGGGCAAGCCATGATGCAGCACCATGAAACGCCAGCACAACCAAGAAGAATCCGAAAAGCATGTGTGAGTACCAGAAGCGGTTGAAGTTACCCTGACGGAGTTTTGGGATCGCAGCCAACGGAAAGGATACACAGGTGATCATAAAAAGAATGAAACCAGTCCACACCGGAAGCGACTGAATCATAATAATGAATGGAGGTCGCTCGCCGTTAATGAATGAAGAAACTTGACGCGTGACGAAAATAGAGCGCCTGACCTCCTCTGGCGTCGCGACTAAATACAGGTAGATCTCATTGATGATGTGCGCAACCGTATGAATAAGGCCAGAAATGAGCAGCACGCAACCCGCAATCTTGTGAAACGCGATACTGTCATCAAAGGGAATATAGCGCCACAAAAAACGGCTTCGTTTCATGACTTGTGCGATAGACCGGCACATGGGGAGCAACACGAATGCGCAGTTAATCATCACAACTTGCGCGTTGGCACGTGCAATACGCAAACCCCAACCGATAGCAGGATCCACTTCGTAGGCAAACCACTTGAGCCAAAAAGCAATGTTGTTAAGAACAAAGTAAACGACAAGCCACCATATCCGAAGCTTGTTGGCGCTATAATAAGCGCTCAACTTGCTTTTCGAGTGGACAGGAGTCGTGTTCATCGGTTCGGATTGTTGAAGGTTGTACGAATTGTTGATAAAAGGAGCAAACACTCCACAAAACTGCTCAAACGTCATAGATTCGCCCTTTACTTGAGCCTTGCAAAACATCAAGTGAGCCACCGTCTTAAAGTCCGTGCCAACCATATCAAGACGGGCCGTCGAGAAATTCGATTCCAGTAGCTGAACAATCTGATCTTCGGTCACGTACCCTGTGTTGTCGGGATCGAGCGTCTCAAAGATAAAACGCAACTTCTCTTCAGCACCTACTTCGAGTTCCATAACAGCGTCGATGAGGATAGCATTGCCGTCAATTGCGCCATTATCAAGAGCGTATCCGTCAAACTCATCGCCACTGACCTCAAACGCTTGGGAAAAAGTCGCACGCTCAATATAGCCACTCTTGCTGGTGATACCGGTCATAACGTCACGCAACGCATGCAACTTTTCCAGAGGCGTGTATGCCGGGTTGTTGCCGCTCTCGTCCATGCTCATTGCTATGCTGTACTTTTGATCAAAGTTGCAGTCGCCAAGGACTGGGACCGACATCACATCGGTGCCGGGTTGTGGGCCGTATCGAGAACCACTCATCGACGACACCATCGACGACATGTTATATGTATGAGCTAGACTTTGACGCACCATTGTTGCACCTAATATAGATTGGACGCCAGAACGATGACGCTGTTTTCGGTAGCTGCTCTTGCAATTGGAGCTCATCTTAGGCGGACCACGTCCAATAAAAAATGAACTGGTAGACTCCATATTAGTGAACTGACTCGTGTCCATAAAGTTGGAACTCTCCATGCTGTAAAACGAAGATGTTACGCCACGACCATTGGCCGCGGACGGTGGTGGTGGTAGCGGAGCCTGCGATGTCGGCGCGCACTTGTCCCGCATGCTGCCCTTCCTACTGGATGTTCGGCTTCCTGTTCCCTTATTACAGAGATTCGATGACGGTGGTGTCGTAATGTCAACAAAGTTCTGACCTAGAGTAATCTTGAGCTCGTCCGCAGGTACAGGTGGGCGATGAGGTTGTCGAATCCCAGCAGTTTCCATCTGCATCCGGTTCTGATGGTCGTGATTCATCGAGCTTGTAATCCTCAGAAATTAGTTACGTGGACAAAACAACGTGTAGAAGCGTGATCCTATCTATAATTAGAATTTACCTACGTCTAAAGAACTTGTTTAGGTCAGATGACACACTGGTAATGAATGGGGTTGAAAACTAACTGACGTTAGAAGATAAAAGTGTCAGACTTTGTAAAAGAGGTCGGGGGAATGGGTTTTGGCTCTTTCGTCTGTTGCACGTTCCCACGTTGAACAAAGAAAAACCACGTGACTTGAGTCAAGTCCACCTATCCGCACTCCTTCGGTCGATCGCCAGCAAGACCGTTGAGATTCGGCTCAAGAATCCGGTTCTGCAAAACCATCAAAACGTGCTGGCAATTCAGTTTGTTTTCAATTTGTTTTGTCTTGTCTTGGCATGGATGGACCATGTTCAGCTAACAGGAATGGCACATTTCATGTGAAATATATGATCTGTATACATGTGTGGATGCAATTGAAACTGTTGAGAGCTAAATAAGGGGGGGTCCAATATGGTTGATCATCTATCTGACTGCAAACATGTTTGCTTTGAAACCAAGAGGTATTGAGCTCAAAAAAACGGTTTGGTTAACTTTGTATGGACTGTGTACGGACGACGCTGCCACTATTGGTAACTTATCTGTAAGACACTCGTTTGGGTGTGGGATGACAGATTGTTTTGTTATCAGTGCATAACACTATAGATCTATCGTCTTACAGCTGAGGGTCAAGGGATGCGATCATGGTACAAACACTGAACTAGATACAGAACAACTTCAGACGCACGAAGACTTGTACATTAGCCAGAGCGTCTGTGTGGGCTTAAAGCATTGTGTTGCTGTGAAAACATGCACCCAGCGATTACTTGGTCATACCAATGGTGCCATATAAATTGCTACGCTTTCCCTACTTACACATGTCGACAAGACTGTTTGTGCCGTTTTGCAAAACACAATTGTTTTGATATGCACACAATACGCCCCCTCGCTGCGAGTCAACGGATAAAGCGGATAGCAAACTATTGCACAGTATAGCTTGGAGAGAATTGAAACAATATTTGACAAAAGCATCACCGAAGACGCCGACATTGTCACCGCCTCGCGTCCATTCTTGTCTTTCACCGGATTGCTTCATTCACATATAGGGTCTCAACAAACAATGGAGGTCGAGTATTCTAGTTTAGATCTTATCCGCTACAAACTATTGCAGTTAAGTTGGTACTATTTGCTGAAGAAGCCACTCGTGTGTAGATCATGTGCATATTGAAGCGTTAAATGTATTCGTCACTAATGGTGTACCGACAAGAAGATCATACGCGTAATGCCTTCACAGGCTGACAACATTTTTCACCACATACACCTTTTTTTTGCTTTTTTCCATTAAAAGAATGTAGCTTAGATTCAACACCACACGATGCGAACGCAAGCGCTTGCCCACTTTCCAATGCACTGCGACTTGTTGTAAGAACGAGGTGACAACGTTTTGCTCGAAAGAATTACAAATTTTGCATTAGCCAGTAGCTATATGGAGGAATATCCTCCTCAGCACTGCAATAATATTGCTAGCTTACAAATCACAACCTGTAAACATGCTTGGCGACCAGGAGGTCGCACAGCTGCAATAGGCCAGGTAGCAATGCCAGCCCGAGATCTTCCATTGCGATGTGTCGTTACCCGATCGCAGGAAAATTCGATTGGGATAGTCTCAGCAATAAAAGAAACAGAAAAAAGTGGCATCGTATGTAAGACATGGCAAACTCGTAGAATTGTTGAGCTGCCACGGCGCCCTCTTGGGCTTATTGCAGTGCCAATCAGCATTCGACTTATTCAAGTCGTCATCACCAGCACGTAGATCAGTGCTCCAAAGTACTCGCGCATCAAGCGCAAACTGGTGTACAAGACGTAGAATAACCCTGTGTAACAAACGGTTGCAAGTGTGTTGCACTCGCGACCTCATTACCGTAAGCAACCATCTTTGACAGGCATCATCATCATGCTTTTCAGGAATCAGTCAATTCTGCTGTAGTGTGCTATAAGTTATTGTAATAAACAGACATTCGGATCAGATAAGATCATGCCAACAATCATAGAAGCCGATAGATTCTAATTAGCTTTGCCAGTCCCATCTGCTTCTCCTGCAGGCCTCCTTGACAAACTTCATGGTTTCCCCATTACTGCTACTAGTAGTGACACTGACCTGCATCAGCCACGTCAGTGCAACTGATAAAGACAGCCTCACCACTGTGCGCATTGTGACCATCCATCCGCACAATGTGAGCGCGTTTACTGAAGGGCTTGTTTTCGATGACGGCATGCTCGTCGAGTCCACGGGACTCAGAGGGGAGTCTTTTATTCGAAAATACAGACTGTCAGACCTCAATGCTGACTACTTTAAGACGGGGGGCTACTCAGACTGTGCCGTTTGTGCAGGAATTCCGCTTTGACGACAATATCTTTGGCGAGGGTGTGACCGTGTTAGGGGACAAGCTGTTTGCACTGACGTATAAGATGCAACAGGTGCTCGTGTTATCTCGTGATGATTTTCGTCTGCTTGGTCAGTTTCCATTCACGACAACCACTAAGGAAGGCTGGGGACTTACGACAGATGGGGAGTTTATTATTGCAAGTGACGGGTCTGCTGAAGTGCTCTTTTTTGATCCGAAGGACGACTTTAAACTACATCACAATATCACTGTCCAGAACGATGGAAAAAAGGTGACCCATATTAACGAACTTGAGTTTGTAAATGGGGAACTTCTTGCAAACGTGTGGTACGAGAATTATATTTTGCGCATCGATGTCAGCACTGGTGACGTGTTGGAGCAGATCGATCTGAGCTGGATGCCCAACATGGTGGCTAACATTCATACCAAAGCCATGAAGGCGTCCCCATTGAGTCAGGATGCCGTGATGAATGGAATCGCCTACGACCCTAGCACGGGTCATATTTTCTTGACCGGCAAGTTCTGGGACTCCATGTTTGAGCTTCAGCTATCGTATCTCAACCCACATCAGTATTCCATCGTTCTATAGATGGCACATTTGTGAAGTTCCCTTTTGACGATATTTTGTACCCGCCTGCCCGTCCTATTGCAGTAAAAACAAATGAAGACGAAAGCTTTGATTAAACTAGATCGTGAGTATTACAAATTATGAATGGTTGAATATGCTGTACTTCATTGCTGTCATACTGTGCGCGCTTGCTCATCTAAATGCTAAAGAAGACTACTGCGTCTGATCCGTTTACGAGTTTCACTGAACGACTAGACATTTAGACCACAATAATGAAGGCGTGACACAAGCAAATGTGAAGATTATGATATAGAAATTGCTATCGTTCATTACTACATAATTTTGTTGCCTCTTAGTTCTTTTTCTAGAGCGCATGCTAGTGCTAACAAAACCATGTTTTGTTTCTAGTCATCCTGGCGCTGATTGAATCGCCATCTGAAGCAGCGAGCTTGAATGCGCAAATCACTTTGCCTGACAGTTGCCGTAGTTGTTTGCATTGAATCAGTGCGCGCTTTATCCAAAGTTTCGCGGCTTTTCTGTAGATGCCGAGCAAGCATTGCTCGGGTTTCACGAACGCTATTGTATCATTCATCGTAGTTTACTTAGGTCATGGGCATTGAATCTACTGCTCAGTTACTTTCCTTGTTAGATTTTATATTTTGCATTTCCAATCCATATCAAATACATTACTCGTTAGAAATAGTAAGATTTCTAAACGGTATTTTATTCACAAAATGTAGACAAACATTAGACTTGACACTACTATGACGTTACGTCTGCGTCAATTGCAGGTGATCCACCGTCATGGCGACCGCACTCCATTGGTCAACATCTTTAAAGGATGCAGCATTGCTCGGTACGAGGAGGACGAGGCACTTTTTTGGGATCTTCAGCTGCCTCCACGGTCGCAACTCGCTCAACTTCGCTCCAAATTCAGCGTCTACACGAGCGGCGACGCTCAGGTTTCGCTCCAGCAGCGACCATTCGGGTACTTGACGGCTCAAGGTATTAAGCAGATGAGGAATCGTGGAGAGATACTGGTGAGATAAGGTTTATTATTCGAGAATGATGGTGTTTAGTGCTAACAAAAATGAGCTAAGGACAATTTGATAGCGAGAATACTTGAAGGAAGAGCTGCGACTGGATAAAGTGACATCTAAGCAGCTGCAAATCTTCAGTAGCGGTTACACTCGCACTCAAATTAGTGTGCAGGCACTTCTGGATGGTATGCTGAGTGACGAGTTCCAACTGAACCCCCCATTGAGTGTGCTGCCGCCAAAAGACGACATTATCAACAGTGAGTTCATACCATAGTTGCTGGCTGCTTTGGCACTTCAATTGATATTCAATTGCTTGGCATACAATGTACAGCATACGGAGTTTTTCCGGAGATCATGAGAATAAAGGCAGAATTAGAAAAGGATAACGCGGAATTTGCGGCTCGCGAGCACGAGATGCTTTCAATCAAGCAGAAATTGATGCGACTGTTTCCAGCCGTAAACTCGGGTCAAATCCCTTTTACGTGGCTGATCGCTGCCGACTACTTTGTTTGTCGGCGTGCTCACCAAGCTCCTTTTATCCCTGGCACTGAAGCGTATAGTGATGCCGCCGAAAAACACCTTAGTTATCGTTTCCACCAGGTAGGAATGACTTAAAACTGAGGTTATGGTTACAGTATGTTCCCAGTTTGAATAAGTTCTTGCTTGGACTACAGTTTTACTCTCATCGAACGATCTTAAAGCTCGTGGCTGGACGACTCATGCATAATGTGCTTCAAGAGGTGTGGCTCAGTTTTGGATCTGGTTGCTGTAGTTTCGTGTCTGATTGCTATATCGTTGTTTGACACTACAGATGCAAAAAGCTATCTTGGACCACCGTGAAAGCAAGACGATTATAATCTACAGTGGACACGACGTAGCGTTGTTATCAGTCCTTCGAACAATGGACGCTGAAATTGCAAACTGTATCGAATATTGGCCCGACTACTCCACGGCTCTTACTCTTGAGCTCCTCGAAAACGATAGTGGAAAATTCTTTATTCGTGCTAGACTTAATGGCGAAATCCTAGCAATGAACGAAGCTCAAGACGGACTTTGCTCCGTTGATTGCTTCCAAGACGTGATCATAAATCACATTGGAGAGTAGACTGATTTGTTACCACTCGCAGCGTCAACATAGGACAGACAAGATAGATTTTTTTGTCTAGCAAAAATCACGCCAGCAGTTCCGCGACTTGTAGTGCACGCTTGTAACGTCTTCGAGCAAGCTTGATTTCGAGCATTTTTTCCTTTTCATTCGACGCTGTTTCTTCGTCTTCTTTTGCCGGTACACCAATATCGATGATCTGTTGTGCAGAATCTACCACACGCTACGAAAGAAACACTATACCTGTCAAAAAGAGCAAAAAGAATCAAACATACTAAAGCTGCAAACCTTGCGTGCAGCGCCTTCAATACCATCCAGGTATTGCAACACCGTAGCAAACATGGATTTTGGCACAACATCAGCCTCGTACATCCACCGGAGAATCCATTGCTGTTTGATTGTCTGTTTTGATACATTCGCACACCACAAAGTTATCATCCTCATCCTCAATTACTCTTTCCAGCAATCGATGGTAGAAATAAAAGAACCTTAAATTTCCACGAGCGCTCATCATCTGTCTTGGGCTCATTGCGCTTCTTCCACTGCTCCAAATAGTACTTGGCCTGTTGGATTGCATCTGGTGAGCGGTCGGACTTGCCGCCTCCTTTGTTCATTGACTCGTCATCTTTTTTCGGAGCCGCACACGCACGTTTCTTGGAGAAAATCTTCTCGCCGTTGCCGTCAAACCTGACGTGTACCTTAGTTGTTTCTTTCTTAGTCTTTGAGGCCTTCAACTTACCACGCTGTTTCTGGGACGGCTTAATATTGACCATGATGACACAAAAGATTAGAATTGACCAACCAAATTTTCTGTGACGTGTGGAGCTCATGTGTTAGCTTCACAATTTGAGATACTCGTTGATTGGTGGAATCTCAGTGCACACGATTTTGATTCGTGGCTTGAAACCCCGCCCAAACATTAGAACAGTTTCTGTAGATAAATGATGGGACTGTTATAGTGTCTCTACAGTCATGTGCCACATGACAGAGACAACACAACTAGATTGTGTGCAACGATCCTTGCCTTGTAACCTCTGATTGGCCGGAGTAGCTGGACCTTGAGGGTTTAGGTCGACCTCAAGGGATCAGGGTCGAGGGTCCACCGACGAACAACTGAGATCTACCTTGAGGGACCGAGGTCGACTGACCAAGGACTGAAGTCTACCTTGACAGACTGAGGTCTACCGTCCCACGGTCGCTTTTACTCCGTGGTCCCCTTTTTCTCCGTTTCACCGGTCCTTGGGCTCTCCACATTTTGAAATTACTTCACCACAGTGATGCTGTTAGGTAGTCTAAAGACCATGACTCTCTTGTCAAGATTATTGAGGAATGCCTAGCATGTGTTAGTCAAAAGGTAAATGAGAAACTAAATGTATTTAGAGCTTATAATCTTTGATTACCTCGTCTTTCCGTTATCGCCCGTTACCATCAATCACTCATGTTGAACCCTGTTCCAAGGGTCGCATGCCTTCAGCTTCACTGGTCGAGCCCCTTCACATGAACAGTCGCACCTCTTCACTCGAAAAGTTGCGGCCTTTCAACATATCTTCTCTAGATGTCTTTACACCAGCGAGATCAACTTGCACAGCTCTGTCAATTTCGGCCTTGGTGAGTAGGTCAGATCGAATTAAACGAGGCTCGCAATACACCACCCTACTTGCTTGTTTCTTGCTGTAATCCTTGATAAACTTAAGACGTACTGCGATGTGCTTTGCCCTTCCCGCGCTGTCTTCACCCTGTATTTGCTTGATAGCAGCTTCATTACCAACGTGCATCAGCATTGGCTTGGCCACGCGCACGCCAATTTCTCCCAGCAGTTCGCGCAATCCTAGCATGTCACTCACCACGAGTGGTGCAGCCACAAACTTGGCCTCATCGTAGATAATGCCACGCCTACCTGTTTTCGACACACCCAACCAACAACCATACCATGTAAGCATCGAACCCCTCCACTTACAGATTTTCAATCCACGCGAACCGCGGCGTAATCCGCGTTGCTGAAGCCTATAAGCACAATGTCTTGTAAATTTTTGCTTTCAATAGGGCTCTTCATCTCAAACGTTAGTTCGAAAGCTCCCTTCAAGTATCAAACGATCCGCTTTGCTCATCGCCAATCGCGATCCTTAGGCGCATGCGCTTGCCGGCTGGCCCGGTGTACGGCAAATGCAATGTCCAGTCTTGTTCACCACGACAACCAAAGTAGACTTCTAATCAACGATTGAACATTTTTACTGTTGATGCTATTGGTGTACCATCACCGTCACTCGGTAGCAAATCGCCCTCATCTTCGACGTTTTTGTTCTTCACCGATAAGCATACGCGCAGAATCCCCCAGCGCGAATGCATTCAGTTTGCTCCAAAATGTACCCAACATTCTCGGTATACGTCCCAATAGCTTAAACATTTCACCTAGGTCCTTCGCCTTGAGTACCTTCATGTCACTAAAGAACTTGCTCACGTTGCAGACCATCTTAGCACTCACCAACAGGTCGTCCACGTAGACGCCCACTAGCGTTATCGTTGAGTCATCACCCTTATGTATAAACATCTGTCGGTGTAGCACTGTACAAATTCAAGCTTTAAGAGTGTATCGTGCAACCATCGCGCCTACAAGCACCCAGCCTGCTTAAGCCCGTAAAGGCTCGTATGAAGCTTTAGCGCCACCATGTTCTTGTCATCTGTACCCAACATGTTCGATTCGACGTCGTCAAATCCCATGTCCTGCGGCACGTGAAGCGCAATCTCGAGATCTTTTTCTTTATCTGCTTAGACGTAAGTAAGCACTTAGAAGCAACTCCATGTCGAGCAGAAACTTCCTATACTCGCGCCAATGCACTGAAAGTCGTGGTGTAACCTACACCATACGCCTGCTCATTTACGCAAACCAAGAGCGTGCCTTAAAACGCCCTACTGTTCCATCTGCATGTATTTTTCTCTTTTATGAACCACTTTGAAGTTAGCAGCTTCTGACCAGGTCTTCTTAGTGTCACCTCCCACGTCTTGTTTGATTTAAGCAAATCAATTTCGGACCGCATCACCTCGCGCCACAGTGCGGCATCTTTCGACTGTACTGCTTCTCATTACGTCTTCGGATCTTCAACCAACCTGACCATTGCAACTGGTACATGTTTAGAGCCCATATGCCGAGTGGCCACTTGCGTTTCAGTAAAGCCAGCTGTGCAAGAATTGGCATCGCTTGATGGTACTCAGTTCTTCAAAGTTTCGCTTTACCGCGTAACCCGCGCTTAGACGATCTCTTGCAAGTGCTGATGTACTCTTCTGCTTCGCAACCTTTTTTCTTCCTTCCACAGCTTGTCCTAGATCATAATCCTCCTTGGAAAGCTGTTGATGCACTCTCAAGTTGCCATCAATACCCACGGTTTCCACATTCTTGACATGATGCGTCGTAATGACTAAACGTTTACGCGGAAGATAAACCTTAAAACCCTTGGTCTCATCATGCTTCCGATAAATATTCCGATCTCGGCGCGCGGTTTCCTCGACCGCTTTCCTGGGTCGCGATAGGCAGTCGTAGCGATTAGCGACACAAACACTACCTCAGTTTTTGTGGTGCAGTCTTTCCGCTCTGTGTACACATTGTTTTTCTTACCAACCTCTAACACTCGTGCTCCTTCGCTATTACGCTTTAAATAGCCGCCGCTTCGTCGAATTCAAGGCACTAATGGAAGCCCAGCTATCCAAGAAGATTAAGAGTATCAGGACCAAAAACGGAATAGAATACGTATAAAAAGGATTTTCTAGAGTTTGCAAAAGATCTGAAATCGAGCACCAGATGACAAGGGCATATGCTCCGCAACAGAATGGGCTGGTCGGACGTATGAATTGGACATTTATGGAGCGCGCGCGAGGGATACTCAGACATATACAAGTGAAAATATCTGGTGGGCAGAGTTGATGAACACGGCAGTTTATGTGACAAATCGAGTTTCGTTTGCCAGTCGCCAAACCGAGACTCCTCCTTATGTGATATATGGACGGATGTCTGGAAGGTCATCGGATTGATTGCTCGCAGAGGCTAACTGTTTGCGTGGTGTGTACAGCAGCAAGAGAAAGAATAAGTATCTCAAGCTCCTATTAATGACGGCATGATTGGTTTAAACTACAACTCTTCTAGATGAATTTGCTATCCAGGTGTAACGAAATACCCACGTTTGATGATGACAATGATGGTGCATGTTCTACTTGTGGACGGTGTGTGCAAGGAAAGAGAACATTAAGTTAATTTGCATGAAAGTCAAGAAATGTCATGAAGACGCATAGCAGGTGTTTATACCGACGTTGTGGGTCCTATAAAGCTAAAAATCAAGGGTGGTGATTACCTTTTTAATGAATTCAGCAAGTTTTTGTGTGTGTATCTGCTCGAGTTGAAAAAGCAAATATTCAAGCGGTTTCGTGTTTTTATAGCACTTGTTGCAAAACTTAGTGTGCCCCAGTGATGATGACTGAGGGTAATACCTCAGCAGTCAGTTCAGCAAAAATTCTGTGTAAGCAATGGTATTGTGCACCAGATTAGCGCTCAGAAAAATGGTCTCGCGGAACAAGTGAATCGTACCCTGAATGAAAATGGCACATTCTTGTGTCAATGTCCACGGGAGTCGTCACTAACTTGCAATGTCCCATATTGTAGTGGTTAGCAGCTCGTCGACCATGTAAGGCTTAGCTGCTGGCATGATCCATGATGTTTAGCACATGTTCGTTACCTTGCCAGTCGCGGGTTTTAAGTAAGCCTTTAATCGATACAAAGCATCGACTTCGTCCGTTGGTGCGTGTGCTGCGCTATCACCTACGATCATGCCTATCTCTGTGCTAGGACATGTTGTCACGTGTCGTCCGTATCGTAATGATCGTTTGTTGTTTAATGTGGCTTGCATCAGTCACCACTGCGGATGCGATCGTGATCAATGTCGATCAGGTGGTAATAAAGATCGGCCATGTCGATCGACTACGGTCATCAAGTATGGCCGGCCCTAAATCTGTAGCTCACGCTGAGTATGTGGTTCACATCTTCATTCCACCAATTAACTTACTCTTTCTTCCTCATAAAGCTTGCTAGCCAATCTTAGCGTCCTTATGCTCCAACGAGTATTCTTGATCCATCGATTCACCATAATGTTGACAAGTTACACCGTATGTGTAACGGGGGGTACACAAAGGTGTGTATTTTTACATACACACCTGCGGTGTGGCTGTACCTTGGGTACATTTGTAGGTTCGATATGACTACGAAGGGTCGCATCGTCACGTGGTCACTATACTTAGTTAAGTATAGTGACTATACATGTTTGCATATTAATAGGCTACAGAGCCAGTAAATAGTGACTAGCACTAAGTATAGAGTAGGTGCTTCTATATTTAGTGCTAGAAGTATTAAACATAAATAAATCAGTTTCAACCCTGCTCTGAAAAGCTAAAGTGCTTGAGCGTTCTATTCCTTTCTAAGGAATTGTATCTTTAATACGAAGTCTCTTGAAGACACGGTTGTTCACAACCAAAAGGCACAAGCTTACGAGCTAGCCTTGGGAGCGTTAAGAACCCTAAGTCGTATAAGCTCTTGGAGCTTGTCTTCCTTTGCATATAGTGCATAAGTAGCTTGGCTACAGTAGCTCGGCTACACCTGGTAGCACTCGTAGTCAATCCCGCACCTGGGTTTGCGACTGCTTCTCTGTGTGAGAATGGACATCGATGAGATGTCAGCGGTTGGCCTGTCACATACACAACAGGAAGGGTTGCCGAAGCTGCTGCTCCCTATCCTTGTCCTTAAGAGCGTGGAGTACCTCATCGCCCAAGGCGAAGAAGAGGTTAACAAGCGTATTCGTATGCTTGAAGATTATAATAAAGCTCTAGTCGAGCATGTAATGGCACAGATGCCTTCTTCTGCGCCTTCGCCCATGGCGAGCATATCGCAAGAAGTGGTCCGCAGACCAAAACCCATACAAATGTAAGTCGATAAGTTCGAAGGTAAGGAAGATGACAACCTTATGCTGTGGTTCCGACAGGTTGAGTTGGCTATCTTTGTAGCCGACATCACCCATGAACCGTGCCGTGTTGGCTTTGCCACGGGTAAGTTGGGTGGCTCAGCCAAACAGTGGGCGTTCACATGCGGCGCATCACTGCAAGATGCATTCCCAACATGGGCCGATCTGAAAGTTCAGATGACCCGGCAGTATGCACCACCAAATCAAGCACACCGTAATCGGTCGCAAGTTTTGGCATGTCGCCAAGACAAGCGTGAGCTTGCGGCATATGTGCAAGAGTTGAGAACTCTTATTGTTCCATGGTAATAGATCTTGTGCCTGAGGCATTGACCGGTCACGGTCTTCATGGAGGGCCTCCGAGCTGGCGTTGCCAGAACGGAAGTCTTTCGGGTAAACCTGTCTTCATTCGAGGAAGCTGTTGGAGTGGCATGGAATGCCGAAACCAACTTTAAGGCCGCTAGGCCTGCCACTTATAACTACTCGTCTGATGGGTCTGTACCCATCTACTGTAGTCAAGTGGAGGATGAAGAAGCTGAGCTTCAAGCTGCGGAGCAGCAATGTGTGCGCAGATGTTATACATGCAAGAGCACAGGCCATTTTTGGCAAATTGCTCTGCAAGAAAGACATATTTGGCCTCGAGAGGCTGACACCTCATGGGTAAACCCTCTGGCTTGCCGGGGGAAACGGCGGGACCCAGTAGGCGCGGGGCTCCCTACTGGGGAAGAACTGAATCCTGTTGAACCTCTAGGAGGTATAAGTAAACAGGGCCCAGCTCCAAAGAGATCCGAACTCTCAAAATCGGAACGAGAATGCAAGTCATCAGGCTTGCTAGTCGTCGAAGGGACGATTAAGGGCTATGATAAGCCATGGATAATTTTGATCAATTCGGGGGCATCGGGCAATTATGTGCGCCGTGCCACCGTGAAAGGTGGTCAACAGTATGCTGAAGCGCTTGTAGCGCGTGAAAGTGACACAGTCACAGTTCGCTTAGCGACGGGTACGCGTGTTACGGTACCCAAAGTCCCAATGGACTTAAATGTAAAGTTCTTGGACTTTGACAGCATGTAACGCTGTTTGGTCTTAGACCTGGATGCGAGGTATGACCTCATCCTAGGCATGGCATGGCTAAAACGTCATGAGCCATGGATTGATTGGAGGTCGAAGACCTTAGGCGTAACGCGCATGCTCCTGGTGGGGCTCTGGAGAGTCATGAATCCACCTTTGCTAGGAAACAAAAGCGCTTTTGGCGTGGATGTTAGACCGAGTCGGTCAATATGTTGGATGTAGGTTATCCGACGTTGTAAACACTGTAAGTGTCGAGGACAATAGTCCTGGGCGAGGCCCAAGGACTGTCGATAGTGTGGTTGAGAACTCACTAGATGGCACATATGACACGTGTCATGAGAATGATGTTACATCATTAAACACCGTGAGTGGTGTTGGTGACTGCAAGCCAAGATGTCAGGACATGAGTCCAAGTGACATGAGTGACGAGGAACTGACCCTGGAGGGCCGGGTGAAGCCACATATGAATGTTGCCTTTGAGGATAAC